CCGGGCAGTGGCCCCTAAAACGTAGGCTAAAGGGCAGGGAAGTTTTTCAAAAGTGCTCTATAGTACCGTACCCTTTGCCTGCCGCCTACGGTAATTGTAGAGCAATTAGACTTGCAACAATTACCGGTTTGGACGCCGGAAAGGAAGTACGCTAGAGGAGAACCTTAGGACCCAAAATAATTCGGTGTTTCATGGCACACACGTTTTGGCGGGTCCATTCCCACGGTTTGAGCCCCCCGCAAAAAGGTCAACATTCAGGCTGTTTGTAATTTTGTGCTGAACCCGATAGTTAATGGGGATGGGAGGAATTAGAAAAACTGCTGAGGGTTTAAAAGGCTGTCTGGGAATTTGAACGTTGGATTCTGAGGCTTGCGATGGCTGCTAAAGGCGTTGGGAAGCCTGATTTGGCTAGGCCATGCAAATTTTCGCTTTCTCTCGCGCTCTGTCTCTCTCTCTTCCTCTCTCTCTCTCTCTCTCTCTCTCTCTCTCTCTCTCTCTCTCTCTCTCTCTTTCTCTCTCTCTCTCTCTCTCTCTCTCTCTCTCTCTCTCTTTCTCTCTCTCTCTCTCTGTCCTTCTCTCTCTCTCTCTCTCTCTCTCCGCATAAAAGCTTAAATTATCTTGATCAGCTAAATCAGAATTACAGTCGTTGCGGTACCCCATTTCTTCGAAAAGTACATTTTTAAGAGCTTTTTATGTACTGTAATCCGAATCCGAATTTTTCAAAAAACGGCATGCGAAATCGAATTATGCGTTTTTTTCTGCTCCCCCGGGACGCTATTTTGAACTTTTAGCCGTACTTCGTGCCAAAACACTTTAATTCAAATAACTGAAAGTTCACCGCAAATTTTTGGACAAAATTTCTGACACATAGCATCCCTAATAAAATTAGAGTCAATCGAATTAGTTATGCCAGATTTTCGAACAGGAATAATGATGGTTTGATGCAGAGCGATGAATCTCTACGTCAAAATAATAAATCAGAACTCAAAAATAAGCATAAAAAATGGGCAAAAATAACAATTCTAGGATTTTTTGTAGTTTATCTAAAAATGACACCAATAGGACCTTTTTAACTAGCTAAAATAACCCAATGACGAACGTCCGATCAGGTCAAGCTTTTTGTATAGCTTTTTCTAACCATTTTTAGGCGGTCCCCTAAAACGCCTGGCGGCGCTGTGATCGCATGTGGAGTGCGAAAAAGTGCTAAACAAAATTGTAGTCGCGGCCGCGCGCCAAAGCCCGGGCTAGACGCCAAAGAACTGATGAAAAAGGGGGCAGGCAGTGTGGTTGGCAACATACCGTAGCAGACCTACCAACATTATGAGGCTTAAGATTTTCACCCCAATGTGAAGGCTAGGACGCGGTTTTTTTTTGGATAAAAAATACAAGAATGGCTAAGGTATGCGGATCGAATTTTTTAATGGATTAACGTTTTAAGCCGATTCGAAGATCTAGGTTCCAGACGCTTTATAATCCCTTTAGGGTTTATTTTTATTCATCGTTCAAAATTGCTTGATCGCTCTCTCTCTCTCTCTCTCTCTCTCTCTCTCTCTCGCTCCCGCTCTCTCTAACTCTTTCTGGTCTTCGTTTTTCCACTCACTCACGCGCTATCTCGAATTTCCAGAAAGTTCTAACTGCTTTCTCTCTCTCTCTCTCTCTCTCTCTCTCTCTCTCTCTCTCTCTCTCTGTCTCTCTCACTCTCTCACTCTCGTAAAACTCATCCACTAAAGGCCGGGCAACGAAACACTTGAAAATCCGCACGTATCCCCCTAAAATGTGACCCAGATCTGTATCAGCCGCCGTTTATCCAAATTTTACCCCCGGATTATCCGTTTCCATTCTCCCAAAACACCATCCCTAGAATGGCCACCACAGCATGACGATGATTTCCTCAGGGTCCAAAAATTCCCCGGCTCAAGCCCTAGTGGTACATGCGCCAATTCACCTCCCAAATTTGTCTTTCATTCCCCCATCACGCTCCGCCAGGCTCCTCCAAACGACGTCGTAGGGATTAGGCCCACTGGAAGGGGCGGGCTATGCCAAATTTGGCCCCTGGCTACCGTAACCCTGTCCCCACCAGCCCAGAGAAAAATTCATAATCTCCCGGCGATGCTTGTCCTAGCTGCCAGCCTGGGTTCCCCCGGTTTTCTTTGCATTACAAAAACATATTTATGCCCGTTTAAGCCGGAATTGGGATTTTTGGGTTACTGTAGCTCTGCGCTTATTTATTCGGCGCTTTTTTACGTTTTAAGATTTCGATTAATAATCTAAAATGTACAGACTTTAAATAAACTGGCTACCGTATTTTTTGCTACTTTTTCAAAGGCATTTTTGCGCAAATAAACCCTTAAAAATTTTTTGAGAAATAAAACCTTTACAAACTGTTCAAAATTTCGAAAACTACAAAATTTTATCATTTTTTTTAGAAGATTCTACTGTTTTAAAGTGAATGAAAATACGTTAAATATACTGTAAAAATTTGTTTTTCTACCGATCTAGAAGAGCAGACAAAAACAAAACAAGAAACATCTAGAAAATCACCCTATCTTGCTTTTCTCATCTAGTCCACGCTCATGTAACTCACTTCAAAATCCATGTGGTCAGCTAGAACGCACCAAAAAACCTACCGTAATCCCGGCCCGAAGCCTTGTTGTTGCCCTGGCGTTTTCCAGCGCGTGCTAGTCGGTCAACGGGTCATTCTGGGGTACAATTTTCCACGACAACTACCTAGCCAAATAGCATGTTTTCCAGTGAGAACTGCACATTTTCTGTACTCTTACATCTGAACAAAATTCATGGTTTGATGCTACAGTAGCCCAGATCTAAAACAGCTCTGCGTCCGCGCGCACAAAAATTCTAATTCCTAAGCTCAAAAATCTCAAAAATTATTCGAGCCACTTCCGGTAGCTGTCCTTCTTGGAGATGACGTCTGATCAATTTCAGGCAACAAATTTAACTCCGTGTTCACAGGAGCTTGCATCTACGTAGCAAACAGCTTTGCTTCCCAAAAAAAGCAAAAACACTTCCAGCAGCTGTAATTGATGATGCCCTTTACCAATTAGTAAACCAAAAATAATTATCCCCGGGTTCCTGTGGGCTTAGCGTACGCTGACGCACAAATCCGAACTTTTCCAATTAAGAAAAACACAAGTTTATCCAGCTGCAGTCACTTCCGGTGGCTGTACTTCTCGAGCATGACGCCAAAATCTTTTTTAAAAATCGTGCCATCTGCCCCTCCCGGTTGTACCCGGGTATAAACTGGGTATCCCCGCGTAGCCCGCGGCGGACCGGAAATGTACTTCTGAACCCTGGCATGCCAACAGTAAGCCTTTCCTGACACATAAGTGGCTCAGGATCTGAGACATCAAAAAGCACGTGTGTTCAAAACAGAGCACCTGCACGGCCTGTCCAAAACACATTTCCTGAATTGCCAGCTGATTCCTGATGATGTTCCCGAAAATTGGGGGTTCGAATAGTTAGAGGGAGCTGTTTTTAAATCCGCTGGAAAAATTGGTACGGCAGAATACTGTAGTTTTTACAAAACTTCCCTTTCAAAAATTAAAGAATTTCATGAGGATTTTATATGAATAGCCACCTCAAGTTGATCAGTCATTAATAAATGTGAATTACGATGTACTCAATTTACAAAATTACACCTCAATTTTTAGAAAGAAAATGCTGAAACTAACTTTAATTCGTCCAAATAGGCTATTAACACCTTTAGGTGAACTTTTTATCAATACAGGGTGTCCCAAAAAAAAACCCCCCCCTACCTAGCGGTCCGCGGTCAAGTCCGATTTTTATGATTTAACTACCAATCGAAAGCTCTCGAAAAGGCGAGAAAACAAGCGGGTTTCGTTTTCTAAGATTTAATCTGATTCTAGCGATATTTCAGTTTTTCCTAAAAAACCGGGAATTTTTCATCAGGAATTTCGCAATTAGCATGCAGATCTCGCATAAATCAGCAGTTTTCATGGTTTTTGGACATAAAATTAGCAAATAAAAAGGCTTAATTAAGAAATTCAACCCTCCTTGTTTTCTCGCCTTTCCGAGAGCTTTCGATAGATACCTATATCGTAAAAATCGGAATCGACTGCGGACCGCTAGGTAGGGGGGGTTTTTTTTTGGGACACCCTGTAAACTCTCGCTAGTTCCATTTTTGCCAATAAATTCCAATAAAGCTAAATGCTTTAGTTCTTGCAACTACAAAATAATACATTTCCCGACTTCGCGTAATCCGATTAAGACGCCAAAAATACCCTCCTACTAGCCGAAACCCTGCAAAACCGGGCGACGCGCTCGTGGCCCCGGGATTCCCAGGCAATCCGGGCGCGGCTCCCCCTCTAAAAATGCTCCTAGCCCTCACGCCCCGTAAATTCCGTAGTTTCCAGCGGAATTCGTGAACAACCGCCAGCAGCACTACTCCTCCGTGCGCCCCAGTAATAAGGGATCGTAGCCCATTAAAGGGGGGGGGGGGGGGGGGAAGATCCCCGTTAATAGGGCCAAATGGGAAAGGGCCAAAACTGGGCCCTCCTACCCCAGGCCCGCGAGCAACCGACCTACTCACCCGCCACCTATAGTCCATTCCCGGAATTTCCTCATTTAGATAATAGCCGGCTGCGCGACGTGCCGACCTTACCCAGGACGTTTGCCCTTCACTTTTGAAAATATTTTTGTGATGAAAGGTCCGGCGGCGAGTTTGCAAGCTTCAAAAAATGCTGGGTTATTTAACGGCCCAAGTTAGGTCAATTCTACTTCCAGCTGCAAAATCCCCTAAGCCTGTTTTCCTAAATAGCCTAAACCCGATGTTTTCCGAAACCCCGACATTCTCATTGTCAACCAATTCCCCTCTAATAATCGCATCTTCAGAGAGCGTGACAATACTTGCCGACCCTCGCAGTCACCGCTAATCGGCCAAACCAGTCGAATCAGAAGCGCATACCTGCCATTCGACAACTCCTGCGCGTGTCTCAACCAACCAGAAGCCACATTCAGACGCCATGCTCGTCCGGATATCCATCATTGCTTGGCTGTTGTTCGTCGTCGCCGTGCAAGCCGGGATTTTGCGAAGGGTGAGTTGTTGAGAAGGCTTGATAGCAACTAAAATAAAACGTAGAAACTGAAGTAAAACTAGCTCGACACTAGAAATGGAGAAAACAAAACCATTAAATAAGCAAGCTTTCAGATGCCCCTATCCACCGATTCCTCCTATGCCGAATCATCAAACGTTCGCGTAGAGCGAGCACCCCGACGCGCACACCCACCCTCGCTAAATGTCTATTGCCTACTACACGCCGAGATCTGCAACCGAATGAGCCTCAACACGAAGCGGCAACCCGACTTCTAGCAGCCCCGCCGCTACCACCCCAATAAATTGTCCATAGTTTCCATGTCGTTGTTGAATTATCCTTCATTTGTTCTTGATATACTATTTACAAGCACGCGCACAATTATGATTGCAAGGCATCGACTATGTAATTCGGCGCACCCGGGATTGTCGATTTTTTAAACCAACAAAGCTAAACAATCCCAGGTTTGCCGTTTGTTCAGAGAATTGCGACGGAAATGCAAACAATCATAAGATGACCAAAGAATTTGCAGGAGCTTATTAGTGGCGCCCTTCACTTGGAAATACGAGTTCAAGCGGTTCGGCTTTGGTATTATTGCGGCGACTGATGGAGTGCAAAATTCTGACGTTTTTGATCCGAACCGCCTAAACCCAGCAAACCCATAGACTTTGACACTAAATATGATCAAATACAGATGTGCATACAATACTTTGTGCTGACCACAACACGATTATCGAAAAGTGGCTTGTGATTAGTGGCAATTCACCTTTTTTTTCCTATCACATAAGCGGAGGCCTTTTTTTCTCAATTGACAGAAATACCGAAGTTTGCGGATAAAATTGATCTAGCTTCAGCAACTTTGAGCCGCCTAACAGCTCAATTAGGGGAGATACAGCAGGTACCTCTAATCAATCAAATTGCCACTAATCATCCACTCGCGCGGGTTGCCCGAATAGGTTACTATACGAATATGAGGGGAAATGTGGAACCGGATGATGCTTCGGAACGCTTCGACGACCACGAGGGGAACGGGGAATCGCTAGAAAATCGTTACCCAATAGTCGGGCAATGGAGAAAAGTGAAAAATAGACTTTATAACTAATCAACAACCCTCCGGCGTACACGTGTGCGGCTAGAAGAGGAAGGAGAAAGAGTACCCATGTTGAAGGAGAGGACCAGAATGGACAGTGGGAGAGCAACCGATTAAAGGGATCATGCGAAAACAGGACGATGGAAAAAAACTGCAGCAAATTTTACGCGAGATCCGTTTAACGGGATTGCGGGACGGGGACCTCTTGATCACAATATGTCGGCGAGGGGAAAGTGTCAATTCAGAGTACAAGACGGGGGTGGCGGTATTGTCATTCGGGTAAATGAATGCATGAGCGCGCTAGTTCATTCGCTAGTATAAATTAAGGGTGGACGTGAAATCGTCACGCAACAAATTGGATGTTGAGAGGGACATCACCAGACTTGGGCGGGAAGATGCTGGTTATTCCGGCTCAGAATTGAGCGCACGTCAGTTGTAAACCTGCAAAACGAAGAAATAGAAGAATAAAGTAAATGAAATGCTAGTAAAGCTACGGTGACTAGAAAATGTAGCTTCCAAACGGCAGGAGTTGCAGCGTAACTTTGTAGTATAATAAAGCATAAAAATTAAGCAAAACCAAGTTCTAAAACGGCGCAATTAGTATTCTAAGTTACCAGAAGAGCGTACTTGAATAGCTATTTTAGAGGCCAAATACTTAAAATTTATCTGCATGATTCTAGGCGTGCGAACGGCCCGAAAATTGCGAACTACAAAAGCTGCACGCGATCAATTTAGAGTTTTAAATTATGTATCTAAAGCCTCACCTGAGACAATCCAAAAATGGCAACAGTGCTAACAATGCCGTGTCAGACGGATCGCTGAACCACGACGGGATCGGGATCGCGTTTTCTAAAAATCGTTTGTGAAATCCGGCAAAAATCACTTACGAGGAAAGTTTCGGTAGGCTCCCGGCGAGTTGTCGAGTATGAAGATTGACGAAAGATCCGAATGAATGGCCGACAGATCTTTCGTGTAGCCGCCGTAGTCCATCGTGCAATGTTGACGGAAGTATCTGAAAAATATCAATGTAAGCCAAAATTTGGCAACATGGGCCAAGACAAAGAAAAATAGGATTACCTCCGCTTGAAAAGTCCGCGCCCATTGTCGAGCCGGTCGGCCACGTGGCTTCCGTAGACTTCCATGGAGGCTGTGAAGACGACCAGATCAAACCAATTGCTCACAACCTGAAAATGAATGATAGCATTCTGTGTAAAAAAAAACGTGAAAAATGGCAAACGTTACAAACCTGCAGGAAATAGTCAACGTGCGGCCTCGTGTGGACCGAGAAACGAACGGGATGGCGGTCAATCGTCACACGAATCGTAAAATCAGGCGGAGTCCCAGGCTTCACCATTGGCCGGATGACGCCGTCGTGATGTGAGTGTATCAACGTCTCGTCCAAGTCGAGCACCAGAATTTTTCGCCGAACAAGTGCTAAAAACCTTTTTGCTAAAAAATAATTGAAAAATAACATACACAATCGCTGGTCCATAAATGGAGACAACGGCACTTCCCGGTAGCGAACGACTTGGTGTTTCGCGTACTGAAAAATACGAGAGTTTTAATTTTAATGCAATAAAACATACCACGCGATGCGTTCGTCTCAGGTTGAAAAGGAGAAAGTTGAAACATGCCAACAACAGTTCGTAAAATTTGTAGAACCAGGCTTGAAACCGGGGCTTGTTGTGTTGGTGCGCTGCCTAAGATCACGGATGACAATAAAACAAAAAAAAACGCTTACCATTTTACCGTTATTCAATTCCGGACGTCGGGCCGCGAACATCACCAGGCCATAAAGCAAAATGCGAACCGGATTTGTACGAACTCTGGCCTAATACCTGAAATGTTCATTTTCAAACCTGATTTCGGTTTTATAAAAAGTAATAGAAAAAATCAAAGAATTCAAGCAGAACGGAATTGCGCAACGGGACAATTTAACCTCGTAATCTGAGTGTGGCGCATGGGGCGATTCAAAGGCATTCCAGGTGCCAGACGTTGCTTGCCGCCCAGCCGTTAGCCGGCCATACTATGTCGATAGCAATCCCGCGGCCTGGGCCAACAAATTAGACCCCCCAGAAATAAAGCAAGCCGGAAAAGTATCAGCTAAAGTGAATAACGCCCTTTCCAATAGGCATTTTTCTGGGTGTTTAATAGATGAGAGCGCAATCCGGGCTCCCCAAAACCGGCCCGACTTCCCCCCAATGCCCGACATATACCATGCATGGTTCTTCAAGTGCCAAAGTGCCAAGACACCAACGCGAATACCAACAACGTTTTATTCCCTATAAAAAGTTGCAGCACAAAGAGAAAGGATAACAATTGAAAAATTCCTAGCAGGGTAAGCTGTGGCGCGGGGAGAGAAAGCCAGTGCGGGACCAGAGTGCATCACAGGAAAATGGAATATTAGAGAGAGGGTCGGAAATCATAATGAACCCCGCATCAGTGTTCAAAGGAAGGGGGAAATCTCGAGCTAGCCAAAAGAGATCAGTTAGTGGGGGAAATACAAATGGAGCATTTGGCAACGTGATAGGATCACACTCGTTCGCACTCTGTTTTGGCATGGGATATGTGTTTGTGTCCTAGAGTTTGTGCAAAAGGGCTGATATACAAAAGAAATGTAGAAAGTTGTGGAGAACTAGAGTTGTTTCCGTCGTCGTCGTGCGGCACTCCAGCTCGCTGCCCCGCAGCAAACGAAGTTGTAGACGATCAGGATGCCTGTTGCTGACGCGTCGTCGACATCGCTGGTTTTCGTAGACATATTCACGATACCTACGTTTATTTTCAAAGGCACCAAAAATAAAAAATACCAGTCAACACATTTCCAAGTAAAAAGAATGCGATTCCGGCCTTATTCACGGCTGTCAGTAGGCAGGGTTGTACGCCGCTCCAAGGTTTTTCATCTAAAAAAATTTTGAACTTCAGTTTCGCAAATTACCTGTCCCAAAATGAGGCATATTTGCCGCCCAGCCGGTCAGCGCCACCATCTGTACGGATAGACAAAGGCCTAATGAGTAGGTGAGGATGCAGAGCTGAAAAATACGATAAAACTTGACGTCTTTGGGCCTGCCAACCTGTGAAAAAATGTATGGCAAATTCGTGATTCGACGCGACGGCAATCCAAAGGCCATCTCGGAGCCCTTTTGTAGAAAGAAGAACATCACGGCAAACAGGTAGAGCCACAAATTGCACTGCAGCCAGTTGCGGATGCGACACCTAAATTTGATTTGAGAAGATCAAGTGAAGCGAACCCGGTGGTCGTGATGAATTTCCCGATGCTGCTCGCAAAATAATAGAGCGCGATGTAGCCCATCAGGGAGCAAATTCCTTCACGATTGGCTGATATTAGCGTATCGCGAGGTTCATTGTCAGCCAGAATCCATTCCTAAAGAGCCGATAAAAACATCTATCTTTCATGCTTCGTACCTCGTTGCCGAGACCCAGCAAAAGTTGGTGCAGAGCGGAGAACAGGACGGCGATCAGCAAATGCCATCGTTTTCCGAGGAATCGGCTGACAACCTGAACCATTTTAGATTGAAAATTATCGCAAAATTAACCTGAATCACGAAGAATGTGTAGAAAAAGTTCCAATGAACACCGTATTCGCTCACAGACTCTTGGTATTCTAGTGCCTAAAAGTTTAAATTTAAATAGCACCGCTTCATAAGCTACCTTCAAAATAAAGGTACGCCCCAGTCCTAGATAAATCAACACGGCCGTCGATGACGTGAGGAGCTGACGGAATCGCCTGAAATCGGGATAAGTAATACAAAATCAAATTTACCCTCCATATCGCTCCTCTCGTTCCTTCATCCCTTGTGTTTTTACCTGCCGTGAAATCGCCAGCATATAAACGAAGGCCGCGACACCCACGTCCATCACACTGTGGCCAGTCAGCGTGGTTTTAGCATATCCAAAATTAACTTTAATTAAACGGACAAGTTTTACCTTCTAGGGAAAACGCGAAAATCAACGGCGAGTATGGCGATGCCTGTCAATACCAGTACCATGGCTCTAAATTTTGCAATCGCAAAAAAGCGTCGATTATACCTAAAGTAAGTCACAAATGTCGTCGGCTGGTGGTGCTCTTCGATGATTTTTTGAGAAAGCCCCTAAAATTTTGCTGATGCAAAACATGAAAAGACACCTTCACCGGTGGCCGATCCTTGCTAAATAAGCTGAATTCCAATAGAACAAATAGTAGAAGCATAAATATACACAACTAAAGTAATTTTACGAAATTGCTAACAAAAACTCACCAATAACAGCAAGAGCATAAATAAAACACTATTCGCAAAAAAGCTTTGCGCGAGCAGCGTCGGCACAACCACGACCAGAAAATCGAGGAAAAATTTTAACCTAAAAGGGATCACCGGATACAAAAAAACTGAGAGTTACCCGAAACCCCAATCATCTGATGAAAAACGTTGTCCAAGGAAAATCCAAGGCAGCGCCAAATTTCGTAACAATATGGCTAGGGGAGCCACGGATAAAACAAGAAAGACCTAAATTATTGATAAATCGGAACTCAAAGGAAACTATCAAACCTCGTACTGTTCGCACCCGCGATCATTACTGTAAAAACTCTCCCCTTCAGGCATCAGTAGCACATCAGTTGCCTAAATAAATTATAGCAGGACCAGACAGCGTTTGCAGAAATTAAGTCATGGTTGCTGAAAACCAATCGAAACAAAATGCAGGATACAATGAGTAAGAAAAATAAATATTTATGCACAAGTTCAGAAAACCCGTAAATGCCGAACGGCTGAGCACCAGAATCACAAAATGGCAAGATAGAAAGTGCAAGTAGGGGAGATCCTGTAATCACAAAGGTGGGCAAGAAAATCATAGCTCATGGGATAGAAGAAGCATTGTCCCGCTTGCAGCACTCGCTTGGAAGGGCAGACCAGTCGTAGACGTAAGAAGGACGGGAGCGGAATTCGCGCGTACAAAGCACCTAAATCAAGTTCCTACCGACTTCATGACATCCCTGACCTTTTTTTCCAGCAAATTCTGATACAACTCTTGCATCTGGTCACCGCTCTTTTTGTGCGTGATGATGTACTGGTTGTTACATCCTCGAGATCTAGAAGTGACTTTTTGGAAATTGCAAGACAGCCACTCACGTCCATTCGGTGTCAAATCTGGGATCGTGTAGATACTTGATATCAAGCCCAGCGAGCCAGGCACCAACACTGACGTCCTCATTTCTGAAGCATTTTTTTTCGGAACAGTCTCCACCTTACTTGTACAGTTTGAAAAGCCGGGCATTTGTCGCCAGGAAGCGCACCAATTCATACGAAAGCACATATCCGCCGCCGAGCTGAACAAATAGGAACAATTATTGAATTATGGGACGGGAAACCTGGTAAGGCAAATAACGATCGCAGAGGTTCCAATCGGTCTCCCTCCACTTTCCTTTGCGGATCGGCTTCGCACGTCCATCCAAGAATCCCCAATATAACCTAGTAATTCGGTAAAGTCTTATTGATTATCGAGCTCTACCTGGGATGGTTGATGTCCTTCAGAGATTTTATGACGGTTCCCACACGGACGAATGAATCGCTATCAACCTAAATCTTTTTATAAATACAGAGAAGAAACTCGCACCTTTAAAAGATAACTGAATTTATAGTTTTGAAAAGCGTATTCCATGGTTTGAAGCGTTTTCTTGGCCAGGTTTACTAAAAGAAATTCAGGGTAAATTAGCAGAAAGTACCGTAATCTTCGTATAAATTCCCGATCAGCGCCAGGTCGCCATGATTTAACTGCTCTTCGGAAAGCGCGGTCAGTTCGTTGGTGCTAAATGATCAAAGTTAATATTTCCCAATCTTTATGGAACCTCAGACCCTTGATGCCAATCGGAAACACGTGGCGTACGACGTCAGGGCCCTTCATGGTAAGTTTTAACCAGGTCTGGCGAATTATCTGAAAAAAGAAATAGAAACAGCCGATAAATCTACCTCTCGATCGGCAGTTTGATTGGGCGATGACATGATTGCCATTAGCAGGAATGTTGCCGGCAACTCGCGTGTAGTTGTTCCAAGGTGCGCTAAATTTGGAATGACTGGAAGCAGCAACCAAAACTACCATCTTGCCGCAGCTTGGCGGATTGGGTTTGTTCGAAATCCTCGCATGTGCATTTCCAGACAACAACCAGGGTACAAATTGTGCAAAGTCCGGCCGCGGCTAGTAGGTAGGTTCTAAGGAGTTGAGCCGTAGAGGGCATCGCGCCATAAACCCTAGAATGTTTCTATCATGACGGGCACCCCAGCTTGATGACGCAGAAACAATATATTGCGCGGCAGGAAATCAAAGTACCAAAACAACATTTGGCAAAGGTATTCCAGTGAAAAATACCGACAAGGTTCTGGATTAACGGTTTATTCATAAATGTCTTCGGATCACAATTCATGGTAACGTAATATTCGAGTAATGCTAACAAGGAACGATAGGTGCAGTTGGGTGCAGGGTGACTATCCGTTGAGAGGGCACAAGTTTTATCACATTGACGAAGAAACGCCGCTGAAACAAAATGTGGGGAGCGTCACACGGCCTTTCAGAGCGCGCACGAGAGGGGTGGTCGGGGCGTGGTGTAGTGGTCTAAGGCGGCGGTTCAGCCCCGGGACAGGGGACGCGGGTTCGGTTCCCGGGTTCGCAGGCCTCCGCATTTTCGTTTTGCTTTTTTGCGGAAAATGTTCCTAGTGGAATGCCATGACTCTAGTCGAATCAAGAAGCATCCTATCACTTTCTTTCGCGCAGAATGGATGAAGAAAAACAGCGGACTCATGCATATATCCAAAATCGACCGCTGTTAAAATCACAACGCTACGACGTTCTAAAACTGGTTGCGGCAGATAGAGCGAAGTTTGTTCTGTGTTCCTAGCTTTCAAGCAGATTCCACACCAACCAGGAAAACGTACTATAGTCAGTTGAAAATTTTAACTAACTTTCTATTGCAGCGTGATGTAGATGTCAAGGTGATGCGATTTTGCACTTTATTGGATAGTTGCTAGTCTATAGTTTATCAAAAAATGCAATTGAGGCGCTATGGACAAACATTTAGCTTCCCTATGATGCCCGTTGTCTTAGGTACCTCATTTTTTTCAACTTCAAACCGACCGGGCGCCCGATTGCCGTGTACGATTTTCAGGAAACATTGACCAAAAGATAGAGCAGAAGCTGTTCTATTTTTCTGTACACTCAAGTAGATTATGAAATCTTCTCAGAAAAAAGTTATAGCCAGTTGAAAGTGGAAAAGATAGCACCCCTTAGCTTAACAATGCATTACGCGAGGGGTATTGGAGCGCCCCGTAGCCTAGCCCCTTCGCCCCCTCTCGTGCGCGTTTTTATTAAAGGATGAATCGTAGTGGTCAGGAGAGTATGGAAAAAGAATAGCTATTTCCAACTAAACTTCCAAAAAAACTCACCAGGAAAGGGGAATCTAAACAACACAGCCGTTTTGTACAGGGGAGCAGGGGCTGGATGAATACATCAAGCTAGAAGCACAAGAAGCACAGTCGGGATGCCAGAAGTAGGACCCCTAGAAGACGAGGATCATTCTGTCATAGCAATCACTGGATAGATAAATTATGAAAGTCAGTCAAAGGGAGCTAGACCCAGTGGAAAAACGTTATTTTCTAGGACAACAAAAGGTTGGAAAATGAAAGCGTTAAATCAACATCTCTTGGGCAAGTCATGCAGAATGAGAGGCGGAAACTCTCGTTTGGAGCTTCATTTCGTGACTGGACAATTAGATTATTCAGTGGCCAACGAGGAAAAGAAACATACATTCACGCTAAGATTGATAATAGGGATCTTGGTCTTGGGCACTCAGTACAACCCATCTAACTGCAAACGCAAGCGCCACGACGCCTGCAATAACAATCAAGTTTGACACCAGTGAGGATAGTCCCGATGATGGGGTGCGATCCCTAAAAAGGTTTTAGCGTTCGGGCACAGAAAGATCCCGAAATAAAATAAAAATTTTGAACCTTCTGCGCTCCTCCTCTTCGCGTAGGCTCTCCTCTTCTTGTGGGCCGTGGTCGGCGAGCTCCTTCCTGTGCTCCTCGACGAGGTTCGTGAACAGATCGCAGTAGACGCGGTCCTGAGGCACACCATTTTTCCTACAAGTGACTGAGTATACCTTTAAATTGAACGATTTGCTCCTCTTTGCCAGGAGACGCTTCTCGGCGTCCGAGGTGATGATGCTGCCCAAGGTAGGCGCCGTCTCATTCATGAAAGACATTAAACCTACAAAAATATTTAGTTTTTGAAACAATATATACCAGTGATGATTGTGCCAACTGTCCAGGCAGGATTCCAGGTATCTGGGTGGAAGTCAGAGATGGACAGGCAAAGACTGAACAGTTATGTATAAAAAGGAGAAACCGATTCGAATACCGTGTATTCGTTTGGAAGCGCCCGTTCGGGGTCAGCATGATGATCGCCGGCGGCTTGAAGGGGAAATCAGCTGGGAAAATCAGCTTCCCGTGATAGACGCCGCCTAGAAGTGGACAGTTTTGGAATTATTAGTGACCCAAACCTTCGAACGGAGTGCTCGGTGCTCCGAAAATCACGTAGCGCCATTCGAGAATGTTAGAGGAGACGGGGTGCGCCTGCATCAACGGGACCGGCTCCTAAACCTGGCATTCGGGATTCGAAAAGATACCGACCTTAAGCAGCTTCTGATAGTCCTTCTTCAAGCGCTGGGTAGCCGTCACACTCGGCGCCATCTGGATTAAAAATTCGAATAGAAAAGGAGCAAGGCTGATGTAAAAAAGATATCAACATCGATTCAACGACGGTGGAACTATCGAAGTTTTCGCCAACGTGTTTATTCCGAACGAATCAAACAATTATGCGTCCAACAGAAAACAAACAAACCGTAAACTCAGGCGAGGAGCAGCCGACTGAGTGAATGGGGGCGTAAAGCGATGGAATATTGAAAGTGTACTCGTATCCAAATCCATTAGAGTGAATCGAACAATGTGATGTGGCGCATTTTCAGGTGTCAAAAGCTCAAATACAAATTTCTGGTGGTGTGGCGCCTCACCCGTGGCATGAGGATCTACAAGAAAGCTAGCGATCGCCTCCTATTCTGGACCAGAGAGTGGTGAAAACCGGGAATAAGTGCATAGAAATCTTTACAAATGATGAAATGCATCACAAATGGACCAGAGAGATAATGGAATGGGCCTATGATTATGTTCATTGAGCGCGGCCACGCTTATTTTCGACGACATTCAACAGGCCGTCCTAAAAGGGAATAGTGGCGGGTCAAAATAAAACCCGTGAAAACCTTCACGGGTGTTAATAGAAAAAAAAAGTTATTTTAGCGTTAGCGTCAAGACAGTGCGAGAGTCTTTGCGACCAGGACGACTACTGCCCTACCGCAGCATGATTGCGCTTCTTCACGTTTTCTGCTTTGTCCTCCACCTCTGCCGTCGAGGGAATGGGCTCATCATCACCGCAGCCGAGGTCGGCCAGGTCCCCGAACCCGGGGAACAACCGACAAAATGTCGGGTTCTAAAAAATCATGGAAAACTTTTGACGAATCCAACCTTGTTATTATACGCATGACTTTCAATCGCCATCTTCTCTCGAACTTCATTCGACGGAGGGGGATGAACGACGCCAGCAGCAAAATCTTCGTCATTCATAAAGCTGAGCAGGCCAAGCTAAAGCGGAGTTCGAACTGAATTCTTGCAAGTGTTTACCAAAATGGACCCAGCCGACCAGCCCGGGTTCCAGGTCTCGGGGTGATAGTCGGAGATCGACAGGCAAAGTCTAAAAAAAAGTTTAAAGAAAATCGAAGACTACATGCCGCATGCCCGGGACAAAACGGCCACTCGGAGTGTCCATGTAGATCGCTGGGGGCTTCCACGGGAATTCCGGCGGGAAAATGATTCGGCCATGGTATGCGCCGCCTATAAAACTCGAATATGGAGTGAAAGACTATACGTACCAAAGTAGGGCGTGTTAGGCGCGCCCATCATCACGTAATGCCATACCAAAATGTTTTCTGGTAGCGGCGCGACCACGATGCCCTCAACAGGGGACTGAAAAAAAGTCTAGAAAAGTCGATAAATCCCCACCTCGATTAACTTTTGCAAATCCTTTTGTAGCCGCCGCACGGCCATGGCTGAAATCTGTAACGGGTGGTCAAAATTAATTCTGGGGCCTCGAGCTCATTCCAATAGTTCAACCGGTCATGGACCGTTAGTCGGGGCCGATAGTCGTCATAAAAAATAGCTTTTATCGAGAAAAACACACAACCGGAAAAGACCAAGTCAAAATCTCTATACAGATAGCAGAAAAGAGCACACACAAAGAAAATATTAAAAACTACAGAATAAATACTATAGGGATGAGAATGCAGTTGACGACGAGATCCCAGAGAGCAACTCAAAAGTCCCTAAACATCGGCATAGTAAATTTCAAAGAAAACTTACAGTAAATTCATCTGGTTCCCTTGATTCATGGCCGGGCCTGAAGAGGCTGGAGGGGCGGCTATGCCACCGGTGGGTTGCCCTCAGGGTTCGATTTGATGGGAAAAAAACCCAAGACCACCTCCAGAAGGACCGACCACCTCCAGAGGGCCGCGAAGCGGCCGAAAATTTTTTTGACATTTTCTATCTGATATTTGGTATTTAAAGGAACTACCGGTATTTTTGAAATTTTGAATAAATGTTGTTTATTTGTTAATATACCACGCGGCAGTCAAAGCAACTCCGGAAAAATGAAATGGCGACAGGAGGCAGAAGAAGAAATTCCCTAAAAAGTCACTCTTGCTATATTCACAACGAATTCTTTGAGAACGGATTGACTTTTCCGGTCAGAGCTTTCCGGAAGCTGCACGGACGAATTTCTTACCTACATTAATCAATGCGTCATCCTCTTCCGCATCTGTTGATACCACTCACTAAATCCATAAGGTTCGTTTGACAACCTCCTCTCCACGATTTATGCAAATTGCAGGCAAAAACCCACATTTCCGGCCATAGTTTTCCGGAACCGGCACGGATCCTCTTCTAGCCTACACCAATCGACGCGTCTCATCCTTGCGCATCTGGTAACACCCAGAAAAAGCCAGGGAAAGTTGGTTTGACAACCTCCAGGCCGTGATTTATGCAAATTTCAGGCAAAAAACGCACATTTCCGGTCACTATTTTCCGGAACCGGCACGGATCCACTTCTAACCCACACCAATCGACGCGTCTCGTCCTTTCGCATCTGGTGATACCCATGAAAAGCCATGAAAACTTTGTTTGACAACCTCCAACCCCTGATTTATGCAAATTTCAGGCAAAAAACGCACATTTCCGGCCATAGTTTTCCGGAACCGGCGCGGATCCTCTTCTAACCTACACCAATCGACGGGTCTCATCCTTGCGGATCTGGTGATATGACTCACTAAGCATGGGAAGGTGTTTAGACAACCTCCAGACCGTATTTTTTGTTTTGACCCAGCCGGAAACACCCCGGTTTTGGAGAAAAATTTTCCACCCTCAATCATGTTTTTCACTTCCCCCTGAAGAGCTAGGGCGGGTCTGACCACCTCCCTTGGTAGAGGAGCCTAAGCGGCTTCTACCCTGAAAGTTTGGTCCGATTCGCTCCGGTAGGAAAAAATGAAAATAGAAACAATTTTTTCCTAACTGGGAAAAAATTGGGTTTTGCTGTTTTTTCCGCGCCACAAAAACTGAGGTTTCTCCCGATTCCGGGGTTTTCATGTTTCGTATAGGACCTCATTCGATAGCTTAAAGAATTCTCTATCTAACTATGCGGGTTTGCTCGCCGAAAAAGCACGATAAACCACCTAATTAATTGAAAAACCCACTGGGTTTTAATTGGGTTATAAATTATTTCGACAAATAGGGTGTATACCCCCTTAAGTATCGATCTGAATGGCTTTTTATGGGTATCACCGGATGCGGAAGGATGAGACGCGTCGATTGGTGTAGGTTAGGTCCGTGCCGGTTCCGGAAAACTATGGCCAAAAAGGTGCGTTTTTTGCCTGAAATTTGCATAAATCAGGGGTTGGAGGTTGTCAGACAAAGTTTTCATGGCTTTTCATGGGTGTTACCAGATGCGCAAGGATGAGACGCGTCGATTGGTGTGGGTTAGAAGTTGATCCGTGCCGGTTCCGGAAAACGGTGGCCGGAAAGGTGTGGTTTTTGACTGAAATTTGCATAAATCAGGGGTTGGAGGTTGTCGGACAAAGATTTCATGGCTTTTTCTGGGTGTTACCAGATGCGCAAGGATGAGACGCGTCGATTGGTGTAGGCTAGAAGAGGATCCGTGCCGGTTCCGGAAAACTATGGCCGGAAATGTGGGTTTTTGCCTGCAATTTGCATAAATCGTGGAGAGGAGGTTGTCAAACGAACCTTATGGATTTAGTGAGTGGTATCAACAGATGCGGAAGAGGATGACGCATTGATTAATGTAGGTAAGAAATTCGTCCGTGCAGCTTCCGGAAAGCTCTGACCGGAAAAGTCAATCCGTTCTCAAAGAATTCGTTGTGAATATAGCAAGAGTGACTTTTTAGGGAATTTCTTCTTCTGCCTCCTGTCGCCATTTCATTTTTCCGGAGTTGCTTTGACTGCCGCGTGGTATATTAACAAATAAACAACATTTATTCAAAATATTTATTTCAAGACAAAAAAATCAACGCACAATAATGTGTCCGGAAAACTTCAAAGATACTGCTGGTTCCGCTAAATATTAGATTTCTTATTTTACAAACAGGTGCTGGTTGCGAGAAATAATTTCCCTTTCATAGTTTCCTGGGTTCCCTCTGCCATATATATGTCATAGGGAACCGGCCGCGAAGCGGCCGCCAAAAATTTTACACCTTTTTTTGACCACCTCCGGACTAAATGACCACCTCCAGGCCCCCACCCCCAAATTTACCCAATCAAATCGAACCCTGGTTGCCCTGGAAATTTATAGCCATTGTGGACGATGTCTTCAAAATAAGAAAAAACTTAATTGAAAAACTACCTCTGGGCCGGGTCTGTTGGCCAGGGCCGGGAGGCGGCGGCAGCAGAGGAAATCCACCACCAGCTCCTGCAGCTGGTTTCGGTCGTGAAGTGGAGCTAGCACCGCCATCTCGCTTTTTCTGAAAAAACATGCCATAAAAAATAAACAATGCTAGGGCCAAGCTCAGCGTAAAAAGTAGTCTGTCCCACGGCTTAAACTACTCTGACTCCTATCCACTTACGGAAGCCGAGCCCTGTAACGTGAGTTTTTGCTCTTGCACAGTTTCTGGACGATGAGATCAAGGACCTGAGCCTCATCGTGAAAACGTTGTGCCAGTGGCAGGGATCGAACCCGATTATTGAAATCAACAGGTGGTCGCACTACCAATATACCACATCTGCGCCGTGACTCACCCCAATATTGATAGTGATGGTCTGCCCTTCTTTGAATCCCAGGTCGAGCTGCGGGCCTGGCTGCGAGCTCTGTTGTTCGATTTCGGCCGCTTTTTCGAGGTATTTAAAATGATCCTAAACTCAAAAGTTTAAACGCTATCGAATAGAAGCTAACCTGCAGGGCAACGTTAAAATCAAAGGAATCTCCACGATCCGCAAATCCTAAGCCAACATTCGCCGTTTGCCCATTCTCGTTCACCAATCGGATAACGAAATATCTAAATTGAGGGTCAGTCAAATTGGGGAAGGGGACCTTGACGAATCGGAAACGGATTCAACTCCCACTCCTGGGTAGCTTTCAACCGGCGCCTTCGCGTATAATTGGCCTGGAGAAGATTTTTTTAGGCGACGCGTGGATTTCACTTACCGCTTCCCTTATCCTCCAGCCGTAATTCAAGCTTCTTTCCTATCGCGACAAGGCGTAGACGTCCCGTCCAGTCGGGGGTGTCGAGATTCCAGTCAGCCGCCCTAAATTAAACCGTATTTAATCGAATTCCAGTAATTTACTTGTGTCCCTTGTTTGTGCTGAGCGGCGGGATTCTGTAGATGAACACTTCTGGCTTGACGAGCGAGACGCTCTCATACTCGGACATCTAAACACGGGTAATCAGTTCATTCGTGCCCCATGTGACGATACGGTAACAAAAAGTTCATAGTCGATAGCAGACCTGGTATGACGTCGGGAAAAGAGGGCCGAGACGATGGCAGTCGGTCTGGTCACAGTGAAGCATTGTGCAGGGGCGCCGGCCGTCTCCCACTCACAGCGGGTACACCCCTAGTTAAAACTGCAAGTGGGGATTGCCGAAGGTAACCTGAAAATACATACAAACAAACAGGGGCACTCGTTTCACTGGTAAGCTTACGGAAGGCAAAAAAATTGCTAGAATCACCGGGACCATGAATTTTGCGCAACGAATTTTGCGCAACTCGGGGAAAACGAATTTTGCGCAACACGCGAATTTTGAGCAACTCCCACAAAACGAATTTTGCGCAACTTTTGGTGAAAAAAATATAAAAGGCTTACAAATATGGTTTTTTCATTGCGTTTCGCTGCCGATACAATAAATGAAGGAATGTAAGAGCTAATTGAAGCAAATTTTCAGTTCCGGCGTGCCGAAAGAATTCGCGGGGGGAAACCTTTTTTCTGTTTTTTTTTCGGGCACTTTTTTTCTGTTGGCCCTGGTGGGCATATTAATCAAATATAAAGTGTTTTCACATTGTTTTTAGCAAAACTTAAGCCTATTTGAATCGGAAAAGCTTTTTAAAAGGTTAGAAAATCGCTTGAAAAAGTCGAAAATTTGGTCATTTTTGGGCCGAAAAAATCGATTTTTCTACCTAAAATTAAATTTTTTAATTAAATTTTGTAAAGTTTTTATGTTTAGAAATAGCTATAAACAATTTAGAAACACTTCCACTATTGATATAAAAAATCTAGGCTTAGGCCAAAAAAAGTTCAGTTTCCCCCGGAATACTCAAGAACCCGGCAGTGTAGTTTTCTTGATCAAGAACGACCTTAGAACAACTATTGAGGCGTTCTAATAGTTCATTTTCACAGAAAACAGGTTCAAATCACGAAAACCAGCGGCCATGCGAAAATCCACGAGATAACCATTATTCAACACGCTAGTGTTGGAAATTTTCTTCGATTAGCTCTTACATTCCTTCGTTTATTGTATCGGCAGCGAAAAGCAATGAAAAAACCATATTTGTAAGCCTTTTATATTTTTTTTCACCAAAAGTTGCGCAAAATTCGTTTTGTGGGAGTTGCTCAAAATTCGCGTGTTGCGCAAAATTCGTTTTCCCCGAGTTGCGCAAAATTCGTTGCGCAAAATTCATGGTCCCGAATCACCGCATCTCATGCCAGGCCAGCAATGACGACATATAATTCCGGGCGCTTTCGAGCAAAAATACTAAGGGGAAAATCTTTGATAGCTTATAACTTTTTATTAAGATACTAACTCCAAAAAGTGGATTTCCAGAGTTGTAGATAAGAATGGGCTCTTTCGAATGTGACTAAATAGAAAAAAAACTGAGTTCAAAAACTAGTTGCACCAGGGCTGTGAAGTTTCGGTTTAAGACTAGAGTTGGTTCAAACCAGGTAAAAGTAAAAGTTGATGGAAAAATTTTTGTTTAGTGTGGCGAGAAAAAAGCAGAGGGGCAACATGGAAAGCACACCCTCGCACACCCTCGGTACACCCTCTGGAAAGGACACCCTCTGTAAAAGACACCCTCTGAAAGGACACCCCCGCGGCACAGTTCCTTGGGAAAGACATCCTCGCAAGTTTATTTGAATTTATTAATTCTGAAATCAGATAATACCCCTTAATAATTAACTTTCTGATTATGATGTACCTCAAATAACTAAATAACCTTTCTTACACCGGGTTTGACCTAAAAATAAGGCTTCGTGCCACCCGAGGCCTAGTCGCTTGGGATCGGCGCGAGCTCGTACAGGGTTTCGATACTGGGGCGCACGAGGAGCGCGAAGCGCCCAGGCTCTGAAACACTTAGCTCTAGCTCCGAAAGGCCGTGGCCAATCCGAAGCGACTAGGCCCTGGGTGGCACGAAGCCTTATTTTAGGCTCAAATCGGGTGTAAGCAGACACAAAACATGGCTGCAACAAAAACGGGACGAAGCCATTGTGGCCATCCAAGGTATTTCTTAAAGTTAAATTCTTATAATTTCTATGTTTAGAGCTGACCGTCCGGAACTGTCCAAAAGTATGGAAATGCCGGTGAAGGTGCAAGAGGTGCAGAGGGTGTACGTTGAAGGTGAAGGCATCGTGTGGGAAAAACTGGGCAGCGAAGAAGTAAGCTAATTACTAGCCAACCGTCTTCATCCCGTGAATTCGATGCACTTCTTTTTTCTTATAGGTGCGAAACCGTGCGATGCCGGGTATCAGCGTGGTGAAGAAGTGGTTGTGGGTAGCGAATGATTGCGGTGCAGGTCAGTCATTGCGATTCATTGCATTAAAGAAATTATTATAGTCGGTAAAGGTTAATCGGTTCTTGTGCCTTAGCGGGGGAGAGGCTCCCATGGCCTTTTGGTGAGCGGGGGTCTAATATGAGCCACCATCCCCCCGCTAACCAACCAGAACCGGTTATTTTAAAGAATGATTTCGGCTTTGGACGATTCTATATTTGATTCTTTTCTTTTTTTTTAGAAAGGGAAAACGCTGGAAAGGCCTGGTCCAAGAACTGTCTCCAGATCTGGACAATCGACCAAAGACTGTGCAAACGCCTGCCGCCTACGATTGGTTTCACCTGAAAGGTAAGATTGCAAGGTTTGCAAAATATTCGTTTGAAAAAATTTTTGTCTAGAATATATTCATCTTATTTCATTTTAATAACGATTTTTGTAATTTGGCTGAATTGCACGGTACAGATCGGATTAAGGGGGGAGGGGAAGGGGAGGGGAATAACGGGGCGCTCAAAGTTTTGTTTATGATAAAAATTGTTTTAAACATTGCTTTTTGGGCTATAAAAAGCTCTTAGTATATGTTTTGGTCCCCTATTTAATAGCATTTTCAACATATCGAAAGGATTCAAATACCAAAATAATGCCCCCCCCGTGGTCCTATTTTTTGCCATGGATTTTGATAGATTTTTATTTCTTTGATCAAAAACTTCCATAACATTAGTTCGGGCTGAAATTAATCCTCTTAGTATCTTATGCATACCAATTGCACGGTAGTGAGCCAGGTGGCGCGCGGGTGGGCGGGGGTGGAGGGGGGTGTAGCGGGGTAGCCCCAAGTCCAGACGCGTCACGGCTGGTATACAGACAAATAATTTGACCTATGATTCTCTAGGAAATGGTCATCTCTATGACGACACCGTGGACGCCTACTTCCACTTGTTGGCCAATAGCCAACAAGAGACGAAGTGCCACGTCCTCAAGTCCATTTACTGGCAGACAGAAATGTATTGTAAAATTTTCATAGCTGAGTAGTTTATTTTTAGGCTGGTGCCTGACCATCTGGATGATGTCGATGTGACATTCCTGTGGCCGGTGTGCGACAACGCCCACTGGTGGATGTATGAGGTGCATCCATCCCGGCAAGAGGTGACGGTCTGGGACTCTCTTTACGAGAAGGGACACCATTCCGTCTACCTGGAGCGATTCGAGACGGCACGCCAGCGATTGGACAAAGCCTGGCCCGGAAAGAACTGGCACGTGAGCTACGTCCAGGTCAGTAGATGCAGACGTTTACGGTATTCGGAATATACAAGAAATCGTAGTTTGACCATAACTAGCTGAACTCCTTGAAGTTGTTGACCCTCGAATGGTATGAGATTTTTTTAGAAAAAAGACCAAAACGACGGCAACAGCTGCGGAGTGTGGACCTGCATCTATGCAGATGCTCTGATTCGACGTTCACTTCCGTACGCCACCATGCAAGATATCCCGCAATGGAGAGAGCGACTGCTCTGGGAGCTCGTGATGGGCAGACGGGCTGACATGTCAGGTATTATCAATATTCAAAACTTTAACATTTTTTATTAAGAGCTGCTGCCAGTGCACGGAGAAGAAGGACGACCGATCGAGAAGATCCTGCTCGTTGTACCTGCTGAAGAAGAGGCGAGACCCCAGAAAAGAGGCGCAGCACCCCGGCGAAGCCGTTCTGCTTCAAACGAGCGCTCACCATCGAAAGCCGTCCCAAGGCGTCGCAAAGGTAGATATAATGATTCTGCGCTGTTAGCGGGGGGGGGGGGTTGGCATGGGGAAACAACTTTTTTTCCACCTATCATAATTAGATAATGTATTTTTATTTAGTGGTTTAGTAGTTTTTAATTGATAGCAAATTAGAAAAATATTAAATTTTGACCTTTTTGGTCGGTTTTCGTAAATTTTTGACCAAAAGTCAAAAATTCTCGAAAATATTATTTTTTATATTGTTTTATATCTAAAAACTATGTGAAATCGTATAAAAATGGTTTATAGTTTTTATAAGGCCGTAGAGAATCACGGGGAAAAATTTGGTTTCCCCGCTAAGAGTCCGCCCCCCCCCCCGCTAACAGTCCAGAACCGATATAATTACCTGTCTGCCATTTTTTTTTTGTTATTGGTCTCGAAAATTGTTATTGTTTAGGGAAGAAAAGCAATAAGGGAGCCCGGTCCACCGAAGCCAAACCGGCGAAGACAGCTAAGGTGGAAAGAGCCGAAGCGGAACCGAAGTCGGGACTGGCAACGAAAGAACAGAAGGTCGCGCCGCAGCCGCATTCAAATGTATGAATTGACCGGACAATTGATAGCTTCATTTAGCCCAACATCCTTCGAACCGAGGCAGGCGGGCGCATCGTCTTTGTCCCACACACCAACCAGCCTCCGATGCTGTCGATCATTTTCGGTAAGTCCATGCATTTGCCGATGCATTTTATGAATATCTTTTTGAAAGCATTTCTTCAGGGGCACAAAGCGAGTCGTCGGTCGGCCTGCACCACGTACTCGAGCATATGATGGTGCATCGCTCGAACCATCCGGATGGGAAGCAGAGCCATGAGCTGTTGGAGCATGTCCTGGCCAGGTAAAAAGGGGTGCACATGGGGAGAGGTGAGACTTACTTCAGGATAATAGGTTACGTGAAGCTCTGCTTAAGCTACATGGTTTTTGAACCTATGGTTATGCTTAGCTTGGCTCTTATCTAGATCCTGACAACGTGACCATTAAAAATTTAGTGTGGAAGGCCTGTAGGCAAAAGGCAATTCCGGGCATTACATGGGCACTGCATCATGCTGTTGAATCTTGTTTTTTAGGTGCGAGACTCGACTGATGGCGTCGACATACTACGAGGGTTTCACCGTGTATGATCTGTTTTCGGTAAGTTTTCAGCCCTCATATTAAATTGGTTGTGTTAAGACTCACGAGAAAGGCCTGCTCGAAATTCTCCAGCACTGGATTGGCCAATTACTGCGGCCGCCCGCCTTCTCCGAGGCTGATCTTGGGGGTCACGTCTACGAAGGAGTGGGCCGGCGTTCTCTACAATGAGTTGGAAGAAATGCGCCTAACCGGGGAGACCGGTCGACCGCACACGTAAGTTTTATGGCTGATTAATGTTGGGCAATAGCTTGACCGTGACTGTTTTCACTTTTTAAAGGGAACAGCTTTTTTCTCAGGGCGGCAGCCAAGCTACTTTTTGACCCGGACTTCAAGTTTGCTGAAGGCTCGGTTGGCGAGTCCCGTGATCTGGTGCAGGCGTCACTGAAGCGAAGCTTAGTCGACGAGGTCGGTCTGATCATGATAGTTTCTACTTCCCATGCATTTAGATCAAGCAACTCCATCAGTTCCACTACATCCCAGAGAACATGGCATTCTTGTTTGCAGGACAATACGATCAGCCAGCAGTGAAGACCAAGCTCGACGCCGTACGTAATAGATCCCACTACACAGAAAAAAAATAGTGCATATGTGTGTGTGCCACTTTGCATCCATCTTCCGTCAGGTTGTTCCAGTAGTATCTCAAGAAGGGGGTAGTCGGGGGTATGTAATATAGCTCATTATGTAATATAGCTCGTTACTTGCGTGATGGCATTGGGATGACTGCACACTAATAAAATTTTAAAAAATCATGTTTTCGAAGTGAAAATTAAATTTATATGGAAAAATCGAGTACCCTCTTTGTTTGGAAAATAAGCATACGCTGTAAGTGCCAGGGTTGAAAAGTCGCGAAGCGGCTTCTCAACCGTGGTTTTTGTGCTTAAATAAAAATTAGGTGAGACTACCGCGCCCACAGGAGTGGATATTACCCTGATTTCAGATACTGACACTGCATAAGAAGGCCATGCCACAAGAGGCGATCCTGCCCAAGTTCACGGCACAGTTCGATCCAGACAACGGGCTTGTCAAGCACACCGAAATCGAGGTTCCAGAGATGGAATTTCCCGTCGTTAACCGTACCTGGTGCGTTTAATGGACGTTATGGAGATTTCTTCGGTTCAGTCAATCCCGGCGAGACGGAGATCAACTCAGGCGACTTGGTGTGAAAGTCCTCGGCAAGGCGCTCGAAAACAAATTGGCGGAAGGTATTAATCAGTTGTTAAGAAAAGCCAAAATTAATTCTCAGATCTGAGCGTCAATGTCAAGCATGTGATCTTCCACATGGTGAATAAAAAAAACCGTTAATAAAAACATTTTTTTAGTTTCCGGGGCGTTTCAGTGTCACGGTGAACTGCGAGATTTTGGTCATTGATCAAGCGATTGCCGGGTAAACACACGAAACTATATGTAGCCTGTACTTAGTATAACGACGCTCCAGTGTCCCGATCAAAGCAGCATCTTGGAATGCGTTGAACAAGGCCTTTTTGACTATGACTTGCAGGTAATTAACGGTTTATATTGCAAAAAGTCGATCTTTGAGGTGCAAAGCACCGGAGCCGGATTAAACGAAGAGCTGGCGGCTACGGTGGCACTGGGCACCTTAGAAGGATGGGACGACCAGCAAATTTTGGCGTCACTAGATGAGGCATTTACCAGAAACATTTGACTTTGACACGGATTTTTGCAGGCACCTACCTTTCTGGAGAAAATTGGCGACAGAGACGGAAGAATAGTGGGCGAAGCTTTTCAAGGATACCTTCGACACCTTCACTTCCGTTCTTGTTGTTGGAAAGCCCCCTCTCCAGCGATACAGGTAAATTCCACCCTTCCGGCTGTTTATTGTATCTGATGGAATTTTAAGAGTATGAATTTAGGAACTCTATCCAAGCCCTGACGCCAACACACCCGCACGTCTATTGATCAACCGACGCGATTCAGTGCACTGCGGTCTTCCTCGAGGGTTCCCAATTCGAAGCAGCGCCAGGAAGGGAACATTTCCATTGGATAAATCGATGGTCAGTTGGGATAGAGATAGAGAGAGACAGAGAGAGAGGGAGAGAAAGCGAGAGAGAGAGCGAGAGCGGGAAGGAGGGCAGGGAGAGAGTGCGGGAGAGAGATGGAGAGAAAGAGCGAGAGAGGGAAGGAGGGAGAGGGAGGAAGAGAGAGAGCTGGAGAGGGAGAGAGAAGGAGAGAGAAGGAGAGAGAAGGAGAGAGAGACAGAGAGGGAGAGAGAGAGACAGAGAGAGATAGAGAGAGAGATGTTTACTTTGCAGCATCCGATGCCGCATCACGACATCAACCAACTGGGCAATTTCGTGGTGCCGGTTACAATTGTCCATACTTGCTGCGCCTACGTCAAGGTGAATTTTTAAGGGCAAAGGGCTACAAATCCGTATTTATGTTTTAGCTAATTGCAATCGTGGCTGTCCCTGGCAAAATTTTTTCAAAGCTGGACATGCTCATACTTGCCAAGATGCTACGGCAGCACTACGAGCAAGGTGAGCAGGGCAAAGAGGGGAATCTTCTTGGCTGACGGAACCGAAACGCTTAATCCTTGTGACCATGCCTAAATTCAGAAATACTTGGGAATTTTTTTATATCCTTACTTAGGCGGTGAGCCGTTGAAATCACTCTGCGAGCCCGGGTTTGAAGGAGTCGGCCGGGATCTCATCACCATCCGGATTGAAGTAGATTTGTCGCTCGTTTGCCACCAATTTTTAGTGTCACATAAAAGACCTTGGCCGTCTTCACGAGCACCTAGAGCGCTACCTGCTTAGAGATGATGCCAGCGGAAAAGACAACGAGGCCCGGCGGAAGCATATGGAGCCATTGTTGGTATTTTCTGTAATCTGTTTACGCAGTATGCGTGCAAGGGATGCCTCTCTTTCGCCGATTTTGCATTAATAAGGTTGAATAGCGACATATATGGACCCGATTCCGTCACCAGTATGCAAAACGCGCTTCGCGAGCTGCAAAGCTGCCGGTTTTTCAAACTAGCTTAGGGCTTCTCACAGAGCACTAAAGCTGATTAAAACGCGCTTCAGCCTTTGGCACTATGTTGTATCGAAATTATGAAAACCCGATCTGAAAGACGAGAGTCGAAGGCCACGCGTCACGCAGGAACGCCTCAGTTTATAAAATATACAATATTTTAGCACAGTTTGATATTTTCACTTTCAGTTTTGTGGCGGCCACGGAGGCTTTGAAGAAGGAAGCCCGGGGCGGCGATACGATCGCAAACATCGAGCTCAGATGGAATGTTAAATGTTCGTTTTATGTTTAAAAAACTATTATAGTTTGCTGTTGTTTCTGTCCGACTGTCTGCCTGTTTGTCAGTGTCAAGGCGAATTCAACTCGAAGCTGAAAGGAGCCAGAGCTTACAATTGGGTCTCAGCGGTTCTAGATCAATTTGAGCCTCCCTCATTCATTAGATCAAAAATTCGGAAACTAAGAACTTAAAAAAATGGTATTTAGTGGGTAAAACAAAGGGTCGCTCTGCCTGTCTCTCTCTCTCTCTCTCTCTCTCTCTCTCTCTCTCTGTTTTTGCACAGTGCTTGAACGTGGACTTTAATAAGAACTACACCCCCTACGCTCCATAAAACTCCCCCCTAACCGCCCGGAGACGTTTCCAATTTTTACGATTTAGGTTTCTATCGAAAGCTCTCGGCAGGCAAGGCGAGTCCAGCAGGTCACTCTGATACTCAAAACTTTTAAATTATCAAACGTTTTTACTAATATTGTTGCGAAATAGGCGGATTTTATGCTGCTTTTCTGAACAGGGGCTTTTTCACAAAAATGACAATTTAAAGATTTTTACGCCTTTCCTGGAGGGCCAACGGCAGCTTTTTGAAAGCGGTTTTGCGAAAACACAGATTGGATAGCTCTTAAGCGGGTTGGATTGAGTTTTTGACACAGAAACGTATCCTTTTTGCATGAAACATGCCCAAAATCAAGCAAAAAATTCCAAAATTGTGAAAATCGGATTGACGTGCTGGACTCGTCTTTTCGAGAGCTTGCGATAAATAACTACATCGTGAAAATCGGACCGGTCTGCGGCTGCAGCGGTGATTTTGGGACAGCTTGTACTGCTATTAAAGGGAATGGGACAGAGCGTCGTTAATTTTATTCATAAGTTCATTTTTTAGAAGATCGATTGATCGCTGAACGGCAGTGGCCATTTCCGAATTCTCCATGCTTGTTCTGGAATCATTGCCACAAAGAGGTTGTTGCATCATTCTATTTTGATGATTTCTCTTTTTAAAGGAAAGGAGCCCGATGTCTTGGCGAAATCTTGCTGAGGTCGAGATGATCAAGTCCTTCCTCACAACAATGATTGGGTAACATTTTGAAGTATTGTCTTAACCACGGATTGTCTAGTTGACAAACCTAAATCAATCTTCAGGCAGATTTACTAGAACTTGATTGAATCAATTTAATTCTAAATTTCAGCGGAGGAGTAAGACAAGAAGATATCGGGGTCATCACGCCATACGAAGCGCAGAGAAGAGCCCTCGCCCAGGCCCTCAGCCAATACCCCTCGGTGGAGATAAAAAATGTCGACGGATTCCAAGTAAATTCCGTCTCACAAATTGCATACTCTACGTGTTCAGGGCTGTCGCCCCTTGGGGGAGAGCAGAACTCAATCTCCTCTGTATGCAAGGAGATTGTACCCAACTGTTCGTGTAGTTGAGCTTTATCTATTAATCTTATAAACGTTCTAGATAGATTAGTGAACTACTCATTTATTAGGCACCATTAATAGAAGCGGCTTCCCAATATTATTAGTCCCCACATAATTTAGGTTTAACCAGGTTTCCCCTTAATATATAAGCTACGATTGTCCTACTGTAGAAAGCCTACTAGATGGTCTAGAGGAGATCCATCCGACGCTCTGCCCAGGCCTTCCTATCGGAGGGCGGCCGAAAGGGGCGGAGCCATAGACAAAAGGATAAGCTACTGAAGGCCCGAAAGGGGACCTCAAACTACGACCGAATGTGGTGTCGCCATGACGCCACACTCCCGGCCTAAAAAGAACAGGAAAAACCTGGAAAAGGTACAAAAAAGGGGGGGACCTTACGACGCCGTCAGAAGCATGAATAAAAAACCAAGGAAAAAACGTGTAAATAAATATTATCGTACGAATGCTGGTTGGCTTGACGGGTGGCACTGACGGTGATGTAAGCGGCGGACGTTGGGCCTACTATTGGAACGGCTAGGTGCAGGAAAGCCTTCTACTGGTACGGCTACGTTTTATTTTGGTAGGAAGTTACTACTCCTACAAGCTCGGAGGCGGTCTATAAAGCTTGTAGACGCGAGAATCTACTTGACACCGGAGCGTCTAAGGCTCGTCTCGGTATTAACACCGGGATGAGAGGACAAAAGTCTATAGCCGAGCAAAAACGGACTATGAATAGCTTCATGGGCTACTTAGGCTCGTGCTCCGGGCACCAGAGCTGTTGGAATTCGGGCTACTTGGCTCAAAGAAGAAGCCACCGAGGTCTATGCAACGGCTACAACTTATTCACCTCGAAATTTGACTCTGCGGGAATTGCAAAGTGGAGATTGACCTCGACCGTTCGTCGAGTGGGGGTCCCTCCGTGGGGAACGACTACTGTGACGCTCATATTGGGAATCACGATGAGGAGAGCGACTACTTTGCCGATCCGAAGGCGCCGCCGTAGAACGTTGTGCTTCGGAAAGAGATGACAAGCGGGAGCGGTCACCGCGTCTACTTTCAAACGACTCACGACTAACGCTGCGGTGGCTGCGGGGTGAAGTGCTGTTCTCAGAGGCGGCACCGGCAGGACTGGAGTACGGTCGCGATTTTGAGGAAGAGTCGGTAGACCTACTTTTGCGGAAACAGGCTACTTCGAAATGGGCATTGCTACCACAATTTCGACATTGGCCGGGCACCTGGCAGCGGCCAAGATGGGTTTTGAAACACTTAGGGCAAAGGTTTCTACTAGTAAGGTAGTCATATTTGGAGCTAGGTGTCGGATGTCGAGTACATTTGTAGAGCGAATGCTCTTGGCGGCACAAAGGACATTTGTGAAGAAAACTATCGCGTGGCGAGAGGTCTCGACGGCTATGAGGTGGTGTCACCACCGAGGTGTGGTAAATTCGGGTGACTCTATTGGAATTACTGGAAGGGAGAAGAGCTACTTCATTTTCTTTAAAGAGAATGATTTCATTCAGTTTTTTGAAAAGATCGTCTAAACGAAAGGTTTTACCTCCGTTTTGGGCCTGAAGGCGTTCCCGGGCAAGCTTCCGCTGGATCCAAGCAGGGAATTTTTCAAGCAAGATAAAATGAATGCCTTGATTGTCATGGTGTTGGTCTACTAGTTTGAGCCGATTAACCAATGCTAAGGTGAGGTGGTACTGGCGCCTGAGGTCAGCTACTGAATCGGAGTCGGTAATGGGAGCGAGCTGATGCAGGTCCCGATGCAACTGGAGTGCGTTCTGATCATTACTACTGTAGCGCAATCGAAATTGTGCAAAAGCCTCGGCGAAAAAGCCCTGTTTAAGGGGATAGGCTTTAGTGATGATTTCATCAGGCGTGCCTGCGAGAACTTCACGAAGGGCGCGAAGTTGTTCTACTTCAGTGAGTTGATGCTGGAGGCAATGACTCTCAAAGGTTTCGACAAAATAGTCAAAATCGGAGGCAACACCGGTCCATTTAGGGCTACTAAGGTTGGAAAGATTGAGAAGTCTCAATTTCTCAAGGCTGTTTACGAAAACTTGAGACAGCGGCTGTGGGCCCTCAACAGGGGCCGCGAGAAGCCGGTCAGCTGCAGTAATGCGCTCGTTTTCAGAGTCGAACTTCTGTATCAATGCTTTGATTTCTGCAATGATAGGGAGGACGCTACTCAAGGAAGCGGTGAATTCCTCAGTTTGTTCTTCGAGGAATTTTTCTACTTCGGGACGCTTAAGCTCATTCACTTCAGCTACTGCTAGGTCAAAAGCCTCAAATTGTTTTTCGCAGTTAGCTTGCGCATCTTGAAGCGTCACCAAACCACTACTTAGGGCGGCGCGTCCCTTAAGAAAATAGGGTGCCCACTCCTCGGGGCGAGTCGGTCCGGGTGCTCTAATAGCTACCAGGTCCTTACGTGCGTCCTCGAGTACTTTTGTAAAGTATGAATTTACTACTTGCAACTGGGTTTTGGCGTAGCCGAGGTTACGCGTGACCGGCATAGATATAAAAGGCAATGACAGGGGAAATACAATGCAGCTTAGTTAAGTTGGAAAAGAATGAAGAAAAACGAACCAAATGGCGGTTGTGAGTAGCTCGGAATATCCGGTATGTCCCTGGCAGCCAGGGGAATACCAGAAAGTAGGGGTGGCTGCGGGTCGACCATTAGACCGAGCGGGTGATGAAACATCCATGCAGACGGGCTTCCATTAGCCGAGAAGATGGCCCGCCGGGGTGGCGAAAGCCTTAAGTGGGGGCCAGGCCTCTTCTCTACTGTACGATGGCAAAAATTGCCGACTATTTCAAAGGTCTACTGTCGACGGAAGAGAGAAAGAGACATGGGAAGTGGAGGTGGCGTGATTTACGGAATTTCGAAAAGCGGGCTACTGTAGAAAACAATGGGGAAAGTGGGGGACCGAGATGGCGTGATTTGGCGAATTTCAAAGTAGGCTACTGTAGAAGGGCGAAGGGAGCTATACGAGTGCAAGAAGAAAGAGCAAAAAAGGTGGGAGAAGGGGGAAAGAGAGAGAAAGAGGGAACAGAAATTAACTAAAAAAGGTTGAAAAAAAGGTTGTCAAAAAGCGAAATGCTAATCAGATGGAAAGATGGGAACCAGCGCGCCCTTGTTTATTGCGCCAAATGAGTAGCTCCTCAGGGGGTACAACAGGATATGGCTCGTGCGTACTGTATGGCAGATCCCTGGTACAGTCAGCAGAGGGTCGACAAAAGTTGTATCGGCGGGTACCTCCTTTTTTCTGAAACCAATACAACCCCGGGTTATCCGGCCATGCAGCTCAGACCCTGTGCGGTCGAGGTTGGCGGGAGCCCGACCCGTGGCCTATAGGGTAAGTCACCAACTACTAGCCTTGCTGATGCGTCGCCCGAAGAGTGCATAAGGGAAGGACAAAGAAAACGGACTGATGCCCCAAGTTCCAAAAGGTGATGCCCAAAATTTCCGAAACTGCCCCTTCAGAAATGAGAACATGCTAAGCTGAAAATAAAAGAATTCCGGAGTTGCCAATCCGAAAAGGAGAAAACTCTAAACCAAAACGAACGACGAAAATACGAAAGAAAAGAGGAAAAAACCAAAGGAAAGGCAAAGCAAGATAGTAGTTAAAAATAATAAAGCTACTTAGTACTTATGGTTATGGTAAGTCCATCTAAAAATGTTGTATAAAATCGAATAAATTAAAATTTAAAAGTTAAAATTTAAAATTTAACTACTCGAACAGGTGGGTAAGCGGGTAACGCAGGCTCAATGGTTCCCGGACGGTGCACCATTTCTGTCGCCCCTTGGGGGAGAGCAGAACTCAATCTCCTCTGTATGCAAGGAGATTGTACCCAACTGTTCGTGTAGTTGAGCTTTATCTATTAATCTTATAAACGTTCTAGATAGATTAGTGAACTACTCATTTATTAGGCACCATTAATAGAAGCGGCTTCCCAATATTATTAGTCCCCACATAATTTAGGTTTAACCAGGTTTCCCCTTAATATATAAGCTACGATTGTCCTACTGTAGAAAGCCTACTAGATGGTCTAGAGGAGATCCATCCGACGCTCTGCCCAGGCCTTCCTATCGGAGGGCGGCCGAAAGGGGCGGAGCCATAGACAAAAGGATAAGCTACTGAAGGCCCGAAAGGGGACCTCAAACTACGACCGAATGTGGTGTCGCCATGACGCCACAAGGGCCGCGAGAAGGAGGTGATCCTCTTCTCGACGGTACGGTCGAACCAGCGAGGCGAGATAGGCTTCCTGCATAGCCATCAGCGGCTCAACGTGGCCATTACGAGGGCGAAGAGGGCGATGCTACTCGTCGGCAGTGCTCACACCTTGGATGCCGACCCGCGTGGCATCAGCTTCTGATGCACTACGATGTGAGGAAATTTGTCTATATTTTGTATGTGATGTAAGGAAGGCCTATATTTAGCGGCCAGTCGTTTTAATACTACAACGTGGGTCAAAAATACAGGGCAACGGTGTTTGCTATTTTTTTGTTTTTCGTGATTTTGATACTGACTTTGGTTTCGGGCTTTTAGGTCATTTTAATTTAGTTGTTGCGCGGAATTCGAATAGAACGAAAAACAGCGTGGAAACATTACCTACAAGAGTCAAGTTGTTACGAAATCGCAATTTTTGACAAGGGTACAAAAATGTCAGGTTCATTAGAACAGCTATAAACTATGATTCAGCGCACCGGAGCCATCATCGAGGGTACGCTGCCGTCGTTACGTCGTTGCCACATCGCCTCCCTCACCGCACGCTACAATTAAGCCTTCTCCCCACCCTGTTAATGTATCATTTGTTATTTCTACTGATGTCCTTTGTTGTTTTCCCCCGCTTTTCTCTAAAAAACCTCTTAAAGGCACAAATTAAAATGTTTCTGACACCACGCCCAATAAATATTTAATTTTGCATTCATCGTTCCATTTATTATCGATCTACCATATCGATACTGTATCTCTATGATTTGCATTGTTGATTTTTGTGCCGTTTCAAAAGCCATGTTTAGAAGGAAGGCAAGCGGTAATCATTTAGGAAGGAAGAATCGAGATGAAAGAATTGTTTGCTGAGACATATCTTCTGGCTCACTTTCTCTCTCCATCTCTCTCTCTCTCTCTCTCTCTCTCTCTCTCGGTTCTGGACTGTTAGCGGGGGGGGGTGTAGGCGGGGAGATCACTTTCTATTTTTCCATCTATACTTAACCTGTTTATCAGCATATAAATAATTCCATATAATTCCATATTTTATAAATTTTAGTAATTTTTATTCGCTAAAAGTAGTAAAAAAATCTTTTTAATAATTTTGTGAATTCAAACATTCTGACCTTTCTTAGACAATTTTCATACATTTTTGACCAAAAGCCAAAAAGATTCGAAAATGATTGCTGAATTCTCGGAGACACTGTCCCTTTAGAACGAAAGGTGTACGGTAGCTGAGCTTGATAGCAGAAACAGTTCATAAGCACTATGATCGCCTTCTCAGGCTTTGCTCGCTTCGCAATGGTTGCCCTGAACCAGGACACTCCACTACCTGGCCCCCCTCCGTACATACACCTTTTGTTCTAAAGGGACAGTGTCTCCGAGAATTCAACAATCATTCCTAACCGGCTCTCTCTCTATCTCCTTTTCTCTCTCTCGCTTTCTCTTCCATGCCTCTCACGTGAGCTTTTTCCTTCTATGAACTTTCTGACACCTTCGAGGTGAGGAAAACAAGTTCCGTCCCCGATCCCACGATTTCCCTTTTTGTGTTTTTTTATAACTACTCTTGTGTTGCTACTTTCGACCGGAACTTCAGTTCAGCTTTCCCTTCTGACCGTTTGCGAATGATTTACATTCTGAGTTTAGGCAGGCCATGCTGTCTCGCAAATCGCGTCCCTGAAGAAGTCCCCGTGCTTGCCGTCTGGAGCTACTTCTGCAATCAGTGGCGTGTCCACGGTAAGTACCCTTGCATTTCGCACTTTCGGAATTGTTCTGAATCGTCGGCTTAACGTCTTGGTTTCAGGCTTCGATTTTGACTCAACGAATTGCTGATCATGTTGGAGGGAGGAACGGCGGCGTGTCCGCCTGCACTTCCGTTCGTTTTATTCGTTCTGAGTCGCAAGTTTCCCTTACTTCTTCGATTATATAAACCATTTCGAAAATAACCGCGGTTTTTAGGGTTACATCCTGCAACCACACCACCGTCAGGCTTCTATGAATTCGCTTTCCGCACCACGGGCCTCTCGACGTCCCTAGCGGCGTGTCCGCTAGGGCTCCGGTATATTTCATTTCCACCTTTGTATTTGGTCTTTGGTGCATTAATTGAGATCCTTTTTGCAGTCACCCATCTGCGCTTCGGTCGAGCTGATTAACCCAACCGGCCAAGAGACACCTTCTTGCGGGTAAGCTCTTTTTCTTAGGCTGTGTGGTTTGTGGAGAGAGGAGAGAGAGCGAGTGAGAGAGCGAGAGAGAGTCACCTTTCGTTTTAAAGGGACAGTGCCTCCGAGAATCCAGCAATCATTCCTAACCGGCTCTCTCTCGCTCTCTCTTTCTCTAAGTCTTTCAATTGCTAACTGTTTCTGCCAACAAGCTCAGCTACCATACAACTTTCGTTCTAAAGGGACAGTGCCTCCAAGAATTCAGCAATCTTTCCTAACCGGCTCTCTCTCTATATCCCTTTCTCTCCTTCGCTTTCTCTTCCTTGCCTCTCAAGTGAGCTTTGTGGAGAGAGAAGAGAGGGAGTGAGAGAGCGAGAGAGTGGAAGAGAGAGAGGGAATGAGAGTGACGAGGGAGAGTGAATGAGAGAGAGACAGAGAGAATAGAGAGAGACGAGTGAGAGAGAGGGAGAGGGAAAGAGTGAGGGAGAGCGAGAGAGATATTTGGATCCATGATTATCTTTCTTAATTGTTGCAGCTACTGTGGCGTGACAGCGGCCGAATATCTCGTCAGTTGCCTGGACTGTGGCAGCAGCTTTTGCAATGGCTGGGGGGTGACGGACCGGGCACATATTCTGACGCATACGTCGCGCACCGGCCACAAATCGGTTTTCTGAGTTGAAACTTGCTAAGTTCGAACTTTAGGTAGTGCTACCCGGTACCGCTCAGATGCCTCCGCTGCTTATGGAGTGTAAAGCTGTAAGAAGTGGAGTTTTATGAAAAATTGTTGCTTAGTGTGGCGCGAACAAGGCTGAGGACCTGCTGGTGCGCAAGGAGGTCGATAAAGTGGACGTTATATGCCTAAGCTGTCACCGTCAAGTGGGAAAATATTTACAGTCGATGGACTGATTTATCTTTTGCAGGATTGGCGCCCTATGATCGAGGAAACCGCTCGCATCAATCGTCCCGATGAGCAGCTGGAACAGAAGCCAGTCAAGTACCTTAGTCAAATGCTGGCACAAGTACCACCCGAAGATGTACAGCAATCCGTCCAACAGCTAGACAATGTTGCAATTTACAAGTTTATTTGTTTTCCTCACTTGGTAACTGATGCTTAGATTGTTGAAAATGGCAAAGGCGAAGGCTTTAGAAAAGAAGAAGGGGGAAGAGGAGAAGCTCCAGCTTTATAGGTACGGTTGAATTGAAGTGCTTTTTCACGGTCTTGTTTAGGATTGAAAGGGCCCATGCAGAATACGCGAAGCATTTCGTCAATCTGCTGGAGCTAGCTTACCAAAGCGACAAGCGGACCCATGAAGCCCAGAGTCAGCAAGTTGGCGGGTTATGCCTGGTACCCCATTCGTATAAGTACCACGTTTCGTTCGTGTTGCCCGAATACAGCAAGAAAGGTAGTGAATTTGGCTCAATCACTTTTTTTTTGCTTTGTTCTATCGCTCATAACTTTGTTTATGCAGGGATGAAGGTGACGAAAGGGGACAAGCTGAAGGTGCAGTATCGTCCCAACGGCCAGTCCACGCATCCGGAGTATGAGGGCGAGGTCGTCCAGTTTAGAGCTGCTACTGAAAGTAAATATTACGCACAATGACAATGCGTATTCATTACTCCTACTTATTTGCTAATTTCAGCGACCCCTGATCGCGTGACAATCGAAATGGAAAAGCGGCCACTTGAAGGCACTTCACAAGATTGGCATTGCGAAGTATCCATCATTAGCGGAAAATCGGCGTCGTATTTTAGGTGATCATGAACGAACAGCCCTACGAGCGAATGGGAAAGGCCCTCAGGGATTTCCGGCAAGGCACAGCAGCATCGACCATCATCACAAGCAAGATCCTGGGTCTATCGGTCAATGAACAGAGATCAAAGGTAAGTCAATCACGCGCATTGACCTTTCTTCCCATTATTTTAGATGGGACGGACTCTACCGTCTGATTTGAATGTACGAGGACTGCCTCCACTCAACCCCAGCCAGACTGAAGCTGTGAAGACCGTCCTGAAGACCGTCCTGTGTGAAAGTCCTGGGCAAGGCCTCGAAAACACTTTGGCAGAAGGTATTAATCAGCTGTTAAGCAACGCCAAAACTAATTTTCAGATCTGAGCGTCAAGGTGAAGCATGTGATTTTCCATATGGTAAATAAAAAATCCCATTAATAAAAACAATTTTTTTTAGTTTCCGGGGCGTTTCAGTGTCACGGTGAACTGCGAGATTTTGGTCATTGATCAAGCGATTGCCGGGTAAACACACGAAACTATATGTAGCCTGTACTTAGTATAACGACGCTCCAGTGTCCCGATCAAAGCAGCATCTTGGAATGCGTTGAACAAGGCCTTTTTGACTATGACTTGCAGGTAATTAACGGTTTATATTACAAAAGTGATCTTTGAGGTGCAAAGCACCGGAGCCAGATTGAACGAAGAGTTGGCGGCTACGGTGGCAGTGGGCACCTTAGAAGGATGGGACGACCAGCAAATTTTGGCGTCACTGGACGAGGCATTTACTAAAACATTTGACTTTGACACGACTTTTAACAGGCACCTCTCTGGAGAGATTGGCGACAGAGACGGAGGAATGGTGGACGAGCCTCTTCGAGGATACCTTCAACACGTTAACTTCCGTTCTTGTTGTTGTTTGGAAAGCCCCCCTCACCAGCGATACAGGTAAATTTGACCCTTCCCGCTGTTTATTGTATTTGACGGAATTTTAAGAGTCCGAATTTAGGAAATCTATCCAATGCCTGACGACAAAACGCCCGCACGCCTCGTGATGAAACAACGCGATTCAGTGCACTGCGGTCTTCCTCGCGGATTCCCAATTCGAAGCAGCGCCAGGAAGGGAACATTTCCATTGGAGAAATCGATGGTCAGTTGGGAGAGAGATAGAGGGAGACCGAGAGAGGGAGAGAGTTTTCAAACCTATGGTTATGCTTAGTTGGGCCCTTATCTAGAACTTCAGCATTAAAAACTTATGTTAGTGTAGAAGGCCTGGTGGGCAAGGTCTGGACTAGAGATGTTTTTATTCAGATACGACTAACCCGGAAATTCAACTAAGTCGATTCGGCTCATTCATATTCAAATAAGCATTCTTTAATCGATTACGGACATCCGAATCTGAATAAGGAATCCGTAATTCGACTAAGCTTAGTTGAATTAGTCGAATCTTAGCCGAATAAGTTCAGTCCTGACTAGAGTGAGGGAGCGGCAGGCCTCCTCAGGCTTTCTTGGGCCGAATTGCATTTCCGCGCCTGCCGACGCCTGGCGGAAGCCTAAGGATTTACGCAGGCTTTTTATGCAATGCGCAAAAAACATGTTAATCTGGTTACTGCATCAAAACGTTGGTATCTTTGACGCAATAACAAATCACAACGATGCCGAAGGTGGGAAAAATATAGGCAGGATGTCAGGAGAGCCAACTGCATCCCCCGCCCGTTCGAACCGACTCTTGACTTTTGTGTATCCGCGTGCTATTAACGTATCGTGTCGTAAGGTTGCTCAAAAACAGTATTCTAACTTTGTAGAATATTCTTGAACCCAATACAGCTCTTCGACCCCCGGAAGTTTCAAAAAAATCCGTATTTGTTCGGCAAAACTTCGAATATTCTACGACTTTACATAAAATTTCCGGATAAGCCTGACTAATTAGGGGTCAGGCGTACTTTGCATAGCCCAGGCTCAGCCTAGGCGATGCAAATTAGAAAAGCCTGAGGAAGCCTAGGCAAGCCTAGGCTTTAGCCTAGGCCTCCCTCACTCTAGTCCTGACTTTGTTTTGCTAAAATATGGCAAAGCTAGATTTCCATCAACAGAATTTCCGGGTATTTCCATTTTTTCATAGCAATTCCTCGTCAAAATCCTCATTAGCATGTTATTCGACTAAACTCGGCTAATTCGACTAAAACGCGCCTATCTGAATAAGATTTTGCTGATTTGGTTAAGCTAATCGGAATTGAATAAGGAAATTTGGCATTCGGCGAACCTTAGTGCGAGACCGTTAGTTGCTTGCATATCTTAGTTGAATAATAACATCTCTAGTCTGGACTGTCAGCGGGGGGGTTAGCAGGGGGAAACCAAATTTTTCATTTACAATTAGACCAGTGCCGACCCACTTTGGACCACTGGGATCGCTGACTGGGTTATGGCTGGAATTCGTCACCGGTTCACTATATTCAATTTCAGTGCCGATAGCACACACAATACGGGCAACGGGCAGCGGGTAGCGTGTGATGACTGAGTTCGATGAGGCGCTTCAAAGAATCCACATGGAGATCTCCAGTGATGCTCGACCGGCTCAGACTCGAAAAGCCATCCTAGATGCGCTGGTACGATCAATTCCTGCCTCCCTACGATACTTCTTTCATAGGAGCCCTACACGCACGCGGAGGGCAAGAAGAAGAAGGAGTTGACTGCCGCCATGATCACCCGCGCCACCGGCCGCGCAGTCAACCGGTTCTTCTACCAGATGATGGACGCTAAAATGCGCCAGAGCAACTTCTGGGACAAGCGCGTTAAAAACTGCGAGCAGCCCCGCCTAAGGTAATTATCATGTTAAAATCTACTTTGCTTTAGACCCCGATGCGGAAGCGCTAAAGCGCCAGCAGCGGCACCTCAACCCACGGGGCGAGCGTGCGAAGAAGGCCCCCGAAAAACCTCGAAAGATATTGTTGTTGTATAAAATGTTGTTGATTTTGCCGAGGCCCTACTACAAGAAGGATCTACAAAAAACTAACGCATTTCCTAACAAACTATATAATAAAAAAGATGATTATCAATCTGAAGAAATCCGAATGCTCCATTACCAGTATGCACTACCTTATCACATAAACACGGGTGTGCACAAGGCGAACTAATCAGAATTAGTAGAAGTTGCACTGAATACATACACTTCTCTAAACGGACTAGAAATCTAGGCACAAGCTTATTAAAAAAGAGCGAATTTTCTGCCATCAAATAGAACAATGTGAAAGAAGTGTAGACGACAAGACAACTGATTTTGAAAAATAATTTATTTCAGGAAAGAGACAGGTAAATCACAATAGAATTATTTAATTGACAAGGCGAAAATATATCCGCTAACGCGGCGTGTACATCGGACCGCCGGCTTCGAAGAAGAACTGCGAGCGCGATTCGAACAATTTCTGAAAAACAAGGTGAAATACCCAATCCAATCCGTGTACCTGGTGCTCGGCAATGAGGCGCTCCCTGTCTTCGGCCATCTCCCTCTCGCGAATGACCTTCTCCTCCTCGTCGAGCTTCTGGACCTCTTCCAGGCTTTTGCCCTCCTGCTTGGCCCGGTAGATTTGATCGGCCACCTCGACCATCTTCCGCCCATTCACCGAAACGCCAAGCAGCTCCTTCACAACTTCAGCCTGGATGGAGAGCGCGTCGGAATTTTTGTTACCAGGCTTCTGAAAGTGTTTGTTTTTGATTAATTAAGGCCTGATTAGGACAAACCTTGCTCGTGAGCTTCTTCTCGCTCTCCCAGATTTCAGTCGGCACATACATCGGGGCCGTAGAGGTCTGGACGATGACGCCCATCTTTTCCTAAGGTTTTGTTAAATTTGGGATCCGGGGTAAGGTGCTACAGCTGCGCCAGCCGAGTCCGGGTCCACGGCTTCAAGCTTCGTGTTCCATTTCACGTCCTTCAGCACAGTGCCCAACGGCTGCTGGGTGATCACGGTGCGCTTCTCGGCGTCTTTCTCGGCATTGGCTTTTTCGGCCTTGAAAGAATTTTTGGTATTGGACTCGAAGCCGGGAATTCACCTACACTTTAAAAATGTGGTACATTTTATGAAACACTGCTCGAATTTTTGCCAAACTTACAGCAAGGGCGCCTCCGACTCCATATTCCTCGGTGGAAAGGAAAAGAATATTGCCGGTGTTCTTCTCGCGGACGAGTACGCCAGACACCGACTCCGGCGAGCGAATCTCCGACATGACCGTCACGCCTTCGTTCGCCTTGAGCTCGCGCTTCATGAACGTCAGCGTGCCGTCATTCTCGAGCTTTAAGCAAATGACATAAAAATATTGGGAGATGGCTACCGTCACCGTCCCGCTCATCGGAATATCGTAGCCAACTTTGTGCATCTCGGACATCTCCTTTCCCTGACCGTTGGTGACCGGAGGGAGGATGGGGTTTCCGGATGCATCGACTTCCATGCCGTTGACGACAAAAACCGCCCAGCCGTTGCCGTCCTTCACCAGTTGGCCCTTTTGCGCATTAACCGGGCAGCGAGTGCCACACTTGGCTTCTTGGAAGAGCGGTACACCTTTTGGAGACTTACGCAGCCAGCCTAAAAATAAGAATTTGAAAACCTCGAACGATATGCAACATTACCGTTCACCGGCGCCTTTGGTGGCTTGGGTTTAGGAAGTTGCGCTTCCTCCGCATTAGAGATGGGCACGACGAGCGGAATCCCGGCAAAAGCCCAGAAGCACACTGCATCCACACACTGGTAACCCTCGGCGGCAGCATCGAATTTCGGGGGCGGAGGCTCCTCATCTGCCTCCTTCTCCGCCTCGGGCTCTTTCTCCTTGTCTTTATCTTTTTCTTTCTCCTTTCCACGTTCGACCCTAAAAAAGTCACTGTATGAACCATCTTCACAAAACATTCTTACTTCCCGCTGTTGCACGAGGCAACCTTCCGCTTCTTCTTGTGCTTCTTTTTCTTCTTCAGCCGCACGTCGTTGTAGTAGATGACAATCGTGGGACGACGAGCACCTGGCTGCTGAGGCGGCAAGTTCTTCAATTGCTCGGTGACTTGCGCCTAAAAATTATAATCTCACAACGAGCTTGGGAAACCAGAAGCTCAGGGTTCTTCTGGATGATGCTCATCGCTTGGCCATCACGGAGCACCGTCTTCACTTCTTTCTTCACATGCTTCTTCCTTCGGCCCGACTTTCCCGAACGGCCCGAGCCCGACGCGTCAGCCATCTTGAAGTTGACGTTCTACCTGCGCGCTGTAGAGGCAACCGGATGGGCAACCAATGCCGAGTACAACGCTCAATTTTGAGAATTGCGTCCCCTAGCAGGTCTCATTTCCCGAAGTTGATTCAAATGTTCGTATGCTGATTACGGTCAATCGGAGAACATTTATTCAGTTCCAACAATCGAAAACGTTCATACAAGTCCGAGACAATAAATAAAACAATGAAAAGACCCGTTGTGCTGTGAGAAAAAGAAACAGAACAACTATTCAGAAAACTACCTAATGACATCAATGACTTGCTAGTGGCTAATTGGCAGCAGCTTCAAGTTCTTGCTTATGTAGCTTTTCAATGAGCTTCGTCTTCTCCGCGTTGAAGTACGAAGCGAACCATTGGAGATGCTCTTGTTTCTTTCGTGCCGTCATGTACGGGTTCTTGCTCAAACCGACGCAAACTAAACCAGGATGATGAATAATCAATAATACCATACCAAGTTCCATAAAATGCCCAATAGGCCCATCTCTAGGAAGCCCCAACTTGGCTAGGTGCCGGTCCAAGAAAATGTGCTCAATGAACGATACCTAAAGAAACAAAAATGAGATAATTGAAAAATCTTACGTTTTCTTCCTCGCCCAATAAATATTCATTATTGATCGGGTATGGCCATTGTTTTCCTTGTCGTGTCCATTCAATCTGCTCTTCGAGAGCGTTCCCTGGGCCCATGGGTGAATTAACGATCCTAGAAACAGATTGTTACTTTACGTAGATGCAATTACTTGGCAGCTCGTTCATCGGAAGCCCGCCAGAAGGCGAGCGGTAGATCCCTCAGCTGAGCGCTTGGCGAGAAAATTCCCAACTTCTCTTTCCCGGAAAGTAGTTGGAAGAGCTAAAAATAATCTAGAGTACGAAAAAAGTACTACCTCTGGATTTGGCTCGATCTTTTGAGTCCCAGTCACCGTTTCCTCGTCACGATGCAGAATTTTCCTAAAGCCACTAGCGGCATACTGAGACTGAACATACTCTGCCATTTGATAAGCATAGTTGAATAGTTTTCGTTCCTTTTCGTCCTGGACTTGGGTTGTTTCAGCCTCGGCAACCTTCGAAGCTTTATTATCCGCATATAGCTTGTCTCTAAAAAGAACCAATAAGCAATCAGGGTAGATGTACCTTTTAGCGGCAATCTTCGCTTCCGCATCGTTGACGGCTTTTTCAGCAATTTTCTGAGCTTCAGCGGCCGAATAGCCTTCCTGAATTTATATTTTACTACATTTCGCGCTACTTTGCAAATCTAAGTTACATCCTCAGCCTCAGCGTCATAAATATAAAAAAGATACCTGTTTAGCTTGATAAAACATTTCGCGTCGCAGTAAGACCAGCCCACGATTGGCATGTCGTTGCGCCGCAAATCTGGACCTAACCGTATTTCGATAACAACTGCAAATCACCTGTTCGGCAAACGACGTTCCTGTTTCGTATCAGTTGCCACCTGATTAATCAGGTCGACCACACTTTTATCGCTCTGCATGGCGTCTTTTGATGATTCTGTCGCCGCCTAAAAAATTGTATTTGCAAAAGATGCTCAAAAACCTTGAAACTTTCAGCTTCCATCTTAGTCAAGCGTTGAAGGAGCGTTGAGTGCACCCTAATATCGAAGAGTAAAGCTTATAAAACAATGCAACTTTTTTCGCGAATCCTCATCCTTATGTAGGCTGGAAGCAACTTCATTGACGGCCTTTACCACCTTCTTGTCGACGGCATCCTTCACGGGCGTAGTTTTCTAAGAATGGTACGGAGTAAAAGAGAAAAAATTACTTTGCTTTCATCCTCGTTACCAGTAGAGAACCACCGGGATTGTAACGCGGTAATTGCAGCTTTATTTGAGTTTTGAGGCAGCACAGCGATCCGGCAAAGCCTCCCCAGCATCTATGTGGCCATTAGCAAGGGGCATATTCATGTGTCGATAACTACCCGGACGCAATCCAGTGTTTCTTGCATTTGCCAGAATGATCATGAATAAATTTATCTGCACGACATTTCCAGACTATACCGAATGAATCAGCACGTAAAACCGGTAAGCAATAACACAATCTACTTCAAAGCACAGCGAATAAAGGCTAATATTTATTATCTATGAAAGGCAGTCCTCTAACGGCGTCTTCGGCTTACTTGGCGACAAATTTGACTCCCTTCTCGATGTTCTTGACGAGCTCGGGCACGGAGGCATCAACGAGCTTCTGCTCGAAAGGCGTGACCTTGCCGACTCCCAAGATCTTTTCGACGCCGTTGGGTCCCAGTTCGAGAGGGGTGGAGAAGAAGTTGACGCCCTTGACGGCATCGGACTCGACGTAAGCGCATTGGACGACCTTCTCTCCCTTCAGGGCTCGGACGAGGGAGTTCGCGAATCGTGCCCCGGCCAGGGCCATCGAGAGGGTGGCAGATCCAGCTCCAGCCTTGGCGTTGACAACCTCTGTTCCGGCGTCCTGGATCCTTGGGGTCAGCTTCTCGATCTCGGATTGGCTGAACGAGACCTTGGGGGTGACCTGGCTGAGCAACGGAATGATGGTGATTCCGGCGTGGCCGCCAACCACCGGCACGACAGTCTTCGAGGCGTCGGTTCCCTTCAGTTCGGAGACGAAGGCTTGCGAACGGACGACGTCAAGGGTGGTGACACCAAAGATCCTCCTCTTATCGTAAACTCCAGCCTTCTTGAACACCTCGGCGGCGATCGGGACGGTGGAGTTGACCGGGTTGGTGATGATGGCAATGAAGGCCTTGGGGGCAACCTTGGCGATCGTCTGGCAGAGATCGCGGACGATTCCGGCATTGGTGTTGAACAGATCGTCACGGGTCATGCCGGGCTTCCTAGGCACTCCAGCGGGAATGACGATGACATCGGCTCCCTCGACGGCAGCAGCCAGTTCAGCTGCGCCGGTGTGGGCGGTAACCTTGGCGTTCGAGTCGATGTGGGAAAGATCGGCGGCGACTCCGGGGGTGTTGACAACGTCGTACAGCGAAAGGTGGGAGACGAGCGGGTCCTGCTTCAGCAGGAGGCCCAGCGGCTGTCCAATACCTCCGGCGGCGCCCAGCAAGGCAACCTAAAAAACAGAAATGCAAAAATAATTTGATCTGACCTTTGGCTGGGAGCTGGAGTGGCGGACGGACAGCGCGCGCACGGCATTGTTGGCCAAGGCAGCAGTCGACTTCATCGGGAGTGCCATTTTACCTGGAAAAGGAATGGATGAGCTAAACCAAAAGGAGTGAACAGGTGAAAAATAGAAACAAAGCAATCCATAAATTAGCATACAGCTACTAACCCAGACCCGGAACTAAAAATAATTAGCCTCATTCCGACGGTTATATGGTCGCAATCAGCCGCTTATTGCTAATTGGTTGGTCAAATGCCTTCAGATAATACAAACGCACTCAAATTTCAATGGCAAAAGGTCAATAAAAGCGTAGCCGCCCCATAATTAGTGTGAAAGTAAATTCTCGAAAAACATCTAGGTCGGTGTAAAGGGCACAAACTACATCGCCCCTCACGGACAGGGCCGTTTCGGCTCTCGGGGCGGCAATACGAACGCTAGAATTAAGAAAAAAACTGAAAGGTATCAAAATAACAAAAACTGAAAGACTCAAGATTTTGAAAAAAAAATGAACGAAAATGAATTGAAAAGATTTTCGGTAATGGCGATTCCAAAAAATACAAGCAACAGTTTTGTACAGAGTACAACTCGGAAACGCTTCTAAAAACAATTTTTTCTTGCAAGCCTATAGTTTTGAAATTTTCCACAAGTATTTTCTTTTTTAGTGCTTGCTGTTTTCCTTTTCGCCGAGGAATGCTCTGGCGGGCTGATCTTCTTGAAGAAGCTGATCCCGAGGCGCAAGAAGGATTTGAAGAAGCGCAAGAAGCAGCTGACAAAGAGTAGGGGAAACAGGATTTTCAAATATCCCATTGATTTAGAGAATACTAATCTCTTCCAAACTGGCGCCAAAGCTGTCAATCTATTAAAAAAGTTCCGAGCTTATGTCAAGGTATATATCTGGCTTTTTTGGATGTTGGAATTCAGCGCAATCCATCTATTCCGGCTGTACAGCCTCGCCGTTCTCTTGCGGCTGTTCCTCGTGATAAGGTAGTATAGATATCATATGTCTATCGAATTTTAGAATTACGATCCCTGCGCCGATGGCCAAGTCTGTGTGAATGGGGTGTGCGTCAATAAGGGCGGAAAGTTGATGAACAGCTTGAAGACCAAAATTTCCCTAGTTTTCACTGCAATTGCGCCGGGACGAATTTTATCGGGAAGCGCTGTGAGGTAATTGTGATTTGTATCTTAGGTCCACAAAATTTCTTAGATCCCCAGCTCGTCGGAGAACTGTGGCGGAAACTTGTGTCAGCACGGCTCAAATTGCTATAGGTTGTTTAGAAAATTCGCTTAAAATATTTTTAGTGTCGCGGACGCGTACACGATTATCGACATCGCATCCTTGGCAAAGGCGAAAAAGGAGTTTCCAAATGCGGTTCACAATCCGGAAGAGCACAAGTTGGAGGTCAAATACCGGTGAAATCAGAGCGCACGTTTAATTTTTAAATTTAGTTGTGATTGTCTCGAAGGATACTTTGGAGATCTCTGCGAGCTGACGCCGGTACTTACGAAAACAAAAAGATCTATTTATTACTTTTAGAACGACATCGAGTGCCAGGCCGACTTTTGCCTCAACAACGGGGTATTTTATTTGTTTATTTTTTTGCAATAAAGTTCTTAGGTCGGAGAATGGCGGCAGAATGAAGGCGAAGACGGGCACTGCCATTGTACTTGTGATCCGGGCTATGCAGGAGAGCAGGTTTTATAGTTTTTTTTTTGAGCAATGCAATGCTTTTAGTGTGAATATATGCTTCCCTGCCCGGCATATGACTGCAATTATGGCACCTGCAAAGATGAGAAAATCGAGGATACCAATGGCGACATAGCCTTCGAACCCAAATGCGAATGCGGTGGCACCTTCCCGTACACGATGATTACAATTCATGGTAAATGGAAGCGTCTAGCAGGAATTTTATTTACAGGCGAAAATTGTTCCCGCTTGGAAGTGCCGGGGCCAGTGTTAGCTGATCCTGAAAAGATGGGCGTCATCCCGTGCGTCGAAAATGATGTTCGCGTTGTTTTCCTATTGAATTTGGCTGTTTAGGCATCACCGAAAGATTGGAAAAGCTGGATAAGCAATGTTGAAAAATATTCCAAGGCCCTTGAATTGTTAGTACTTCCGTTTGGATCTTTAACCTATTTTTTAGAAGCTCTGACGATGTGAAATTGGTCAAAAGTTTTTCGCAACAATGTCGTCGACCGAAACCTGATTCATCCACAGGCGGTGATTATGAGATCAAGCCGGTTTGACTGTTTTCGAAATTAATATTTTTGCAGGAAAATTGGGACGAATGCAACGAGGAGCTGGGAAATCACGATTCTTTTTGTTTGAATGGTGGCGTTTGTCAGCCTCTCGGCATTGATTGTGGGTGTAATTTCTTTTTCTTTGATTTTATTTTTAGTGAAATCCGCTACGAAATTGATGGTGCCAAGCTGTGACTGTGAGGACGAGTATGAGGGAACCTATTGCCAGGTGGGAAATGAAGGAATTATGATTGATTCATTTTGTTCAGTATCGCCGTCGCGACGCTTGCGACCCAACGATGGACGAATTTATCAATGGGCTAACCCGATCTCACCGGTACTGGCTTTTGGCAAAAGAAATATTTTAATTTCATTTAGATGTACACACCCGAACAATGGCGTTTGTAATTCGGAAATTCGCAAGAATGAGGCTGTTTGTTTGTAAGTTTAAGAAGGCATTTATCGGGGACCCCCCCCCCCCCCCCCCCCAGCTACCAACTTTTTTATTTTACATTATTGTAGGCTCAAATTAAAACTCTTAGTATATTTTTCGACGCTCTATCGAATGGCGTTGCGAAAATCCCGAAAAATAAGCGAAAATACCGACACCTGTGGGACCCTTCGGCTGTGGGGGGGGGGGGGGGGGGTAAAGTAAACTCTTACCTTTATCGGGAACTGGCCAAATGCTGTCTTTGAACAGAAAAAAGCCATTTTTACCGATTAGAAAAGTTTTTCTGAAGGATTTGGAATTTTGGTCCAAAACTCGACATTTTTTAGTATTTTTGGATCAAAACTTGTAATTTTTTACAATTATGGATGGTCAAAATTAGAAACGCTTTCTCTAATGGTATTAGAAACATTGGACCCTAAGGAAAATGAGACCCCCTCCTGAAAAAACACTAAAAAGAAAACTGCTAATTTTTTTAAGGTGCCATGTCGGATACTCGGGGACACTTTGCGAAAAGTTCGATCCCTGTGCTGAGGTATACAAATCATGATTAACCCATTTTTCTGCTAATAGGCTCCCTGCCCTCTTCACTCGCACTGCGTCGCTCTCGACCCGGACAAGAATCGCCGCGAGTCGATGTCGCTCAAGCTGTACCGATGCGTCTGCAACGACGGTTACCAGAATGCTTCTCGTGGGTCAAGCCTTTCAATTTGAAATTTCACTCGTTTTAGCTGATCAGCGCCTCGACTGTCAGCCTGGGAATAACACGGGCCGTTGTGTCGACAAGTCACTGTGCCTTCACGGGAATTGCCATGATTGTGGGAATAAGGCTCCGGTGAGATCACTTTTTATGAAGTTTTATTTTGGCGATCCGGAGACAATCGAATGGTGCTGGTACTAAAATGCCGACAGCGAAAAACTCATAAAGAAAAGATAATTCGATTCCAAAAATTTTGATTTTCTGCTGTCGGTATTTTGTCAGCTTGCGAAGACGCTAGGGGGAAAGGCATAATCCCGACACTCGATTTCTTGATGTATTTTTTCTAGGAAGGAAACATCGATCTTTGCGACGAGCATGAAAATCTTCAACGCTACAAGTAAGAAGATATCTTCCCGGAAATTATTTTTTTCAGATGCTTCTGCCACGTCGGCTTCTCGGGATACCGCTGTGATCACCCTCTATCGGTTTTTAGAGTCAATATCTTAGATCACCTTTTTTAGGCATGTGCCACAAATGAATGCAAGAACGGGGCGATTTGCAGGGAGGTCGATGCCCAAGATTACAGGTAGTAAATTCTGACTAGTTCACCTAGCTTTTCCTTAGGTGCGTATGCCGTCCGGGCACTCGAGGGTCTTTTTGCGAGCACGTCGATGACTACTGCATCGCCTTCGGTATTTTTTCAGTGCTTTATCATATGGTATATTTTTAACTTCAGGTTTTGACGTTTGCGTAAACGGAAATTGCTTTGAAAGTATCTACTTGGCTCGAGGCTTTGAATGCGAGGTATCATAATCCTTGGATTTTTAAAAACTTTTCATAGTGCTGGCATGGCTGGGGTGGTCGGAATTGCGAGGTGGAGCTCGACTTGTTCGAACGACTTGAGAAAGCGTGGAACGTGAGTTTTTTCCATCGTCCTTCTTCACCTCCTTTTTTTCAGAAACATGAAGCCGTCTTGACCGGAATTGTCTTCACGACGCTAACCACTGTCATCATTATCTTCTTCCATTGCCTCACGCCTCCGCCAGGTTTGACATTTTTTCAGTTGATCAAGAAATTGTTTAGTAAAGTCAAAGGACAAGAAAAAGATGAGCAAGCTCCCGAAGTGAATCTCCGCGAGAAAGTTACATACTTGCTTTGACGTATTTTCTGGTTTCGTGAATGTAAATAAATTTTCGCTTATTGTGCATGAATATTTCTACGGTTCTGTTATCATCATTGATATTATCTTATTGATGTCGACAAAAACGCACATTCTTTGAAGTTTCAGCATTTTCTGTATTGGAAAGCTAATGGAACAAGATCAGGACCCGGAGCTGGACATCAGCGATGTGATTATCCGACTTATCAATCGTAAGACTCGGTCCTTCATTTTATCGTGTTTTTTTTTAGTCAAAGGCTGGTGCCCCCCGTTTCCGCTCGGCGAATGGGAGGTCCTGGAACTTTGCCGGCAAGCATCTGCTATCTTTGCCAGCCAACCGATGTTGCTCAACCTTGACGCACCGATGAAGATCTGTGGTATGCAGTGTTTATTTAAGCTTTGGAGAATCAACAATGCTAGGCGATATCCATGGACAATTCTACGATCTGCTACGCATTTTCGAGCTCGGCGGCTACCCACCAAAGTCTAACTACTTATTCCTCGGAGACTACGTGGATCGAGGTATCCATCTTTTCAGTTGCTCAACGTTTTATAGGCAAACAATCCTTGGAAGTGATTTGTCTACTCTTTGCATTCAAGATCAAGTACCCGGAGAATTTCTTCTTGCTGCGCGGTAACCACGAGGACGCCGCGCAAAATTATGTCTGGGGCTTCTATGACGAATGTAAGTGGGGCGTTCGTTTAGTTTAATTTCCGCATGTTTTAGGCATCACCCGCCTCTTTGACCGAGCAATTTACCGAGAATTCAACAAGGCCTTCGCTCAAATGCCCGTGGCCGCCATCGTTGGCCAACGCATTTTTTGCGCGCATGGCGGAATCTCGCGATCTCTTGAGGTATTGTCTTGAAAGTTTTTGGCGGTTCTTTCGAAATATAGGGGCAACAAATTGAGTTCCTTAGTATCCAACTTGTCTTAGATAAGTGCCGGAATTTTTTTTGCTTTTCCTGAACCTAAAAAATGTGAAAAGTAAAAAATAAACGATTGCCTTTTCGATAAAAAATTTCCACAGTTTTTGGAGTTTTCTAGATAGTTTTTCAAGTCGAAAGATTCTTCGACAAAAAAATTCGAAGAAAAGAAAGACTGCTTTTTTAGTCGATGAAACAAATCATGGACTTGCCGCGCTTGGAGTCAGTGCCGTCAAGCGGTCTTCTATGCGATATTTTATGGTAATTTGTCGCCAAGTGTACCTCGACCGCTTTATGCAGGTCGGATCCCGATAGTCACTTCGAGAGCTGGGGCCCGAATACACGCGGTATTTCGATGACCTATGGAATTGAGGCTGCTGATGAATTTCTCGACAGATTTGGCCTAGACCTCATCTGCCGAGCGCATCAGGTTTGGCAATCGTCTTCATTTAATTAGAAAAACTGGTATTTTAGGTGGTCGAAGATGGCTACGAGTTTGCGCATGAGAAACGGGTGTTGACACTCTTCTCGGCGCCGAATTACAGTTCCCGCTACGACAACGCGGCCGCTATCCTGAATGTGGGACCCGACTTGCTGTGCAGCATCCAGGTATACTTAAATTTTTTGGGTTCTTTCGCGGTATCGGAAGGGGACCTAACTTTTGGTATAGGTCTAAAAATGCCCAGTAAGTCAATAGAAAGTGTTTTGATAGTGTTTTTAGTGATCTCTAACTATTTTTCAATTAGAAAAACTATCTAAAAACTTTAAGAAATGTTGTAAGTCGAAAATTTAGTCAAAGATCGGCCTTTTTCGGTCGAAAAATCGACGGTGTGAGTTTTACGTTTAGGAATAGTAAAAAACCATTTCGAAACACCTCCACAGTTGATATTTTAAAAATTATATCCTAAGAAAAATGTTGCCCCCCACCCGATAATGCGAAAGAGCCCTTTTTGAAAAACACGATTTTAGATCCTGAAGCCGACCAAAGATGCGCGCGAGCCGGTAATTAAGAAACCGTACAGCCAGGCACAACGGAATTTTTAAGCGGGCATTCCGTTTATTAATTTTTATCGACAATTTTTTGGCATTTACTACTTCAACGCTCACATATCATACATTTCTATTTTGCTTATTACATTCCTTGTTACCGGTTTCGATTGTTGGGTTGTAAATAAAAACTTTCGTGTCATGCGAGGCGGGCAGACATCTCAAGTTTCGCACGAGCAGCACGACACGTGTTTCCCCGGATCGACGAACCGCCATAGAGCAAAAATTAGCGTCTTGTCCTCGTTTTTCTGTGGTCTTTGCTTGGCGCGATGCTACACGGCACATTGCATGTGCATAGGTCATGTTGCGGTCGACGCCATTGACTGCTAGATTCGGCAATGCGCTTTTTCCAAAATTGGGCCACGGCCTTCCCCGGGCACTTCCAACCGCATTAGCCCGATTGGCCGGCTCGAGCCTCGCGATTTTTTCACCCCCGGATGCGCCTATTCTCCCCGAGAGTCCACTGTGTTTTTTGCCCTATTCGGCGACCTAGAGAGTAAAAAGTAGGCGAATTGTCTAGTTTAATTTTTAAAGGACCGTGTTACGTATGCTTCGTCTCTCCCCGTCTCTCCACGTTTCTTTCCTATTATCGGGGGGGGGCGGCAGCTTTTGCCATGATGGTTCAATTGCTAATATTGCTGGAAGTATAGCTTTTACACTGTTTTTTAATTTGTAAACGTAAAAATTTACCCTATTACTTTAAAACCCAAACGTTCTTCATTTTAAAAGTTTTTTGGACTTTTCCACTTCATAGCTAAATTCGATTAAGAAGCGGGCTAAAAAGCAAAAAATCGTAGGAAAAATTAGTCTCGTACCCCCGGAAATGCCAAAGAACCGATCTGATTCTATCTGAATCAATATTTTATGGCCGGAAATAGGCTGTACCGTGTTTCGATGTTAACCCTGTCTACAGCTCTAGTCTTGCCTATACGAACGTGCGACCCGGGCACCCTCGGCGATCAGCCAAAAAAACCGCACAGCCCCCGCGAAATCTACTTCCGGCGCCTGTTGGCCCCCCACATTTTGAACATTAATAAACGATTTCCGCCCCAGCGCCCCCGCCATGGTGGGCCTTTGGTCGGCTCGGTCTCCGTGTGGCCCATACCCTCAATCTTTAACTATTGAAGACGAGGGCCCGGTGGCTTTCTGACGGCTGTTTTTGGCAATTCTTCCCCTTGTTAACCTGGGGGAATTACTGAGTGCTTTTCGAGGGCCCTACCTGCATGACGGCTTTTATGTTTCCTGGGGGCCAGCAGGGAAAAAAAATAGGCTTTTGAATTGGTGGCCCCCAGCCGCCTGGGGCTGCCTCATTGACTGCCGTGTGTTATTTGCGAGGGATTTTTAAAGTACGGAATCGCAGGGGCTACGATTGTTTTTGTTTTTTTTTGAAAAGCGTTTTTTTTCTGGGTTCTGGCGGCTTAGAAGGCCTCTGGAAGACGCCGTTTTGCCTTCTGAACTCTTACCTCTGTTTTTATTCAAGCGTTTGATGCTTTACATCGTGCTTTACATAATGAATGAATTTTTCAGCCGTTTTTAATCTAAAAATACTCGATAAAACGAAAAAGGCGTCGGAAACGTCGCATTTTTTGTTCAGAAAGCTATGAAAAAAGGCGAAAACTAGTTATTAACTGCGGAAACTGGGCAGCTTAACCCTTTCAAAGTGTTTAAAGATTCAATTTTGTATGCTCCGTCTAAATTTTAAAATTAAAAATTAGGCATTTACTTTATTTAGGGGCCGCGACCTCCCTGCCAGCCAGCCCACAAGCCTATCCAATCTTCGGAAATGGCCAGTTCGAGATGACCACAGCCGAGACGACGCGCGGAAGATGGAAGTTTTTCTGCTACTCTGGATGTTCTTCGAGTACGCGGATGCGGTGAGGCTTTTGCTTTTAATTTCCCGAAATCAGGTTTTTCTGCAGTTGCTAGCCGATCCGGTGGATGATCGGGTAAGGGCTGTGCATTTTCCTTCGCTGTCTATTTCGGAAATTTACTAGAAAAAACTTTTTTAGTTGCTGCTACAGATGAACAGGGTTTATACGCAGACGCTGCCTGCCGCCGAGCCGCTGCTTTTTGATATCAGCCTTTTCCAGTCTTGTCCTCAGTGAGTTTTGTATAAAAGGTTCTTTCGCATTATCGGGGGAGGGTGGAATTTTTTGCATCAATGCATAATTTTTATTTAAGGTTTTTAGTAAAATTTCGCAATATCTAAAATGGAAAAACTACACAAAAACCACAAATTTATGAAATTTTGAAATTTTCTTCGAAAATTCGCTATTTTTTGTATTTTTAACGAAAGCCTGTAATGTTTTCGCGCTTAGGAAGATTAACAACAGTTTAGAAAAACTTCCTCTATTGATTTTAGCAAAATTTGGGTCTTAAAGGACAAGAAGTTAGTTTTCTCCGCTGAAAACCCAGCCCCCCGATGCTGCAAAAGAACCTAAAAAGCAGAAATTGAGGCAGGCACGTCTAATAACCTTTTTCAGATTTAACCTGATACTCACCACTGAATCGTACGATTCGACACGGGTCCTTTTCTCCTATAATTTCAAAGGTGATTTGACGGTGAGTTTAGTGGATAAAAATAATACAGATGGATTAATAATTATAGGTGAGTACGAACTCTTCAAAATTACTCCCGCCCTCCGCCGCCCCGCTCAGCGAGCACCATGAATGTCGTGAATTCAAGCGAAAATCGATCGAAATGAAGGTATCTTACGCGTTTTATGGATAAATCTGGATTTAGGTCACCAGAACCGACTTCAACTACCGGATATCGATCGGGAAAAAGTCGTTTCTGAGGCCGCGCGACCCGAACTCGAACGATTTGCGGATATTTATTCCCCAGCAAACGGATTGCTGCCTGATTCGCGCGCTGCTTTTTCAGCCTGGTGAGTCTTTTATACAAGTTATGACCTCTGGTATATTTAGAAATGCCGAGCACGCCGACGCCGGTGATTTTGAGGCGATCAAAATTGACGCCAGGTACGTTGGCTCGAAAAAACATGAAAAGCACACTAATTTAAAACGATTTGTCTTTTTGTCTTTTTGATAAAGGGATATCAAGTTTTTACGTTTAGGAATTGTAAATAAATAGCTTAGAAACTCTGACTGGATTTTATATTGTAAAAAATAGAAAATTCGGCAGCACAAATTCTTTAAAAAAAAAACAAATTTGAAGGCGATCCTTTCGCCGAAAAGGCGGAAGCCATTGAAGCGGCGGCTACACGCTCCTATGAACACCCAACCATCGCCAGCCTGGCCGACGACAAGGAGGCGGCCAATACACTTTACTCGTGGTTAGCTTAGCCTTGGATTTTCATTGACCTCTGTGTTTAGAGCTTCTCATTTCCGGCTACTAATCCAGCTTACCGGTCTTGTCGTTGTCCATTGTTTTTGTTGTGTGTTTGGCGTGTGAATTTATGATTATTTTTGGAGGGGTTTGTTGAGGTATTTCGCAAAGTTACGGCTTTCGTACATATCTCCGGGGGATTTGTAAAAGTAAAAGTAAAATTTGGGTTTTAAAAAATAGTTTCAGGACCCGAAAAATCAACGAGGGCTGGAACACGACGTTCCTCGCCTTTGGGGCCGTGATGGTGTTGCTCTTCGGAGGTTTCTCCGTTTTCGGCCTGGTGATGTTCGTCTGCCTCCAGAAGCCACCGAAGCATTGGGTCGAGCACAGCGCCGTAAGTTTGTTAATATACTCCTTTAAAAAGGTTTCAAAGCAGGAAAACGTCGTTGGACTCAGTGTTTTAAAATTAAAAAAATTATTATTTTTCGCCTTTCTATGAGCTTAAAAGGCGCTTAGAATTGAAAAAGCCTAAAGTATTTAAAACTATATAAAATTTACCCCAGTTAATTTAAAACAAAATCTCGAGCGGGTAAATCCCAACAGCCATAATCCCGACGTATTCTGGAAGTCGGGATTATGCCTATCGAGGTTTTTGCGTTGTCGGGATTTCGTCATTTGTGGATTTCGGGTGTTGGGATTTAAACTACCGGAATTATGGCTTTTTAAATATTGTCCAGGTCGAACGGGTAAGACGTTTTTGACTTTTTTGCTCATTACTGTTTTTCAAGCTTGCAAAAAATGTGATTTTGCGTTTCAACGTATTGTCATTGCATTTTTGCTTTTTTTCGAGGTTCAAACGGTTTTAAGCAGCTTGATTCTTGGAGTTTTCAAGGTTTACATTAAGCTTTTGCTCAGAAAATATCGAATATTCTACAAACTTTCAGATCGCCGCCTCGACCATCAACACATTCCGCAGCGTGCTCAGCAAGCAATCCTCACAAAAAGCGAATAATTTTGATGAATAAATAGATTTTTTTGCGATCTTCATTTGATGGGAAATATTTTGTGCCCTTTATACCGTAGCCGAGTGCGTGCCGAGGAAAAAAAAATACAGTACATCAACAAAAACACAAAATGACAAATGACCGAGTGTGTGGTGCCGAAAAGGAGCCAAATTTACTTGAAAATGCTCATTTTACGGCACCTAGAAAAATCGTAGACCCATTATCACAAGTGCGGTAGTACGGTAGAAACGGTACCGTAATTGGGTTGCAAGCGGATTACCGAATATCGTATGGCTGCGGGAGTTGACGACGGCGGCGCCAGGAATCACCTCCTGGTAGCATTCCCCGACGGAGGCGGGCGATCATCTGAAGTGGAATTTTTGAGCAAAAGATCACCGCTAGCTGTTCCTCAATTGTGGCGACTTGCAGAGATTCTATAGGATGGCTTTTAAGGCTTACGAAGCTAACTCGTCCAGCGTGTGATCCGGTTTTTACGGCGATATCAGATCGTGGAGCAGCCGGATTTGCTAAAAAATTAGATTTTTGGTATACGGAAAGAGTACTGCAATTTTTGTTTTGAAGGAGTTACCGGTTTGGCCGAGCGAGAAAAGACACAGGGCGGCTAGGAGGGCCACCCAGAGCTGCATATCTGGAATTGAGAGTTTGAACTTCATTGAGTTGATGCCAGGAGAAAGAAAGAGAGAGCGAGAGAGAGAGAGAGAGAGAGAGAGAGAGAGAGAGAGAGCGAAAGCTCGAGATAATGAACAGTTCGCAGCTCTCTGAATAACAGCGCCAAGTGGCCAATCGGCCGATCCAGATCCAAATGAATTCCCAAAGCCGAAAATCTGCTATATTTTGGGGGTGGCGAATGGCCAGCTGGAGCTCGACGCATCTGTACAAATACAACGGTGCGAATTCCAGCGCCCTACCAGTTGGCATCTCGCGCTTTTGGACCGAACACCAATTGGTCCGTGGTGAAACTTGATGCCGATCTGGAAAGTTATAACGTTAAAAATTAAATTTAATAATTTTATATTACGTAGTGGCGCTTTCCAGCCCGCCCCCCCCCAAACCCGAAAAATGCGAAGCGTCGAAAGGAAAAATGTCTTCCATGTTCCTTTAAAAATTTCGTTATCTCGATTTTTTGCACGACTACACTGTGCCCCATTTACTCCGGGCAATTAGCCGTGGACAGGCACGTCGGGTGGTGAAAATGCATAAAATTGGGCAGTATCACAAAATTGGGGCCAAAATGGGTGTGGAGACCACGCGAAAATACTTCCGGCACGTGTCTCGAGATCATTTGGCTGTCTTTTTCAGCTTTCAAGTGGATTTTTCAGGGTTTAGAAGTGTGAAAAATTTTTTTTTCATTTGCCGGCTTTCTCAAGCAGCTTTTCCAATTTAGCATTGCGGAAGCTCCCAAAGCTCCAAATGCTGGCGATGATATCAGGAATGTTTTCGGGTTGTGCCCCCCGTGCTGATGAATATTTTTTAGAGGGCTAGAGGGGCGAGGTGGTGGCGGGAGTGGCTTCTTTATAGTATGAGCAAGAGGCCAAGACTGCTCTAATTCCATAAATAACATTTTTTTTAGTGAATTTGTCACGTATAATCTTGTAGTTTGACTTTTATACTGTATTAAGCCGAAGTCATTAAATTCAAACTTTAACTTAAGTTTTCAAGCGCTAAGATCCTTAATATTCGACTGAAAATTCGATATCTTTCGTAATTTGCTTAAAAAAATGTGCAAAGTTTTAGGCTTAGTTTAGTTCTTCGGTTTTAACAGTTTAGAAACTTTACAAATTTGTACTAAAAATGCCTATATGACATTGATTTTCGACCTAAAATGGAAAATTTTGGATCCATCGAAACTTAAATGAAAATTAGGTCCCCCTGATAAATTTGCTAACCAAAATTAAATGCACAAACTATTTAAAGTAAGACTTTTAACCCATTCAACATATTTTTAAAGTTGCCCTAAATTTCCATGTTTTCCTAATTCCGCCCCAAGCCCTTGGTTCTTTTTTGGAACTTTGGAAACATCAGAATTCGTGGCCCTCGCTAGATCTCCCTGGAAATGCACACAAATTAGCGGTGTCCATTTTGCGGCCCTCCAATTTCTCATCCGCCAGCTGATTCATCCACATCCATCAGCCCCAGGGCACCCCGCTATCCAAAAAGTGTTCTTTAGTTTTGTTTTGAGCGTTCCGCGGCGGCGGCGGTCGGGCTGACGAGTTTTTTGGGTTTTTTGGGATGTCGTGATGTTCAGTTGCATCCATTTTTTGGAACTATTAAAGGGACCAGATCTCGTCGAGTCGTTGCGCCATAGAAAATAGTATGTTTTTCCACATGACACTACAAAAACGATTTGGTATTTATCTGCAGTCGCTTCTCTCTTATAAACTCCCAGGGGTTTACAAATATCCTTTAAATGCCCTCTAACGGTTCCTGTTTTTACTCGTACATTGGAACACTCTTAGACACTCCCTGAGGGTACGGTAGACACATGTGAAAATTGTCAATAAGCGCCAGGAAAGGAGACAGACGGAAAATTCACTAAAATGCATACCACTCGGCATAGGGGGGGGGGGGAGGGGGAAGGATGATGATTAATGGCTGAAATTCACACTCCCTAAACCACACCTCTTACAAAATACTCACCAATTCATTGTACGGCCCAGGCATGGGATAAGCTCTCGATCCGAAGATCTATGTGTTTTATAAGATTGCTAGGTTTACGTCGTACGGACGTCGCCGAAATATGGATCGCAAGTTTAGTCGTTTCGAAGCTTTTTAGTTTTTTTGAAATTTGATAACGCTGTGTAATGGAGCTAACTGACTTTCTCCAGCAGATTTTTTAGCGGTTTTGACTTGTTGGTCCCTTTAAAACGAGAGATCCAAGAGTGATAGAGTAAGATAGAAGGAGAGAGAGAGAGAGAGAGAGAGAGAGAGAGAGAGTTCTCAAATGCATGGCGAATTCGACAAGTTCACAGCCTCCGCAAGACGCTAGCGGCCTGTGCAATGTACAGGTACCGACTAACGGCTGCCAAAAGTCTCTGCCTCTGTCAGCCAGTCTCTCCCTATCTCTCTCTTTCTCCCTCTCTCTCTCTCTCTCTACCGTATCCAAGCGGCCAAAAACCCCTGGCCGCGGCATATTTTGATGCACAGCGTTCGATGATGGTTGACGAACCCCCGAACAACGGTTGAGTGAGTGTGAGTGCTCTCTGTCTCCCCTGCCGACTAATGCAGTTTCGCTAATTGGGCGCATTAAGGGCTTTCTGTGGGCCTTTTTGGACCCTCTGCGCGGCTCGATAATCCCGCTTCTCTTTCTGAAACATCCTCATCATCATCAACCCGTCTTTTTTCCCTTTTCACAGAAGTGGAGCGTTCTAAATATTTGATAACTAGTATATTAAGGGGTGGGGAAGTACGAACGTGAATTTTTACGAGAAGCGGAAGTACTGATTTCATTAAAAGGGTTGGTGGTTCTTTAACAGGGTTTAGTCTGAGGTCAGCGGCTTCGCGGCGCGCGCTCTCTCTCTCTCTCTCTCACTCTCTCTCTCACTCATTCTCTCTCTTTCTCTGTCTCGCTCGATTTAATTTTAAAGCAGTAAGACCAAAATTTTAGGCAGGTTTCTGATGGTGAACATAGTATGGGCTGATAGAGAGAGAGACAGAGAACAAAAGAGAGAGCGAGAGAGAGAGAGAGAGATAAAGAGAAGGAGAGAGAAAGAGCGAGGGAGCCAGACCAGAGGCCCACCTAAGAAACTCCAGACTACTATTTGCTTTGTGCGGATCCCCAGATGAGCATTATCTGAATATTTGCTCCCCGACTATGACCCAGTCTGGTCTCCAGATTCTCATAAACCGCATAAGAAGAAGGAAAAACCGCCGTAAAACGAAGTTCGGAAAATTTGTTCATCAACCTGATCCGGAAGCCAAAATCCGTTTTTCAGAAATTTCTTTTTATCTTTGATCTCTTCCACTACCTCGATCTCTCATGCCTTCAAAAATTCACCAGAAGCCATTCAAACGACTGGCGTCAGGAAATCGTTTGCGTCCAATTTTTATAGGTTTTCTTTTCCGATTTTTATAAATTCCGATAATTAAAAGTTCGGAGCCGCGACCCGCCATTTGAATTGGCGAATTGCCGGCCAGGGATTCGAAGCAAACAGGCCAGCGAGCCCAAAAACGCGATAATTTATGTGGGTAATTTGACGGAGGCAGGCCAAGTGCGTCCTCTGGCTATTGTTCGGCCTCGCCTACTCGATTTTGATTGTTTGGAGATTCGGGAGAGCGAGAGAGAAACAGAGAGAGAGAGAGAGGGAGAGAGAAAGAACGAGAGAGTGAGAGAAAGCTAGGGCATTTCTAGCGCTATTTTTTTGGCACTTATCTACCGCAAAGTGCCATGTCACTCATTCTTGCACTGAAGATACTCCTAGATCCGGGTGCCCTAGGCTCCCCTATTTCCAGTCATTAATACTAGATTTCTAATGGCCCTCGCCCCGCACCAGGAACTGGGCCCTACGTGGCCCCTCGCCCGGGTGGACCCTGATGAAAATTTCAGGAATTCTTAAAAAAATATTCCAGCTATTCTTGATTCCGACGTTCGGCGGATTAGTCATTTCTGAGTTTTTCGATTCGAAACGGGTCTTCAGAATTATTTAAAGGGACCGGCAAGGCTATGGATTGCTTGGATTTTGCTGTAACTTCTCTTCCAAATTTTTTCTTAAAAGGGAACCTCATGGCACGGTGGAGTTTCGAAAAGGGGTAGCCGCGAGCGTTTTTCGAAACTCCACCGTGCCAACTTGAGGTTCCCTTGTTAGTATCGAACTGATCCAATATAAATAGAGTTTGTGCTTCTAAACCTAAAACTGCTTCTAATTTATTATTAGTATTTAATAAGCACAAAAATGTTACAAAATTTTGTTAGAAACGACAAAAAATAGATTTCGAAAAATTTCGAATTTTTAATACTTTTAAAAGTTTTTAGCCCGTTTTTCCACAAGAAATATTGCTTAATTTAAATTTAATTATCTTTGTAAATACTTACTGTTATACTACAAGACAGCTCTGTGTTTTTACAAAGATTCGGTTCCCCCCCTGACCCCCCCCCTCCCCCCTCGCCGATAATAGCAAAGTACCGGCATTTTTTGTGGTCCGGAAGTCCTAAATTGCCCTCATCATTTCCAGGTAGTATGATATTTTCAGACGCGGCGAGTTTTTGATGGCGTGATTTTCCGCGTTTTGAGGTGTTTATTGGAATTCCGGGTTCACCGGGGGCTAGGGGCTGCCCAGGGGCGTGAGTTTGGTCTAGTGTCTAGATCCTATAGGGGCAAATCGGGGGCGCTCACCCCCGGGTACTCCTCGAAGGGCTTCATTTTCTCCTGATGATTCCTTCCTTCTCATTCCGATTTGTGCTTTGGTAATCCAATTAAATTCCTTGAGAACATCATCGTGCTTCAGTTAATTCAATTTTTTTGCTAGTAGAACTAGATATAAATAGAAAACAAATTGAAGTAAGATAAATTGGAAAATAGATCGTGCGAAATGATCAAAATTCGATTGCTACTGCTGAAAGCATTTTAGCTGGCCTGTTATATCGCATTTCTCTAAACTTTTTGGATCGATATCCTGAAGTGTCTCTGCTAGCCCGCCGTTTCTTACCGAATTTATCGATTTTTGTTTTGATTTATGAAGCTTTCCGCCAAAAAATTCTGCTAGCTGGTTTCTCTAGATCCCCAAGGAGTGCCGAGAATCCTGAAAGCGTTGCAGCCGTGTTTCTCCACATTTAGAGCAAAATACTGGCTTCCAGATACCTTTAAAAAAAGCCTCATACCTTCAAGAATTTTCTAGAACGAGCCAATTTTGTTTATAATTAATTGTTTATCCTTTAAATGGCTATGGAAGCCATATCTGTCCGAGTGTACCCTAGAAAAGAGCCCATTTTAGGGATTCTTCTAGGTAGAATCCCCCCGTCACTTGGTTTCTTTTCGATTAAAAGAATGGATTTCTTGGGAGCGATTTTTCCCATTCCCCCTTGATTTACATTGTCCTAATTTTATTTTTAGTAAGCCTCCTCGTCTCATGTAGGCCAGGTTTTTTTGATAGTTTTTTTGTCTTCCTTTTCTTCGAAATGTCTGAATTTCCATCCTAAATCTTGCTGTTTGTAGCCGGGTCCCCCAACGCATCAGCCGAAATGTTGCGCGCCAGCACGCTATTCCGCGCCTTCTTCCTACTGCTCGCCCTCCTCGCTGCGGTTACGGTGGCTCAGGAGCCGCATCAGGATGATGACAGTGTCCCGGTCGCCAATCTGCTAACGAATGAGCATTTTAGAGTATGTTGATTTTTGGGGTCTTTTTGCTGTTTTTGGCGCTTAGCAGTTTGAGAGAGTCTGAGAGAGAGAGCGAGAGAGAGAGCGAGAGAGAGAGAGAGAGAGAGAGAGAGAGAGAAATAGGGAGCGAGCGTGAGCGAGAGTGAGCTATAAAGAGAGTGAGAGACTAATATCTCTTTGTATTACCCACTTCAGATACCCGCCGAACTCTGGGAGCAACTCCGCGCCGCCCAAGACGTTCAAGAAGCTCAGCCCAGGCAACGGCAGTTCGCCAGGAATAGCCGGTAAGTATTGCATTATAGGGCTCACTATACACGCTATGTAATTAATGTTACCGGACCGTAGCGCAACCGCAACGCGGGCGCACGCCCTTGCTTTTTGCTGAAAAAATAGTAGAAAATTATGCTTTTGCTCAGCGCGAAACTAACACGGTTGTATAAATAAATGGAATGAGTACGTAATGCTCCAGTTTACGCAATTCTAATATCTACAAAATCAATGCAAAAGTACGATTTCCAGAGCCAACGGCAAGCCAACGTTTATCCGTTTCGGCAAACGCTCCAAGCCCCATTTCATCCGTTTCGGCAAGCGCGACCAGCAGATGGGGTTGATGTAATTTTCGAGTATTTTTGTGGAAATGTTCGTGCATAGTATCGTCTCGGAATCTTGTAATTTTTTTGAAAAATACGTGCAGAAAACAGAGTTAAAACGATTTTTTGGGCAGGAAGATAAATGGTTGAATTGTTGGCTATGCCTTAAAAAATAAACACATTTCCGTGTCTAAGCAATAAAAAATAGAAAATAAGAAATAAACCCTTTTAGACCCTTTTAGACCACTAAAGTATGCAAATTTATTCGTTCAACAAACTCGTTGGTTTTCTCCTTTTAAAAGTGTACAGAATATAATCCAATATACGCATTTCGTAAGGTGAAATATGGTGGAAGGAGATCATCGACGGCGAGAAGTTCTTTGCGCCCTAAAATTTTCTTTTTAGACTCGAAAATTCCGCAAATTGCTCTGCTAGCTTGCCTCTTACAGTACTACCAAATTTCCATACCTTTAACGGTGTATAATAGGCAAATCTCCTCGCGAACCCGTCCTTGTACATTTCAAGCTGTTCGCTAGGATGGAAATGGTGAAAACGCTCGGATCCTGGGCATTTAAATATTTTTATTTTTAATTTATTACTGACCGTTCTCATCCCTTGTATCCTCAGGGTAGATCCCAACAGCGGCTAGACACTTTGAAATCTCAAAAAAATTGAGTTTTAAGGTGAATTTTGATACCTCCTGGTCCTCCTCGGCCCTGTGGAAGTCTGGGCAGAGCTCTGGGTCTTTCATTACCTAAAATAAATGTTTTTAAAGTTAAATTATGAACAAAACCCGATTGAAAGCCTCCACGGTCGGTCTGGAAAGGATGTAAGCGCCACCGTCAGCGTAGCCTTCTTCCTAAAAGGTGGATATTGTTTAAGCTGGCTCTCTCTCTCTCTGTCTCTCTCTCTCTCTCTCTCTCTCTTTCTCCCTCTCTCGCTCTCTCTCTTTCTCTCTCGCTCTCTCTCTCTCTCTCTCTCTCTCTCTCTCGCTACCTACCGAAAAGAAGTTCCACCTATACCCGAAATAGTGCGGCACATCCGGCGAATGCTTATACAAAAAAGCTCGTAGGTTATCGACCACTAAAATAGTCCCAAGCTACAAACTTCAGATTCCAAAATCCACCAATATACGCATCGTCATCAGCCCTCAAATACCAATCATACTTTACGGGATGCCGCTCGATGGCGTGGCTAGAAAGAAGAAGCAGTTTTAGCTTTTGAGCTCAAACTACAAAACACAACATGAAAACAATTAAAATACCGCTCAATGAAATATATTAAAAAAGATATACTTGAAAATCCTTCGTATCTTCTCCCAGGAATGGTCGCGCTCGTTCAACTCTGGCCAGTAGACGTGTGGGATATGATCGCCCATGTGTGAATCTAGGACTCGAGTAGAACGAAAGAGAGAGAGAGAGAGAGAGAGAGAGAGAGAGAGAGAAAGAAAGAAAGCGAGAGAGCGAAAGAGTGAGAGAGGGAGAGACAAGATAATACCTGTAAAAAACAAGAAATCATCACATCTTGGAGCCCATGTGTTGAGGATGGTATTTGCCTGGAAAGGGAGCTTTACAATATTTTTCTGGCAATTACAGTCAAAATTCAACAATTTTAAGCCATTTTGAACACATTACAAATATCAAATTTTGCGTCACTTCGCTCTTTCTAAATAATCAAAAAACCGTACCCGGGTTTGATGGCTCGGCGTGGCCGTATGAATCAGACAAAGTATCGTCCCATTCCGTGCCCCAACGATCGTAACCAGAGACAAAAATAGCAGTAGCATTTGGGAGGAATAAACCATAGCGGAATGAGCAATTGCAGCTACTCCATAACTGTCACACCTCGCTGTATCGTGGCCTAAATCTCGATCAAAGTCAGATTGGTAAGAAACAGGCCGAAAAACAACATTGAAGACTAGCAGAGTAGAGTGCGGCTTATTCAAACCGGGTTTGAATAAGATTTCCGTTATTCAAATCAAACCGGTTTGATTTGAATACGGGATCCTTATTCAAACCAAACCCGGTTTGAATAAGGATTCCCAACTCAAACCAAACCAAACCGGTTTGAATCATTTGAACAAGGTTTGAATAAGAACCAGTCTCCAAAACAGTCTGTTTTCTGTCCTGTTTTTAGCGTTTTGGCACCAATCTATTGGTGATTCACTTTAGGGTCGTTCGACAGCATTTCTGCCAGGTTTTTGGGGTTAGCGGACCATTCGAGACGTTTTTTTCTGGCAGCCTGCCAAGGTTATCACGACCATTAGGATGCTTGTGAACGGTCGTGAATGCCAAGCCTATGGTTGAAAAAGTGTGTACACACTGTAAACTAAGCCAATTTCATCATCATAATGGTCGCGCATGGTTTTAGAAGGGATGTCTTGAAATCTTAGCCGATTAGCATCCATCCGATCAATTAACATGCTGATTTGCCTGTTGTTCAAACCAATTCAAACCAACTCAAACCTGGTCGGTTTGGTTTGAATAACGGATCCTTATTCAAACCAAACCGGTTTGATTTGAAAAGCAGATTCTTATTCAAACCGCCCTTATTCAAATCAAACCGGTTTGAGTCGCGATTTGATTTGAATAAGCCGCACTCTACTAGCAGAGATCGTTGGGGAATAGAGGTAGGATAGCAGAGAGCATTAGGGATTTGGGGCAGGCGAACAGAGAGCATTTAGAAAGCAGATATTATCCTAGCAGAGATGTTTTGGGAAATCTGGAAAACGAGCAGCGATTATTGGGGAACGGAGGGTAGGCTAGGAGAGGCCATTTAGGAAGAGGATGGTAGTTGTTGTAGAGGAGGGTTGCTAAGATTAAATGGAAAATATGGCAACTAGCAGAGATCATTTAGGAAAAGGATGGCAGGCTAGCAGAGAACATTTGTGAAATGTGGTGAGCTAGCAGGGACCATCCGGGAAAATGAGAGCAGGATATCGGAGGGTTAGCGCAATTTGGCAAGATAGCAGAGGCCATTTGGGAAAGGGAGGACAGGCTAGCAGCTATTATTTGAGAATTAGGGCAGATAGCAGAAACTATTCATAGCATAGGAAAACCACATTCGGCATTGAAAAGCCGAAATTCGTAGAGTTGCAACGGAACAACGAGCGCGGGCGCAGAGCACAGAGCGAGATAAAATCTGGACTGAAATTGGGTAGACCCCAGCGCTCAAAGCCCTCAAAGCCAAAAAGAACAGAAATTGCGCAAAAGCTCCGTAAAAATGAGTTTAAATAATAAATTAGAATACCGGAATCCTGCGTAAAATCTGGAAAAATTTCCAAAAAAATCCAGCCACGACTAGGCTTACCGTATGGAACGGCACGCCGTGGTCACCGAGGTGACCCAGGTGAGTTTCATTCTTTCCTTTCTTTCTTTCTCTCTCTCTCTCTCTCTCTCTCTCTCTCTCTCTCTCTCTCTCTCACTCACGCTCTTCTCTAAATCTCCCGCTTTTTCAGGATGCCGTCTCCGCGGCCACACTCCAGAAGGTGCGGTTGAAAATGAAAAACCTGACGCTACACCAGCACGGCACTTTCTCCAACGTTTACAGGTGCTTGCTTGCTTGCTCGCTCTCTCTCTCCCTTTCTCTTTCTTATTTTAAAGGGAACATGACAACATACTTTAACTCCATTTTCCAGAGGTACCTTAGTTGAGCCGGGCGGCCCGATGGAGGTGGCGATCAAGAAGACGTGGCCAGAGCCTTATGTAAGCGAGAGAGAGAGAGAGAGAGAGAGAGATAGAGAGAGATAGAGAGCGTGAAAAAGAGAGCGTGAAAGAGAGAGCCGGCGAAAGAGGGAAAGAGATAGGGAAAAGCGATTACTTTAGGGAGACCCAATCTCCTTCGAAGGTGCCTTCCTGCGCGGCGCGGATCGACCGGGGCACAAGAACATCATGCAGCTACTCTACACATTTCGAAATGACAAGGAGACGTGGAGTCGAGTGAGTTTTGCGTGAGAGAAAGAGAGAGACAGAGTGAGCGGGAGAACGATCCTCATGTCAATTTTTAGGCCTGCGAGTCGTTCGTCTTCGAGTTGATGCCCTTCAACCTTGGCCAGTTGATAAAATCGGTAGTTTGCCAATGCCGAAAATTCCAACGCACGTTCATCTCCAGAAAGAAGCAATCGAAAAGACGGACGTCAAGCTGTACGCGTGGCAGCTCTTCTCCGGGCTGTTGTACTTGGAAAAGGTGGTTGAGCTGAACGGCTTGAGCATGAGGCCTCGGTTCTGAGTGAATGCAAGGATCGGGACACGTTTTTTGAGACTGAAGTCATTGAGCTTGACCTCTCGTGTCTGTCGAATCAGAAAAGATTGAGCACCACTATTCGGGCTTCTGAACGTCTTGAACTTGAGCGCTTATCTTAGCCAGCTTGGTGAGCATCACCCAATTCCAGAACCTGATAATCCACCGCGACTTGAAACCGGTGAACGTGTTGGTGGACCCGGAGAAAGGGATTCTGAAAATCACCGACTTCGGCTCGGCCAAAGTCGTCGTCCCCGAGCATCCCAGCACGTTTTATCAGGTTTGTAGATTGCTGCGCTTTTTACGTATTTTTCAAGTCTAACGCCGCTTATTTTCAGGTGACCCGCTTCTACCGGCCGCCGGAGCTGATCCTCCGCTCGACCCGCTACGATACGACAGTTGGTGGGTACTGTAAGAGGGTAGAAAGTGGATTCAAGGGGATAGTCACATCAACAACTTTCCGAATTCCCGGAAAATCCAAAGCCAAACCTTTAACGCACCTGTAAAGCCCCTGATTCTCCAGACGTCTGGTCGGCCGGCTGCGTGCTGGGCGAAATGCTGAAGCGGATGGTGCTCTTCCCCGGCCGCGACACCTACGAGACGCTAAAAGTTGGGCCAACAGGGCTACGGTAGAACGGTCACTATTTAGCTGATCGTCACCATCCTCGGCTCGCCCAAACCCGAAGACGTCGTCGCGATGAAGGTCACCAAGAAGTTTGTTGGGGCACCGGTGGCGCCAGCCGGGGTGAAAATGGTAGGGTTTTAACGGATTGAGATTTAATTTCCGCTCCAGTTACTTCCAAAAAGCGACGACGAGACGCTGCGCGTCATGGAGCAGCTGCTCGTCTACGACCCACAGAAGCGGCTACGGGGCCAGAAATTTCTCGAACACCCGTGGTTTGAGGAGATTTTTCGGTGGGCCATAGATTTCTCCCCCTCTCACTTTCTCTCTCTCTCTCTCTCTCTCTCTCTCTCTCTCTCTCTCTATCTCTCTCTCTCTATCTCTCTCTCTCTCGCTCTCGCTCTTTATCTCTCTCTCTTTTTCATTCTGAACTTCTTGATAAGCTCGAGAAACTTTCGGCGCTGAACTTACTGAACTTGTGGTTCAAACCGTAAGTTTGCTTTCTCTCTCTATCTTTCTCGCGCTCTCTTTCTCTCACTCTGCTCTCTTCATTTTTTCCGGTTCGCTTCCTCTCGACTCTCCACGCTATCGCCTGCTGAACGGCTCGAAAAGCTCGCACAATTTTTCAGACCCGGCGCTCGTCGAAAATCCGGCCAGCCCATCGCCCAGATCATCACCGTGTCCGACCGGGCGGCGGTCCGGGACCCGTGGGTCGTCTCCAAGTTCACCCGCATGCAGCAGGCTGCCGAGCGGTTGCGTCGCGACAAAAAGGTACGGTATTTGATCCACGGCCTCGGCTAATTGCGCGGAGTTTCAGCTCGAATACTCGCACGGGAGCCGATCGACCGGACAGCTGAAGCCGGGCAACGAGGCGGTGAAGTAGGGTTTAAAGGGGAGAAGGTAGATGAACTTCACTTCAGAAGAGCAGTTTCTGCGGATTGTCGACCTGCTCGAGCCGTGTCGGAGGAGGGCAAGAAGGAGAAGGTATGGCACTCTCTCTCTTTCCGTCTCACTTACTCTCGCTCTCTCGCTCTTTACATTGAACCTGTTGAACTCGTTCCCAAGCCTGCACAAGCGTAGGGAGTGCAGCAAATTAACTTGAACTTGCCGAACTCGTGCTTGAAGCCTTTCTCTCTCTCCCTCTCTCTCTCTCACTCTTTCTCTCTCTCTCTCTCTCTCTCTCTCTCTCTCTCTCTCTCTCTCTCGCGCTCTCAATTTCCTTTTTTTCAGATCCCGAGCCCCGACGCCATCGTCTGAAGCTGCTCACCGCCCTCCGCCAATTCAACCCTTAATTTTTCTTCTGCATAATTTTCCGAATTATACACGACCTGCTGCCTGGCGAGAATATTGTATTCAGCCTGACATTTGAGGAATAAACTATTTATATTAATTCCCGGCCCACTACCGACTAAATATTGATCGAATTCTGGACGTCGAGCAGGGTGGAGGCTGATTTTTTGAGGAGTTCGTGCTGAAAGGTGCATTTTGGAAGAAAGAGAGAGAGAGAGAGAGAGAGAGAGAGAGAGACAGCCATGTGCGCGAATACCTCTCGTGGATTCAAATTCTGCCTGATGATATGCGTGACGCCATTAGTGCCAAGTATCACCGGAAGGGAGAGAAAAAGATCATCTTTGATCCCGTGAACGCCCTGAAAATGTTTTAAAAGCTTTTGAACAGGCTTACCTTCACATTAATGGACAAAGCAAAAGCGGCCCGCCCGTTCGTCACCATCCCGTGCAGGATATTGGCAACGGAGAGGCCGATGGCCCACGAGGTGTACCCCTTCAGCTTGATGATTTCGTAGGCGCTTAAAGAGGACAAAAGTTCAGCAAGTTCGGCGAGTTTAGGTCTGCATTTGAGCGTCGATACAGCATCCACGCTTTTGACACGAGCTTAGCAAGTTCAACTCCGCAGCGAAAATTCCGGCAAGAAAGAAGGAAACGCGTGGATAGGCGGAGCACGATGCCAGCAAGTTCAGACCCAGATAAGCTCGCTACCCACCTGCCCACCACCTTCTTGTGCAACTCCTCCCTCCAATTATCCTCATCCTGAGCAGTTCCAATCGGCACGGTCTCGGTCAGGCTGACCCCGGTTACGCTTGTTTCCGACCAGACGGCAACTGGAAAGTCTCGTAGTGGCCAAGAGACAATTCTTAGTACCTGACGAATCTCCATGTTCCCCAATAATCCATCCATTACAACTGGCCGGGGCGATGTTCAGGCGTTCGGAGAGTAAAAAACGAAATCTTGACGATTCAGATTGATATTGAACCTTTCCTTACCTGCCGGAATCCAAGTTCGTCCCTGAACCCCAGACTCGTTCTCTGGGGAGACCGGAAAGCTTCCAGGCTACGTAGGAGAGGACGTCAACTGAAATGTTGCGGAATTTAATGGATGTAAGGTAGAGAGAGAGCGAGAGAGAGAGAGAGAGAGAGAGAGAGAGAGAGAGAGAGAACGAGAGAAAGGACAAACCTGGATTCGACACCACCATAATACAAGTCTCCGGCGAGTGCTTGACCAGCTCGGGGATGATGCCCTAAATCCGCTTTTGCTCCTTATAAACTATTTTCCCACCTTGAAAATCTCCACATTCCGCTGCACCAAATGGATTCTGGATTCTCCCTCCTGCTGCCTGGCCCCAGCCGTAATTATGCAAAGTTTGGAGCCCTTGGAAATAGCGTAATCTGGAAAAGGTGACCGGAGACTGGAGGTTTTTTACCCGAATCCGCGTGAACTTTACATGGAATAGTAAAGGCAACAGCTTGGCCAAGATCCATAAGTTCGCCCTAAAACTATTTAGTGTTCTCTCTCTCACTCGCTATCTCTCTCACTCTCTTTCTCTCTCACTCTCTTTCTTTCTCTCTTTCACTCTCTCTCTCTCTGTCTCTCTCTCTTTCTCTCTATCTATCACTCTCTCTCTTTCTCTCTATCTCTCGCTCTCTCTCTCGTTCTCTCTCTCTTTCTTTGTCTCTCTCTATCTATCTATCTCTCTGTTACCTTCAATTTATCGCTGTTCCGGTCGATGAGAATAAGAGTATGGGCCAGGTTCTAAAAAAAGATAAATTTAAATGTTGCTACCATAACCGACAAGCCCTGCCTAGTACTGTAGAGTTTCTCAAAAATCGCCTTTTCCATACCTGCTGAAGAATACTGTACGCACACGCCATCCCCACGGCTCCGCACCCAACGATGGTGATCTCAAGATTTCCAGAAATTGGACGACACTTAAAAATATACAACAATACGCTGCGCTACGCAACACCGTATTTCACGCACTTTGGCATATTGAGCCGGAACCGCCAGGCAAACCACGTGGAATAGCGCGTCGCGCGTATGGGACATTTTTAAAAATTGGGTCGGTGTCGGGCAGACTAGAATGCGGTGAGAAAATAGAGAGAGAGAGAGAGAGAGAGAGAGAGAGAGATCGGATTGTCGCGAACTCTAATTTTGTCGTCTGAATCTATGAGTGTTTCTAGGCCAGTCAGTGGGGAGTCTTTAGGAATTCTTATGCCCATTTTATGGATAATTTTAGCATTTTAAACAGTGCGATGGCGACAGTTTGCTAAGCGAACAGGAGCGCCCAATTGGTATTTTTTTCGTTGTTGCAGTTGTTTTTTGGATGTGCCATACTGGTCGTCCGATCGGTAAACAATTGATAGTAGTTCCCCGCCTTCTGCCCTTGCAGAAAAATCACTTCTCAAGTAATTGTACTAAGTGCATTACCGAAAAAAAATGGAAATTGGCACTTTATTACGCTAAAATCGAGATCATGTAGGTATAAAAATACAAATTACGAAAATGAAAATTACAACATCGAGAATGGCAATAGTAAAGCACAGTAACAATCGACAATTTCTATCAACTACTGTAGGGCTAGGAGGGCGCCTTTTAGAAGGAGATTCCTTTCTGGACTTCGAGGAGGGCCTGGGCCGACTTTTGGAGCTGGGCGACCTGCAAAAATCGAGGTTATCGACATGGTGAAACCAAAAATTCATGGAATTTTTACACTTCAAAAACCCTCACGAACCTCTCCCTCGCTGAGATTCTGGCGGACGACGTGCGTGATGCCGTTCGAGCCCAAGACGACGGGCAACGAGAGGAAGACGTCGTCCTGGATGCCGTGAGTACCCTAAAATTAAGAGAATTGATTGTCCGACCCCGTTTCGGAAAGTTCAGGCTCGTTGGGAACTTTAGACAGAGACAAGAGACCAAAAAAGAGAGAGTAGTTTTGAGCACGAGCTGCAGCTGCATATTTTGCTGGCACTGTCCCTGTAAAACCCCGCAACGGCTCACCTTGACATTGGTCGATAGGGCATACACGTTGCGGGTGTTGCCCACCATCCCTTGGACAATTTTGGCCACGGAGAGACCGATGGCCCACGAGGTGTACCCCTTCAGCTTGATGATCTCGTACGCGCTGGAATTGTGATTTGAGCACGAGTTCAAAATGTCTAGGCTCGATTGTGCAGCCGGCTAAGTCATCTAGGCATTGCGCTCATGTTAGGCAAGTTCAGGTACGCATAGAAGCTGAACAAGATAGAGGGGAAAGAGAAACTTGCGGAATCGTGAAAAAGCTTTGAACACAAGCTCGGTAGGTTTGTGGTTGTCTTGTAGCTTGTAGCCTGTCAGAGGCCAGCGTTCGGCTTCAGTAAGTTCAGGTTAGCCAAAAGTACGCCCTAGAGAGCGAGAGAGGGAGAGGGAGCAAAAACTATAAGCACGACTTCAGCAAGTTCACGATATTATTCTGTGCGGCAACGAGTTCGAGGAGTTCAGACAAAAAGGGAAAGAGAGAGCGAGTGCATGAGATACCGAGAACAGTTCGACACCCACCTATCGATAACCTTCTTGTGCACCTCCTGCTCCCAGTTATCAGTGTCGCCAGATCCGCCGATGGGCACAATTTCGTGCAGGTTGACTCCGGCAACATTCACCCCGGACCAGACGGCAACTGGAAAGTTGTGTACTTAAAGCCGGATTTTTTGCCATACCTGAAGAATCTCCATGTTCCCCAATGATCCATCCGTGGCAGCTGGACGGGGCAATGTTGAGGCGCTCGGAGAGGAGGAAGCGGAACCTGGATAAACGAGGTTTTATTGGGAATTTCGAAAGTCACCTAGCCGAGTCCAAGTTGGTGCCGGAGCCGAAGATGCGCTCGCGGGGGAGGCCAGAGAGTTTCCAGGTAACGAAGGTGAGAATGTCGACTGGAAAGGAGTGGAATTTTGAGAGAGAGAGAGAGAGAGAGAGAGAGAGAGAGAGAAAGAGAGAGAGAGGCAGAAAGTGAGGGTGAGTGAGGGAGAGGGAGGGTGAGAGATAGCGGGTGTGAGAGAGGAGGGAGAGAAACAGCCAAAACCCTAACCTGGATTCGACACCACCATAATCGACGTGTCCGGCGAGTACTCGACGAGCTTCGGCACGATTCCCTGATTCAGGATTAGCGTAAGACATCGTGATCAGCACCTTGAAAATATCAACATTCCTCTGTACGAGCGATAGACGTGACTCTCCCTCACGCTGGCGAGCACCAGCCGTGATCACGCACAGCTTTGAGCCCTTCGTGATGGCGTAATCTGGAGTGGAACGGAATTTTGTGATTTTTCGGAGTTGGCTAGCAAAGATTCTTCAGGAAATCTCCAAAAAACCACAAACCAGTATCGGCATTGATGGTGCAGTGCTTGGTGAAGGCGAGCCCGTGCTGCAGGTCCATCATTTCGCCCTGGAATTTCGTAATGATACTATAGACGGTATGAGTACGGTACCTTCAGCTTATCGGCCACACAGTCAACCAAGCAGATCTCGTTGGCAAGGTTCTAAAAATATGGTAAAATAGCGAAAAACAACGAAAATGAAGCTAGAAAACACAAATAAAAATTGAAAATGTCGAATGACCTGCTTCATAAAATTTTGATTTCTATAACAAAAATCTAGTTGTTTTTTTAATAAAAAAAGCCCGACAACAAAAAATGTCTCAAAAAATACAAATCTTCAGGAATTGGATTATGAAATTATAGAGTTTTTTTACGATGCAACAGCGAAAAATTAAAAAAGCACCAAAATAATCGTAAAATTTACCTAAAAAATAAAATTAAAATTACCTGTTGCAAGATACTGTAGGCGCATGCCATGCCGACCTGTCCGACACCGACAATCGTCACCTAAATTCGGGTATAAATAATTACGACAGGAAATTCCCGAACCTTTCCATGACCAGCCGGCGCGGCCGGGATGATCTCCTCGAAGAGAGCGGCTTTCGTGTGGGACATCCTGAAAAATACGATAAATTTTGGTTGGAAATACGATAAGGAAATATAAAAATTCATGAATTTTCCAGAATGGATGAAAATGTGGTGGTTCTGTTATCACCCCGGGAAGTTAGCAGATGTTATTTTCGAAAATCCTAAAGCGGCGCGAAATGGCGCATTAATGAAAGTCAAGATCACGAATATCCGTTGACGTCCTATATATAACAAAAAGATCAGAATTTTTCCTTATTTTTAGCAGAATTTAAACAATTAAACATTTTTTTAATCAATGAACTAACTTTTCTTGAACCAATCGCTATTTTCTAACTAAATAAACATATCAAAAATTCATTAACAGGTCGTTTTTCTTAACTAAATGCCTTTAAGCCTAGTCAAAATATTTAAACATTTTTAGCTTAAAAAATTCGAATAATATGAAACCGTGAAGCTCAGTATCCAGTTTTAAAATTAAGCTGCCTGCCAGGCTGGTATTTTTATTTTAAATCCGATTAACAGCAAAGTACACCGTTTAAACCTCATCCCTAACTATCGATAAACAGCAACCTCTTCAAGGTCAAAATGGCCGCGAAACCATCAGGTTGGGGGAGGAGTTTGAACTTTTAATCTCAGGAAACTTGTCCCCGACACCCGGCAGACAAGGCTGCTCTCTCTCTCTCTGTCTCTCTCTCTCGCCGGGCTCTACGCGGCGTACCCGAAAAATCGTGCAAAATCGGGGATATCGGGGGCGAGAGTGGGGGAGACTTGGAGAAAAAGAGAACAAGGGTCTCCCGGCGGGTCTGACAAGCTGAAAATAACCACGAAGCCAGCAGACCCGGAACTGGCCACTGGATATCTCCTTGTTGATTGGTCAGGGAAGGTTAGCAATGGTTCTTGAGGAAAATAAGGCATTAGGGATTTCATAAATTAAAGGTCGCTGTCCAGGAGGCCAGCAGAGTTTATTTGGGAAATGGAGGGAAGATTCTTTCGAAATTGGCATGGTGGCATGTTAGCGGTGATTCTTTACCAATTAACCCGAGATAGGTTAGCAGAGATTCTTTGAGAATGCATGAATGTGTATTTGGTCCCAAAGCCGTCTAGCGAAGCTTCTTTTTAGAAAATTTCCGAAACCTCAGAGGCATTTGATAGTTGGCTTAAAAAAGGTAAAAATCCTGGGCAAGCTAGAATGGATTCATTGCGGAATTATCCCTGCAAACAGGCAGAAACCGAGCAACAGAATGGCGGCTCTTTAAAAACAAGATTTCTGGGTATATTGGCAGAAGTTGTTTGCGGAAACGGACCGGAAGTAGGGAAAGAGAGGAGAATTCGAGGCGTATCAGGAGAGTTTTTCAAGCAAAATCCAGTAAAATAAGCCAAAGCTAAAAGGGCCCCTGTCTAACCTCTAAATTTATACTTAATTAAAATCTAAATAAGCTAGATCCCAAGGCATACTAGCAAATATTTTCTAGGAAATTTAGCGGAAGTAAATCCAACCGCGCAAGCAGGTTCCGTATGCTCGATAAGGATTTTTCGCGGAAAAAACGTCTGGGGAAGGGCCCGGAGGGAAATTGGGAATAGCCGGGGAGGGGGAGAGATAGTGGTCAGTTCAGAGAGACGAGAGAGAAGTAGAGTAGCCGGAGGCACGCAGAAAAGGGCCCAAATGCCCTCCAGACACACACAAACAACCCCTAGACGAGGAGATGGATGGGAAGGTCTGGGTAGTCGGGGGCAGATATTTTGGGAATTTGTTGCCTGATCACTTGGACTTTTGGAGGGGGGATTGCTAGTAGGGGGTTTCAAGGAAAATCCCGACATCCAAAAACCCTGGCGTGCTAAAATCCCGACAGCGCAAATCTTGGCAGCTATAATCCCGACAACCAAAATACCGACATCCATAATCCCGACTAATCCCGGTAGGCCAAAACGCCGATAGCCAAAATCCCGACACCCTAAACGGCACCGCACCAAGATCTCGACAGCCACAATCCGAGCTGCCAAAAATCCCGAAAGTCAAAATACCGACAGGTAGAATGCCGTCAGGGCAAAATCCCGACAACCACAATCCCGGCATGCTTATTTTAAACTACGTGCAATATCGGGATTTTGGCTGTCGGCATTTCGGGTGTCATGATTTTAGCGTTTTCCCGAGGCAAACGAGCAAAGATCCTTTAGGAAGTGCACTAGAAATTTTTGAGCCTGAGGCCGGCTAGCAAAGATTTTTTGGGAGATGTAAAGTGTCATGGAAGCCTCAGGACAGCTAGCAGAGATCATTTGACGCTTGGCAAACGATAATTCAATGGCCAAACACAGAGATTCTTTAGGAAAAGGGCCGAAAAAGAAAAGATAAAAATGCTTGTATCTTTTTTTGAAAAGTCGGAAGCTAAACAAACTGGTGGAGTTAGCAGAGGTGCTTTGAATCCGTTTTTTGTCGGTTGAGGCAAGCTAGCAGGGGCCATTTGTGGAAATCCTGGATTTACCAATTTTAAAAAGAAAAGAATTCCTTGGATAAGAAAGTGATCTAACCTTACCAAAGTATAGCCCTTCCAATGGTGAACTTGGCGTATCGCCCAATCCACCCCATCTGCCTGCGTGTGTCGATAGGAATGTGGGGGAGCTTCGGAAATAAACAGAAAAACAAGGGACCCTTATTGACCCCCGGGTTGCACTTTCCAACGCGCGCAAAAACAGGGTGTTGCATAGGGCATGGACTCAAGATAAGAATTTGGTTTAAAAGGGCCCTTGAAGGGTATAGCAATCTAACCTATTGTGGGTTTTATTAAAATTTGAGGAATATAAAAAGTATTTTCTAAGCACTTACGCCATGTTATTCCGACTGCTTCCGGCAAAATACAGGCGAATCTGGCGCGGTACGTGGGATTTTCTGGAATTTGTTTTCTCGCGGAACGGCAGGGATTAACGGACAATGGGAAAGCAATTAGGATATGCGAGAGCGAGAGAGTGAGGAAAAACGCGACAGAGAGAGAGAGAGAGAGAGAGAGAGAGAGAGAGTGAGAGAGAGAAGAGAGAGAGAAGAGAGAAGAGAGAGAGCGAGATAGACAGAAAGCGAGATAGAGAGCGAGAGAGAGTTCGTGTGTGAGAGATAGTGAGGGAGAGAGAGGGAGAGTGAGAGAGAGAGGCAGAGTGAGAGAGAAACCTGCTCTCCTAATCCTATAAAATCTAAGGCACGCCGGGTAGTCGGGGTGGGTCCTCGATGATGCAAGTCCAAAGGGGCCCTTTTATAGCCCCTGGCCCTCCGACGAAGCCAGATGCTAATTTCGTCACGTATATCGTGATGCAAGGTGGCTTTAGTGTGTTTTGGATGTAGAATTCGTAAAATTTCGTCAGGAAATGGTTATACTTGTCTTTTTTCGAAATTTTGAAAATTAAGGATTGACTGATTTTTTCTAGTGTTACCTTATCCAGTGCAAATTCGTCATAATCATGTTTTACATCCTGTTTTCAGAAATATTTTTTGAGATTTCCGTCGGAAATCTAAGCAAGGCTGGATTAGAGTCTAATCATTAGACACGACGTCTATCGAAATTGCAAAAATAAAAGAATACGATTTAAATACCATTCAAAGCTTACTAAATTATTCTATCTAACACAATTTTGCAGCAAAAAAAAGATCCAAAAAGCTAGACTTTGATTTTTTTCTAATATGTTTTGGTGTATTCCACCCGAAATATAACAAATTTTATGAAAAACATTATTAAATACTAACTCTTAAATTATCAGGAATTTCTGGAAGTTGCAACTTAATCCTGTAATTTTACTAATCTTAAAAATGCTGAAAATTTGCGTTATTTTTTGCGACAAAAATATACATAGACCATTTATACACCCAAATTGACCGTAAACAGGGGAACAACGGAACGACCCGTCCTAACAAACACAAAGAAATGAAAATGGAAAGAAAAGCTCGTAAAACTGAATGGAGGGGTAGAAAAAGGGAAATTTTAGACAACAAGGAAATAAAAAATGAGTATCAACATCATGAGAAAAGCCCACAGGAACAAAATTTCTAAACCGTGACCCATCTACCGTACCCCGTGACTCAAAAAAGGAAGATTTTTGGCTTATAAGACGCTTTTTCGGCGTATATTTGCCGTCCGCATTCGTTCGAGTTGGAAGCCTTCGCCGAGTTTGCCGCAGATGTATCTGAAAGAACACGAATAGGCAAAATATCGTTGAAATCTGATCTATGACTGCCTAGCCCCTTTAAAATTCTCCAAAATCGCTTGAAATCTACTTACCGTATTACGAAATTCCAACCGGCAGTGGCGTCCTCCCCCTTTTCGTCATCAGGAATGTTCTGGAATTGAAGGATTATAGTTTTATAGCTAGAGAGAGCGAGAGAGAGAGAGAGCGAGGGAGAGATAAAGATCATTAAAACGGCTTACCTCTAAAATGTATTCCAGCATGCAGGTCTCAAAGAGAGGGAGGTACTGTATCCGGAAGCCCTGTTCTTGGCGATGGTAGTGACGGCGACCGTACATTACCTAAAAGCGGGATTTTCGATAGTTCTCTCAAGTTCGCTCACTCTCTCTCTCTCTCTCTCTCTCTCTCTCTCTCTCTCTCTCTCTCTCTCTCTCTCTCTCTCTCTCTCTCTCTCTCTCTCTCTCTCTCTCTCTCTCTCTCTCTCTCTCTCTCACTCTCTCTCTCTCTCTCTCTCTCTCTCTCTCTCTCTCTCTTTCTCTTCCTCTCGCGCTCTCTCCAAAACTCACCAAAATTGGCCCCATATCCGAGTCCAATGAGTCGATGCTCCGAACACACAAATCGATCACCGACACGAACAGCTTGCCCGATCGATGGAAGTTTGTAAACGTCTAGAAACCGACTTGAAAGGGACATTGAATTCCTCCCCACCTGTAGATCATGAACATGCTCCGGTACCGAGAAAACGGCCTTCATCTCCGGGGCTGCGTCAAAGATTTTCTGGAAAATAGGTGTAAAAACCCGATAAATCGGTCATAGTCACTCAACGAGCTAAACTTTTAAAGGTCCATTGAAGGCAACTAACCTGATAGATCCCCAGCCCAACAACTGTCATATCTCCAGAAGTACCGAGTAGAGCACTCCAGGAATGTTGAACGGCTTCCTAAAAATCATGGTTGTGAGGTGGTGCTCAGATGTCATGCTCCCCTTTACGTTTCAAAAGCTTACCTTGTTGGCCTCCTTGAACGACTCGCCCTTGCCCATCCCGGTCAGCCCGGTAATACCCCGCCGATGTCGGATCCGACTTGCCGAAGCGGCGCGGCTGATCTGAAATGAGGTCAAGTCAGTTTTGAACTGCTTGAAGGTGTTTTGGTGCTCTGTATTTTGCCGGTAAATGCAAAATTTTACCCTGTACTGCTTGAAAATGCTGGAATTCATGGTTAAATGGTTTCGGCTAGCATAGCTGGCGCTGAAAACTCGGAATACCGTCAATTTTCTGACCTTTCGCTGCTTGATCGGTGCCACTATCCGCTGGGCGACTTGTAGGACTTCGTGGTCGGCTGAGCTCTGGAAAGTCGTTATAATTTTGTTAACATTTCAGTGTTTTAGCTCAATTCTTGAGGAGTCCCTGCTAGTTCCTTAATGATTTCAGCTAGCTTGCCTCCCAAATTCCAAGCTTCGTCACTTCCTGGTTCTTATAAAACACTTGCAATAGATGCATTTCACCTGTCGCCTTTTTCATAATCACAACGTGCTGGGCACAAGTTCCCTCTCTCTCTCTCTCTCTCTCTCTCTCTCTCTCTCTCTCTCTCTCTTTCTCTCTCTCGCTCCATCGACTCTATCTCTATCACTCTCTCACTCGCTGTCTCTCTGTCTTTCTCTCACCGACTTTCTCTCTCTCTCTCTCTCTCTCTCTCTCTCTCTCTCTCTCGCTGTCTCTCTCTCTCGCACCACCGCATCAGTATCCCCCAAAAATAATCGGCAATTAGTCTACGACCCTCCATTCCTAGAATAGAACTTCTTCCCCCATCTGCCCCCTCATCATTTCCCCAATTTCCTTTGCTTTTTTATAGATGCAATTTTTCGGGGCTTAGAGAGCCGAGAGCTTCAATGCTATAGAGATCGAGCCGCCGCGGGATGCAATTCTGCGGCGTCCCACCCAAATTATTTGAAAAGCGACTGGCCCGACGCGGCGGATAGCAAATACGGAAATCGGGTTCAATTTTTGCGGAAGACCAGATTTGGACTGAAAGGAACTAGAAGATAGCGGGAACTGAAAGCTGCAGGTTTCATGCAGAGATCATTCTGGAACAAATAGAAAACTAAGGGCAAGCTAGAAGGGATTCTTTGGGATTTCGGGAATGCACTTCAGAAGCGAAATCTAGAAAATTGGACGACCTAGGCAAGCTAGCAGGCTTCTTCTAGGATTTTGGAAGCAGTCTTTGGGTGAGCTAGGAGCTTGAGTTTTTTGAAGGCTAGAAGATGAGCTAGCAAAAAAAATTTTGAACTAGAAATAGAGATCTAATTTTAGTTTTTGAATGGCTCTTTGTTTTTTATTTTTCCGAGCTACGTGACACCAGAGTTCTCTTCGGAACACCTTTCCAATCTTTGCGCCCTCGTCAAGGCCAGATTTAGGCACCTAATCCCCTCTCCTAACCCAGGTTTTGGCCCCTTTCCGGGGTCCCGTCAGGAAATTCCGCCGATCTTGCCGGGAATGCAAAAGGCAGACAATCCAGGGGGGAAGAGCGGGAAGTGGGGCACAGGCTAATGCTTATTGTTCGCTGGAAGGGCCACGTGGATCGGGAATGGCTGAGGAAAGGTCGCTGGCACGGTTCAGCGGGCCTTTAGAATTTACATGTGACACTGCGGTATAGGGTGCAAAAGGGTTGCGAAAAAGGTTAGGAGCAAGCTGTTGGGTTTAAAGGGACTTTTTAATGGGGTAATTTGGCCGCTCTGCGTTCGCGTTGCGGTATCGTTCTTTCAGCGAACCGGTGGCTGCAGCGTTGCGGTCGAGTTGCGTTTACAGATCTATCTTTATCTCGCATTTTCGCTTCTTTCTTGCTCTCTCTCATTCTCTCTCTCTATCTCGCTCTCTATCTTGCTCTCTCTTTCTCTCTCCTACTCTCGCTCTCTCTCGCGCCCTCTCTTCAAATTTTGACGCACGCTACACGTTCACCCCAACCCCGACAGAACCCGATATTTTTTCTTTATTTTTCAAGGGTCGATAGCCCAAAAATTAGTGTTTTTGAAAACCGAAAAAAATCGCCATTTTCCTTACCACACTATTCGACTTTGCGATCGCCGGAACGTTATTGTTGGGCTCGGAATCTGTGGATGAATTGCTGGACGGCATTCGGGTTACGCGGACGGATTGACTTCTAAAAAATGGATAATTTGTTTAGTTTTGAGTTTTTTTACAAGGCAAGCTAGCAGAAATTTTTGAATTTTTTGGTTTGCTGGCTTCCGGTGAATTTTCTGATGTTTCAAAAATTCTTAGGGGTTGTAAAGACCTTTTACCAGCATTCGAAAAGTTGCGAAAGACCTAGAATTGGAACCACTTAGTTAGACCTAACTTTCCAGGCAAATTAGTAGAGATTCTTCGCTCCCTCTCTTCTCACTCGCTCGCCCCCTCCCTGTCTCATACCTGAAATGAATGGGCTGCGGCCCTGAAGACTGCTCAGAAGACGTGCTCTGCCGGCTGAATGCCCGCCGATTGCCGTGTGAGTTTCCCATCGCCGCGTTTTGTAGGAGTTCGAGCGGACTTTTGGAGCTGAACGGAACTTTGGAAGGCTGGAAATCAATGAATTCCGGGAGATCTGATCATGAGAGAATGAGAGAGAGACAACGAGATCGACAGAGAGAGAGAGAGAGACAGCGAGAGAAAGAACGAATAAAAAAAAATTCAGAATCCGTGCATAATGAGAGGGAAGGGGAGTATTTGCAAAAAAAACATATCCCGCCTTTTTCTAAGAATGTAAACCCCCGCGCAAAACTCGTGCTCAAATTAAGACCAATTGGAGGGGGCCGGGGCGCAAAAATCGGCTGCCGTTCCACGAGACCCCCCAAAAGCTGGAAAGCACATTGTTGCAGGTGCAACCCCGGCGGCTGCGGCAATTATTTGCCCCTAAAAATAGCTGTGACCCACCTGGTCAACGGGTGACCTCATAATGTGTCTTTTTGGGGGGAGTGGGGGCTAAAAATGGACCTGGAACTCGATTGAATCGGGTCATAATACCGACAGCAAATCGAGCCAGTCAAAATCCTACACCAAGCATGCCGACAGCAAAAATCCCCGCAACCAAAATCCCGACAGACCAAAATCCCGACAACCATAATACCGATAATGAAAATCCCGACAGCCAAATCCCGGAAACGAAAATGCCGAAAGCCAAAATCCCGACATAGTCATTTTGCTGTCGGTATTTTAGCCTATTGGGATCTCGGCTGTCGGTATTTTAGACTATTCGGCTCCCGGCTGTCGATATTTTTGTTATCGGGATCTTGAATGCTATAATGGATTTCCGGGAAAGCCTCAAACGAGCGCAGAGGCCAGCTTTTACAGAGATTCTTTAGGAGGTCAAAAACTACAAGCAAGGCAAGCTAGCAGAGACCTATTGGGAAAATTGGAAAACGGTCAAGACGGGCTAGCAAAGATTCTTGAGGAAGCTCGACGGGAAAGGCTATCAAGAGCCGTTTATGAAGACTAAAACCGTCTTATACACGCAAGACAGGCTAGCAGAGATGTCTGAGGAAAATTAGAAAACGGCCAAGGCAGGCAAGCAAAGATTCTTTGAGAAACTAAACAGTTACGCTAGCAGAGATCCTTTAGGAAGACGAAAAATACCAGCAAGGCAGGCTAACAGAAATTCCTTAGGATTCCTTTTCAGAAACCAGGCTGATAGGGAAGGCTAGCAAAGATGGGAAGTGTGCCTAAAGACCAGCAGGCAACGCTTCTTTTAAACCCCCAAAAAACATGCTTCTCTATGCAAATTTTCTGGTAAACATAAATCCAAGGTCACCCCAAAAAATGGCGTAGACTAGACTTGGCCCCTGGCCAAACATACACAAAATGCAAAAGCATTGGCCGACCGCGTGGCCATGATGTGTGTGGTTGACAGGGCGGGGCCAAAGATGGGGGCTGGGCCCCAGGGCTTGGGGCCCGGGGCCCAGAACTGGGGATAGCCCCCGGCGGGAAAGGTCAAACGCCAGGTGACCCATGCCTTGTTTCTCGTGGTGGCTGCTTTTTTCAAGCCACTTGTAAGTGGGGGACCCTTGATTTGGGACACCTGGAAAACAGGCAACAAGTTGGCGGGATAGCGGTGATTTTTGGGGGTTTTCCGGTGGAAAGATGCTGAAAACAAAGGGTGGAGGCTGTTGGTTAAAGGGATTGGGACAGAGAGAGAGAGCGAGAGAGAGAGAGTGAGAGAGAGAGTGAGAGTGAGAGAGAGATAGAGAAGGTGAGAGAAAGCGAGAGAAAGCTAGAGAGTGTGAGAGAGTGAGCAAGAGAGAGAGAGAAAGAGAGAGAGAGAGAGAGAGAGAGAGAGAGAGAGAGAGAGCGCGCGGGAGCGAGACAGATAGAGCGAGAGATACAGAGAGATAGAGAGTGATAGAGAGAGAGAGAGTGAGCAAGAGTGAGAGAGATAGCGAGAGCAAGAGAGACGAAGTGTGTGAAGCGAGAGTGAGAGTCAGAGAGAGCGAGAGAGAGGGGGCAAGGCAGTGAGCGAGTGCGAGTGTGAGTGAGAGAGTTATAAAAAGAGCGTGAGAGAGATACGTTAAATGAAGGTTAAGTTAGTTAGAGAGATAGGGACCCAGGATTTTCCTCAAATTTTGCAAGAAATGCCAAACCTCCAGCAACCCGAAAGAAAAAAACACCCAGCAAAATGGCCAAATTCCTGCCGAGACGACGTGGGGGCGGTATGAATGGGGGTGACGACCTAATGGATAACTAATGGACCCGATAAGAACCCGCCCAAAAAACTAATAACAACATTCGGAACATTTTCTCCCCCGGGGGCACACAAATCAAGGCAATCAAGCGCCATTTACGCAAGCAAATTGCTCAGGAGTGAGGAGGAGGAGGAGGAGCAAATAAGGAAAAGAATTTTGCTAGCTCTTTCTCCTTCTCTCTCTCTCTCTCTCTCTCTCTCTCTCTCTCTCTCTCTCTCTCTCTCGCTCGCTCGCTCTCTGCAACAATTTAGCCCCCGTGGCTACAAATCGTAGGCGGAAGAGTAGGAGGGAAGTAGCCATTAGGAAGTTGTGGGGAAAGATTAGAAACTGAAGAATCTACTACGAGTTTGGATACCGTAGTCCGGTGTAAACTGCAAGGAATGGAATTTCAAAAAATGAAAGCCTCATTCGAATTCCTAAACAATTCAGAACCCTCAAATTCACAATGACTATTAGTGCGTCAAGACCAATGCGATTTCTTGCTGTCACGCACCCTTTAAAACGACTTTTAAACTTCAAAAACAGTTAAAAAAAACTTAAATGACTTTTAACGAACAAATTAAAGATGTTCATTAGTGCGTGAGCTTTGTAGCCAAAAAATTATGAAAATTCGGCCTGCGTTTGTTCCAAGGAATAGACGCTGTTTAGCTACTCTCTCATCAGCTTTTCGATCCAATTAAATCACCCCCCCCCCCCGCTATTTCAGCCTCGGCAAAAACATCCATACTACAAAGATAAAGCCCCATCCCCAAGAGCCACTCGAGTGCCCACGTGCAATTAATTTTCAATCCCCAGGGCGCGCGCGTGTCCATTTTGATGAGCCGACAGCAAGGAGGCATGCCCTAAATTGGATGGGCCACAGAAAGTGTCAGCCAAAAGAAATGCCAAAATTATTCATCGCGAACGGCAGGCGAGGTGACGGGGTGGGGATGATTCGTGGTGATGTCTTGGAACTAGGCAAACGATGAAAATATCAGGTTGGTAGATAAGTCCTGTCACAAATTTTTTAAATCTCTCTATATAGCCGCAGACATGGCCGATTTTAACGTGTGATACCTGATTTGATAGGCCTTGGGCTGCTCTATAATGGGAGCTGCCGCACAAGGCCCAAAAGTTACAGGACGCCGAGTTACAGCACCGGGAAGTTTTTCATAAAATCTTGAAAAAGCTTTTTAGCGTGTTATCTCTGCATAGAGAAATTTGCATGCGATACCTTTAACACCAATCGATAGCTCTCGAGGAGTAGATATCGATAGATGTTGAGATCATCAAAATCGGACACCGGATGGCCGAGATACGGGTCCTTGAAATATGGTTGATTTCTTAGAACTTTTCCCGAAATCCCATACATTTTACGCAGCTGTGACAAATCATGCCAGTTGATTTTTGAGCGCGCGGAGAAGGTTTTGTCTAAATGTATGGGAATTTGCTAAAAATTCTAAGAAATGGACCAAATTTCAAGGACCCGTATCTCGGCCATCCGGTGTCCAATTTTGATGATCTCAACATCTATCGATATCTACTCCTCGAGAGCTATCGATTGGCGTTAATGGTATCGCATTTAAATGGCTCTATGCAGAGATAGCACGCTAAATAGCTTTCTCAAGATTTTATGCTAAACTTCCCGGAGCTGTGACTCGACGGCGAGCCACTTTGGGGACCAAATCGGGTTTTGCCCAAGTAGCGCGTCCCAAGATCTATCGAATCATGTATATCGAAAGTGAAAATCCGACGTTTCTGCGGCTTTCTAGGACGCTTTCAAAAAATTGTGACAGGACTTATCTACCAACCTGATAGCACGAGGCGGAAATAGGCACCTGAATCCACTAAAAAATGCTCTGAAAAAGCTTTGCTTTGGGAAGGAAATGCGCCTAGCTTAATATTATTTATCTAGCCTTTTAGTAAAAAAGCTAAAATTGATTATCAGAATGCGATAATTGTAAGATTCTGTAAGAAGAGAAAGATACGACCATTCTCTCCCTCCCTCTCTCTCTATCTATCTCTCGCTCTTTCTCTCTCACTCGCTCGCTCTCTGTCTCTCTCTAACGCTCTCTCGCTCTCTCTTTATCTCTTTCTTTTTCTCTATCTCTCTTACTCGCTCTGGTTCTCGCTCTCTCTCGCTTGCTCCCGATCTTGCTTGCTCTCCCCCCATCACTCTCTCTCACACTCGCTCGCATTAATGACCTTCAAGGTTTTTGGAGTTATCAATGGAATTAAGGGACGTTTTTCGTACTGCGTGCAAGTCTAACCGATTACGAAATTCAATTCCTAACCTCAGTGGTGCGTCACGCAACCGAAAAAATACGCTACACACCCCAAAACAGCCGGGGCTAACCATATTTCCCCGGAGGGCAAAGAGTGGCCGAAGGGCAATCGGCTTTACGGACAGCTAATTCGCGCTCTATGGGCCTCTCTACAAAAACAGCCAGACATTTTGGATGTTTTCCCGTTTCGGCTGTTCATTTGTGGCTGGTGCGCCACACACACGTGGTGGCTGCTTGATGGGTCTTGCAGCGAAAATAAGAGGGTCGTCTCAGGGGGTTACGGTAGAGGGAAAGTGCAGAATAGGGAAACGAACAAGGAAGAGGCAGAATTGACGATGAGGGGAGATGCAAAAAACTCAGGCATGCTAAAAAACGGTTACGGTAGCCCTGAATTCGCGCAACGTAGCGTTGCGTAGAGGTAGCATAGCAGGCCAGGTCTTTCAACTTTAACGTCCCTTAAAAATTGCTAACTAACCTGTTACGGTAGTTTAAAGGGAAGTACAACGCAAAAATTGAAGGAACGGGTGTTTGATGATTGGCGCCTGGGTTGCTCCGGAATATTTGCGCCCCCAGAACGGGGCCAAAATCAAGTTTAGCCGATTCTTTCGGATGGCCACGTGGTGGGTATTCAGGAGGAATGAAAGAGAGAGAGCGAGAGAGGGAGAGAGAGAGAGTGAGTGAGTGAGAGAGATAGGGGTGAGAGAGATGGAGAGCGAGAGCTCTGAAAAGAAAATAACTGCGTTCGAAATCGTCGATGCCACGAAATTCCTTGCTGATACGCTCCCTTTAAAACTGGTACTGGACTGTTAGCGGGGGGTAGCGAAGGAAAACTTCTAAAAAAACTGACTGAAATGCCATAAAAATATCCGACCAGGAATTTGTCTGAATTTTCACTATAGGACGTCCGGGTTTGCTAGGAAAAGGTTTGTTTCCAGCCCCCCCCCCCCTCGCTAAAAGTCCGGTACCCTAAAATTCACAAAACCATGCCAAATCCCGTAATTCAACACTACAGAAAATCACAATAAGCCGCCTGTCACTCCCCTTCAAAGCCGAAAAATTTGAACTTTCGAAAGGCCCCCAAAAGTTCAACTCGGAGGAGTCCAAAGGAAAAGCCCGAACGAGGTAGACACCTTCCCCCCGAATTCCCAAGACGACCCAATTCAGGTAAGTAGCCAGTCGAATTCCGGAACCGGAACTTTTTCGAAGGCTTTTCTAGCGGCTTTCTGACGAGCTGGGGGCCAATTTGAGAGCCTCTTCCCATCCACACTCCTCAAGTCCTATTTGTGGCCTAGGCTCGGAAGCGATCCCCTGGGATCCGGGGGGCCGGAGTTCGTTGACGGGCTCCTTGGAGGAGTTGTTCCACCACAAAACTTTAAGCGAGAAAGAGAGAGAGAGAGAGAGAGAGAGAGAGAGAGAGAGGGAGAGAGCTATTGTCGTTGTCCCATCACAACGGAATGTTTCGTAGCGGCTCCTTTGGGTTTTGATGGATGACGTCTGTCAAATTTTTTGCATGGCCCGACGAATTGGGGACAGACAAACATCGCTGCTAGATAAAGTTGCTATGTGGAAATAGATCAAATTTAGGCCGACAGGGAATGAGATTCGAAAATTCGTAAATTTGCTCTAAAAATACGGTAATTCCTGTGATTTTTTCGACCTTATGTTCGAAACTATAAAATTCTGTCTACCACATCCCTTTAACCATCTATTTCAGGCACGGCAAGCTAGCAGAGTTTCTTTGGGCAATTTTGAAATCAAATTTTGAAATTCTGAAATTTTGAAATCAAACAAATCCAGGGGGAGGCTCGCAGTGATTCTTGAGGATTTCCAGGGGCCTCGATTTAAAGTTTCCTGACTAGAAGCCCATTTAGCTATATTGAACAAGCTTAGCAAGCTAGCAAAGGCCCTTGAGGAACGGCAGGCCAGCAGAGACCCTTTAGGAATGAGCTCCAAAGCACACCATCCACTGGCCACCCATTCCATCCATTTCTTCCAGATCTCCGATCCCCCAACTGAATCCACCCATTTTCCGGGGTCTGGCTGCCAACTCGATTTGCCTAGGCCCCCCTTCAATCCCTCTTGGATGGCCGGCTTGAGCTCGGTTCTCCAGGTTGGGTGCGAGCAGGCGTTCATAGGTGTCGTGTGGAATTTGGGGGAATTTTTGGCCGCTTCCAGCTTATCAGGAAAGGCGCTGAAAATCGATTCACAGCCATGGAAAAGCCGGGTGTTCTCTATATTTCTACGGGAGGTAGGGGCTTGAAAACTAAAAGATTTTTATAAAAAAGGCGTGCTAAATAGAAAATGTGCTTAAATACGTATAACGAAAATACTGTAGTTTTACACGTGCCACTCCACCTTAAAAATTAATTTTTCTGGTTTTTGAGGTATATGTTGGGGATGAATTCTTTCTAAATTTTTGCGGGGATGCGACAAGCAACGCGCACGCCCGAAATTTCGATGCCTAATGGATTCTGAGATGCTATTCCTTGACTATCCCTTTAAAAATTTTTGGCGGGTTTTAAGACGAAGGGGCGCACTAATAGCTAACTCTGATTTTTTTATCACCTAGCGGCTGACACAGCACCTTTAACTATAATTTTTTAGGAAGGTTTTGGATGGTTCATAAGCCCCAGATCGCGCACTAATGAGCGGTCAAATTATTTTCATATAGATTTCACCTTCAGGTGATTTTTTAAAAAATTTTTAAGGTTTAATGGGCCTTAACACGCGCACCAATGACTGAAAATTGAGTTTCCGAATTTTGGCTGTTCTCACGTAACCTTTAAATCCATTTTTTCCGTCTTTTCCGGCACCATCGACAAGGGCTACCCGCGCAACATTGGCGGCTATGCTTTTGAATTCGTGACGCCACCGGCGGCCCTTGAAATACTGCGGAGGGGCCGAGCGCTTCACCTTGGAGGGAATCAGGTTAGTTGGAACGGATTTGGGAGGGGAGTATGGGCACAAAACATTCAAAAGGACACGTGAGATTGGGCGAAAAATGGGTGGAAAAATGTTGAAGCTATAGGATTCGGAGTAGATTCTAGTGGGGGAAGAGAGAGATAGAGGGAGGAAGAGAGAGAGAGAGAGCGAGAGAGAGGGAGTGAGAGGGAAAGAGAGGGAGAGAGGGAGAGCTACAGAATAGGAGAAAACCTCCCTTCCACGACCCTTTAATGACCTCTGCTACCACCTTAACATCCAAATTTAGCTGACCCACATCCCCGCCTTTGCCAAGGATTCCCAGCACGTCACCGACGACGACAGGTTTGCAGATTATGCGCCCAAAATAAGCAAATATTTTCTAAAAACAAGCCGACGTGCGTATCCTTAATAACAAACCTGGGACTAGAATGGGGTATAGGGATGGATGAGAGAGACAGACAAGGCAGTGAGAGAGAGAGAGAGAGAGAGAGAGAGTGAGAAGGTGTCTCCCATCTATCCATCCACCCATTAATGGACCGTGAGACATGGTCAGGCGGGAATGCGGGGCTTTTTGAGGGGTCTGCTTTGGTCAGGCCAGGAAAATGTGGTTGATGGCTTTAAAGGGGCTGGGAAGGCCATGAAAAGCTTTATACCTGGCCTTTTGCTATAGTACTTTTTCATCCAGAAAACACCTCGTGGAAATCATCCAAAGCCACCCGACCTTCAAAAAGATCCTAATCACGCATGGCACCGACACGATGATAGAAACGGCCAAGTTTCTAAGGACTCAATCATCGCTACAAGATCGGATCATAGTCCTTACAGGTTGGTGGTTTAGCGATAGTTTAAAATCCCTTAAAAACGAAAATATCGACATTTAAGGCTCAATGACACCAGCCGTATTCCGGGATTCTGATGCTGATTTTAACATTGGGATGGCCTGGTCGGCTGTGCAGAGTTTGAAGGTGAGAGAGAGAGCGAGAGCGAGAGAGAAAGAGAACAATTGCGAGAGCGAGCGAAAGCGTGAATGGAAATATTCGTCTTCTGAGATCTATTAATGCTTCCAGGAACCGGGCGCCTATCTCGCCATCCAAGGCATCGTCGCGAACGTCGAAAATGTGGAAAGAAACCTCGAGACTGGCCAGTTCCTCATCAACCCTTAAAGGGCCTTCAAAAGGACCCAAAATAAAAGTACAGTACCCCGATTACGTCACATGACCACCACTACGTGCTGAAAAATTCAAATCGGGACTCCCGAGCCTGAGAAGTGATGACAGGATATCGGCAGACAGCCCCCAGAAACGGCACACGAGACCCGACCCGGGGGGCGCAATTTCCGTTCTGAATTCTCAAATTTTTATGTATTCGGGGCGGAAACCCGAGACGACGCGACGGGACGGGCTGGACGGCATCCCCCATTTTTCGGCAGCCCCCCGGAACTAAAGACTACTGGCCCACGATGGATGGGGATGAGTGAACACTTGGGAAATTGGAGTTGAAGGGAGGTAGAATTTGGGATATGAGGAAAACCAGGAGCTTGGAGCTGCTAGCTATGTAGTAGCATATGAAAATAACCGCGATAGCCACGGGACGCGAAGCTCCTATGGGCTCCACTAACTCCCAGCTTTCAGCTCCTAAAAAATTCTGAAGAGCAGCTCAATCCAAACTTTAGCTAGGAGCTGGCTGCATGGAGCTTGGAGCTGGACTTCAATGGAAAAAAAGGAAACTACAAAAACTCCACGAAATCCAAAGCCTCGCCCTACAGCTCTATGCTCCCAACAAAATTGTCTGGAAATTAGGAGGTGTACGGTAGAAATTAGGCAGGCTTGGAGTTAGGAGCTTAACCGAACCGCGACGCAAACGCCACGCGTCGCAACTCCTTTCCTGTCAGCTCCCAGCTCCTAATCGGGTTTCTGAGCAATTGCTGATAGTTTCGTTAGATGGTACGCATCGAGCAAAGCGGAAGCCGCAACGCATTCGCAGCACGCGCCAACTACCTGTCGGCTCCGAGCTCCGCAATAACACGTTTTAAGAAAGTCTCTCACATTTAGCTACAAGACACAGACCCGCTTACGCACAATTATTCAGCGCTGTCCCTCGGAGCCGTTCAATCCCGGAAATCTCTGCCGAGTGGAGCAGCCATTCACTGGAGGAGGGGCTGGCTAATTGACGACTTTTTCATAAGGACGCAAGGGGGATTGAATGGCCTCTGGTCGGGTGCTTGTCCGAAGGCAGGCAAACAGGGATTCGCCGGGTGTCTTTTAGGGGATGGGGACGATCCCTCCCGTTGTACAAAAATACAAATTACAAGTTGCCGGCTGCTGTATTTCGCAAAAAGTGGAGAGAGGGAGAGGGGAGAGAGAGAGAGAGAGAGAGAGAGAGGGAGAGGGAGAGAGATAGAGAGAAAGCGATAGAGAAAGAGAGGATTTTTTAAGCCACTGGTTCAAAACACTGTAAGAACCATGAATCTTTTTAAACCCCTTGAGTTTTGAGCGCCAAAATTTAATCGGCCCCATTGAAATATACCTTCATGATCCCTTGAATACACCGGCCTCGATTAGTCATCCATCCCATGCCATGCTCCCCATCGGCAGCTCGGAGGGGATGTTCCCAGCCATCCCCCCTGTTCATCGCCTCCAAGTGTTTTGGCTGATCGTCGTCGGAATGGCCGGCCACCCACTGTGGGTTATGCCCTCCAGCCATTGCCTACAGTCGGAATGTCTGTTCGTTTGTCTGTACGTCTCTCTCTCCTATCTCTCGTTCTCTCTCTCTCTCTCTCTCTCTCTCATTCCCCTAAAACGAGCCCCCCTTATAAGCCCATGGGGGAAACGGGTCCCCTCATAAGCATCTACGGCATCCCCGGACCGGTGGCTCATACCAGCCATTTGTCCGTTCGGTCGTTCCGTGTTGTTCTTCGGAAACCTTACAGTAACCCTTGTTAATTGTCATTTTTATTTTTTACTCGAAAATTAAATTCCAGGTATAACTATGGCAGCACTTCAGACTTACTGTAGCCTGTAGTTTTACCGTAACCTCTTGTACGTCTCTCTACCCTTATTTTTGATCGTTTTCTAAAAGATGAATTTCAAGGGTTACTTACCATATTGTAGCTTATAGGAATCCACGGCATTTTATGTCACCATTGACTTAAATAATTATATTTTCTGTTTTTTTTGCAACGTTTCCTCCATTTTTTAATTTTTTTTTAGATGCCAACACCAAGAATTTTAAGAAATATGCTTCTATTATTTTCCCTACTCTGCCTGACCTACAGTATACCGATAGGTGGGTAAGAAATACATGCAAAGGTCTACCGTATACGCAGGAAAGCTTAGGAAACTGGAATTTTCCAAGCTACAGTAGGCCAACCTCGCTTTTAAGCTTTTCCTGGCTTCATAGTACCTTTAAATGCTAAAATTACTATGTTTGGTTCGATTCGGCGTTTACAAACGATCAAAATATAAACACGAAAATCGAAAGTAGTTATAGCAACCTTAAAGGCCAAAAATGTAGGATTAGAAGCTTTAAAACTATCTTTAAAAACCGAAAACACCGATTTTCCGCCAGTTCCGAATTTTCCAGACAACGGTGTCGAGGGAGAACCGGAAATCGAGTGCGGCCCCACCTCAGTCATCGTCAATTTTAATACCCGAAATTCCTTCGATGGCCATGTGTACGTCAAGGGGTTGTACGACCAGGACGGGTGCAGAAATGACGAGACCGGGCGGCAGGTATGGACTTTTACGCGTCGCGCTCGCGTTGCAGGGCGCTCAGGACTTCTCGAAACAGCACACGCAAGGCCCCGACCGCTCTGATCTGTCCTTGTGCCTTTAAGATTCATTTAACCATTTTTAGGTGGCCGGAATCGAACTTCCATTCGACACCTGTAACGTCGCTAGAACCCGTTCCCTGAACCCGAAAGGAATTTTTGTAACGACTACGGTAGTCATCTCTTTTCACCCACAATTTATTACAAAGGTAACGGCTTCGAAAAACCAAGAAAAGTTCTATGTTTTCTTTTAGGTAGACCGGGCCTACCGTATCCAGTGCTTCTATATGGAATCCGACAAGACGGTTTCGACACAACTGGAGGTGTCTGAGATGACGACTACGTTCCAGACAGCGGTAATGAATTACTTGCTATATTTTAATGTTTAAAGTTTATCCCTTAATGCCTATATTATTATATAGACCGGCGGGGGAGGAGCCGCTCCGCGACTCTCCCCCGCAGGTTATATAGATCCTATTAAGTAATTCGATACCTCTAGGTCGTACCAATGCCCGTATGCCGGTACGAGATTCTGGATGGAGGCCCGGGAGGCAGCCCGATACAATTTGCGAATATAGGACAGCAGGTGGGAGAGAGAGAGAGAGAGAGAAAGAGAGAGGGAGGGAAAGAGACAGAGGGAGAGAGGGAGATACCTCTCGAATTTACACCCTAAAAACCAAAAATCCTAAAGGTATACCACAAATGGACGTGCGACTCCGAGACGACAGACACGTTCTGTGCCGTTGTCCACTCGTGTACTGTTGACGATGGAAATGGAGATACCGTACAGGTCCGTACGGTAGAAGGACAATTTTTAAGCGGTTATGGACTCTAAAATGTGTATATCTATTTTAGATCCTGAATGAAGAAGGCTGCGCCCTCGACAAATTTTTACTAAACAACCTCGAATACCCCACAGATCTAATGGCCGGCCAAGAAGCGCACGTCTACAAATATGCCGACAGGGCCCAGCTCTTCTATCAGTGCCAGGTGGATAACATGGCGTAATCGGTTACCCAAAAATTTAGATCTCCATTTCCATCAAAGAACCGAACGGTGATTGCCCCAGGCCGGAATGCCAGGAACCACAGGTTTAAAAAAACTTAACATTTTTAGAAACTAACAAATTCTAGGGCTTTGGAGCCACAAAACCCGCAGTCGCAAGCCCGGAAGCTTCAACCGGGGCCAAACCACCGGCCACTCAACCTGGCATTCGATTATTGCGCAAAAAACGGTACGTCGTAGCTTTTTTGGTTCCTTGGCAATAGCGGGGGGCAGAGTCCATTTTTGTATAGTATCAATACAGCATGATTCTATATTGTGTTTTATTAATCCGAAACGCATAGACTTTCCATATTTTTACCGAAAATACCAACAAAAACATCGATTTTCGCCCGAAATCTGAACGTTTTTTAGGGGTTTCTAAATAGTTTTTCACTCGAAATATAAGTGCATTTTATTAAAAAACATTATCGAAAAACTTGCTATAAAATACTTACTACTTTTAGTTCCGCCTACGATCAAGAGAATACAATGGACGTGCGAGCGGAACTAAGCACGATTGATATATCAGAGGTTGAAAAAAGTCAAAGCTGAATAATCGAATTTTTTAGTTTACCGAATCTGAAAATCACACCCGCCGACATCGTGAGCCCCTAAGAAGCTTGGTAACAACAAAATCTAAAGTTTTTAAGCTCAAAAAACTAGATTTCTACCGTATCCAGCGGCTACTGCCTCTCCCCAGCCATCGTGCTGATGCTCTTCCTGGCCGTTTCAACAATATCGGTCATTGTCTTCATCTTTGGCACCTGGTGCTATCGAAAAATCGAGAAAGAGCTTTGAAAACACACGGGGCGAAAAGCTCAATCTAGACGCTGTGCAATACCCCGAGATTTATCGTGAATATTTGCAATAAAGATCCGAATTTTAGCAGTGTACGTTATTAATATTCCTTTGCCATACTTTACACAACGCTCAAGTGTCCACAGTTGCCAATTGATTACGCCACCTAAAAACAACAAAAACTTTCAAGAACTAAAATAAATTAAAAGCTATTAAAAAATGCTTTCCCAAAGAATATTGCGATTGGAAAGGTTGAAGAATGCATGCTTCCGCAGCTGTGCCACCGCCCCGACAACTGCAAAGGCGGCGCCAACGGTATAAACTTGGATTTTCAAGCGAAAATGTCCTCTTAGCAAACCCCAGAAGCTCTCAAGCGCTTCATCGTCGACAAGATTCGGGCAACAGGGCCAATAAGTGTAGCAGAATATATGAGATTGGCTATCCGAGCACCGGTCGTCGGCTACTACTCTGGTTTTGCCAAAGATGAAAAGGAGGTCGGTCCACATTAATTTTTATTCTGTGTTTTTTTAGGTTTTCGGAAGCAAGGGCGACTTTGTCACCTCGCCAGAACTTACATCGATTTTCGGAGAGCTTTTGGGCGTGTGGTGCTATGTGGAGTTGCAGAATACAGGTAGTTTGTTTTGGCTACAGAAGGCTTCAACTTCTTTTAGGATATCAGGGACCTTGGGCGCTAATCGAGAACGGACCCGGAACCGGGCAATTGATGTTAGACATGCTCAGCTCATTGAGGAAATTGAAGGTAAGCTCTTTTAGAAGCCCCATCTTTAATTTTAGGCAGCCAATTTCTCTGTGCACCTCGTGGAGACATCAGCCGCATTGATTGCCGAGCAGGTTTTTCAATAGTATCTAAAAACCGTTTTGTTTTTAGGAACTAAAACTTTGCGGTCAAAATTCGGGCGATACCGCCGAATCGGACGCAGGATATCTTCGAAAAAATGTGACAAAAGAGGGAATTCCGGTCTATTGGTATAACGACGTCGAAGATATTCCGGAACAGGTTTGCAAGCCCAAAATCTTTTTTCACCTCTTTTAGTTTTCCGTTTTTGTCTCGAACGAATACCTCGACGCGTTGCCCATCCATCAATTCAAGCGGAATTTGAGCGGAAAGTGGAGTGAAGTGAGTTTTAGTGTTTAAATTAGTTTTGTTTTTAGATCTATGTTAACATCGACCCTAACAATGATCTGGTATTTATGGAATCCAGAGGGGACAATTTGCACACAAGGTTTTTCTAAAGCATTGAATTTTATATTTTTTTAGGGGTCTTCTGCCCGAATCAATCCGAAACGACGCTTCCTTTAGCCAATGGGAAGTGGCTCCGGAAGCGGGGATTTACGTAAATCAAGTTGCTGAAAGGTAAAAAAACGGTATTTGTCAAGCTTTTTAGGATACGAACAAATGGTGGCTTCTGCCTAATGATCGACTACGGACATGATGGCGATCGAAAAGACTTTTCATTACGCGCTTACAGTAAGCACAAGCTGGTAAGACATCGAGAATTATTGTTAATTTCTGTTTTTCTAGGTAAATCCGCTCTCAGCCCCGGGAACTGTCGATTTGACGGCTGACGTCAATTTTGGGCACCTAAAATCGCTTGTCGAGGATCGGGTCTTGACGTATGGGCCCCAGACACAACGGTTTTATCGAAAAATATTTTAGTGATTTGTTTTAGAGAATTCCTCGGGCAGCTTGGCATCCAGGTGTACCTTCGCAGCGCCCTTCATCGATTAGGGACCATGGAAAAGCAGGAGCAATTGCTTGGTAACGAATTTGTAAAAAATAAAAACTTTATTTAGGCGCCTGTGACTTTTTGATGAACGAAATGGGCCAAAAATTTAAGGTAAATATTATTTTTTTTATATTTAGTTTATTTTAAAACTTACAGGCGGTCGCCCTCTTCCCCAAGACGCTACAAGAAATCCTCGAGAAACGTGGCGGACCCACCGGATTTGCCGGTCTCGACGAAAAGCCTGTGAATCAGAAATAGTTTTTAGATTTTTTTAGTGTTCTTGTTTAGGTTATCATTGACGAATAGCAGCAAATAAATAATTTATATGGCGCCGCAAATTGCACGCGTAAACTATACGAATAAATAGTAGGCGGAGAAAAATGAGAACACCCTGAATGCTGTTGGTCATGTTTGGGAGGAGACGACGATGGATCAGCACTTGCGGATGGGGCGCAGCGCGAAGACGACGATTGCCGAGAGGACGGCGACCGCGGCAGCGGATAGGGAGAGGAAGAGCGAGAACGCGATTGGGGGCATGCAGACCGCGCCCGAGTTCTGGAAATTTGTAGGTAATTTCTGGTTTTTCAAAAAAAGGATTAAAGTTTGTAGTTTTAGGCGAAGCCTTTATAGCATAGTTTTAAAAAGCTCGTTCAATAAAAACAAAAATTTTCGAACGTTTTTTCTCAACTAAACTCCCATTTCGAGCTTTAGATGCGCCAAATCGTCACCCTTTTTACTTTTCCACTTTTCTAGAACCCACCACTCGCGACATCAGCGGGCCCTCAGCTACTTCGCTCGAGTTTCGCAGTTGGCTGGGCAGCTTAGCGTCCTAAAAACATCTTTCGATTGTTGTAGCTTTAAACCTACGTCATTCGACAACAACTCAATAGCGTTCAGCTCCGCTCGGACGTCCATGGTGTTCTCGTAGAATTGGGCGGATCTCTTCTTCAGCACTCTGCAATGGCAGGGGATTAGAAGTGTTTTCAGGGTGGAAAACTATTAAAGCAGGTCTAATTTCAATAAATAAAAATAGAAATGTTTGTTTTCTAGAAAATACAGGTTAAACTAGCCTGAAGAAGCTTGGGCTCTCCTGCCGTTGGCCAGATGGGGTGATCGGGGTCTGCTTCTTGGCGTTGAAGCCGGTCGGCTCAGGGCATTGTGGGCGTGGGCATTCGGAATTGGGCTCCTTGATCGTGATAGAGATCTGGAAATGTTTTACAAGGTTCCATTTTAATCAAAATTCATTTCATCTTGGCCGCGCTCGTATTTCGAACAATTACGCTACGATATCTACCTACCTGACACTGGTAGAACAACTGCGATCGATCGGCATATTTATAAACGTGAGCTTCTTGTCCGGCCATTAGGTCTGTCGGATATTCGAGGTTGTTGAGCAAGAATTTGTCCAGCGCGCAGCCCTCCTCGTTGAGGATCTAAAATCGGGATTTTTGGGCCGGTAATACGTTGAATATTGGCGTGTCTGTAGTACAGACCTGTACGGTATCTCCATTTCCATCGTCAACAGTACACGAGTGGACAACGGCACAGAATGTGTCTGTCGTCTCGGAGTCGCACGTCCATTTGTGGTACACCTTTGGAATTTTTCTTAGTTTTTAGGGTGTAAATTCGAGGTTTATATCTTGCTCTCTCTCTCTCTCCCCCCCTCTCTCTCGCCTCTCTCTCTCTCTCTCTTTCGCTCTCTCTTTCTCTCTCCCACCTGCTGTCCAATGGTCGCAAATTGAACGGGTTCTCCAGTTGGACCACCATCCAAAATCTCGTATTTGCAAATGGGCATTGGCACCACCTAGAATCACAATATAGGATTTATTTTTAATTTTTATTATTTTAAATGCTGTCTCATTTAATTTTCATTATTTAAAAAAAACTTAATTGGCTCACCTGTGTCTGCAGAGCCGTAGTGATCTCAGACACTTCCAATTGCGTCGAAACCGTCTTGTCAGCCTCCATGTAGAAGCATTGGATACGGTAGGCCCGGTCTACCTAATAGAAAATGTGTTTTTTTTAGCCTTTCCTATCCATTATCGGTTACCTTGGTGATAAACTGCGGGTGGAAGGAGATGACCACGGTGGTGGTTACAAAAATTCCGCGAGGGTTCAAAGAACGAGTTCGTGCGACGTTGCAAGTATCGAAGGGGAGCTCGATTCCGGCAACCTAAAAAGGGAGTTCGAGGTCGAGTTTAAATTAGCTTCGGCTAGGCTCGATAAAGGCGTTGCGGGCGCGTTGCGTGCCTGTTCACTGGAGATCTAAAGCGACACGCGACGCGCTCAGCTTTCTTGGGCTGGCTATGGTGAGGGAAAAGGAGTCGTTTTTGGGAAAAGAATTCCAAAATTTCCGCAAAACTCTACCTCACGACCGCCTTCTGCATTTCGGCACTCTTCCTTGTCGAAAAGCCCCTTGACGTAGACCTGAAAATTTCATCTTTAGCTTGAAACCATTGTTTTTTTGTAATTTTTTAAGGGAATCTCCTAAATTCTACCGTACCTGTCCCTCAAACTTGTTTCTCGTGTTGAAATTGATAATAACTGAGGTGGGACCGCACTCGATTTCCGGCTCACCCTCGACCCCGTTGTCTGGAAAAAAGGGGAATTTTTCTAGATCTTTGGCTCGCTTTCACTCTCTCTCTCTCTCTCTCTCTCTCTCTCTCTCTCTCTCTCTCTTTGTCATAATCACTTACCGATAGGAATTGCCGATACCACGGCCACGCACAGAATGGCCGCCCCGAGCCGCCACATTTTTAAAAAGGACTTTTCTAAATGGTCTTTTGGACACCGGAGACGGTTACGGTAGAAGGTCATCTTTTAAAAATCAAGAAAGCTGCGGTATTTTGCGAGGGATACTGTATAAATCACTAAATTCCGTTGTAAACCGACTGAAAATGGCAAATTTTTCCATTATTTCGTTTTTCCGATTTAAAACGTCCACAAAACGTTGAAAAAAAGATATTTACTTTTTTTCTAAAGGGAAATAACGCAAAAATAGTAAAATAAAAGAGTACAGTAAGTAGTGAGATTGCTGATTATTAGAAAGAGAAAACAGAAACAAAAATTCGGGTTACTGTAACAAGCTGCTCCCCAGGGCTCCTTTTCGCGGGCAGCCATTTAGGGAGGGCAGGGGAGAGGAGCATGAGATATGCGAGATTCGTTAGCCCTCCCAACAGGCCCCTTCAGCAGCCACCAGGCAATGCCATCGCCCTCAAATCTGCTCCACCCACCCCCCTCCAGCACACCTATCCTAATTTCACTTTCAGCACCCAAAAACAATTGCCCTTCAAGCCTTTGAGCCGAAAGCTCTCTTCAGCCAGACGATTGGCAAAACACAACGAAAAGCCGGGTCGGCATTCGGTGACGTCGTCGGTAACCGGCCTCAAAAATTGTTGCTCTCTCTCTCATCTCTCTCTCTCTCTCTCTGCCTAATAATGCCAATACCCGGCTGGCGAAAGCGGCATAAATTTCGAGGACAAGCCGATGACACAGGGGGTGTGAAGTTTTTGAAGATCGAATATCGAGAATTCGGGGAATGTCGAGGTCAATTTGTCTGCGACGATCCGCCACTACGATAAATCGATGAGGAAGTGGAATTTGGTGTCTAGAGGTGGCTTCAAGGCCCGCTGTTGCGATCGGTGATGCGCTCAAGGATTTTCGGCATTTTCCTCGGGCTTTTCAAAGTTGAGCTGGTGCTCGGAGTCTCACGCTCGCAAGCATAGCTTCTGGCTCAAATCCTGGAAATTAACCGTGACATGTACACAATCTGACGCGGTGCGCTTGCGTCGCGGCCACCAGGTGCTCCTGATAGAGCTCACAGCTTCTAGCTCCTAGCCCGATTTCTGACCATTCTCCGGTTAGGATAGATTTTCACGCATCATGCTTGCATCGTCAGGTGTTGCTCCCGATCGAGCTCCCAGCTCCCAAGTAAGTTAAATTTTTGCTTCGGAACATTTCTTTTCATCCGAACCAGACCCCCTAGAACCCCGCCAGCCTCCCTCCAGCTCCTCTCGGCCAACAGGCCAGCTTCCGAAGTACAACCTTGATCCCAATTCGAAAGGCATAATTTTTTCGCTCGATCATAAGCCGGCGGCTTCCCCAAAAATAGCGATGGCGGCGCCGATAAGCCATTTGCTGGGGGCTGGGGGGGGAGGATAGTAGAGAACCGGCTGCCCGGAATATGCCAATTTCGGGCGCGCGCAATCTTTGGGAAAATCCCCATAAATCCTCGGCGCACAGATCCAGGGTGTCCTTGATTTATGTACCGAAAGGTTGGAATTAAAGGGACGTGAAGTCGAACCTAATTTTCATGTAGTTTTTGCCTTCCATGTTCCTTTAAAGGCACGTACCGCCAGTGGCACAGATTTTTTGAACTCTTAATTTATTAAAAATTCACTGCGGCCGCGGTTCGGTTCTCCATAACATAATTCATTACGACAGCTTCAGGAAGGTCAGCCACGCGCGCGTCTCACATCCATAGCCCTGGCTTGCCCCTTCCTTTAAAATCAAGAAACGCCACCAAACTCGGCAAATTATCAGAATCTTTATCACCCGTATTAAATTCTGAGAAATGTGCAAACTCTGCAAAAGGCATGCAAATTTGGAGCGAATCCGAGGGGTCGAATCACGGTATCGATTGGGAGCTGCGGATGGACGTCAACGGCTCCCGCCACAGCACCTCGCCATCCTAGAGGTATGGTAGATGAACAATTTTCAGAGGCCCTACCTTTTGTTCTTTACGATTCTTGGCCTTTCGCAGGTATTTCCAGCTGCGGTAGACGATCTCGAGGACGACGATGCCTAGAAGAATCTGGAATTTTTGGTTTTGGAGAACTAGTTACCTGCAAGGCACTCGAACCCGGCGTACAAGGAGATGTAGAAGTACTGTTTTCGGCGGTCAGTGTCGACGCAGATGAAGACGGAGACTAGAAAACGTACGATAGGAACGCTACGCGCGTAGAACAGTACAATATGCACTTAAAAAAAAGGTACGCTACTTACCTACGAGAAGAACTGTCATCCGGATTAGTTTTGTGATGAAGTAAGGGAGAAGGTAGAACTGAAAAATTTGAAGATGAATAAAGAAAGAGAGAGAGAAAGACATAGAAGAGAGACTTAGAGAGACAGAGAGAGAGAGAGAGAGGGGGAGAGGGAGAGAGAGGGAGAGAGAAAGAGAGCGACAAAGAGAGAGAGATAGAGAGAGAGAGAGAGAGAGAGAGAGAGAGAGAGAGAGAGAGAGAGAGTGAGAGAGTTAAAGAGTGTAAGAGAGCTCCAACTTGCTGAAGTCGAGGTAACGCTCGGCGATGAACAAGCCAAAGCCCGATCAGACTGGCCAGTGCTGTGGCGGCAAAAAACCCAAACGCACAGCTGAAGAGACGCTTTTCTGCAAAAATTTGGATTTTCCACCTTCAATTCATTACGACATCAAACTAGGAGTTAAGTTAACTTACCCTCACCAATATTCCGCAAGAACGCGTGCAGCAACACATTAATGCTGATGATCAAGGGCGCGCAAATCCAGGCGGCTTCCTGAAAAAAATATCTCTTGAAAGGCGCGTGACGTCGGCGCGACGCGACGCGACCGTGGCGCTTGACAACATAGTTCCAACCTGAAGGTAGACAATGACGAATATCGTCGACAAGTTGCTGGTCAACTCCTGGCCGGCCTGCTCGGAGATGCGGCTCTGGAAATTATGAGGGATGATGAGATTTGTTCTCGCAAGTAACGGGATGGATAATGCGCTAATAGCGCTTTCTCCCTCTCTCTCTCTCTCTCTCTGTCTCTCTCTCTCTCTCTCGCTCTCTCGCTCTCTCCCTCTCTCTCGAAAAAGACATAGCCCCTAGAACAACCCGGAAAACCTCTAAAAACCAACATTTTTCTCCCGTTCCTCCAGTGACCGACAATTCGTGGAAATGAGGGAGCGCTGGATGGACGTTTGCGAAGCCATCATGGCATTTTTTACCGCGAGAAAAATCTAAAAAGATAATTAAAGCTCAAGAAAGAGGTAACGGCAACAATACCGACAGGCAAAATATGTAAAAATAAAAATAAAAAGCCGACAGCCAAAATGTGGACCGAGCGATGAATTATTCAACAAATTAAATGAACTGCTAAAAATTGCGCTACACATCAAAGACTCCTCAAAAAAAAACCCCGAAGCGCTAGAATTCGCCCATTAAAAATACCGAAAATTCAAAAGTTGCCGAATGGTCGAAAATGATTCACGAATATGCAAAATTCTGCATTTTTTAAGTAGCGCTTCGTCATTTAGTCTTGCAATGTATCGAGAAATAAAATCGAAGAAAAATAGTATCGAGAGAAAAATATATCGAGAAATCTAGGGAAAAAATCCGACAAATTCCAACCGACGACAAAAAACTCGATGCCTGATTTATCGAAATTCGGCATTTTTGTCTGGAGTCCAAAGAGTTGAAAACCGATGCGACTCCAAAAGTGAAAGGACAAGGAAAACGTCCACAAATAGTTGATTTCAAAAACCCCAGTAAATCGCTAGTAATCGCGAGTGCGTGTGCAGCATCAGCAATGCAAGCATATTCATGAAGGGCCACGGGATTTGTGCGCAAAAGCAAGATCCCTCGCGCCCGCAGGTCGTCGTGGTCGTCGAGGAGGGGGGGGCCATTCCCAGCCAAGACCCCCGTAATAAATACGGCTGGGAAAGGCGGAAATGAGGGGCCGGAAGAGAGAGCCGAAGAGCTTTTTGTTTTCTTCGTTTCTCCGATCTCTTCATACATCCCCTTCTCCACACGCCATGTGGACCAGCAGGGTCAACAAGATGTCGAATTTGAGGTTGAAGAAAAAAATGAAGCTCGATGGGTTGGGTGGGGAGAAAGAAAGAGAGAGAGAGAGAGAGAGAGAGAGAGAGAGCGGAGAGAGGGAGAGAGAGAAAGAGAGAGAGAGAGAGAGAGAGAGAGAGAAGGAGAGAGGGAGAGAGAGGGAGCGAGAGAGAGAGAGAGAGAGAGAGAGAGAGGGAGAGAGAGATGGAGAGAGAAAGAGAGAGCGGCGAGAGAGAGAGAGAGAGAGAGAGAGAGAGAGAGAGAGAGAGAGAGAGCGAGTGATAGAGCTGGAGATCAGAATTTCGAGTAGTCAGAAATATTCCAAGCTAAAAACCACAAATTTAGATCCGACTACGTATCCCTCCACCTTTACACCCCCCAAGAAAACGACAATTTGCCCCCCCAGGTGGCCTGAAACCCTGCAATTTCACGTAATGACGGGTGAGCCCTGGCAGCCGCCCCCTCTTGAAAGCCCTGGAAAATCCTTCCGAAAAATTCCAAAGGGCTTCGAGCACGAAATCGGCTTCCAAAAATTGGTAAGTATAGCTAAACCAGGCCGAAATGATCCTCGTAATTTGGCGAAAACAGCGAAAATAGTGTGAACTTGCCGGTCGGGCCGCCCCTGGGCGATTAGTCTTCTTTTCCAGGCAACTGTTCTGCGGCAACAACCCTGTTAGACGGGGCAATGAATTGATTACATTGCATTAAATAGGCCATTGCCAGCTACCGTTTCAAAAGCAAAAAAAAAAAGACTTGCCGCGGGTGGGGCCGAACCCTGGACGTGGGCGCTCGTCTAATTGCTCAGAGAGAGAGAGAGAGAGCGGAAAGCAAGAATAAAGTACAGAATAATAGAATTGATAGCAAAAGGATTAGAAAATTAACGCCCGCATTCCGATTTAAAAATTACCCCGCAAACCCGCGAATCACAGAAGTTAATTTTTCAGGGCAAAAAAAACCGTCTCCAGCACCCAATTTGATTAAAAAGGTGGTAACCCCCGATGTCCAAAAAGGAGAAGCCATCAAATTCCGTACTCGCAAATATCGCCCGACGCCCAAAAATTCCACCCCTCCCCCGCGGCCCGCCCTCGAAACCCGCCGGGACGCATGAATAGGCGAGGAGCAAAAAAGGGGAGCGGAACGGCCAGATCAGCTTTTTGGGGGTTTCTTGCTATAATGCGCCTAGAAAGAATACAGTAATATTTTTCACCTAAAAATTGGCTTGAAAAGTTGCCCCTTGCCTATAGGATCTGGCAAACCAAAAATTGTTTGTTCGCTGATCGGTAATGGGCTATTAGCGGGGGCAAAACGAATTGTCATTGTCCCAGCTACATGTATTTTTATGATGTTTTTATTACTTTTGCATTGCTAGGCCCTATAAAATAATTGTTTTAATGTTGAAAATTTGAAAATTTGTTCATTTTCAGTCACTTTTCATACTTTTTTTGACCAAAAAGTCCAGTTTTGAAAATTTTCGTATTTTTTTGTGTGCTTTTGATATTTAAAAATAGTGTCAAATATCATACTAAAAAATGATTCATCTATCTTTCGTTATAGGTCCGTACGTGATTACTGGGGGAAACTAAGCAAAAAAAAAAAAAGCAAAGCAAAGCAAAACGACTGCTGCGGTAAAACCAATTAGCTAGAAAAATATAAATAGAAAATCCATGATTATGATATCTAGAAAGTAAAAAACAGCTAAAAGGCGCCCTTATTTCAAAAGAACGAGAATTACATACCGTACGCGCCTCCGTTGGCTGTAAGGGACCGGAAGGGTGTGGCCCGCGAGCGAGGCCACGGTGCTCGGAGTCCCCCCAAATTGGCCCAAATTTAGGGCGGCCCCACATACATATCACGGGACCTCTCGCGGAGCTGGAGAGCGCTGAACAGTGAGAGTTTGGGATGTATCTTCGTCAATTTCAACAATTTTTAAAATGTTGTTATCGGTATTATTAAAGGCACGTGGGAGGCCCGACTCCATAGAAGAGGACGAATTCTTCAAAAAAAAGCGTGAAATTAGGAGCAGCCAAACAAAAAATTCTTTTGTTAATTGATTTGATTGAAAATCGAAACGTTGTGACTGAAAATGAGGTTTCGATAATAGTTTTTCGGGATTTGCGGGTGTCCAGCTCTCAAGATCTTTATTCATATGAAAAATTCGACAATAGCGCTTGGACTTGACGGTATTCAGCAGACTTCGAGTCCAGAAAAGACGCGTCTAATGATGCCTGGCAGATCTTCAAACAGTCCCCAGCGTCAAGCCGGAATTCCTTGGCGGCGATCCGGAATTCGTTGCTGAGCGGAGAGCAGAACAGTCCCTTGTCGTCGGTCTAAAACGTACGTGATATCCGATGTGCACCAACTTACGGCCAACGTCACCGGCTGCCCATTTTGACGCCAATGCTGGAAGTGACTATCCGCCAGGCTGGGCGTGGTTTTGGTGAGCAGGTTCGAGGAAAGGCAGATTTCTGAAGGATTCGGGTGTATTTTTCTTAATTTGTCATTTCCCCTTACCGGCCCCCTGTTATTAATAGATGGTGTACTTTTATAGTGTTTTAGACGTCGTTGACGGCCAAGAAATCATAAAAACTATCTTAAAACTTTGAAAATGTTGTCCTTTTTGATAATTTCCAGACATTTTTTAACAAAAAAATCTGCAGATCTTTAGTTTTTTTTACGGCTTTTGCGTTCACGAAATTCTACAAAAAATTGTTTATTTTTCTTCATAAGACTGCACTGGAAAAAAGGAAAAGTGTGACAGAGTAATCCTCCCTCCACGTTGACAGAGAACCAATGCTTTTTCCAGTATTACTAACCTAAAGGAATCCGCAGTTCGATCATACGCCGAACCCATTCCTCACGTCTGTGCAAAAATGTTCCATGTCCGATTCGATCTGGGCAAAGTTCCAGAAAAGCGTCAACCTCTTCCAGATGATCTTCAGACTGAAATTCGCGAATTAGTGCTTATTGATCAAAGTTTCTGGCTCTCTCTCTCGCTCTCTCTCTCTCTCTCTCTCGCTCTCTCTCTCTCCTACCTCTGCTAAATGGATAGTCAATCTCAGACCTCCTGCCTTCGCCCTTGCCAAAATCGGTAGAAAAGCCGTCCCGTCGTAAGTCGGATCACCCGACAAATCAATCCCAACAATCCGTCCAGAAGTGTCTATTTTACCCTATAAGGTACACAAAAATTACAAACCAGCTAGTGCCAATTCTACAGTATCCTTCGCTTCCTCTAGCGTCTGGCGACGATCAATGCTGACGATAAACCGGGAAATCGTGGTGCCCCCTCCTAGCTCATAATCCTCCATCCCGCTGATAACCGCTTGGATATATCTGAAGCTTTTTAATTCACGTTTCTATTGTCTACTCACTCTTTTTTCGTCATACCAATACTTTTCGGCGTCGATCGCAGCTCAATATAACGCACGCCATCCGCTTCAAAGTCCTTTAATACAGCCGTTGTAGCCTAAAATCCTTCAGATTTTGTCCCTAACCCGAAACCCACGTGCTTGACGGCTTCTGGGGTTTGTGTCAGCGATTGGATAATCGGGAATATTTTAAAGCCCCTGAAATTGGGTTCATAAAACGGTTTTGCTTGTACTCGGCCAGCGTCATCGGCCTGTCCATCGAAGTCATTGCGCGCTCCTCGTCGGTTAACCCGTGATAAGTTCCTAAGGTTTGCTATGATACTTCCTAATTACGACAACCCTACCATTAGATTGCTGCTTTTTCAGCTCGTCCAATTCAGCGATTGTTTCCGCCGACAGGCTTCCATTCAAATGTGCATGAAGCTCCTAAAGCCCTTATTAACCTTTCAAACACCACGCTTACGATTTTCGGCAGTTTTTTATAAAATTCAACGCCTCGTGGCTCCATTTTCGCTTTTGATTTGCACCCGCTTTTTGGCAGCATAATTTTGTATGAGCGGCCAAAACGTACGAGGGAATACTAAAGACACCTGAAAGGATGCAGGCTCAACCGCTGATTTTGTGTGGCAGCGAAAGCTTCAAAGAATGAAAAAAGAGAACTTGTTTTATAACTTTTTTTAGAAACATTATCGACAATACTTTATCTTTTACTTTAGGTTTACTTTTTTACTTCCGACCCGATGCCGGCCCTCAGCAAGATGGCCCCTGCGGGGATGACGATGGCCCGCTACGGACCGCTGGGACTTTTGCAGCCGAAAAGCCAAGTGCTGCCGCTGCTCCGCTTCTCCCACGCCCATCTCTTCCGGAAGAGGCCCGCCCAGCTGATTGTTAACAGGATTAAGGTATTGTTGGTTGTATGCTACGGTATTTAGCGAAATATGCTAAAGTTAGGGAACATCGGATTTATTTTTATTTTTGGTAACTTGATGGAAACAAGGAGTCAGACAAGCTCGATCTGCTCATTTTGTTGTTTTAGACAAAGCTAAATTACTGATTTGCAGGACGTCGTTCATTTCTACCTCGTTGGAATTGGATTGTTCCCCGTGTTCGCCTTCCTCACCTACAACCATATTTATCACGGAACCTGCGAGCTCAAGGACTACCCGACTGAGGTGAGAAGCTTTTCCATTTCGCAATTAGATTTTTAGGGTCCCCCACCGGCGTACTGGCAGTTCGAGCGCACCCCAGCGAGGCAGTGGTGGGCCAAGCACTTTGGGCTCTCGGATATGGAGCATCACGAACGAAACATGGCCTATCACGAGAAAATCGGAATCATCGGCCGCTGGAGGTAGTTTTTAGCGCGTGCAGCTAATCGGATTCTTTATAATAATTCATTCAACCAATTTATTTATAGGCAGCTCGAGCAGCGAGTAAAGCATCTTGAAGGCCAGCGATGGGATTACAAGGCCTGGCACTATCAACCTGTTTCCTCGACTTGGGTACGTTTTTGGACTATCTTAGAAGAAAACCTACAAAGTTTCTGGTCTGACTTGTTACTCTTTTTTCTAGATTGACCTCGGCCGGTATAATGCCCTTCAACTGCGCGACCGGTACGAGGCTCACGGCCACTACACCTACTAAAATCCTTTGCTCATGGCTCCTTAGACCCTCACTCCTCTTTTTTTCGCCATGAATCTTTTCTAGCCTCCTCTATGTATCAACGCTGTTTTATAGGGTATAGTGTGTTGAAGCTCATTATTTGTTTACGTTACGATAGTGTGTAATTATAATTGCTTTCTCTCCCTCTACTTGCTGAATAAATATGTCGATTTTTGAGATTTGTTGGCAATAAAGTCTGGTAGACAACGAACCGAACGTCTATTTTTGTGAGATGGAGAGAAAAAGATATATTTACGTGTTGCAGCTCTTTAGCGGAATTGTATGTATTGCCTGGCCCACCGGGGGCGATTTGCACTAGACGATGTAGGTTTTTGCCTATATTTTCCGCATTGCAATATTTAGTATGCTCGAAAATGTGGTGGCCTGGGTGCTGAATAACTACATCGGCGAGTACCTTGAAAACTTGAACACCGATCAACTCTCCGTCGCGTTATTATCGGGGCAATTGGAGCTCGAAAATGTTCCATTGAAGAAAACAGCGCTCAGAAAGTTGGACATCCCCCTAGAGGTATACCCTTGAATAAAGCTTAAAAGCTGCGATCTTAGGTCAAAAGTGGCGTCTTGGGAAAATTGACGTTGTCCGTGCCCCTGACCCATATCAGGTAGGAGAAGCTTGCGTATAGGTGACGCTTTATTGCGTTTAGAAGCGAACCATGGGTGCTCAAGCTTTCTGATGTTCTGATTATCGTCGGGCCCGCCAGCGATAAGAAGTACGATGTGGAGACGTCATCGGATCACACAGAGAAGACGAAAAAGGAAACGATGCTCGATGAGCTGGAAAAGAAGCACAAGGTCCGGCAGTAATAATTGATTAAAAAGTTTTCTAGACGCAACTTCTCGAGACTATCGGGCAAAAATCAGCCGCGTCTGATGCACAAGAATCTTGGTGGGGCGCGTCGTTGATCGCGACGGTTGTCAATAATATACAGGTTGCCCTATAATCATTTCTTGATGTCGTATTTAGCTGATCCTTACAAATGTACATATTCGCTATGAGGACGGCCAAACGTTGCCCAATGGCCTTTCATTTGTGTCTGGCGTCAGAATAAGAAAAATGACCGTACAGACGACAAACCACCACTGGGTTTGTTATGAAATTTTTTGATCAAACGATGATCTTTAGAAATCTGGATTCGTCGAGCCACAGGAGGGTGTCAACGTCTTCAAAAAGCTCGAACTGCAAGGCTTTTCCTTTTATTGGAATTCAGGCCAGCCGCTTTCAAAGGACATCAACACAGTGAAAGAATTACAGGTTGCAAAAATTATTATTCGCAGAAAAACGCTGTTCAGAACCTCTTGGCGCCGGAGGATGCCGGTAAAAATACGTACATCATTGAGCCGTGTAGCATCGAGCTGCGCATGGAAAAGAACGCTAGCAAATTTCCGTTGAAGGGCGATCCAGCAATTCCGAGATTCAAAGTGGGCTATCGTCTGGTCATTCATTTGAGATTTAGTTCTGGCTACGACCCGAGAAAATTGTCGTCGAGCTGTCCAGACGTCAAATGAGCGAACTACGCGCGTTAAATCGGGAATGGAGTCGGTAAAGAGTATACAGTCAGCTCCTTGACTTAGTTTTTCAGGTTTGAGCGGGCACGCACACACCGCAAATGGCGGCCGGTAGCCAACGTGATGGGAAAGTAGGCTTACCTTTTTGACGTAATTTTGGCTCTAGCGCTCGCGAGTGGTGGCGGTTCGCCTACGATCGCGTCCTGGACGATACGCGCCGGACGAATACGCGAAAAACATGGTCGTTTGCCTTGACAAGAGCCCGACATTTAAATGCCTATGCACGAGCCTACCGAAGACGGCTAATCATGCTGATGAGCGATCCAACTTATAAGTGCGTTTTAAAAATGGGATTTTTGCAATGTTCTTGAAATATTCCTGAAAAACCTCATTTCGATTTTTGAAATTGAACCGGATTTGAAAATGCCGTTTTAGGGACCAAGACCCGACGGATTCTCCTGCAAGAACCGCTGACCCCGCACGACCATCGATGGGCCATGAAGAAAGAACAATTATGAAACAAATAGAGCGGGACGAGCAGTACACGTTTACGGTCCGCGAATTTGGAATTCGATAGATTTGAAGATATTTTAGGAATTGCAATTGTTCCGCGAGACTGTCTTCCGCAGGCTACTACGAGAGAAAGAGACCGAGATGGGTATCGTGCCGGAAGGAGGAACTGGTGGACGGGGTACGCCGACGGCTGACTTTGAAGCCCTGGAAAGGTTGGTTTTGCAAGTGGTTTCTTGAATCGGTGATATTCGTTTAGTCCTGGTGACGAAGTACCCGGCACGACTGTCCCTCCGCCGAAGAATCAAGGGTTATATAGCTGGTTTTCGAGCTTTTTCACCGGCGAACAACCAGGTAATTAATTTTAATCTTATCTTACGGTTAAATTTTAGAAGAGGCCTCTGTCGAAACATCATTCGACTTTGGTCAAATTGATATGCACGAATTGAAGAATATACCGCCTGCTTTCAAAGAGATCGAAAAACAGGTGGAAGAAGCTTTTTCTTCATATAATTTTGTCATAGGTGGAGGAAGAGCTGCGAGATCTGTTGCACGATTCTTGGGACGATTCGACACTGCTGCGAAAAGATTTGCTGTTGGCTGAGATTGCGTTGAAGTTGGACCAGCTTACGTTGCGTTTTGTCGACGTTAAGGTATTTTTTTATCGCCAGAGTCGAAAAAAGAAAAACGTTTTCTTCTCTCAGTTATGGTCATGGCGGTTTCTCGCATCATTTTAGTTTAACACTCGCTCGCTATAAGAAATTATATAATACTCCCCGCAACGCGTGGGCCACTCGGAACCCAAACTAATAATGAGCACCCTTCTCGCGTGTGGGAATCCGCCCGTACACCCCCACTATTTCAGACGACTGGCTGGAAGGAAGAGCGCCGCGTTTTAGCCGTGGATCTGATGCAGGTTGCTTAATAATTTCGTCTGAGAAAGGGCGTGAATATTTCAGCTGACGAGCCGTGTCGATCTCTCGCCCCGGACACACACGCTGAGCGTTTCCCTGTCCGTGCACGATTTGTCGGTGCAACGGCTGATCACCACGTGTAAAAGACATCGGGTACGATTATGGATCAAAAAAGTTCAAATTTTTGGCAGGAAGAGAGCATGCATAATGTCGAATTTGACGAGTCGTTGATGTATTCGAAAATGGAGAATACGAAAGTGCTGTTAGCGATTGGGCGCGGGACGCAAAGCAGTGATTTGAGCAAGCCACTTTTCAAGTGAGTTTGTCGTAGAATTTATAAAGGACGGCGATATATCTATTTTCATTTAGTTGTTAAAGTCTTGTCGAAATTTGGAAACGTGGATTTTAATTGTACCATTTTTACGATAAAAAGTGAAATTCTAAGGAAATTTTAATTCGCATCCATCCAGTCCTTTTCCAGAATGCAATACCGGCGCCGCTCCCCACGGCTTATCGTACGCCACACCGTCGAAGGCACCTTCCGACCAATATCCGTAATGTGCGATGAAAACGCCTTCTCGGGAATCGGAGCCCTATTTGATGTGAGAGACCCGTGTTGTTTCTAGAAATTCCCATTTTTTTAGGATGATCCGGATATTCTCTTCTCGGCCGAAGCCACGGCGCCCATTGATCAGGCATTTCTACTATAACATTTCGGATAAGTTTCCATTTCAGGATCAGGGTCCCGGATTAGCCAGCAGTGACGCCATCGTCCCCAATATCACCCTGGAATCCCACGTTTTCGTCGACTTTCATCTCCCGAATGTTTGTGAATTTTTATCCAGCCAAAAAAAGATGTTCAGTTATGCATCGTTCTGCGGAAAAAGGGTTGGGACAGTTCGGGGCGGCCGAAGCTGAACGCCCCCGTCGAGCAGTTTGCCTGCGTGAACGTCGATTCGTGCCATTTCGGGGTCGTCAGCAAAGAGCAATTTGTTAGCACGGTAAGGTTTGTGACAAGAAAACATTTTTTAATTAGGTGACGCTTGATGTCGGTCATATGGATATTCAAGATATGCTGGAGAACACGGCGCATCCATTCCCCTTGTTGAGCACGAAAAAGACAAGGGATATGGTGGGTTTTCAGGCACCTCGTACCACTGTCGATATTATATTGTTAAACCTTTTATTTCCAGAAAGCCGCTTCTGTTTCCTGCCCAAATCTGACGACGATTGTCGATTCCAACGACGAATGCATCTCCAATTCGCTGCCCAAGGACGGATATCTCAGCTGTACGGCACTAATTTATACCATTCTATATATTTCTTTTAGCCTACAGCGCTACGTATCTATTCGAAAACCGGAAGATGACCGACAACTCGAGAAAGACAAGCACAGCGGTCCGAGGTGGTATTATAGCTGCTTGGAACTATTCACATTTTTAAGGTACCAAAGACGACCAGCGCTCTTCAGTGGAGGCTCGGATCAAATGTACGGTTGTGGATCAGCGCCATCCAGAATTTGAGACGCGCTTCGGACGGGTGTGTTTTGGGGGGTGATGAGAGCTACAATGATTGCAAAGACTATTTACAAAAAACGCGCATTGCGGATTGTTATTCTTTTACTCGAAAAAGGCCGGCCATTTTTTTGCCTCATGTTGGTTTCGAATTCGGCGAAAGCTACGAACGCTGAAAAACCAGCGCTTCCCTTTTATACACATCCTCGAAAAATCAGGCAACTTTATTGGCCGTCCATGCATGTTTTCATGTGTACAAAAAGATTCTGACGAGATTCTCGGAAATTGACAGTATAACGATATATTAGTGCTCGATCTCCCCCTTTTCATTGATGTCTTTCGCGGCCGCGTCCGCTGGGCAGCTAGTACGGCGCGTAGACAAATCCCCGCTTCACCACATACCGAGCGCCGCTCGCCGCCGACCGTTTCCCAAACCTGAATCGGGCATGTGTGATTTTGATGTACCAGATACGAATTCATCTTCCTACTTTACGAATGAGATTAGGAAGCCTTAGGTTGGAATTTGTGTGAGTGGGGGTAGCGCTCTTTTTAGTCTCCCTCCTTCAAGGTTTCAGGCCTAATGGCGTTTTTTTGACCGCCTACATTCTGGGCGTACGGCCGGACTGGGATTTGCGTCAACAATAAGGAATGTCGTTTTTGGGACCAAAACAGGGCAGCTTTTGATGTTTTACGTGCAGCACGTGAGCGACAAATTTGTAACCAGGACATTCCGAATTAGGAATTGCCGAAAGGGGATGGGGTGCGGGGTGTTTGTTTCGGACTTGTGAATTGACAGTAGTTAAGGTTTGCGTTAGAATTATAAGCTTCTAAAAAGATTTAATGGAATGGATTTTGCCAGTGAAACATACAACTTTTTGATCGCTCTAAAACGTGGTGTGGTAGGTACTGTGCTAAATTTTTCTCCACCACCCACCTCATCCGCCCGCCGATCCCCTTTGCCTTCAGGTCGGTGAGTACGGTAGTGATGGGTACGAAATCGCGTCGCATCATCTGCAATGAATTTTTAATCAGTGCCGCCCGTCGGGCTGCCATGACTATAGCCACGGATGCGCACGTCGAACGCGAGGCAGCAATAGGGCGTCGCCGCGTGGCAAATTTTCGAATATGAAATAGTCTTTCCGGGGTCGGACAGTCCCAATATGGGATGTACATCACGGGGCTGTAGGGAAATCGTGGGCGCTCTGCCTCGGCTCGGCTGAGCGGGGATTAGGTGACTTAAGGACTTTAGAATGAAATTTATTCTGGAACGAAGATCGGGGTCATTTCGTCACGTTCGTACTTTTTGTTCCTGCAAAATTTGTAACATACGATTAGCGTCTTTTTTAATATATGACTAGACCCATTTAAAAATTTAAATTACTAGGGCACAGATCATTGGTATCAAAAGATTAAATCGTTTTCGCAATTTTCCCGTCAAATATCCTGGATGTAAACTGCCGCAGCACCAAATTTCCATTTAAAAAAAAACAGCCGTGTCCCGCGCCTTCCGCTTTTTGACCTGTCACCCTCCCTTTAAACTCACCCTGATTGGCCGCTCATCCTCGACATCATCATCGTACATTGGCGCGGCACATATTGAAGCTAGTAGGGAACAAAGGATGAGCAGAAGGGACTCCAGCCGCATGTCGAGCGCGGTGGAGAAAAAGTGAAGTGATCTGGGCGGGCCGTGGACGACCACGCCCGCCCCCGTCGCCCCGAGATGCGCTGAATATTTCTAGCGGGCCCGCCCACAGGCGCCTCTCCCTGTCTAGGCCCCGCGTAGTATGGGCGATGGTTTGACGTGGTGATGATGATGGTTGATGAACTGGATGGTAGTTGAGGGGGTGGTAGTATACTTCCTTGAATAACTGAGCTCGATCTCAGGCTGGCAGAGGAGAAGGGGTATCTTAAGGTGCCAGATCGTGACATTAGGATAGTCACGATGGATATGTCTTGCAAAGTATAATTTTTCAAAAAAGGTCGAATGCCATTTCTTGTAGCCATCTATGTGTCTGATGTTTAGGTTCCCAAGCCCTTGAGCAGCTTTCCGGTAGGTTTTGGTATAATTGATGTTTTATCGGCTTCGCCATTTAAAACCCATTTTTTTTCATAATTGGAAAGGGTAGGATTCCTAAGTCGTGCTAGTTTATAAAAATTCAGAAATCCTGGGTTCCGTCGAGAAAATTTGCGAAATAACGCGCTGGATTTAGCGAGAACGCAAGTCCAAGAGACTCTTCATTTTAACGTTTGAACGTTTAACGTTCCCCGTCTTTTTGAAAACTAATTGATCACATAAATTAATTTTCCCTAAGCTGTCCTTTTAGCCAGCTGTAAGCCAAAAAGCGTCGCTTGAATTATCGATTCTTCTACGATGTAGGCTTTTGAGATGTATTTTGAGCTTGTCCGACATCTCCAACCATGACTCCCTGGCAGGGTTCGATTTGATTGGGTAAATTTGGGGGTGGGGGCCTGGAGGTGGTCATTTAGTCCGGAGGTGGTCAAAAAAAGGTGTAAAATTTTTGGCGGCCGCTTCGCGGCCGGTTCCCTATGACATATATATGGCAGAGGGAACCCAGGAAACTATGAAAGGGAAATTATTTCTCGCAACCAGCACCTGTTTGTAAAATAAGAAATCTAATATTTAGCGGAACCAGCAGTATCTTTGAAGTTTTCCGGACACATTATTGTGCGTTGATTTTTTTGTCTTGAAATAAATATTTTGAATAAATGTTGTTTATTTGTTAATATACCACGCGGCAGTCAAAGCAACTCCGGAAAAATGAAATGGCGACAGGAGGCAGAAGAAGAAATTCCCTAAAAAGTCACTCTTGCTATATTCACAACGAATTCTTTGAGAACGGATTGACTTTTCCGGTCAGAGCTTTCCGGAAGCTGCACGGACGAATTTCTTACCTACATTAATCAATGCGTCATCCTCTTCCGCATCTGTTGATACCACTCACTAAATCCATAAGGTTCGTTTGACAACCTCCTCTCCACGATTTATGCAAATTGCAGGCAAAAACCCACATTTCCGGCCATAGTTTTCCGGAACCGGCACGGATCCTCTTCTAGCCTACACCAATCGACGCGTCTCATCCTTGCGCATCTGGTAACACCCAGAAAAAGCCATGAAATCTTTGTCCGACAACCTCCAACCCCTGATTTATGCAAATTTCAGTCAAAAACCACACCTTTCCGGCCACCGTTTTCCGGAACCGGCACGGATCAACTTCTAACCCACACCAATCGACGCGTCTCATCCTTGCGCATCTGGTAACACCCATGAAAAGCCATGAAAACTTTGTCTGACAACCTCCAACCCCTGATTTATGCAAATTTCAGGCAAAAAACGCACCTTTTTGGCCATAGTTTTCCGGAACCGGCACGGACCTAACCTACACCAATCGACGCGTCTCATCCTTCCGCATCCGGTGATACCCATAAAAAGCCATTCAGATCGATACTTAAGGGGGTATACACCCTATTTGTCGACAAAAATTTTTTCCCAATTAATTCCCAGTGGGTTTTTCAATTAATTAGGTGGTTTATCGTGCTTTTTCGGCGAGCAAACCCGCATAGTTAGATAGAGAATTCTTTAAGCTATCGAATGAGGTCCTATACGAAACATGAAAACCCCGGAATCGGGAGAAACCTCAGTTTTTGTGGCGCGGAAAAAACAGCAAAACCCAATTTTTTCCCAGTTAGGAAAAAATTGTTTCTATTTTCATTTTTTTCCTACCGGAGCGAATCGGACCAAACTTTCAGGGTAGAAGCCGCTTAGGCTCCTCTACCAAGGGAGGTGGTCAGACCCGCCCTAGCTCTTCAGGGGGAAGTGAAAAACATGATTGAGGGTGGAAAATTTTTCTCCAAAACCGGGGTGTTTCCGGCTGGGTCAAAACAAAAAATACGGTCTGGAGGTTGTCTAAACACCTTCCCATGCTTAGTGAGTCATATCACCAGATCCGCAAGGATGAGACCCGTCGATTGGTGTAGGTTAGAAGAGGATCCGCGCCGGTTCCGGAAAACTATGGCCGGAAATGTGCGTTTTTTGCCTGAAATTTGCATAAATCAGGGGTTGGAGGTTGTCAAACAAAGTTTTCATGGCTTTTCATGGGTATCACCAGATGCGAAAGGACGAGACGCGTCGATTGGTGTGGGTTAGAAGTGGATCCGTGCCGGTTCCGGAAAATAGTGACCGGAAATGTGCGTTTTTTGCCTGAAATTTGCATAAATCACGGCCTGGAGGTTGTCAAACCAACTTTCCCTGGCTTTTTCTGGGTGTTACCAGATGCGCAAGGATGAGACGCGTCGATTGGTGTAGGCTAGAAGAGGATCCGTGCCGGTTCCGGAAAACTATGGCCGGAAATGTGGGTTTTTGCCTGCAATTTGCATAAATCGTGGAGAGGAGGTTGTCAAACGAACCTTATGGATTTAGTGAGTGGTATCAACAGATGCGGAAGAGGATGACGCATTGATTAATGTAGGTAAGAAATTCGTCCGTGCAGCTTCCGGAAAGCTCTGACCGGAAAAGTCAATCCGTTCTCAAAGAATTCGTTGTGAATATAGCAAGAGTGACTTTTTAGGGAATTTCTTCTTCTGCCTCCTGTCGCCATTTCATTTTTCCGGAGTTGCTTTGACTGCCGCGTGGTATATTAACAAATAAACAACATTTATTCAAAATTTCAAAAATACCGGTAGTTCCTTTAAATACCAAATATCAGATAGAAAATGTCAAAAAAATTTTCGGCCGCTTCGCGGCCCTCTGGAGGTGGTCGGTCCTTCTGGAGGTGGTCTTGGGTTTTTTTCCCATCAAATCGAACCCTGCTCCCTGGCCTCACTTTCTCACGCCAAAATACCTCGGCTTTCGAAATATTGCCTGGTGACGCCATCCAATCATCCGGGCCCTAGATTCGATTCATTCAGGACTGCTTCTCCCCCAAGTATCGCTGGAAATTCGCCATCCGCTTTCCCCCCATTTTCCCCGCGAGATCCCCCGGAATGCCGCTCGCACGGCAACATATTTCCGCTCCGGATATTATCGCGTATTCAATCAGGCTGGCGGATAATGACAGACCGATTCGGCAAGGGTTCACCCGGTCGGGTCTGGGATGAGGGATAAACTACCGAACATACCGGGAAATCGGCTCTATGAATTTTTCTAGATTACAGATCTTGAGAGTGGACTATCACGAGAGTTTTCCCCTCCCTCAAAAAAACTCCAACCCCTACCGGCCTATGGTAAGAATACGATACCTATTGTGGCGGATGTACCGGAGCGAGCGCTGTGATTACCACCTGGGCCCTAACCATAATGGGCTGGCTTGTTTTCCGATGGCCGCCGGAAGTTGGCCAGGGCTCCGGCGCGCGCGGCTTCCCGTTGTGACGTTCGGCGGCGCTTTAGTTTCCACGCGATGTTATAAATGGTGCCGGAAACTGGCGGATATTGTATGCGCGAATCGAGGAGGAGGGCATTGGGAAATTTGTTGCTATACGGTAATTCTAATGGGGGAAGTGGAAACTTTTGAGCGTAGTGGAAAAGAAAAAACTAAAAAGCTGAACATGTCGACTATTGTAGCAAAACGGTGAATCGTTCGTGAGTGGAATAATGGAATGTGTAAAATGAAAGAAAACACAATAAGCGAAAAAGCCGCAAAGCGTGACATTCTGCCTAGAAAGAAGAAATGGACGGCGGATATATGGGATTCGTGCATGGATGAAAGATAAAAATTTAGAAAAAGTTTAAAATACGGAAAATACCTAAAATTGGAGCAAGCAATAAAAATTTTTACAGAAAAACTGCTCCCTCGACATCGACATGAACGAAGTGGAGATGGGCATGAATCGACGATCCTGGACGGCAATCATGGACTTTGCAGGGCTGCTAGGTGGTTCGAAGCTTTTCAACCTTCAAACCCGGTTTTAGGAGGCGAAGAACAGGAAGAACTCCCGGTTCCCCGACGCACCAGTGGGCTCACCGATATCCATGCCGATTCGATCGACCAGTTCAATGGTACTGTACTTCTACAATAGCTAAAACTTGAATTTTCAGACATCAAGCTGACAATCGACCCGTTCCTACTGGCCTGCGCCATCCACGTGCAGACCCTGAGAATCAACATGAACTACCCGGGGAACGGGACACGGCTTGGCGTCATATCTTTTCAGGATCTCGATCTGTTGAATAGCGTAGGTTATTTTAGGATTACCCGGAATTTCATCAGTATATCTTACGTCTTTGCGTTCCAGATCCATCTGCGCGACATCAAGGAGAAAATTGCCGTATCGCTGTCATTTGCTGGTTTGCGGGTCACAGATCGGTACTTGAATCAAATAGAAAGTTAACATTTTGTTTTTAGCACTCCTGGCTACTCGGGAATGTACGATGAACGTTGCATCCTCCAGTCAGAAAACGCCCTCAAGCCGATACCGAAAGCAAAACTCGATATCGTCAAGTAGGCATCGTTTATAGATGAAGCTTTTCCTTTCAGGTACCTGGGTGACGCGGATCACTCCCGAGAATGGGACCTGTTGGTCCGAATGGTCGTGCCGAAACAGATGCGCCTTTACTACATCCACACGCATCGGTACTTCTGCGGCTTGATGGATTTCTGGATGCAATTCTTCGAGCTTCAGGATCTCATCACCAAGCAAAAAAAGAAATATGTGGGGTTTTTTGGGGAAATTTCAACCAGCTTTAGGTCACGGAAGGCCCGCGATCTCGCGTCAAGCTGGACATCGACATCCAGTCCAACACCTCGCTCATCCTCCCCCAAAATCAGCTCAGCGGTTAGTGTGCTCTTCGAATTCTTACACGAAATCTAATTTAGATGAGGTGATGGTCCTCACTTCTACGGGCATCCGTATCCTCAATAACTTCAAACGGATGTCTGCCCTATTCGAGATCTTCAAGAACAACGGCATCATTCCCGAGAATGAAGAAGATATTGGTATTTTTCGAAAGATTTATCTGACTCGCGTTAGGAAATACGGATTGCCTGTTTGATTGCTTGAACGCAAACCTGGCCGATGTTGAGCTGAAAGAAGGAAAACGGATCGAAAGCCTATTTCGGCGGGAGGAAAAGGTAGGCGTTTTTGGCCTGATCAGCTTGTCGATTTTGCAGAATGCATCTCCACTGGGTCGTGACGTCTTTGAAAATTTCGAATTCGTCGTCTCCAATCATTCGGTATTCAACAAGCACTTCGATCTCGTCACGGATGTGTATCGAAACCTTGAAGGGCACCTTTCCAAACGATGTAAAAATTGTTTCTAAAATTGATCTGATTTGCCTATAGTCCCCGACCTCTCGATGATCACCGGCATCCAGGGAGTGACGTGGTACCTCACCAGCGATTTCTACTGTCTACTCCGAGGGTACCTCTTTTACGCGAATCCGATTTTTTGCTTGCAGTTTCCTTTCACACAACCTGGGCGATCCGATGATCCCACAGCCCGACACGATTCCACCAGAGTTGCTGGAAAAACCCGAAGTTTTTGCGGTTCGTTTTTGTTTTTTTTAATCTCTGTTATTGGGTTTTTTGTCAACACCTGATTTTAGGAACAAGGCTCCCTCTACAACTACACGACCCTTGCCCTGCGAATCTTTTACGAAAATGTGTACCTGGAATGTCTCGTCCCCCAGATGGAGAAGCCGACAAATTCCAAAAACAAAGAGCCACCAAGCCGACTCATGCGTAATGGTGTCCACTTTAACCGGTAATGCAGCGGTTGGTGCCTCATTTCGAATTCTAGGAATTACGAACCACTCGCCCGAATCCAGATGCACTCCTCAAAGGTCTCTTTCGATGCCTCAATCGATGGAAAGTCCCAATTCAACGTCATCGGCTATAACATTCAAGTGGAGGACACGAGAACATGTATGACTGATTAAATTAGCATGAATTACTTATATTTAGGCCCTCCCGCGGCTACGTCACCGGCGGTCCATCGAGTAATCGTCGCCAATCGGCAGTTGGAGGCCGACTTGTCACCGTTGACGGTGATGGCTGAAGCGCACATCCTCCTAACAAAAGATCAGCCCCCGACGGTTACCCTAGTGCTTCAGGTAAAAGAGCATCAATGTCGTCATATTTTTTTAGAAATCACGCGTCTTTGTCATCCCGGATTTCCTTTTCGACGCAAAAGACTTCGTCCTCCTCGATTCCGAATTCGTGCGACCTGTCATTGAAGACCCGGCCCCAGAGGCAAAACCTTGCGGTGGCTTGCAGCCAAATGCAGGGGTGGTTGACCGACTATCAACTGAAAGGCCCCAACAGACCTTTGTCTTGAACCTGACGCTAAGGTTTTGTCAAGCTTTTTTGCTTTCATTCTTGTTTTCAGGGAATCCGACCTCTACTTCCTGGAGAACGCGTGGGCCCGGAATTCCTTCGCCCTCGTCCTGTACACATCCGCTGTGCTGAAGATGAACGACGCGGGCGGAAGTTTGTCGGCGGATCTTGAAATTGAGGTGCGCGCTGTTTTGCGGTAAATAGCTTCCGGAATTTAGCATCTCTTCCTCAGTTGGTGTTTGATGGACGCGATGGAGTCGACAAGGTCGCAGTGCAGCAAGGACTTCAAGCTATCGGTGAAGCTGGGTAGTTTTCTTTACTTTAAAAAATCTATTTTTGCTCTAGAACTGGACGAAAAGCAAGAAGGCCTACCAGCAATCATGGGACAAACGCACTGTCTACAAGTCGATGTCTATGGCGCGATCGCCAAAATTTCGTTTAGAGACTCGAGGGTCTTGCAGGTGAGTCAGGCCTCGAATTATCCATTTTCGTTTTTAGGTTGTCCTCGAAGGCTGGATTGATCACTGGACCCGAACGCAGGGTCGAGGCCTGGTCCCGCAGCAAGCTCATCGACCGCCGGGAAAACGTGATTTACGCCAAAGGTTTTGGCAATTATTTTATTTTAGCGCTTGAAATTGGCAAAGTCGTCTTCAATACAGACACGTTTGAAATTTGGTTCCTGGATGACATTCGGCGAGACGGATGTGTCCCATTGTTCCGGTGCATTCTCAGCGGTATTTTGCGCTTGCCTTGTAATACTAAATTTCCTAGGACTCACCCTAAGACGCACGAATGAGCGTTTGGTCGCCTCGTTCAGCATCAACCTCGACTACTTCAATCAGCGGGTATTTGGGTAAAATTGGCAATGGATTCGTCTAAAGGATGTTTTTGCAGCTGGGATCCATTCATCGAAAAATGGGATATCCTTCGCTTTCTGATGCTCAAGAAGGAAAAGCTCTCCTTTGAGCTCCTGACGAGTAGGGCGGTGATCGTTTCTCACAATCTGATTTAGATACGAAAAGCACCCTGGACATCAACCTCACCCACGACCTGATCCACCAGGCCGTCCAGTGGAAGGCACAATTCGCTGAAATTGGCCAAGATTTCGACCGTGACGAATTTCGGTGTGGATTTTCGTGATTTTTGTAACTCGTTATTTCCAGTACAAAGTGCTCGACACGGACCCGATCGGACCATCTTCCATATGTGCTGAAGAACGAGACCGGAACGGATATCACCTTCACGATGCAGGTCGACGAATTGGTGATGGTAAGAGAAGCGAGTTTTCTGGGAAACTTAGGTCTAGAATCGCAACGCCCAGCAAAAACCAACCACTATCAAATGGTTGGGCGTCGGGCACGGCGGAGAGCAGGATTTCGAGTTCCCCACAATGCTGCTGAGCTATGAGGTGTTTTTCAACGAAATCCGCTTACACTCGCCGTTTTAGAAAAGCCACACCGAATCGCGCCAACTTGTTATCCGAGTCGAAGGCTGGGACTCGTGCTCCCCTGTCAATGTCTACGCGTGCGGCACGTATTTCCGGGTCATCAAATCGTTGCAGGTATCGGCTTTTCAGGGATTTACGGATTACGATATTTTAGCACAATCGGCCAAATGCCCGCCTTGTCATCCGAGTTACGGTGGAAAAGGACGGGAAAAAGGTAGTGGCCGTCAGATCGAGCATCGAAGTCCACAACTCGTTGCCGCATCAAATAATGATCTACGACGAGAATGGAACCGGTAATATTTGTCTCCATTCTTGATTTTTCGCTTTTTAGAGCTTCTACCCGTCGAACCATCGTCATCGGCCCCAATCCCACTTGCCAACACGCATACGCATTTCCATCTGCGACCCAGCCTTCGTTCGTCGGCTGGCGAGGAGTTGAGCATGGTAAGGCAAACGCTCGTTCGTGACCTCTACTTTAGGCCCGGATATCCTGGCGTAACGTACGAGTCAGCGGCGAAGTCGTCTCCCAGACCGTGAAGCTCAAATCGAAGAAATCGGAAGAATATTGGTGAGGTCAATGCCTACGCGATCTTATCTCTGCTTCAGGCTTTCCTTTGCTGTACGACGAGAGCACTACCCGGAAAATGAATCCCTGCCCGGGCACACGATCTACGTTGTCCCTCCGCTGACCATACTGAATCTGTTGCCAGTTGATTTCGAATTGAGACTGCAGGTTTGTCGACGACCCCAAGCGCTTTACCGGCCTTTTTCAGGATGGCACCTACGCAATTGGAGCGGGCAAGCGTCTCGACGTGACGACGGTCGACATCAGCCGAGAAGTCCCCTTCTCTTTCACCACCGACCGCCTGATCACCTCAAGGGAATACACGATCAACAAGTACGACTTTTTCTCCAACTTCACCTTTCGGTCTTAGGGCCTCCATTGCTGATGGGCAACGCATTCGCATCCAGCTTCAAGACTTGAAGAAACGGCCCCTGAATGTCTACGCCGACCTCAAGATCGTGCGCGGCGGTGCGATCAATGTCGTCTTTTGGGTGCCGTTCTGGGTCATCAACAAGTCGGGTACGTTTCCGGATTTTATTCGGAAAAACCAACTGATTTAGGTATTCCCCTGGTCGTCAAGCAGCAAGCCGCCCCCACCGAATCTGCCGGCCAGATGGAGGAACACGAACGGGCCAAGGACAAACATCCGCTGATGTTTAGCTTCTCCGAATCGGATTGCCCCGACAAGTATGCATTTTGTCTCAGCGTTGAATAACGTCCTTCAGATGTCTGATCCGAGTTGGTCAGCACTACGAGACTGAGAAAGGCTACGCCCCCGAGTTCAGCAGCCCGGTCAAGCTGTCCCCCGGAGTGCAAGACGTTCGATTGAAGCTCGTCCATCAGAAGCTTCCAAACAAGTTCTACAATATCGGCGTGGAAGTGCGAGCTGGGACAGGTAAATGTTCGCCAGTGGATCAAGCCCTTCTGCTTCTAGGCCGTTACAAGGACACGCAAGTCGTACTTTTGACGTCGCGCTTCATCCTGAACAACCAGTCCTCGTTGACGCTGCTTGTCTGCCATCATGAGCATATTGACGTGGGTTCTTAGAAAATCTTCCAGCTACGTCTTTTTCAGAGACCATCCGAGCATATCCACGTGGCTCCCGGCTGCAACTTGGTGTGGAACGAGAGCTACGAAGATGCGAGGAAGCTTTGTGTCCGGCGGGCCGATGTCAAGTCGGTTGCTTCTAAAATTCACTAAAATTTTTTAGACACTGGAGTTGTCCGTTCCGCATCGATCACGTCGGCTCGTTCCATATTACGATGAGGTTGGATACCTTTTATTTTCCATTCATGAATTTTTAGGGATGCCGATGAGACGCCGCGCTTTGTTCGCGTCGAAATCATTGTGTCGTCGGCTGTTTTCTACGTCACATTCACTGATGCCTCCTACTTCCCGCCGCCGATCCAGATTGAGAACAAGAGCGATGTTGGAGAAGAAATCGATTGCTAACCTCAGGTTTAGGTGCCCGTCCTCTATCAACAATACTCCGATGCGACGACAAAACAACACCTGAGAACTATCTGCAAAGCCAATTCTACTGTCGACTACGCCTGGGATAACCCATCAACTATCCAAAAACTCCTCCTCCTTCAGGTACTTAATAGCTAATCTTCATCTCCAACACTCCACTTTCAGGTCTACGAAAACAAGTCGCATGTCTACGACCCAGCCATCCAAGGCACCGGCGCGGCGTTGGTCTACGAAAACAACGTCTTCATCCAACTGCACCACTCGTTCAAGAACTACAAACAATCAAAGAAGACGGATGAGTGCGAGCTTGTCCTGGAGACAATGACCAAGGGAAAGGTTCGTTTTTAGCGGTTTGGAAACCGCTTTATCTGAGTTAATTTAACGTGTGATCTTCCAGGTAATGCTGAACAAGCAGAATCGCCTCGACGGAAACGGCGGCAACCAATTGTGGAAACTCTGTCCCGACGGATGCATCGAAAACATTGGCATGAATTCGCGGTCGAAGCGAGGAGCCAGGATGGTAAATTACAGAAAACTCTTTTTTTCTACGGCCGTAGGTGCTCGATGTGCTCGAAACGGCCGGAAACCAGCTTATGATGTGCGAGAGGAGCGACTCCCGGAAGAGGTTCCAGAATTGGACTTTCCTCGGGGTATTTTCGCGACTTTCGATTGTAATGCCTAATTTTTAGGATGGTCGCATCTGCTGCGGCGTTGCCGGCCAATATATCACGGCCCGGAAGACTGACGTCATCCTAATGAGGCCCGAGCAGAAGCCCGTTGAAGTAAACGAAGACCAAAACGACGTCAACCAGGTCTGTAATTATAGCGCCATTTTTACATAGCTTGTTTTAGGTCTGGAAAAAGCAAACTCAACGCCCAGGCTCTGGAACGCTGGATGTGGAGTGCTTCCACAACGGGCCGACTTTGGTATATATTTTCTGCGTATTTGAAACGTAGTCCTTAGGTCGTTCGTATTACCGACCGAGACGTGAATCGGCCGCTACAAGCCAATAGATCGGTTTCGATGCCCGTATTCTCGGAACGCAGAACGCTGGCCGAATTGGCAAAACCGGAAACGTGTACCGAGGTAGTCTTACAGTGGAAATTGCATTAATTAAATGATTTGATTGGTTCATTATGCGCATTATGCCATTTTCTAGGTGTCGATCACGATGCGTAGCGGCATCGGCGTCTCGTTGGTGAACGCGTTGCACGAAGAGCTGATTTATGCGCGTTTAAGTGACATTGCTGCGCACGCCTCGAAGACCGGCGATACTATCCAAGTCACCGGAAGCGTCGGTGTCATTCAGGTATCATTTTCTAGGCGTCGTCAAACGACTTTAGGTGGACAATCAACTACTCTGTACTGACAAGTGGCAAGTGTTGTACTGTCATCCGGATATTTCGCCTGATGAAGAGGTATCAAAAAATTTACGTTTTTTATAAAGCACGTACAGAGCCCGGTCCCGCAGGAACAACTGCCCGCCGGCGTATCGGCCATCTCAAAGCCGGCCCTGAAACTGGAACTGAAGTGCACCCCGATGAAGCACTACGATGCGTTTGATGTAAATTTAACGTTTATGGAAATTTATACGCTTTTTTTTAGTGCTTCCGGCTGAAGCTGTGCGACATGTCGGTCCACCTGAATGAGATCTTGCTCTGGAAATTTGTGCAGTTTGCTGCGGCCAGTGATGCCAGTAGAAGGGTTCAGGTATTGAAAACAACAATCCAACAATTCAGAGCCTAATTTTAGCCAAGCCAGCTCGAATTGCCGCCCGACACCGAGCTCGTCCGCCCCGACCCGCTGGCCTCCAGACGGTGGTACTTTGGGACCTTGGAATTGGACATGGGCCAAATATTGCTTTCCGGTAGGAGCTAGCTTTCCCTCACAGATTTTTTAGTGGTCACCGTGCCAAAGAACGGCCTCCCGAAAGATCTGCGTGTGCTGAAGCAGCAATTCAACATTATGGTACGGCCGTCTATTTTCCTGCTAAAAATCTGTTTAGCTTGTCTCCTTCGAAAACGCGGCCATCCGACTGCCTCCCTTCCGCCAGTTCCACTACTTTGAGACATCGCTCTTCCTCCTGGATCTGCTACGCAACTTCTATTTTTGTAAGCTTTTTTCCACGTCACCACCAACGTATTTCTAGCCGAGCTCCAAAAGAAGGTGATAAATCTCGTGTTCTTCATGGACGCCTTCGGCAATCCAGCCGGTTTCGTGACAGATCTGAAAGACTCGGTGGCGGTAAGTGAGTCCAAATTGAACTGCATTTTTGTTTAGGGTCTCTTCATCGAGGGCGACTTTACTCGCTTCTTCTCGGGTGTCGGCTACGGCGTCTCCAACAGCATCTCCAAGGTCGCCTCGTCGATGGCGGCTGGCGTCGGTGCCTTCACCTTCGACGAGGAGCACGAAGCGAAGAGAAGACATAATATGCTGAGGTCCCATAAGTAAGCTTTTCGGCGTATGCTATGTAACACCTACTCCAGCACCGTCAACTCGACCCCGCTTGGCCACCTCTACTCTGGCGTGAAAGGGCTGGGTTATGGCGTGATGGGCATCTTCTCGTCGATCCCCACCAATACGGTCCAAGAGAACAAGAAGAGCGGCTTTGTGACGGTAAAGCTTTTTTCTACGTTTTATGTTACCTGCACCTAGGGTACGATTCGCGGAGTTTCGACGGGTATTGCTGACATGGTGACGAAGCCGGTGCAAGGGTTCTTCGACTTGGTGGAGGGCACCGCCGCCGCCGTTCGTGAGATAACTGCGCCGAATACGGTGCGAAGGCTGAGTGCGCTGAGGTGAGCATTCTGGCTTCTTATTTTTTTGCTACGTTTTCGGTATTATTTTGAAAAGATCAGCGATAAAGCATTAAAAATATATTAAGACTTTCAAAATCATCACAAAAAATTTAATTTGGGCGCATGGAGTTTAAATTGGCTATAGCAAGGATCAGATTCGTGCTGAAAGCCTACTAAACACTATTTTAATGGTATAATTTCTAAGTTAATACTCTTGATATACTCTTACCGAATCTGCTTTTTTTAGCCGCGTCCGACCGCCCCGCGTCTGCGTCGACCTCTACCACCAGCTGCCCTCGTATAGCCTTCTACTCGCCGGAGCCCAGGTCGAGCTGATGCGCATCAACGGATGCCACCAAGAGGAGCGACTGCTCGACGTGGAGAATCTCATCGAACAGATCAGCGCGGACCCTGGCGGAAATCCCCGTGTCATCCGGCAGTACGCCCTAATCTCCACCGAGCAGTGCTATCTTTGCAAGCAGGTACGACGCTATTTTCAAGGGCCTAACGCATTGGTATCGTTGCAGTCGGATGGCGAAAGCTGGGTGGTCACGAAACGGATTGCCTACAAATATGTCAAGTCGATCGAGGTTGGCAACGAGATCTCTACGACCGGTGTCTATCGGATAGGTAAGTGTTATAGACAAATTTTGGTGAGGTGTCTCAACTGAAAGGTCGCTTCTTGCCGTGCAAAATGCGTTATGTAAATTTTTCCGATTTTCTTTCTTATCAGTTTTACAGGGGGCGTAAAGTTACACTTTTTGGTCCAAAAACACCTTAAGATGCCTTTCATCCCGAGATTTTTGAAATACGGTCGTTTGGCAATTTTTGAACGCAGATCCGGATCCATCGAAAAATTCTGAACAAGATATGCTTGGTCTTATCGCACACTTCCATCCTGACTAAAATCACTTTGCTGTTAGAAATCTCAGTTTTAGTTGTAATGGAGGAAGGCGAGGACCGTAAGCAGCGCCCGGAGCACATCTGGTGCACGCGGCTGGAAGTGGCAAAGCGGTAACACTGGCTTCCTTTCGAAAATCTCAATTTACAGTGTTGCCGAAAAACTGCAAATCGCGAAGAACGAGTACGACCACAACAAACGCACACTCCGGGAAGACGTATAAAGCCCAAGATCATCGTGATAATTTCCTCCCTTCTTGTGCAAATTTACCCGCGGGTCTGTGGCTATATGTAGGCTGTTGAAGAACCCTTCTCCCCATCTCTGTAACCCCCTCCCACCCCCTTTTATTATTCGCAATTCTCGTTTACCGGTGCCTTATTTCTCTCCTTTCGCTTTACTAGCTTCCTGGTTTTCTGTCAATGTGTTTTAAAAAAATTTATCGAGCTTTCAGTTCCCCCAATTGTGATTCACAAATAATTTATGGGTACCTTTAGAGCGTAATATTGCTCTTTATTACCACCACACGCTTTTTGCTCAGTTTTTTCGGCCATATGCCCCTTCTTTTTGTTTTGGTCCTTTCGACTGTGATAATTCTGGTACTGGCGGTTTTTTGAACAGCATAAAATCATTTTCGTGACCAAGCCACTGATCCAAGTCACCGGAATGACACCCAGCTTGCGTATCTGTGCAGTCTGATTCGTGTGGCCCAAAACAACATTTCATATTAGTGAGCGATGCTTACACCTGCAAAGAAGTTATATGGGTTTCCCGTCTTTGTCGGATCCTGTATAATCTCTGGGATCACAATAGGTAACGAATTTTTCAGTAAATAACTTTGTTTCACTGTCTGACCGGCTATACTTTTGGATTTGCACTGAATGGTTACGCCGCGTAATTTGGCAACTTCGTAGCCGGCGCTCAAAAATCATCCTTTCTGCTTTTGCCTGACATTCGGCTCTTACTAATATGTTTAGGATTTTATGACCGTCATTTAGCATTTGTATTATGGGATGAACATCGAAATCGGGACCGGCGTCAGGCTTCGGTCAGAGAACGGCTGAAGACCATCACCGATCAGCAGCAGACCAACATGGAAGAGTACGCGCTGCAGAAACAAAAGTATGTCTATCCGCCCACTTCTTAGCTTATTTTTGTTTTAGATACGATGAGTACAAGCAGGCGCATTCCTGAAGCGGGCACGAATGGATAGATAGGATTGATTATAATTAACCTAACGGCGACGGGTTTTTTGGCATTGCTACGTTTGTGAATAAATACCATACTCGTGATTTTCTCCCCGTTTTCCAATACGTGGTTGTTCGCCATGGTTATTCTTGTACCAGTTTTGGTGGCCGTTCTAATGATCTTTTTAGAAAATGCCGGGCGCTGAGAAGAAAGACCCAAAGAAGACGGATGATGGCAACTACGAGAAGGAGATCATCTCGAAGTTCCCGAATCTAGAAGTGGCGCAGATGCGTTATCTGGTCAACCACCCCGAACTCGACGCGGCCACGCGGACTGCCACACTGGAAAAGCTGATGGCCGAAATTAAGACGAATGATATGGCGCCGTACTACAAATTGTTGGCCGAGGAGCTAAAGATGCCGTTCGATAAGGCTCTATATGATCAGATGAAGGCAAACAACAACCAAAAGCTCGATGCCTTTGATGCCGAGATCGCGGATGCCGAAAAGAACCAGGGAGAAAGCGAGGTCCGTGCGGCGTTGCTGAAGAAGTACGACTACTTCTGTCAAATTGGAGACAAGGACAATGCCCTGAAGGCTTCGCAAAGCACTTTCGAGAAGACGGTCGGTACCGGATACAAGATCGATTTGGTGTTCAACATTGTTCGTTTGGGCCTCTTCTTCCTTGACCACCAAATGATCAACAACAACTTGACCCGAGCCCGGGAATTGATGGAGCAAGGCGGTGACTGGGAGCGCAAGAATCGTCTCCGTTCCTACGAGGCGCTGTACAAGATGTCGGTGCGTGACTTTTCGGGCGCCGCAGCTCTGTTCCTCGAAGCTGTCCCGACTTTCGGCAGCTATGAGCTTTTCACGTATGAGCAGCTGACCTTCTACGCCGTCGTCACCTCGTTGTATGCCCTGGATCGCCCGGACCTGCGCACAAAAGTCATCAAGAGCAACGAGATCCAGGAGCAGCTTTCTGGCGACAAGGTGGAACTGCACATCATCCGAGAGTACTTGACCTCATATTACGAGTGCAACTACGAAAAGTTCTTCCAGAACCTCGCGGAACTGGAGAGCACGCGGCTGAAGTTTGACCGGTACTTCCACTCCCACTTCAACTATTACAGCCGGGTAATGCGACTCCGCGCTTACCTCCAGTTCCTCACGCCGTACAAGACCGTCCGCTTGGACCTGATGGCCCGTGATTTCGGAGTGTCTACAGAGTTTCTGGACAAGGAGCTGCACCGTCTCGTCGCCGCCGGCCAATTGCCATGCCGGATTGACGCCGTCCAAGGAGTCATCCACATGCATCACCCCGACTCGAAGGATCGCCTATTCAAATCGGTCATCAAGGACGGAGATATCCTGCTAAATCGTGTCCAAAAGCTGGCTCGGGTCATCAATGCCTAATTGATTTTCATTCTATGATCTGCGTTTTTGAATTGTCAATCCGGTCGTTTCACCGTCCCATTCCCCTGCTATCTATTAGATTATTGGTGATTTACCATTACTTCCCGCGTCATCTGAGTTTGTGATCACCTCAAAACATGTGTACGGTCCAATTAAAACAGCATCTTTCTGCCCTTCCGTGTGCGCTCGTGTTTTTTTACGAAATGGTGAATAAATTTTCAGATATGCTCGCCACAACATCATTGCGGGCATCTCGGCTGGGGGCGATTGGCCACGGAAGACTATTGATGGTGGCTGAGAGTGAGCTGGCGGCGCTTAGGTATAGCTCTTTTTTCACAGATTAGATCCGCTTTGCTTTAGATCCACAAGCACCAAGCCGCGCGTGGAGAAAAGCAACTGGAAGCATAATGTCGTCTACCTCTACCAGGTTATTGAGAATTTCTGCGCTTATTTTCTTTAGTTCCCCCGTACGCCATACTTGCCAAATCCGTCGCCATATTGTCTAAAGATTGAGACCTATCTCCGGGTCAATAATCTGAAATACGAGGTATGGCTTTTCCCAGCTTCCGAGCGTAACCCGGTTTTTGGGTGATCCCTACCTACACCGCTCGATCCGATAAAGGGAAGCTGCCTTTTATTGAGCTCAACGGAGAGCAAATCTCCGATTCACAAATCATTCTGTGGCGGCTGGCAAAACTATTCGAGATTCAGGTAACGGCTTTTCCGATTTCATAAAAAAATAATTGTCTAGGACCCTGTCAGCGGCCATGAACGTGGCACGGCTAGAGCAATCGAGAGAATGTTGGATATGAGCACTGTCAAGTTTGATATACGCCTCTAATAGCAACCGCAAATTTAGTTCACTAAATCACGATCGAATGGTCAAGCACGCACACCTGACGTTGGCGAGAAATGTCTCCGGAGTGCCATTGCCCGCCTTCGCGAGCAATTTTCTAGCTACCCGTTTCGCCAAGAAGGTATACAAAAACTCTGGTTCTATACCGGTAACGGGGTCCTTAAAAAAATAAGGGTCCTTAAAAAAAATAAGGGTCCTTAATAAAAATAAGGGTCCTTAAAAAAAAATAAGGGTCCTTAGAATTTCAGCTTAAGGACCCTGTCCCGACAGGGGTCCTTAAAATAGATGCTATTTTTAAAGACTACCAGAACGATGGAACGCACACTGTCACCCCAAGGGTGGGGCCCCCAAGAACGCGCGGAGAGAGGCGTCATTAGTGATGCCTCGTACTAGGCAAAGGCCCTCTGGGGTTTGGGGCGCCTCTGACCCCCTTCCCCACTTGGCCCTGTGGTGTAGTGGCTAGCGCGTCGGACTGTCGTGCGAACCATCGCGGGTTCGACCCCCGCCCGGTGCGCAACTTTCTTGCTTTCAACGGAATTTCATCGTTCTGGCGGTCTTTAAGGACCCCGATTTCAGCAACTCCCGTAAATACAGTATTTGCGCCGTTTTTCGCGGAGACGCGGATTCGCGACAGATTGTCCTTTGTTTCGCATTTTGAATTACACCCAGTTTGTGCCTAAAAATAAGGCTTCGTGCCACCCGGGGCCTAGTCGCTTCGGATGGGTGCGAGCTCGTACAGGGTTTCGAAATGGGGGCGCCAAGGCCGGCGAAGCGGCCGGGGGCGCCCCGATTTCGGAAGAGTGGAGCGGCAGCCCATCCGAAGCGACGGCCCACCTTGCCTGACACAACACCCTAAGCCTCGAATTGTCCCTGGCTAAAAAACCTAGCACGTCAGATTGCGTGGAAGTTTCTGTGGGGATGAGCACGATTTGAGGCTCATGGCGTGTCAGGCAAGGCGGGCCGTCGCTTTGGATGGGCTGCCGCTCCACTCTTTCGAAATCGGAGCGCCTGGCCGCTGCGCGCGCCTCGGGCGCCCCGATTTCGAAACCCTGTACGAGCTCGCGCCCATCCGAAGCGACCAGGCCCCGGGGTGGCACGAAGCCTTATTTTTAGGCACAAACTGTGTGTAAGAAAGCCGCGTAATGTAAATGGCTAAACGAGGCACAATCTGTGCGAAATCGGTGAAAATACTGTATTTACGGGACTTGCTGGAATCGGGGTCCTTAAAAATAGCATCTATTTTAAGGATCCCTGTCGGGACAGGGGTCCTTAAGCTGAAATTCTAAGGACCCTTATTTTTATTAAGGACCCTTATTTTTTTTAAGGACCCTTATTTTTTTTAAGGACCCTTATTTTTTTAAGGACCCCGTTACCGGTATAGAGCCAAAACTCTTTTCGTACGTTTCTGTGTGTTGGGGGCTTACCATACGCGCGTGCTCCTAACTCCGAAATTTTTGGCCAAAAAGCAAAAAGATTGCTCCCGGTGAGGCTCGAACTCACGACCTTCAGATTATGAGACTGACGCGCTGCCTACTGCGCTACGGAAGCACGGGGACAGGACCCCTCTTTGCCAGCTAGGAGGCCGCGGCCGGGGAGCCCCGCCCCCCACCGCACTAACCCCCGTCCCTTTCCAGGCCCAGTCCATGATCAACAGAAAAACGGATCGGCTTTCCGCGGAGGAGCTGAAAGAAAATTTGAAAAGGTTTGCAAATTAAATGCTTGCTACACACATAAACTATGTGTTGTTAAAATTATCTATATCTTTCTTTTTAGAGATATCCAGGCCGTCGCTGATGTTCTCGACACCAAGAAGTTCTTGTTCGGGGACCGGATGACAATCGTAACTTTCGTCTCGTTACCACCAAATTAGGTTGATTAGGCTGACTGCACGGCCTTCGGCCACCTCGGGACTTCGTATTTCTTACCCTTCCGCCAGCACATCACCGACCTGCTCGACGATGACCACCCCCGCGTCAAGAACTACCTCGAACGTATAAGGGCGCACTATTGGCAAGACTGGAAGCTGCCCGAATATTGAAGATTTCTTGTTCTCCCGCAGAATCTTTTTGATGTATCTGATGTATTAACCGTTATATCTTGCTCATCATTGCTCGGTTATTTCATTTTTATTGTATTTAGGCCCCTGTCACTGCCAGCGTGTAGATTATTTGGACTTTCGCCGGCTTCGTAGTATAGTTTAGATGGCGCTACTTCAGTTTGCTGGCCCCACTTATATATGGCCAAAACCTCATTTTTCTGGTTCAGTTTTTTGCGCTGATTACGGAAAACACTATCCCAGCCCACGAAAATGCGATTTAGTAAAACAATTTAATTGGAAAGTCGGGAAAATTCCATTTTACGGCGGTCGCGTAAAAGGAGCCTTTTTGTGGTTTTTTAATTAAATAATGGCCAAAAACGGGTTTATCATGAATAAAGTCAGCCAGTAGCATTGTCAGGCAAGGCGGGCCGTCGCTTCGGATGGGCTGCCGCTCCACTCTTTCGAAATCGGGGCGCCTGGCCGCTTCGCGCGCCTCGGGCGCCCCGATTTCGAAACCCTGTACGAGCTCGCACCCATCCGAAGCGACTAGGCCCCGGGGTGGCACGAAGCCTTATTTTTAGGAAAAAAAGCGGATGCAATCGCTCAGCCTCGTTGGAAAAAGCTTTTCCACTGTTTTATAGGCCTCCCGCATCAAAACACCGGGTTGACCCCCTTTAAAAACTCAAACCAGAAAAATCGAAAATCAAGTGTTTTCTCCCCTCAAAATTCACGATTTCATTTTCGTGGGCTGGGATAGTGTTTTCCGTAATCAGCGCAAAAAACTGAACCAGAAAAATGAGGTTTTGGCCATATATAAGTGGGGCCAGCAAACTGAAGTAGCGCCGTTTAGATGATTGTTTGAGCATAAAGATGGATTAAAGAACTGGAATGTTGCCTCGCGAACAACAATAATCCCCGTAAGTATCGGGTTGACACGCACAATATTTTTCAAGCCACTGGTCTGACTAAATGGTTGTCCCGGCTCCACAAGTTTTCGTTATAGCGCTGATTTGCGCGGTGTACTGCCTCCTTAGAAGCTGGGGTGTTTGATATGTTTCGAATCTCGACATCCCTACGAGACACGCATCAGCACACTGCTCTCTCCGCGCCTAGTCTGCCTCCCTTTGTCCATGTATTTCGAGTCGTATCAGCAAGCCCAAGAAATTTGTTTAGTTTTGCGCGGATTTGGCTTCTCTGCCTGCTTATTTTCCATTTTTAAGCTTTTGCCAGCCCCCTTCAATTCAATTTTCAGGACATGGCGGACGTGGAGCGACCGCCTAGTTCTGACGATGGTGAAATCTGCGATGATGACCAGGTGCGCGGATTATTAAAATGAAAACCTTGCGTTCAGGACTTTTCGCCGAAAAGTCCGGACTACAAACCAGCCACCCCGGAGCCGAAACGCTCAGGCAAGCCGTTTTTTGATTATATTCTTTTGTTGTACATTAATCTAGCCTTCTAGGAATTTTGCACGCACAGCAAACTTTACGCCTTTTAGAAGTCAAAATTCAGGCGGTCACGACGAAGAAAAGAAGCATCACCACCATCACCATCATCACAAGCACGGTCGGAAGGAAGTTCGGGAAGTGGAGGGCACCGGCCTTGGTCTGTACTTGCATTTCGATAGTATTTGTGTTCAGGCATGCAAATAACGGTCTCATCATCCCCCCTGTCACTGGAGGAAAAGGAGGAACAACTGCGTAATAGGCTACTTGCTAAAACAAGGCAACGCCTAGAGGTATTTTAATTTAGCTTGGCTCTCATGTTGCTCGCTTTAGGAACCTGATGCGAAGGTCAGGCCAAGCCGGGATGATGAAGCCGAAGAAGAGGAAGACGTCGAGTTGTTCCAGGTTCAACCGAAGGAAAAGCGTGTTGAGGTTCGTTCTGTGCCAAAAAATTCGAACCGTGGTTTTTTTAGCGGCCTCGTATAACCTACACAGATCGCGATCGGGATCGGAAAGATAAGGAGCGATCAAAAGTTCGCGAAAAGGACCACGATCGAAGAGAGCGCAGTGCTGAACGTCGGCGCGCAGAGCACACCAAGCATGGAAGTCGTCACAGCGATCGCCGTTTGGGTGAACGCCCACGTTCTGATCGGCGACACGAGGTATTGTTAGTAGTCTTCGAAGTATAAAGTTTTTAGGATCGCGAAGGGTTCATCGCCAAGCACCGAAAGCGTGAAAAGGAGAAGGAGAAGGAGCGAGGTCGGGACAAGGAGCGACGGGATCGCGACAAGGAGAAAGATAAAGACCGAAAGCGAACGAAGAGAAGTAGAACGAAGTCACCCGGAGAAGCCGATGACGAGAAAAGACCAAAGTTGGAGGAGGTGGTCGACAAGATCGAGATCAAAGACGATCCGCAGTTTGCGAACCGTAGCCCATCTTATGAACAAGTTGATGAAGAGATGGGCGATGCTGAGCAGCGGGATACTGACGACGGTAAGCCGATGCATAGATTGAGCTATAATCTTTGTCTAGAAAAAGCTCGCAAGCCCGGCTACTCAAAGTTTGATAGTGACAGTGAGAACGAGGACGAGAAGAGGGGCTATGGTGATTTTGACTCTCCAGGGCGCTCGCCTGTCATATGTAAGCTTATGTTTTTTTTTTGTTTTGTTGGAGTCTTGCGGATTTTTGAGAGCGGATATGAAGCTTATGCTTAGGTAATAAATCCGTAATTTCAGTACGTGACTCGGACGACGATCTGGTGACTGCTCAAGATATCGAGGACGAAGATGAGCAAGATGAAGAGTTTGCCTTTGACCCGACCCTCATCCCATTCGACGAATTGACGGATGAGCAGAAGGCTCGGGTACGCCTTGAACATTTGCCACCAGCATATCCTGAATTTGACATTTACTGAGTATTCTCTGCTTGTGTTTTTACGAGTATTAAGGATATAAAAGAGCGCAATGCGCAGAATAGCGGGAGAGCGATCATTTTTTCGGACTAATCGTCTTTTCAGGATATGCCTGGATTTTTGGTAATTTTTGGTTATGGAGAAATATTTTTCAGTTGAGCCCGTTCACGCTCAAGGACCTGGAGACGAGATGGCAGAAGACCCTTATACGACAGCTGCCTATTTATTATGCGGGGATTATGGGGTATCAAATATTGTCTATTCTCAAATTTTTACGATTTTCAGGTGTCGCAATGTTCGCGAGTACGATTGCATGAACAAAGTGGAGGAGGGTACATTTGGGGTCGTTTATCGGGCGAAGTGTCGGCGCACAGGTTTGGAAGCTTGTCCCAACAACATTGTGCGCTTTCAGAGGAAGTGGTAGCTTTGAAGCGGTTAAAGATGGAGAAGGAGCGTGACGGTTTCCCGATCACGTCTCTGCGCGAAATCAACATGTTGCTGAAGTCTGGGAGTCACCCTAATATTGTCAATGTGGGTGTTTTCGTTGCCATTCAGATAACGCGAAATTTTCTTATTTTGCTTTTTATGCTGTTATTTTTCCTATTTTTTTCATCATTTTTAGGTCAAATATTTTCACTTTTAGGTCCGCGAGATCGTGATCGGTGACAACGTGGACAAGATTTTCTTGGTGATGGAATTCGTCGAGCACGACCTGAAAAGCCTGATGGACACGATGAAGCGCCGGAATAAGTTCTTCGAAGTTGGTAAGTGCCTTTCTATCGCTTCCATAACCCCTTCCGGCAGGTCATGTCAAGACGCTCCTGAAACAGCTGCTCTCCGGACTCGATCACATGCACAATCTTTGGATCCTGCATCGAGATCTGAAAACATCGAACCTGCTTATGACGCACAACGGCATTCTGAAGATCGCCGATTTCGGGTTGGCCCGAGAATACGGCGACCCGCTCGAGCCGTACACCGAGATTGTCGTCACGCTCTGGTATCGAGCACCGGAGTTGCTGCTAGGCGCTAAGGTACCATCGGCATTTTTTTTTCTATATCCGTGTTTTTAGCTATACTCAACGCCCATCGACATGTGGTCTGTGGGGTGCATCATGGCCGAGTTCATCCGGCTGAAACCGCTATGGGCGGGGAGCGGGGAGCCGGATCAGTTGCGCAAGATATTCATGGTAATCCTTTACTGGCTAGTTACAGTCTAATCTTTTTTCTAGGATTGTGGCACGCCGCAAGTGGACAAATGGCCGGGTATTGAGCAGCTCGAGAACTGGAAAAAGCTGCAGTTTGAGCACTTCCCGTACAATCAGCTCAGGAAAAAGTTGGTGTTTGCTTTGATGCTTGTTGTTTCGAAATTGTCAAGCTGAAAACTCTATTCAATTTTCTTTTCTAGGTTCGATTCTCAAATGCTGAACCAAACTGCGTGGGAGCTGCTGAACTCGATGTTGACCTACAACCCTGACAAGCGCTACACGGCCACGCAAGCTCTCAAGTCGGCATGGTTTAAGGTAGCCGCGATGCAGCTGTACATGAAAAATGGCTTTCTAGGAGGAACCATTGCCGATACCATCCGAACAATTCCCCACCTTCCCAGCCAAGAGCGAAGGAGGGCGCGGCCCGCCGAAGAAGGTCGAACCGGAAGCACCGAGGGGACATGTGGAATTGGTAACGATACATGCCCAACTTGCTCTATTCTTACTTCCAGGACGAAAACACAAAGGACCTCCTCGCCGGCTTAAACATCCCGATGAAGGCGGCGGCTAGCAGCAGCGGCTTCGCGCTCAAATTCGACAAAACTCGCTTCTAACCGGCCCCTTGTGACGATCTCAAACACGCTAACCCTTTCACTTTTGTCAATTTTGATTATACACGGGTTGCATTTATACGTCTTCCATGGTCTACTATGCGCCTCGGTTCGGCCCCGCTCGTTCCCCATCGTTTCCCCACACGCCTGTGCACGATATCATTACTAGTGGTGTTCAGGGCCCTTTTATTGTTGGCTATACCGAATATAAAGTCTATTCGCTGGAATGCTTGCGTATTTAAAAGGCCGTCCGCGACTCATCCGAACAGGCCCCATTATGACTTGGCACAGTTTTTTCGACCCAAATTTTTATGACGTTATCTGAAAGAGCGTGGTCGAATTAGTAGGGTGGTATGGTTTTGAAAGTTTAAAAAGTTTAATTTTGGGGTTAAAATCGACCTCAAAGTTGCCACCTTCGAGAAACTATCTTGAAAACTACTGAACCAAACAGGCTGAAATTTTGGGTCAGTACCTAATTTGGGGTGGGGAACATTTCTCTAATACATTGTGAAGCATGAAAATGGCCGGAACATAGTTAAATGGCGTACTAAATACGGTTTTTCGACATTTTCGACATTTTAGGGTGGTTTGCGAAAGCTGACTATTACACGAAAAGATGCGCCATACCTTTCTGCATCGAATAGTGTATAGCTTGTTGAGCGCGAACCACCCTAAAATTAGTTTTATTCGCTTTTATGTGTGAAAAAGTGGCTAAAAATCACCACGAAAAACGAAAATTTTTGATTTCGGAAAATCTAAGATATGGGATGGCATCTAGAGACCGAGAGGAATCGATTGCAAAAAAGAGCAAAAAGAAATTCGGCTTCTTTCGATGTCGCGGAATCGAACCCGGACCCTCCGCCTGGGAACCCTGTGGCGCAATCAGTAGAGCGGCCGCGTGCAAATCCAGAGGTGGCGCCAGTTCAATCCCAGCCTCCTCTCAGAAGCCGAATTTCTTTTTGCTCTTTTTTGCAATCGATTCCTCTCGGTCTCTAGATGCCATCCCATATCTTAGATTTTCCGAAATCAAAAATTTTCGTTTTTCGTGGTGATTTTTAGCCACTTTTTCACACATAAAAGCGAATAAAACTAATTTTTAGGGTGGTTCGCGCTCAACAAGCTATACACTATTCGATGCAGAAAGGTATGGCGCATCTTTTCGTGTAATAGTCAGCTTTCCGCAAACCACCCTAAAATGTCGAAAATGTCGAAAAACCGTATTTAGTACGCCATTTAACTATGTTCCGGCCATTTTCATGCTTCACAATGTATTAGAGAAATGTTCCGCACCCCAAATTAGGTACTGACCCAAAATTTCAGCCTGTTTGGTTCAGTAGTTTTCAAGATAGTTTCTCGAAGGTGGCAACTTTGAGGTCGATTTTAACCCCAAAATTAAACTTTTTAAACTTTCAAAACCATACCACCCTACTAATTCGACCACGCTCTTTCAGATAACGTCATAAAAATTGGGTCGAAAAAAACTGTGCCAAGCATTGTTCGGGTGGCTCGCAAACGGCCTTTTAATGGCAGGATCAGAGGCAGAGGCGGATGTATAACAGATTCTACACCGTCCCAAAAACGACCGGCTGACAAAAAGAGACGACGAACATACAGAGGAACGAAAAAAAAAATCGATCGACAATTAGCATAACACTTCGTTTTCATAATGAATCGTAAAAGCCGAAAGTGTCCATAGTTGCGTCTGATATTGTACTTACTGCTTTATTACAAATTCGATACTAAGGTATGGCGCACGCGCTTTTGCTCGCTAACGGCTCAATTTCAGAATCCCAACAACGTTCACCGGGAGCTGGAGAAGGCGCTCGTCGACCTCTCCCGAGCTGACGCTGCACACTCGAGGGCCAAGGCATCTTACGATCGGAAAGTAGGTTTCTAAACTAAGTGGCTAAGAGCCTACTCCCTAGAGTAACAAAAAAATATTCTCGATAGAGAATGGAGGATAAAGGTTTTCTCGGCGGCGAATTTTTTCAAACATTGAAGTAGCTAATGCAATCACAAAATGAGCCACTTCCAGTGTCTGCTAGCTGCCCTTCTCATGAAGCGACAGACGACGCTGCGAAATCTGGAGGAGCAGCTGATCCGCTCGCGCTGGGAAGAAGCGGACGAGCATCGTCTCGCGTAGAAGGAGACGCCCAACTGCCCGGCTTCGACGCTTCGAACTTTCTCGGTTCGATTCCCATATCAAACCGTAAATTAATAATCATTGCAGGCGCACGCCCTCCCCAAGCAGCCCCATAGCGCACTACGAGGGACAGATGTTGCAGAAGATGGCGCATGTTGTGCGGGATCAAGCGGCCGACGACTACTCGATGCTCCGAACGGAGGATTTGCAAAAGGTAAAAAACTTTTTCCTATAAGTCTAGCAACGCCTACTAACGTAATGTCAAGTAGATTAATTGTTGTTTATACGGAATCAGCAATAATCATGTAGGTGATCGACAACATCTTCAAGGAGGCCCCCGGCCTACTCGCCGACGTCCGCGCTGCGGCTAACCATCTCGACGACGCAACGAAGCGCCATGCTGAAGTCGTGAGTTTTAGTGACGAAAATTGACCATACTACGGGAATTTGAAAACCAAAATAATTTCAACGTTTCAGTTGAAGCGGTGCTATGCTACATCCAAGGCGGAGGCCCGGAAGCTGCGGAACCTGGGCCTGGACGACGTGGCGGAGAATGGCCCCACCGAACATCTCATCCAGTTGCCCGAGGTACTCCTGCAAAGTTTAATTGATGCTTTTTTCTTCAGATGGAGGCGATCGTCGAATGGGAAGACCCGTGGCGGAGCGAAGAAGAAGAAGAAGATACCAGCGATGCAACTTTTACTGAAAGTTCGACCGCAGCACCCGAGACGGATGAAGCGCACAAGATCGCCCCGATGGAGGCCGAGAATGGCACGCCGATGGAGAAGGACACGGACATCTCGTTCATCAAAGTGATTACGAAGGCCGCCATCGAGACCTTCCTGCCCGGCGGAATGAAGGCCTAATGACCCCCCCCCCCACTGACTTCTATGCGCTTTTTTGATGAAAGAATAAATGTTTCCGCCTCAGACAGCAAAGAGCTCAATTCAGCATGGCTCCTCGGCTTGAACCTAAACAGATCCAAAGTGGAAACTTGAGTAGTCGCAGGGGCCAAGCTGTTTTCCGCCCAGATTCTTTGATATAAAAAGGGGTTGTCCGTCGGTGTTTTTTTTTGCATTTCTTCAGATCCAAAATAAGAATTTAGTTCTAAATAACTTTTTCAACCAAATTTACCAAAGTTTTGACTGTTTCCAAACTTTTTGGATAGATTTTCGGCTTCAAAAGTTGCTAAATTTAACCCAAAACACTATAACTTGACAATTAAATACTGGGTCAATGATGTTTGGCCGATGCATCATCGAGGATGAAGAAGAAAAACCGGCACAGCTGCCGCGCCAGATGCAGGCGCCGAGCAGCCAGCCAACGCGACTCCAGAAGAGACGACAGCGTCGAAGGGGGGCGACGACAACACGATGATCAAGGTGCTGACGGTGGCGGCGCTCGAAACGTTCTTCCCCGGCGGCATCAAAGTTTAATCGATTGACCCATTTTATACAGACTTTGTATTTTTCATTGCTGAATAAATTTACTGTTTAATTCGATGCGAGAAAGAACATGAAACTTTCGGTGACAAAAACGAACTCGAAACTCTCTTCTTGCAAACCTAGGACAAGCTTGTGCGCTGTGTTTGGCAAGTTCTGAGTACAGTTTCGGAATCTCCGTGATTGACTCTATCAGATCAAGCGCTCCTCGAAATGAATGCACATCGAAGCGCTCCTTTTAACCACTTGTAAGTGCAAAATAGCAAATCGGGGTATAACTGCCAAAAAGCTAATGAGATCCGGAGGTTTTGAGGCCCCCAAAAAACGCCAGGCCGATGCCCTTGGCGGGGTGTAGCCTCAATTAGTCGACTTGAGCTTCCCCGCGCATGCACACACACTTTTTGTCCAGTTCCTCATTTTCTCATTTTCTCATCCGGGGGCCGTGTGAGAATTTGTAGGTATTGGGTGAAAATTAGATGCTTTCCCCGGGGGACATTTTGAGCACCGGATGTCTCTAAAGAGGCTTTGAAAGTGCTCGGAACAATTGCTAGAAAAATTGTATAAAAATGACCATGTTTTTATTAGCAAAACTGATTAGATTCCGATGCGTGTTTGCTCTTTTCATATAACTCATTCCTTTTATTTTTCTTGTTAGACTTCGGTTGTCTTTTTTCTTATAAATATCGAGGAAATTCCGGGACTATATTTATTTTCTTGTATATTTATATATATTTATCTATATACTAAATTTATTTACGACTTTATTTATCTTATGCTATATTTATAATTTCCGCAAGAATTTTTGGCTAATTCCCTAAATTCTGAAGCTTTTTTTGAGCCTTTACGCAGTGGTCCTATCGACTTTCCCGGATCGCCAATTTTTGTAGCCGCAGCCCGATGGGAGAATCTGGGTAGCTTTCCCCCCCGAGCGCTTTGCACAAATTTGTCGAGCCCGGGGAATCCGCGATAATAACTAAGAAATCTGCCACCCACCCGGACAATAATCCGGACGCCCCCACCTCGCCCGGCATCGATCCGTTTTTTGAACTTTTTACCACAGCGAGAAGCCACCAAACAGCAGTGCCCCACGATTTTTCAATTCTACCCATTTTCTAGATGGGCGAAACTGGCAATTTCGGCTGGACTATAATTTTTGAGTACAATTCGGGATTTTGGGTTGCCAATTATTTTTCTAGAGGTTTTGGCGGGTTGGGAAATTGATTTTCGCGTTTAGTTTCATTGAAATTGATCCATTTTTATGGCCAGTTTTATCCGTTTTTCTTTCTTCCTTCGCAAAATTTGTCCCCCCCCGTAAAACGCCGGTGGGCACTGTATTGTTCCGGACCTTATAGGTCGCTGCAGCTCAGGCTCGTGCTGAACGCCTTGAACATGAGCGCCTGCCAATGCCTCAGGGACATCTACTCATCGTGCATTACAAAGTCGGTAAAGTCGGGTTTTAAGAAGTTGATGAATAGTTTTTGTCGCCGCCATCTTTCGTTCTCCCCCCCTCTCTCTCTCTCTCTCTCTCTCTCTCTCTCTCTCTCTCTCCGTCTCGCTGTCGCGCCCCGTAACGCAACCGCATTCTGTCAGAACGTTTTTTCGTTTTCTAGAACAATTCCGACCGAAGACTACTGGTGGGCCAACGATCCGGAGATGGGCAGGATGGTGTACACGTGCGCGATGTTGCTCATCTTCTCCGCCATCATCGTGTTGCTCATGTTCCGCTCGATCAAGAGGAGCTCTTCGGCTATTGAGGTAAGCTGGAATTTTGGTATTTTTGTAACCTCAAATATTTGAGGTCTAAACTAAACTTTTCGGGAAAATTGTTGTGTTTGCGCGCGTGGATTGCACGCCGTAATGCGTCCTAGGATACCCAATTTATTGATTTTTTCGCGGTGTTTCCCAATGATAGATGGTTTAGACTTTAGCACCCCTTTAAAAAAAATCCCTCCTCCTAGATGGAAGCCCTGCTGGACGCGATGCGATTCCGCGAGGAGCTCGACATCCAGCAACGACAACGCCGAAGATTGTTGAAGGCTAAAACAAAGGTAGGCTAGAATATGCTACGGTACGGTAGTGTAGATTGTTGCGATCGTATGATTTACATTGTTACGGAACTACGGTAACTCTCCCAAATTCTAGGTGGCTGCCTGGTTGACCAAGGCCGGGAAAGGAGACAAGGGATGGCGCTCGGCACCTCAGCTCCTCCCGCCGAGAAGGCCAACCGTATCGTGAGTGATATTCCCGGTTTTTAGGTTTTAAGAGCTACCGTAACCTACGTAACGTAACCAGCGTATCGGGCTACCTTAAAAGGCGCAAAATTTAATCTCGCGGGACCGAAATACCTTAAATTTCGGTAATTTTCCATTTTTAGATCCTCAAATTCGGACATCCCCGAAATTGTGGTGACTGAAGAGGTGCCGATGGATATCTTCCGCTCGAAAACTCCGTGCCTTTCGTTGCTATATGATTTTGAGAACTCCCCGGATGTAATATCACCCTCCGCGTGAGTTCTATCAACACTGATTGGTCCTACGGTAATGGCCAGGTGCCTTTTAGCGGTGCCCACACGAAAATGGTGACCTGGTTGGTTCGATGCGGGGTTGGCTTGGCTTTTTGGTTTTGGCTTCGGTTGTTTGAGTTTATGGATGAGAGAGAGAGGCGAGAGAGAAAGAGAAAGAGCGAGAGAGAGCGAGAGAGATAGGGAGCGAGAGAGAGAGAGAGAGGGAGAGAGCGGCAGGGTTAGAGGCAGCGATGGATTTTAAGCCTTTCTCGGTTAAACCTGATTTCTAGTATCGATCCTATTTTTCGCGCCGCTTACCGTCAGCCGCCTATCGTACCATTTTCCAGCTCGATGTCAATGCCGCGTGGCTCGGTCTGCTCCTCCATCGGCTCGCACTACTCGCTCAACGTCGATTCATGTAAACTTTTGGGGTTTAATGGCACTCGAAATCCAGAAACTAACATTTAGCTGGTTGGCAATATGCCAAAATAAGGTTCACTCCGACCCAGCCCCTTTAAAACGTCACAAACGGACTCTGGAGGTAATTTTTCAGGCCCTACCTCGCCGCGCCATTCCGTCCACGTCATCCGGCGACAATCATCGATAAAAAGCGTTCCGTCAATAGGTGCGTTCCGAAATACACCCATTTCCGCCGCGTATACACCTGTATTTCAGACGGTTCACCGCGAGTATCGTTGAGTCTGGATCGTGAGCTGGTGGCCCCGCGGTTAAGCGTTTGCTCCCATTCGATGAGCCTTGACTAATAATATTGTATTTTCGTGATTTGATCTGTATAAAGTGTACTCCAAAAGTAATCGATTTCCGCAAAGAGTTTCTGCTTGATGCCTCTTTTGAAGCCGCCAGGTTTCCTGACGGAAATCTGCTTGTTCGCTCGCTCGGCTTTCTAATTCTGATTCGAATAATTTTCTTTCGTGTCGATGTTTCCACAAGAATCGCGGCGCTATCTCAGTTTCAAACAGCCTGGTCTTCCTCAAGGATCTCTACCTGCGAGTTTCTTCCCAGACCTACCTCTTCTGCCGCCCAGATTTGCTCAAGATTATCTGCTATCTCTCTCGCTCGCTCTTTCTCTCTTTCTCTCTCTCTCTCTCTCTCTCGCATTGTCTCTCGCCCTCTCGCTCCCTCTCCCTCTCGCTCTCTCTCTCTATCTCTCTCCCTCTCTCTCTCTCTCGCTCTCTCTCTCTCTCTCTCCCTCTCTCTCTCTCTCTCTCTCCCTCGCTCTCTCTCTCCCTCTTCCTCTGTCCAACCAAAAATCAAAAACTCGCTATAATACGTAATCAATCCGCAGCCCCTCGGGAGGCAGTTTTTTGCCGTTCACCGGAATTGTGCCGGAAACACCGGGGGGTAACCGGGGCGACGCCACGAAAAGTTATGAAGGGTGGGGGTGGGTGGATCGGCTGGCCGGCTTGCGCGTCATTTAGCAACCCATAGCCGTCAATTCTCTAATATCCACGTTTTAGCCAGGGGATAATCCCCACCCTACCTCCGGATTACCCGCATATTATTATGGGGGAGTGCTTTTTGGGGTGATTTTTTGGGGCATTCGACACCCCTGGCAACCGCGGAGGGGTTGGGATAATTTTGGGGTGAGAGATATGGCATCATATACCGGAAGTTCAATTGGGTCCCACTCAAAAACCGCGTCTAACTTGCCTGGTCATCGGAACATACTTTTCTGGTGCAAAAACGAGTTTTGGTAGCATGGCTAAACAAAGTATTCCTAAAGAACCTCTGCTGGTTTACCCAGTTCTCAATTATTCTATTGCTGCATTAACGCAGCTGTTCCTCAAGAATCTCTGCCAGCTTGCCTGGGCTTAATAGGCTTTTTATATGGTCTCTTCAACCGTTTAATGTTCTCTGCTAGCTTGCCTCGCTCGCAGGGGATTTTTATATTGTTTGCGTTAATGGTAGCGATTCCTCAAGTACCTCTGCTAGCTTGCCTCGCTCGCAGGGGATTTTTATATTGTTTGCGTTAATGGTAGCGATTCCTCAAGTCCCTCTGCTAGCTTGCCTCATCATAATTTTTGCATTTTCGCGCCAATAGTAGGGTTTCCTTAGCGAACTCGGCTAATTTTCCATCCGCTATTTTGCGTTTTTGCCTCCAATGATGTCCAACTCCGCGGAAAGCTTTGCTAGCTTGCCTCGGTCTTGGTGACTGCGCTTGAGGATGAAAATGTCCTTAAAAATATCGACAAATAAAAACTTTATCATCTGCTTTGCTTCCTCAAAAATCTCTGCTAGCCTGTTCAAAGTGGCTTTGAGCGTTTCACCTTTCAAATGGAGCATTTTCCTCAAAAAATCTCTGCTTGCATCCGCGTTGATGGTCGTGTCTAGAGGTAGAAAAATAGGGATAACCACCTCTTTCACGTCTAAAAATAGAACGTAGCTGGTCCCACGAACCCAGGAAATATCAAATTACATCATTAGCTGGGCCTCCTTTGGCGTGGGCACTCGGATTGGCCATTTACGCCCAATTTTGGTCAATTGATTCAAGTTCACTTTGCAAATCCGGACCTATATCAAAAATAGTGAGACCCAGTTGGGTCGAGGGAATTGGTTATTTCTCTCTCTCTCTCTCTCCCTCTCTCTCTCTCTCTCTCTCTCTCTCTCTCTCTCTCTCCCACCCGTCCCGCAGAATTAATTACGTCCGGGAAACGGAAAATGAGCCCCCGAACGGGCACGCGACAAATTGGATGCTTTACGGTCTGCCATGTTGTTATTTAATTTTACTATTGCGGTTTGACACTTTTGCACTGAATTAAATGCTTTATATACGAAAAAAGTGACTAATTTGCATATTTAGGGCATCAGATGGAAACCTCCTCGCCCGGGCTGTCCTCCTCCAAATCGCCGTTCCTCCACAGCACCCAGAAAGCGATCAATGACTGCCCGAGCCTGATGGACCCGAGGGGGCAATGTTATATTGAGTTGAAGTGGGTTGAAGGTTTTTTGGTTTCCTAACACTGCCCCCTTAAATGCGTAGGCAAGTCATACCTAATTCTAGTGCGAAAAAAATCCTTTTCAGATCGCTGATGCGACAGGTCAACTACCAACTCTGGTCTCAGCACAAGAATTCGGAGGTTCGTTTTTCTGCGTTTTTAAGGGGTTGGACGAGAAATTCGCAAAGAATCACTGCTAGTTGACCCGGTCCCAAAGGCGCGTTTAGCATCTGCTTTTCAGGCCTCAATGATCGGTGCCGATATCTACACGGTGGTGATGTTGTCGATATTTGCATCTGTCATCATTGTGCTTATGGTCAGGGCGATTAAGCCGACGGAAACTATTGACGATCAGGTGCGTCAAGGTTTTTGGAAAAGCTTAAAGGATATCTGCTAGCTTGCCAGGTGGCGTCTAAAATCAAGCGCTTGGAGAGAGAGAGGGAGAAAGAGAGAGACCCTTTCAGGTGACATTAATGCTCACATCGATGCGGGTAAGAGTGGAAAATGAAGAAAACGCGAGGCAGAAGCGGAAGCTTCGCGAGGCCAAGAAAACGGCGCAGAGGTAGAGAAACCCAAGAAAAATTAAAAGCTTAATTTTTAGATGGCTGACCGAGCTGAAGACGCGCTCTTTCAGGAGATTGAGCTACCGGAGAAGTACTTCAGGATCAGGTTCGAAGCCAAAAATCTACCTTCTAGAATTTCTCCCTCTCTCTCTCTCTCTCTCTCTCTCTCTCTCTCTCTCTCTACGATTGTCTTTTTTCAGAGGATCGCTCGAACCATTCGATGCCCGTGCGTGGCGGTTCCTTCCTGAAGAATCGCTTCCCCAGGGCTCGCTCCTACAACGGGTATTTACCGGAAATCGTCGTGAGTTTTTCGGCTTTGAGGGAGCAGCGCGGCGGTTGCGTCGCGTTTTTAGAGCCTGAATCTGAAAAAGCCTTTTTTAGGTTACCGAAGAAGCACACGCGAACTTTGTCGACGATCCGAATCAGGGGTTATCTAGGTACTTTTTTAACAATCTTTTTGGATAAGAATAAAGGTCAACAAAGTTTTTAGAAAATTTTAAATGGGCCGCCTAGTGAGGAAAACCTATTTTAAAGGGATGGCGACAGTAAGGATACGTCCTTTCGAATCTTCGACTAGAAAAACTGCGACCTTTCTTGAATACGTTTTGATACTCTGCCCGCTCACTTTTACCCTAAAAATATCAGGTTCTATTGCATTATCGGGGGGGGGGAAGGGTTGATCGGGGGTAAAATTTAAATATGAATAGCGGAGGTGTTTCTAAGCTGTTTTTTACTGCTCCGAAATGTACAAACGGCCCAAATTGTTGATAAAAAATTGCAACGAATATCGATTTTTCGGCCAAAATGTCGGCTTTTTCAACATTTTTAAAAAGTTTTAGGCAGTTTTTCTAGTTAATATATAGTTTTATTTTAGTAAAACCATCATGAAACTATTTTCTATTAAGTTATTAGGCATTTCGAGATTAATACAAAAGAAGGCGATGGAAGGCGTCTAAAAAAGGCGTTTTCTTAAATACGTTTTGATACTCCGCCTGCTGTCAGGCCCCCCTTTCCCCCAAAAATATATCCAAAGAATTATGCTGAATTTCTAACTATTCCCCTGCCCCTAGACAGTCCTCGATCGGCACCTACGACGCGGTGTCGCAATTCTCGTTCGACATTAACGGTGACGTGTTCGAGGAGGGCGGTACGGCGCGCGGTGGCGTCACGACGACGCAGGCGCATATAGAAACACAACCGCGGTCGCCTGGACCTGTACAGCCGGAAGCCGTTTGAACTGCTTGAAAGTGTCGGGAACCAAGTCCTCACCACCAGTGCCAAATTCAGTGAGGGAATAAAGCTATTTTAGATTTGATTGTGATATAGTTTTCGTTGGCTTTAATGAAGTGATTTTTTCTGCTTTTAATGTTCTTTTAAAGGACCATGGAAGGCAAATTTTAGAAAAATTGGGAAAATTGTGTATAGTTTAGTTACGTAATCGATTAGACATCATTGTTTAGATACCATGCGTAATCGATTAAACCATATTTTTGGTTAAAAATAGGTTTTATACCTAGCTTTTCTTGACTGTCACTACTCGATTTTCATGACGTAATCGTTTAAAGGAGTGGAAATTCGTTTAAAGGGTCGATTAATGTAGATTACATGGTCTAATCGGTTATACCCAACGAAAATCGGCTAGAATTAACCTAGGAATACGGCTATTATTTTGTTTTTCGTGACATAATCGATCAAATGAAGGTTTTTTGCTGTTTTAGCGACTAAATCGAATAAGCCTAATTTGCTTGCAGGCAAAATAGGTCAATATTTTTATGTCGTGATCGTTTAAATCTGGGTGGCTAGGCAAAACAAGTAACCATGTCATTGAAACCGTATCAAAAAAGCAAATTCCTGCCTAGCTTTTCACGTTATCAAAGTTTGGCGTCCGCTTTTTTGTGTCCACGCCGCAACAATTCCGTTCGACTGCCCATTTTGGCAAATATTTGCATGATTGCCGGCGGGAGTGCAGAACAATGCTATTGCCCACCGGCCCTTCTCCAAATTCGGCAAATACCCGACAGAATTTGCCTGTTTCCCACGCTAAAACTTGCCCCCGATGACGGCTGCTAGACTTTTTGTATTCGGCGTATTTCTACTAGTACCGTATCCAATTCTGGGAGCTGATGCTAAAACGTGGCCGATCACTGTGAATACCGTAACCCCGGACACGTTGCCGCCAGAGTTGGCATTTGGCCTGAAGCAGATTGAGGAAATTTTTACGAAAAATGGCAATGCCACTGGTAGGTGATTCAAGTGGATTTAGAGCGCGTAATTTCGTGTCAGAATGTATTCTATGCTTTACGTCTAATATTGACGTTTCCAACCCCTTTAAAGGGACGGGCAAGGCTTGGCTTTGGATTATCCTGCGCGCCATGGACTCCAATTCTATAACCACCAAAATCCAGAGCCCACACCGTGCCCGTCCTCTTAATGCTATCGGTACTTTTGCAGTATCGGGGGGGCTGGACAAAATTTTCTCTTAGGTTAACATTCTTACACGCAAAAACTATACAAATTTTTATCAAAAAAGGCGAAAATATTGATTCTTTAGGTAGCTTTTCGGCTTTAAAAATCGTTAAATCGTTCCTAAACGCTATTGCAATAATTACAATTACGTTACTCGGCATTTCTAAGCTTTTACACCCCCCCGATAACGCAAAAGATCCGCTTAAATCAGTATTCCAGCAACGATAAAAATTGAAAAATTAATCGTACCATCGAAAATATGCATCTTTTAGACATTTCAAACCTATGGACAAACGGAGCCACATGCCAGGCATGCCATGCCCTCATTGGCACGGTGCAAATCCTGCTTCGAATGCCGATGATTACGAATGTTTGCTAAATCACGGATACTGTATCGAAATACCAATTTAGTTTATCCAATTCCTATGCGCGGAGAAGATACAGACAAAAAGCTACTGTACCATGCTTAACGTACGGATTTTTAACGATTTAATGCATGATTTTTTAGGATTTTTGTTACCAACCGCGTTTGTCTCTATAGATTTTTGCCTTTCGTGTCCCTTGAATCAAGCTCCCTAGGTCCTGCTCCACGAGCTCAGCGAGCACCACGTCAACTTTTTCTGCATGGCATTCGGGTGCCCCGTGATTGGCAGAGGTCAATTTGAGGTAAGGGTGCTCGATTTTTAATTAATAATAATATAATCTTGAAAGTATCAATTTTTATCCAAATTTTAACGATTTTTTACGATAACCTAGTATATTTACGATTTTCCCGCTTTCCCCCCAATTACTCACATTTTTAGCAAGACCTCGAGTGGGGCCGCTTCCACCACAACATCCGCACCGGTCTCTTCCAGGTATTTGCCGAGTTTCTTGCTAAATAATTTTGATTTTTTCATCTCCAGAACCTGCCCATCAATGAGGCACTTGAAGCGGCAAAAAATATGGACAATTTGATGGTATTAGAGTTACTTTGGGGTACTGTAACTCGCCCAAATTTTAGCTGGTCTTCAACGGCCTGCGGATCGGCGCTCAGATTGCGGCAATTGGCTAAAAACTTCTATTTTGTATAGATATTTGCGTTTGATAAATAATACAGAACAGTGATGGGAGTGGAGCACGAGAGAGAGCGAGCGATAGAGATAGATGGAGAAGGAGAAATAGATAGAGAGCGAGAGAGCGAGAGATAGAGAGCGAGAGAGAGAGAGAGAGAGAAAGAGGCGAGAGAGAGCGAGAGGGAGAGTCAACCCCAGAGAAGGATCTAAGAAGGACACAGAGCGAGAGACAACTAGTTCTCCAAAAATCCATAAATTTCTGTCTTCCAAACCCCTTTAAACTGTCGATTTCCATCTCCGCCCTCCTCCGCGCTAAAATCCGGTAATTTCAACGGCTTTTCCCCCTCCATGGTGCCAGTTTTCGATTTCAACGTGCCTAATGTGCGCCAATGAGGGAGAGCCTTGCCATCGACCCTGCCCTCATCCTCACTCGTTTTTGCCCTTCTCCTGCTCCTCCACATCCAGGGGGTGTCAATCGTTGGATGGAGCATCACGGAATCCAGCAAACGGCCGGTTCCCCCTCTCTTCGCTCCACTTATCCCCGCGGCTTAGCCTCGCCCGGAAAAACAAGCCCGGATGCTCAGGCGCTAATGAGTAGTAAGAAACGGGTAATCGTATCAAAAGCTGGCTTTTGCTCTTACCAGAGTTGGGTCGGGTGGGTTTTAAAGGGACCGTGACTCCTGGAGACTTTTATTAATGCGTAGATCAATATGCTGGGCTGGGTTTACAAAATCAGAAATATAAATAGGCTTGGTTTAGACTTGGTTTAGGCTTGGCGCAGCCCTGGCTTAAGCTTGTCTTAGGCTTGACTTAGGCTTGGGATAGGCTTGGCTTAGGCCTGGCTTAAGCTTGATCTGGGCTTGGCGTGGACTTAAGCAACCATGGCCTGGCCTAGGCAAAATTCCGAAAGCGTGGCGCATGAACTTCGATAACTAAGAGAGATCCTTGAGGAATTGGCTCTCATTAATGTGCAAAGGAATCCCGGGCTAGCGCCAAAGCTTGCATGGATTCTTGAGGAAAAATCGGTGTTTTTGGCATTTAAAGGTGATTGCAACCCACACCTACCCCCGATCAGGAATCAGCCCTAAAAAGACATGGAAAGCAAATCATCCATCCATCGCCCCAGGCTCCAAAAGAGGCGAAAAGTGAGCGTCGAGTGAGTGGGAGGGATTGTCTAAAAGATCCCCTTTCCCTCTCTCTCTCTCTCTCTTTCTCTCTCTCTCTCCCTCTCTCTCTCTGCCTCTCTCTCGCTTTCTCTCTCTCTCTCGCCTAAAGCATCTCAATCCATCGTGCTACATGCCCTCCTGGCATACCATCCAGGGATGGCACGATGGATGCCGCGGCTACTACTTACCTTCCCTCAGCTGCTAGCCACTTTCGCACTTTTTAATGGAGTGGTAAGTACCATCTAATTTAGTTTTGGATCTTCAATACTTTACAAAAATGCGCGATTCGGCTTCTATTACGTTTTAGCGTCTGAGCCTCACCTTTGCGAAAAGCTCCAAATTCCAACCCGGCTACCGTAATCGTAAACAGCTATAAAATGTGCGAATTGACGAGGCTAAGATAAATCTGGTTTCTTCAAAAAAAAAAAGAAAAATTGAACACATTGATTTTCCTAAATCCTTCAAAAATCTAAAAAATAGGCTTAAGTGCAGTTTACCCCCCCCCCCCACCCTACCGTATCTCGGCGCCCTGTACATCTACCGGTGCTTAAGATCTCGCCGGAGCAAGAGCAAGACTCGCCGGAGCAAGACGAACATTTTGATATACTTTACACACCTGTAGATGAACACGGAGCCGAGATACAAAAGTTGGGTGCCGGCTGGGGGGGAACGGCACTCCAACCAAAAAATAGCTAAATTGCACCACCAATACCGTAATCTACCAACGATTGATGGTGGTTCGGCTTTATAGCGCCACCATCAACGCAGATTCTTATTTTTTGGCAAAAGAAAACCGATAAATCCAGACATTCCGAGCAGGTTTTTTGAATTCTGAAGTTTATGAGGCATTTTTATGGGTTTTTAAGGCAAAATTAATGCATATAAGGAGCTTGAGAGGAATATACTATCGATGTAGTGGGAGCTATGCTAAATAATGACCTAAATACCGTATCCTGACACGTTTCAGGCATCCATCCCTCGCCGTGGTGTCGAACCCTGGTCCCTGATGCTATGCAAATTTAACGACACCGACTTTGAGCCAAGGACGGCCGGCTGGTTCCGCGAGTGGCTGATCGGGGCCGAGAATCCGGGCAAGTACAGTGGTGCTCCGTCAATTTTTGAGTTCCAATACCTTTAAATTCCCGAAAATACGTTTCTCATCCTGGCACCGCCCCTTTAAAGCCTCGTCCTTCTTTTAAAGGAGCACCAAAGCTCAAAAACTGACGTCGACTTTCCAAAAACTGAGCCTACGCTCAATTTTTCGATATGCAGACAGCATTGAAAACTACTTTGCGACCGTGTCAAATGGTATCTACACAATATCCGGGAGTAATGTGACGGAATGGGTAAAGGTCGGACCCTTGCCGTACACTCGCATCCTATGTACGCTCAGATGCCGTGGACAAGGGCTGGTGTACTACGCGCCGCAAGCCTCGACCCTTCGCTACAGACGCCTCAGGAACGACCGTTTGCGGTGGGTTTTGGTATAGAACAAAATGCCATGGCAACGTACGCCATCGTAGCATGAGTAATAAATACTGCGGTAGAGGGTACGTTACGATACGCTGCCTTGGAGTACAGTCGAGTACACTACGCTAGGTCAGAGTACAGTAAGTACGTTAGGTTTCGGTTGAGTACGCTATTACTCTGTACGTTGCGCTACGCCGGAGTACGCTGCGTTAAGGATAAGTAGACTATTATACAGTGCAGTACGCTGACGAAGTTACAGTACGCTGCAATCCAGCGAAGCGTACGTAGAGTACGTTAGTTGACGGCGAATTACGCTAGAGTACGCGGTGATATACGAGCGTCACGAGTCCGTATTTTTGGCGCTACGAATAGTATGTAATGTATTGAGACTTATTTCACCAGACTACATTGCATAACCCTAAAGTACGCTACAAAACGCTCCGGTACGCTACAAATTTCAGTTGTACGACAAGGCTAAAGAGCTGTGCATCCAGCACATCTGGGAGAGCCGACAGCTTGGCGCACATCGGCAGAAGATTACCGTCATCAACAGGGAGCAGACGGCAATATATGGAAGGGTTTGTGGAGTAGAACGTTCTCGAAATGCATAACTTTAGAAAAACGGTGTACTGTTGACACCAAATTTAATCTTTTCATCGGTGTTAGCGCACGAGATGGTGCACTCGATGAATATCGGGCATTCGTATAGCGATAGATTGGTGCAGGTGAGAGAGTGGGGGAGAGGGCGAGAGAGAGAGAGAGAGAGAAAGAGAGAGAGAGTGAGTGAGTGAGAGAGAGAGAGAGAGAGAGAGAGAGAGAGAGAGGGGTGAGTGGGGAGAAGGATAGAAGAGAGAGAGAGCGAGAGAGAGAGAGAGAGAGAGAGAGAGAGAGAGAGAGAGAGAGAGAGAGAGAGAGAGAGAGAGAAGAAAGGTCAATACAGCTTTTTAGGTATTCCCCTACGCTTCCATAGGCGAATACGACGATAAATACGACTTGATGTCGACGGCCAACGCCCATATGAGACCCTCAACTTATGGACTGGCAGGTAAGTGCCTAACCTTTTATTTTCTACGCTTCTTTAAGTGTCTAAAGCTATTTTTAAAATATTTTAACGACTTAATTGATGTTTAAAAATCGATTCCCTAACGATTTTGCCGCCACTTTTTGGCTGCTAATTCTTTACGCAAGGAAAAGTCGGAAGTCGCCGAAAATCTATAACGAAACCTATGCCTTACTTGCCCCTTTAAACCCACAAAATTCTCCACTTTTAGGCCCCGGACTCAACGGACCGCACCTCGACTATCTTGGATGGTTGCCGATGAACAGGGTGGTGTACTTTGGAAGGTAGCGTAGTCCGAGACTTCTGAAACGAAACGAACGAAACATTCCTAGAGACGGCCGCCAAAACTACACACTACGCCTCTCCTCTCTCTCGCTCCCCCATAAAAAGACAAACGGATGGCTGCTGATTTTGGTATTGAAAAGGGAAAATTACCGTTAAAAATGCCATTTTTGGATACCGTACGACCGGGACGATCCGCAGAACGTGTACACGGTGGAATTTCGAACCCCGGATGGGCATGACAAGGGAATTGGGCAGGTTGGTGTGGTGAAAAGGAGGTACTTTTCCAGTAGCGGGGGGAAAGGTAATTTTCTCTATTGGTCCAGAAATGCCTGCTAACGCATTTTAATACGCGTTTCGTAATTACCCCTATTAAAAGTGGAAAATTTATCTGAAAAACTTAAAATTTCTTTACACTCGAAATTCTGTTCAAAAATCGCAGATTTTTGGTAGAAAAAAACAAAAATTTAATATTTTTTATAATATTTACAATTTTTACACATAGTCACAATTTTTACACGTAAGTGTGGTAAAAATTTTCTTCTATTAATATTAAAAAATAAATCTTACAGAAAAATGGGCACCCCGCTGATGCCAAAGTTCCGAAAATTATCTTTTTTTCGTTCAATCATGTCTCTTCGATGACATATTTCCAAAGCGTCATTTGTAGCCGGGCGTCCTGATCCACCGTATCCAACGTGACGGCCCCCACTACTATAGCCAGCTGATCACGCACGCCGAGCACGAGTTCAACGAGATGACCCAGGGCACCGAATGGGTCAAATTTTTGCAGGTGGGAGGGGTTTGGATTTTTAATGACAATTTTTACGGTTTTGCGAGTATATCATTAATGGATTTTTCATGTAAAATTTAGAAAAAATTACCCACGTTGTTTTAAAAAACGGATTTTCCACGGAATTCTGAATTTTGGAAATTTTAAAAAGTACAAACAACCATTAAAAAAGATTTTATCGATAAAATATGTAGATTGTGATCTACCGTTGTATTCAATTCCTTAATTTGACGTCGATTTAATTTTAAATAATTGTAAATCGATTAGAAAAATTTAAGGTCGAAGAAGCCGGCGGTTTTCAACATCTGCGCATCCGTGTCGATCGCATTAATCGAAGGGCCAATTTCGCAGATGTGAAAGTGATCTCCACCTTTAGACCGGTACCGTATACCATTCCTGTAATAGGGCAACTTTTAGAACATCTGCCTGGCTGGGGAGCAGACAAAAAAGTTGTCGCCGGAGGACCCGTTGAACAAGTAAGTCGCTGCTGTCGTTTCATATTTTGGAGTCTGCCGTTCATTTTCTACAGTTGTAGTCTGTAGTCTTCTATTTGTAGTTGTTGTTTTTAGTTCTTCACGTAAATTATCCGCCAGTTCATTAATCCATTTCCAGGAAAAAATTGCCTCATGTATGCATCTTTCCGAATCGTTCCGTCTACCCCAAAGATTTGGAGCGCCAAGAGGGACGGGCAAAGTTCTTTGAGCGCCGGTGGGAAAATTTTCTTATTTTGAGTTTTTCGAAGAAAAATCGAATTAAGGATAATTTGTAGTAATTTTGCCTATTGATTTTTTTAGAAAAAGTTACGGTCAAAACGCGTGCATCGACGGGTATGAATGGAGAGCCATCGACGCCTATGACTACGTTTGCGTGATGTCGGAACGGTCAGTGATTTAAAGCCTATATTTTCCGTTTTGAATTTTAGGCAGAAAAAGGCAGACAAGGGCCTTACTTTGCTCTGTTTTTCGAATCGTGGTGAAACCCGGGTCAGCCTCGGACTGTCTCTCTCTCGCGCTCTCTCACCCTTTCTTTCTCTCGCTCGCTCTCTCTCTAGCTCTCTTTCGCTCTCTCTCTCTCTCTCTCTCTCTCTCTCTCTCCAAGATTACTGAGAAGCTTTAGAACACCTTTAATCCGGATTTCCCAAGCATCTAGGCTAGCTTGCCTATCATACTGTATTATTTGCAAAGACGCGGACTTCCAACCCTCTTTAGCCCCTTAAAATCCACTAATTCCAGGGCCCGGCAGGTCCAAGTCAAAACCAGCACCGAACTCCTTGATGGCGACTGTAATAATGGGACAGTTACGGTAGGATTTACGGATTTTTCAGTATATTTTATTTTTTTATAGCGCTCTGCTTTCCCGGGCGATTCCCTCTGCGTGGATGTCGAAGAAAAGTGGCGTATCGACGCGGAAAATGCGGAAAATTTGCAACACCTCAAGAACCCCCAATTTTTTAACGGGGCAGATAGCTTGAATTAGTGATTGTTTTATTGTTTTTAAGAACTATGATCGAGTTTTTGCAAATTTCTAGCTAGTCGCCAAGACGGGTACTACACTGGGCTCAGCGAATAAATATTTTGAAAACATTGGACGACAGCTTCGAACGAAAAATGCCGTCACTCTCTTTCTCTCTCCCTCTCCCTCTCTGTCTCTGTCTCTCCCTCTCTCTCTCTCTCTCTCTCTCTCTCTCTCTCTCTCTCTTTCTCTTTCTTTCCCTCTTCCTCTCTGTTTCTGTCTCTCCCTCTCTCTCTCTCTCTCTCTCTCTCTCTCTCTCTCTCTCTCTCTCTCTCTCTCGTCTATATACGACATCTTTGCTGCCAGGGCAGGCTGGCAAAGACTTTGTCGAAATGAAGGACCCTTAAAACACATCAAAGGCAAAATGTGTCACTTTGGGGTCAGAACAGACTCCGACGACAAATATATACCCCCAGTCGCCCTTTTGGTCTACTCCATTTCTCCCATCGTTTGCTCTCCGTCTTTCTCTCACTCACACTCTCTCTCTCTCTCTCTCTCGCCAGCCACTTCTCGGCTTCCACAGTCTCAAATTCTTCCTCGTTTTTTGGTTGCTTCCCGTCCCCCGACGCTCGATGATCAATTTTCGTGAACTCGAGCCCCACGCCAGAAAGCGGAAAGTTTTGGGGTCGTTTCTAGGCGTCGACCGTTGCTATACCTTCTGGTTAATTATTCAAATTGCGTGCGGGTCTGCAGTTGATTTGGCATTTCCGGAGCCGAATTTTCCCGAGTTTTTTTTTGTCAATTTCTGGGTTTTCCTAAACGTTTAAGGGCTTAATTTGAGCTTGATTTTTGTGGTTTCATTTCAAGGCTATCCATTTTAAACGACCTGTGATTTCAGGGCATTTAAAATTAGGGCTTTTAGTGATCAATTTCGCGATATGGAATTTGTTGCCAAATCCGCGGTTGGTTTTCCTTAATGCATGGATATTTGCATTTAGAAATTATAGAAAACCAATATTTTTGAAATGTATAAAAATACATCGAAAAATCGAAAAATATGTATTTGAAGCTCCTATTTCAATTTAGGTAATTTATATAGTTTTTAGAATTTTGAAAATTCACATTTTTGGTTTTTTTGGTGTTTTCCGGGCCGATTTCTAAATCTATAATCCCTGGTGTAGTTTATGTGCTTTTTTCATTTTTTTCGCGGTGTCTATTCGAGGGTGGGCAAATGCCCTGGGGGGCCACACGCAGACCCGAGAAATAGTGCCAAAAGCCCCGAGACACCCGAGATCCCGACACAAACTCTAACAAAACAGCCGGAAGGCGGCTTAACCCTGGCTGGTCGGCGACATTTTTTGCAGAATAACTCCACGAAATATGTGGAACATCAAATAATTCCAGTTTTGAAAATGCTAAAACAATTTTTGCTTTTTTTTGGTTAGAAAACACTTTATTCTTCCCCCAGCCTAAAAAAGTTGATTTTTTTGTGCTATAACTTTGTTAAATCAAATTTTTTTGAACAGCCCTTGTTATCAGGTTGGAAGTATATCAGGTTGGAAGGTAAGTCCTGTCGCCGAGATTTTGGAAGGCTGGCTAAAATCGTAGTTAGCTTCATTCTGCACATGCGATATGTCATTTGGTAGCGACTGCCTGAACCGTTGCGGGAGGAGGGTCCTAGCCCGCCAAAATCGAGGAGGACCGAGATACGGGCCCAAGAAGTTTTTGGAAAAAATGAGGGAAAGTGTTTTTGCAAGTTATCTCTGCATAGAGTGATTTGCATACGATACCTTTAACACCAATCGATAGCTCTCGAGGAGTAGATATCGATTGATGTTGAGATCATCAAAATCGGTCACTGGACGGCCGAGATATCGGCCTTTGAAATTTGGACCATTTCTTAGAACTTTCTCGAGATCCCATACATTTGATCAAAATCCGCTCGGTGCGTCCAAAAATAAAGCGGCATTTTTCGGCACCTGCCGGTCAAATCAAGCGAAATGTATGGGATTTCGAGAAAAGTTCTAAGAAATGGTCCAAATTTCAAAGACCCATATCTCGGCCGTCCAGTGTCCAATTTTGATAATCTCAACATCTATCGATATCTACTCCTCGAGGGCTATCGATTGGCGTTAAAGGTATTGTATGCAAATCACTCTATGCAGAGATAACTTGCAAAAACACTTTTGCGTGATTTTTCCAAAAACTTCCGGGGCCTGTATCTCGGTTTTCGCTGATTTTGGCGGTCTAGGACCCTCCTCCCGGAACGGTTCAGGCAGAGAGCTACAAAATGACATATCGCATGTGCAGAATGGAGCTAACTACGATTTTAGCCAGCCTTCCAAAATCTCGGCGACAGGACTTACCTTCCAACCTGATATTTTTTTGATGCTTATTAAATGGCGTCGAAAAAATCCGGAAACAATAACAAAAAAATCGAAAGTTTTGAAAAAATGTAACTTTTTTGTCACCCGTTTGATCCACGCTCTTATTTTGTTTTTTTCTAATTTTTTTTAAAGTTAATCGATCGTATATTTTCAGCGGGTATTCGGTCGCGGGATGAAAACTCGAGATCCGGTGAGTGCTTCGAAAGTCCAACTAAAACATTTTTTTTTGGCTTCTCATGAAGTAAAATTCTCAAAGTAGCGATGCTACCTTGAATTTTCAACTTAGAGACCGCTAGAACTCCGGAACGCACACTGTCACCCCGAGGGTGCGGCCCCCATGAACGCGCGGAGTGAGGCGTCATTAGTGGCGCCCCGTATTGTGCAAAAGCACTCTGGGGTTAGGGGCGCCGCTGAGTCCCTACCCCACTCAGCCCCGTGGTATAGTGGCTAGTGCGTCGGACTGTGGAGCGAACCATCGCGGGTTCGGCCCCCGCCCGGTGCGCAACTTTCTTGCTCTCGACGGAATTGCATCGTTCTGGCGGTCTTTAAAGGGCACGTTCAGGGACGTTTTTTTTGGAAAAAAGCAGACATGGCAATCGGCCGGGCCGCGCGGCTTTTTCGGCCGCAAAAATTAGAATGCGGCCGGGCCGCGCGGCTTGGCCGCACTTCCGGCGCGGCCGCGGCTTTTTTTTCCGTTTTGAGGCCGCACTGCGGCCAAGCCGCGCGGCTTTTGAGGCCGCATCCAAATGAGTTTTGAGTACTTCCGGCACGTAAATCAGAGATGCAATGCGTGTTTAGCCTGCTAGCGAGGAATATCCATACTCGACAACCTTAATTTTCTCATTTCCATTCCCATCTGGCATGAAATTCGCGGTTTTTCGACATGTAAATGAGCCACTTCCGGTTTGCGGCTTGGCCGCAGCGGCCCGGCCGAGCCGCGATGAAAATGCGGCTTGGCCGCGAAGCCGCATTTCCGGAAGTAACTAATTACGGCGGCTCGTAGGGGGCCGCGTTTTTTATGGAAATTAGGCCGCCGGCCCGGCCGCGCGGCTCGGCCGATCGGAATTGCCATGTCTGGAAAAAAGCAAAGGTTTTTGCCGCGGCCGGGGGTCGAACCCGGGCCCCCCGCTCGGGAGGCGCGGATGGATACCAGTCAGCCACAGCTACAACCTGGCGAGGGGATGAGGGGCGCTCCACGCCGCAAAGGAGGGAAATTGCCTGCCACGGCACGGGCAGGCAGTGTGCGCGGTCCCTACGTCCATAGGGTGTACACGTTGGGACGAGTACACGGCCTCTCCCTGAACGTGCGCTTTAAAGAAACGGACTCGCGAACTTTTTGCAAGGATTTTTAGCGTTATACAAATTAGGACTATGAAATGGATTTGAACCCGACCGGAATTTGCAGACCAATTTCCCGGGCATATTCGGGGTTCAACTCGTTGGGTCTGTCTTGTCTGTTGCGGGGTGATCGTGTGTCGAGAAAATCCTCTTTGCCCCCCTTTATCAGCCATTCCCCTCCACCCTACGCGATAAATTAAGCACAACAGTTTTTCTTCGCCCCACACCTCCTCCCGCCGGCTGGCCCTCCTACTCCCGATCATAAACCATGATTTATGGCCCGGGTCTTACGGCTTGCCCTTTTTTACTGTGTTGCATTTTAGATTTTTGAGAGATTTCTTCGTGTTTAAGTTTTATTTTAAGGTTGTACGCTTTGAGGATTCAACCTTAAGGTGTTCGCGGACCTTTAAACTGCCATAATTTAATTTTTAGTGGGAAAATAAGAGGACTTTTTTGAAAATTACGAATGGGGTACTGTGGATTTTCACAATTCCCTGCCTTCGAAGGTCCTTTAAGACTCGTAAGATAACCAGACGCAGATTTTCCCAGGAATCTCTCTCTCTCTCTCTCTCTCTCTCTCTCTCTCATTAGAACGAAGGAAAATCTATTTCCATTGCGTTTTAGACCCGATGATTCACTTTTAAGCTCTTAATCTTTCTGTGTCATTAGGAAATTCCGGAAGCTACGGGAGGAGCCGGGAGGGGCAAAGGTTTTACAACCGGCCGGTTTGAGGTCCGAAATTTGATAAATTGTCTCCCCTCGATCGCCTAAGGATTCTTAGTTTTGTCGAGACCTAGCCGAGGAAAAGGTCGATTATTGACTTGACTAGTGCTTTAGAAACCTCGAGAATTTTTATGGCATTTTTCAGCTGCTCAACCCGGGCGCAGAATCGATGGGTGTAAATGGGACGGACCAGAAGCTGGATGAGCTCAAGTTGGTTTTTCGAAGGGTTGGGAGCTTTAAAATTTTATATTACCCGAAAACCCCGGGTATAGCCCCCCCGGGTATAGTTCCGGGTGAGACGTACGTAGCGTTCGTAATTCCGTATGGCCGTAAAGAGGTGTGTTTCGTTTTTTTCGGTTTCTCGCAAATAACTCCGTTCGTGAATGGTATTTTTGCTATTTTGGTTGAATATTTGCTCACATGTGGACTATTTCCAGCATTTTGAGTGGTTTAATGAAAGAAATTGATGCAGGAAATCTTAAGCACCGCTTGTTTTTTGCTTACATAGCTTTTGCGGCGTGAGGCCGGGGACGCACGTTATTAGAACGTCATTTGTATTGGTACGTCGCCAAAGTGTACCGGAGCTATACACGGGATTTTAGGGTACTCGTTAGTTATCGAAATATTATCAAAATTTATCGCATTTCATCAGCTGCTTCCAGATTCTCGCCAAACGATAAGGAAAAGGTGCGATGGAAACGGGTGCCGGAAGATGCAAAAGATGTCCCGTTAATGACTTTGGTAGGAGTTGAAATGATTTAAAATGGACGACAAATAACTTTAAAAGAGCAAATGAAAATATGAAAATAATTTTTCGCCTCGCAATTTTATCTATTCTTGATTTTATCGAACATCATTTCGCGAATTCGAACCCAAATCGATTCGAACCCTGAGACCAGTCAGATTCTACCAATTTCCTTATACCTTCTGACTCGCCCCAATCTGATTTTTCTGCATTTTTTCGTTTTGCTTCTTTCGACTGGCTAAGCGGATAAAAATGCGTCACAGTATCAGACAGAGGGGGACGGAATGGAGGCACTCCAATGCAGAATCACAATCAGATATCGAAACGGGGTGCAGAGACATTAAAAAAATAAGGACATTCTGAATTTTTATCGATTCTGACAAGAGAAAGAGAGAGAGAGAGAGAGAGAGAGAGCGAGAGACAGACAAAAATTTCTCTCATTCGATTACACCATGAAATTCCCCTATTTCAGTTCCGATATGCCACCAAAGTCGATGTAGCGCTGATGGTGGCTGGTGTATTTTTCGGAATTTGCCAAGGTAAGCGGAGATCCTATCAATGCGCGGTTTACTCCTTTAATGCACTTCAGGCGGTCTATCCTCTACCTCATCCTACATTAATAAACATTTAACCGATGCGCTCATCGCCGGGCAGAAGAGTTGGAAGGTTGGTGAGAGAGAGAGAGAGAGAGAGAGAGAGAGAGCGAGAGAGAGAGAGCTATAGCGAGTGAGAGAGTTTCATTTTCAGAATGCCAACGACACCAACCCGTTCGATTTTGCCAGCTTCGAGTCGGACAGTCTCTACGCGATCAACCTCTATTCAATCTATGGAGCCTGCGTTTTTATACTAGGATTATTAAATGTGCGTTTTCTATACCCTTTTCTGCAGAATTGTTAGTTTGTAAGTTATGTAAATTTAGATGTGCTGCTGGCATACGGTATCTGAGCGTCAGATGCACCAGATTCGGATACGATACTTTGAGGTGAAAGAGGGAAAACCACAGCTAGAGAGAGAGAGAGAGAGAGAGAGAGAGAGAGAGAGAGAGAGAGCGAGAGGGAGCGAGAAAGAGAGAGAGAGAGAGAGAGAGAGAGAGAGAGAGAGAGAGAGAGAGAGAGAGAGAGAGGACAAGAGACGGAGAGAGAAATCTTACCAACAACCCAATTTCCAGGCCGTCCTCCGCCAAAACATGGGCTGGTTCGACAAAAATGAAACTGGTGCCTTGACCACGAAAATGACGGAGTGAGTCCATTTTAAAGGGATTAGAAAGCCACAATTTACGTTATTTTGACAATTTTTACGATTGGTTTAGTGGAGTCGACCGTATCAAGGACGGAATTGGCGACAAACTCGGCGCAATGTGCTCGTATTTGGCCCAATTCGTCGGTGGCATCATCACGGCTTTTGTGTTGAGGTTTGTGTTTTGCAGTAATTTTCCTACGCTTGGCGAACGTAGCTTTTAGATTTGTGTTTTTGTGATTAAATGGAGAGTTTGTAGTTTGCACTTTTTGAGGCTTGTAGCTGCTTGTTTTTTGCACTTTTAAAATCTGTATTTTGTTGTTTTTCAATGGCTGCCGGGCTGGCCGCTTAAGCTTTTTTCACTAACTTATTTTGCTATAAGTTACCTTTTTGTAGGTTGCAGTTTCACCCTTTTAAACATATAGTCTGTAGCTTATAGCTTAGGAAGACTCTGGTCTCGATGAGCCAGAAAAAAAATTTGAATTTTTAGTTGGAAAATGACGCTGATCATGCTGGCGTTCATGCCCCTCTTCCTCGCGCCAATGTTCTTGGCTGGAAAGGTAAGAATTTTTCATTCCTCGATTTGACAACATTCCAAACCATGCTTCTAGTTTATCAAAAAGACGATTCCCCGCGAACTGGCAGCATACGGTAAGGCGGGAGCCGTGGCGGAAGAGGTCGTATCCGGCATCAGGACTGTCGTCGCGTTCAATGGACAGGAGAAGGAGATTAAACGGTTCGTTCCTAGATACGATAGGGTTTATACAATATCCCTAACAAAACTCAGTTTTGTACTGCAGCGTATCGGTACGCACTGTTGCATATGGCGCGTACTGCCTTGGCCGAGTGTACTGTAGCGTACTCTATCGTACTCTGGAATATTGTCGCCTCCTTCGTATTCTAACCTACTTGGTACACTCTAGCTTGTTCTTGCGTATCGTGGTGTACTCTGTCGTATTCATGGCTGCTCCGTACGTTTACGTACTGCGTACGGTAGCTTATTCTATCATATTCTAGCACTCTTCTGGGATGTTAGCGTGTTATATTCGGGTACATTACGTACGATAGGGTACGGCATCGTGGTCTATCGTATTCCACCGTACGCTTCGGTACTGTAGCGTAGTCTACGGCATTATCTATCTTTTGCGGCTCTTTAAAACGGAAAACAGTCACAGAAACCAAAGTTTCGTTTAGATACGAGTCCCATCTGCGTGCAGGTGAGAAGCACGGAATCCGAAAGTCATTTTTCACGGCCGCTGGTACCGCCTGCGTGTTTGGATGTCTATTTATATCCATGGGTACTTCCTTTCTTCTTTCTTAAGACAAAATTTTAGGAGTTTCTTTCTACTTTGGAACCGTACTTGTGACGAAGGACGAGATCACGCCCGGCGTCGTTTTTGCCGTGTTTTGGGCTGTCATTTCAGGTAGGCGGGTTAAAAATTAACGAGAAGGCATTTTATAGAAACTCTTGAAACATGAAATTGTTAAAAATTTGCGCAATATACAATTTTGAAAACCTGAGCATCGAAAGTCCCGTGCTCGAATCTCAAAAATTCGATTTTCTTTTTGTAGAATTAGAAATAGCAGTTAAATATAGAAATTTAAAACAGGATAATTAAAAAGGCGGTATCCAATGCTCTAAAATCCATTTTTCTATTTTTTTTTTACTTCAAAAAGACTCTATTCCAGGAACTTTTGCCATCGGCCACGCCGCGCCACAGATTGGAACGATTCTCGGGGCTAAGGGAGCTGCCGCACCGATTTTTGCTATTATTGATCGGGTAAGCTTGGTGTCAACATCTCTTTAAAATATAAAAATTCCAGGAACCTCCAATAAATTCCCAATCGACGGGCGGGAAAAGAATTGCCGATCCGAAGGGCACCATCGAGCTTCGAGACGTTCATTTTCGATATCCGACTCGGCTGGAAGCGAAGATTTTGAAGTAAGAGAGAGAAAGAGAGAAAGAGAGAGAGAGAGAGAGAGAGAGAGAGAGAGAGAGAGAGAGCAAAAACGAGGAACCGAGAAATCACCCTAAAATTCCAGAGGTATCTCTCTAAAAATCGAACCCGGCCAACACGTCGCCCTTGTCGGGCATTCCGGATCCGGAAAATCAACCCTCCTGGGAATGCTGCTCCGTTTCTACGAGCCAGAAGAGGGAAAGGTAATTAAAATCAACTTTTTGTGTCTAATCTGTAAAAATGTGGAATTCTGGCTTTGTTACGGTGGTTAGCGCTGGATTGTGGACTCGATGTGACTCTAAATAAAGCGAATTTTGGTCCGGACTACAAACTACAACCTAGGTGACGATCGACGGGGTCGAGGTCCGAGACCTAAACATTGCCCACCTGCGGCAACTCGTCGGCGTCGTCAGCCAGGAGCCGGCCCTTTTCGCCGATACTGTTGCGAATAATCTGAGGTACGGTAGAAGGTGTGCGTTTGAAAATCGGCAATTTTAGGCTGGGAAATCCGGAGATGAGCCTCGCCGACATGGAAAATGTCTGTCGGATGGCGAATGCTCACGATTTTGTTGAGCAGCTACCAGAGGTGAAGCTGAAAAATGGCTAAATTCGGAGGTTTGGCAAGGTGCCAGAAGCTTGAAAACGCCGCAAAAAAAGCTTTTAAATCCGGTCTACAGAAAAACCGAAAAAAGCAATATTCCAAAAAAGCGCGTATTTGGCACTCCCCACATTTGTCGAGACCTAGTGGATGTATGGAGTCGATTCGGGGATTTCTGGCCATTTTAAGACCACTTTTTAGAAATACGAAACCAGAATTGGGGACGGCGGTGTGCAACTCTCCGGTGGTCAGAAGCAACGCATCGCCATCGCCCGCGCTTTGGCCAGGTGCGTAAAGGGGTGTACTCCGTAGTCTATCTCCTCTAGAAATCCTCGAGTCCTGCTTTTGGATGAGGCGACATCAGCACTGGACACAGAATCGGAATCCGTCGTCCAGAAGGCTTTGGACCAGGTGAGAAAAAAGCAAAATAATTTTGAATCGGCTTTCAAAAGAAATTTACGATACGTTAGCTTAAGCCACTTTTATTGATTAATCACAAAAATATTTTAAGCCTTAATTTGAAAATAATTAAAGATGCTGAATTATATTAATTGCATCTATAATTATCGCTAATTTAACCTCTCTTTTTTGGGCTGGGAAGGGCCGCACAACAATCTCAATCGCCCATCGACTCTCCACCATCAAAAATGCCGACCGCATCTATGTGTTTGATGTAATCCCTATAGCTTGGCCTGACTACCGTACCCCTTTAGGCTGGAAACATTGTCGAGCAGGGCAACCACGAGAGCCTGATGGCAAGTGGGGGCCTGTATTCGGAGCTGGTCCGAGCCCAGGAGATTGAGAAGGCACACGAGAAGAAGGAGGAGCCGGAGAAGGAAGATTTGTTTTATGGTAAGGCGGGAAATTTAGCTAAAACTGGTGTCGCCATCCCTTTAAATTATCGTGCGCGATGCAGTCGCGTTGCGTAGACCTGACGCGGCGTCGTCTCTACGATTTTTTAAGCATCTGTCCGCTACGGAAAATTTTCCTAGACGATCTCTGCTAGCCTGCCCATTTTTTGTGATCTGCTACACCTGTCTACGTTAAAAAATTCAGAAGACCACGACGCGCTCAGCCTCTCGAGCACCAGCTATATATCAAGCGAGACCGAGTCGCTACTTGATGGTATATAGGCATGGCGTGTAGTGCTGAAACTAACAGCTTTTCCACTTATCCGCACCCTCCTTAATTTTCTGTTTTTCTGTTGCACGTTTTTGGGTTACGGTACCACTTCCATGAAATCCTGAACGTTTTAGAATCGACGGCTCAAAGGCGTATGTCCAAAATCAAGGGGATGAGAGCACGAACTCAGTCTCGGATCTCGACGCGGATGTCCAGAGCCCTGTCGATGAGCTCGGAGATTGATAGGGCGATTTTGGACCTGGAGGTATGGTAACTAGGGCACTAACAGAGTACTGTATCGTACGGTAACGTAGCGGCGCGTACTGTACTGCCGTGTAGCATTCCGTAGCTATGCGTATTGACGACTAGAGGGTGCTCGATTGCAGCGTAGTGTATGGCAACGTCTTGAAGCGGACTGCTGGGCTGCGTATCTTGCCGTACTAATGCGTAGTGATCGTAATTGGGGGCATTCGATTGCAGCGTAGAGTACGATAGCGCATTAGGGCGTACGACACTGCTACGTCGCGCGCGGAGCGTGCCGTACTGTTCCATACCACACCGTATCGGAGCGTAACGTACTGTTCCATACCATACCGTATCGGAGCGTACTGTCCTGTCCCGCCATACCGTATCGGAGCGTAACGTACTGTTCAGTAGAGCTCAACCCACGCCGTTAGTAAAAGGGAGCATACGATAAGCCGAACTAGAAGTGCGGTCTGAGCTGAGGCTACGCTATGCTACGGTGTATTACGGACTTATAGAAAACTTTTTCAGGAAGAAGCCGAAGAAGAAAAAGTGTCTCCCTCGTCGATTATGGACATCCTCAGATTCGCACGCCCAGAATGGCCGAACCTAGCCATAGCCCTGTTCTGCTCCATAATTCGAGGCTTCACCTTCCCGCTGTTTTCGCTGGTTTATGGGCTCATGTTCAAGGTGGGCTAGTCTGAACTCCTTGAAGCCGTGGCAGCTTCTAAACCGAAATTTTTGGAGCGTTTACGACGATCAAGCATTTTACGCTTCTGGGCTTGGTAAAGCTGGTAGGGTGGTGGAGGCCCATTAAGTCTCTAGAGGCCATTTTCCGTTTTTCCTCGGTGTTGCTGAACCTCAACTACTTCAAGTGGTTCGAGACTTTCGCTACAGAAAAAAGTTTTTGTAAGGATTCCCTCATAAGCAAATTCCACATATTCAAGCGGTTCAGCCTTGGCGCTTGAAACGTTTGTATAGAGAACTGTCCGCTTGATCAATTCCAAAGTATTCAAGCAGTTTAACACTTCCACAGCAGCCTCTTCATTCCAGATGCTCTCATCCGACGACACCCCCTCCGAGATGAAGCACCACGCCCTCATCAACGGCTTGTACTTCTGGGGAATCGGGCTGTCGTGCCTCATCTCGGCCATGACGTCTGGGTAAGTGCTGCTCAGATTCCGCAGCTACGGTATCAGTTTCCTGATGGGCAAGGCCGGCGAGTCGATCACTATGCGGATGCGGCTGCGGCTCTTCGGGAATCTGCTCCGCCAAGATGGGGCGTATTTCGACAACCCTAACCATTCGAGCGGCAAGTTGACGACCAGGCTGGCCACTGACGCACCGAATATTCGAGCGGTAAGCGCGATTTCACTGTACAAAATGTAGAAATTAGGTAAATAGATCTTTTTAAAACAAAGTCCATAACTTTTCTGACTTCACAATCCCTTTCAAATCTCCAGGCAATCGACCAGCGCCTTGCCGACGTTCTCCAGTCCATCTCCGCCATCACTGCCGGCATCATCATCGCGTTCAGCTACGGCCCGGTGATGGCCCCCATTGGCGTGCTGACGGCTACGGTATATTGGTCAAAAAATAGGAGGGAGTTCGTCTTTAGGCTCTAATCACGCTGAACGCGCTCATCACGCAATATCTGAAGCGGAAGGGGCAGAAAGATGCTGAAGTGGCCGAGGAGCCGAGTCGAGTGGGTTTAGCGTAACGTGTAAGGAAAGAAGCTACCCTGCTTCTGTGACGCATTCGTCCTGCCTGTAACGGTTTCTTGAAGGAACTTTTGAGGCGAGTGCCCGCTTAAATGTCTTTTAAAAGCATCTGAACGCTAATCTCTTTTCAGCTAGCCACCGAGGCCATCGAGCAGCACAAAACCGTCCAATCGCTCACCAGAGAAACCCACTTTGTCGAACGCTACGTCGAGATGATGGCCGTCCCACATAAAAATGCGATATGGAGAGGTGGGTTTTTCTCTCTCTCCCTCTCTCTCTCTCTCGGTGCCTTTCGAGGCCCTCTAAAGGTTTAGTTATACTAAAAATCATTTTTCAGGCGCCGTCCAATCAGCCACCTTTGCCCTTTCCATCTCCTACGTCCTGATGAACTTTGCAATTGCGTATCGATACGGTGTTTTTCTCGTCAAGAAGGATCTGTCGTCGCCATATGTCGTATTCCAGTAAGTGAAGGAAGAGCGAGAGAGAGAGAGAGAGAGAGAGAGAGAGAGCGCTGGAAGAAGGAGAGGGCGAGACTGATCAAGATCCATAAACCTATCGACTTTCCAGAGTCATCGAAGCTCTCAACTGCGCCTCAATCTCCCTCATCGCCTTCGCCACCTATTTCCCTGAATATATTCGGGCAAGGTAGCTTATTCTCGGGTTACGGTACCTAGTCCATATTTTAGACTCTCCGCCGGTCTGCTTTTCAACATGCTCGGCATCGAACCGAAATTCGATGGAATGTCCGAACAGGGAAAAAAGCCGGTAAGCTAATTTCGCGCTAATGGAGGCAGGTCGGCAGGGTAACTAAAAAAAGCAATTTTAGGCTCTTAACGGGGACATTGAGTTCGAGCGTCTGTACTTCTCGTATCCGATCCGGAGGCAGCATATGGTGTTGAATGGGATTCAGCTACGGGTGGGTATTTAAAGGGAGAGAGATAGGCAGAGAGAGAGATAGAGAAAGAGAGTGAATGAGAGATAGAGCGAGATAGAGAGTGAGTGAGAGGGCGCGAGATAGAGAGAGAGAGCGCAAGAGAGAAAGAGTCAAAGCGACTCTCCCCTTCCCAGCCGAAAAACCCGTTAAAAATTACTTTTTTTCAGATCCCGAAAGGAAAAACCGTAGCCCTGGTCGGCCCGTCCGGCTGTGGAAAATCCACCTCGATTCAAATGATCGAACGTTACTACGATCCGATGGGCGGAAGAATGGTATTTTTTACCGTATCCTACCGTAACCTAACGTATCTTACCATACCATGCCGTGTCCTACAGTAATTAGTGACAGATACAGCTACAGTAACCCAAACCTACTGAATGATTTTAGCTTTTCGATGCTGTGGACGCGCGTGAAATCAACCTCCAACACCTGCGCACTCAAATTTCGTTGGTGGGCCAGGAGCCGATACTGTTCAACTATTCCATCAGGTAGTTGTCATCTTTGAGAAAATTGGTGTTGGATGCCCTTTAAAAGTTCGGATCATTGTATTTTTTCAGAGAAAATATCGGGTACGGTATGGCTGCGGCAAGCGAAGAGCAGATTATAGCAGCCTCCAAGCTGGCAAATGCCCACGATTTCATCTCGAAACTGCCGGCGGTAAGTCGGGCTTGCTTGAGAATTAAGCTTAGGTTAGGCTTAAGCCTCGGCTTCGTCTTTAGCGCTGAGGTTGAGGCTCAGGCTTGGGCTGAGTTGGACGTATCATGATTCTAGGGTTACGACACGATAGTTGGCGAGCGTGGTGGGCAACTTTCTGGAGGGCAAAAGCAGCGGGTGGCCATTGCCAGGGCTGTGATACGAGATCCGAAGGTATAGTAAGGTTTCTCTCTCTATCTCTCTCTCTATCTCTCCCTCTCTCTCGTCCTAAACCATACTTTTCCAGATCCTGCTCCTCGATGAAGCGACCAGTGCCCTGGACACGGAGAGCGAACGGGTAAGTCAAAATTTCAGGTCACGATCCCTTTAAAGGAACTGGCAGGTGATGCTTGGTTGTGGATTTTCAAAATTACGTTGTTTTTCCAACGTTGCGTCGCGTTCACGTTGCGTGCTGCGGGGCAATCCATGGCTTATTCCGAGCCTTACTCGAGCCTTTAAGCCTGGAACGCGTTTCGTTCCTCGTGCTTCCGCTAGCTACCTTTAATTGATTTTCGTCACAAGCAATATGACCGCAACGCACCTGAATACCGTAGTTCCGCTATTAAAAAGATTCCAGGTGGTCCAAGAGGCTCTGGAAAGAGCCAGAGAGGGCCGTACATGTGTCGTCATTGCCCACAGATTATCATCAATTCAGAATGCCGACATTATCGTGGTCGTCAAGGTATGTTTTTTTAATAAAAAAATACGTTATTTTATATCACACTAAATCTGTAAAATTTATGCAAATAATATTCATATGTTTTAGGACGGCCGGGTGCACGAGCAGGGTAACCACCAGTCACTCCTCGCCCGCAAGGGGCTCTATGCTAATTTGGTGGCTCAACAAGGACTTTCGTAAATGTTGCTCAACTCTCTTTCCTGTTTACCAAGAATTTTTGATCTTACGGCACTTCAAACGAGTTTTAAAGGGGCAGCGACAAGCTAAGAATTTGAAAATTAACATTTTGGCATTTTTAGCGCTGATTTTGAAATATACGGCCTACATTTCCCCAAAAATTTGCTGTCGTAATTAATTGGAAGCTTTACTGTTCCTTTAAAAATTTTCCTCTCTTCTAGTCACCTTTAAAACTAATATACACCGCTAATTAACGTATTAATTTTTGATCTAAAGTAGATGCCAATTTATCGTTGAAAAGTGATCGAATCGAGCTTCTAATGTTCTTGAAATCAATACTTTCCTAAAATCTGGGTTCAAAAACAGTATTACTGCTTAAAAATGTCGGTTTCGCGTTGTTTCGCTATTTTTCGACCACCTACCGTACCTGTGATATTCAAAAATCTCAAATTATTACTTTTCCTTTTTGTTTTTCGCTACCGATGTTGGCTTAATAAAGTTACACCTGTAATTTTTAATACGTCGATTACAGTATTTTTCTAACACCAAAAACAATGAAATTCAATAACCCAAAAAACACAAAAATTACACATAGCATAACCTGAATCGCTGGGAAACGGACGTAAAAACAATCGTGAAAAACAGCAAAATACCCGTAATGTTGAAAAGAGAATTGGATCGTGTGAGTAGTTGGGGGTGTACGCGAGAATACGGTACAAAATTTGGCGTATGGAGTACAAAACGGAATTTCCGGTTATTCGAAGGCTTTCGGGGGTTGGCCACTCGGTCTTCGTGACGTCAGGTTGTCTTTACGGCTGGAAATCAGAGAGTGTATCATTAATGCGCTTAGGGTCGCGAGTATACCAGCGTGGCGGTAATGAGCATCATATGAAAAAAGCGTACGTTGCGTATCGTGTAGCGGCAGAAACCGGTATACCGTATGTTACCGTACGTACCGTTGTTGTTCAGGTTGTCTACCATATGCTTCCGTATGGTTAGCTACCGTATCCGTCACGCAGATACGGTAGAACTTTGGCTATGCTAGGCTACGCTAGGTAACACTAGACTACGCTAGGCTACGGTAATATTTTGCCTGTACACACGCTTCGACCCGCTGCTCTTTTGCACCTACAGTACCATCAATACGGTGTCGTATCATATTGTATCTGACCGTATTACCTACCGTATACTTCGATTCATAATCTCTCTCCGCTCCCTCTTCTCCGCCGTGTCCTCCTTCAAAGGCTTCTCCAAAATGTGATTCGCCTCCACGTCCGAGAAGCTGATCCCGTATTTCTGTAAAAAAGGCGTGTATACTTGTCATTTTTTTTCTCCGCGTGCAATCTATCGATAAATGGGGGAAGGGATTTTTGCAGGCAGGACAGGAAGATCAAAAATTCTTTGGATAGAGAAACATACCCGCTCGGCGCTCGAGTTTTTGCCCTGAATTTTCGCGTGAATTTTGGGGATCGTAAGGCGAGCTAGCCGAGGAAATTGGGGAAAGTTGGTCTCTACCTTATTCGGTAGGTGGGGCTCGACGTGGAGCTTCATGTCTTCTGTTTTCATGCGATATTTTCGTAGGTGCTGCCGTTGGGGGTGGCTGACTAGTCGGGCTGATCCTTCGGTGTGGAGTAGCTAAATTGGAGAAAGTGATGGCGAGACAGAGAGAGAGAGAGAGAGAGAGAACGAGAGATAGAGAAAGCGAGAGAGAGAGAGAGAGGGAGAGAGAGAGGGAGAGAGAAAGCCTCAACTTACCTTAACATCATCCGATAAACTCTCCACGTATACTGACGGCACCTGGTTGTGTAGCTGATCAACGATGAGGAAAGCTATCTACAAAACCCCGTGCGATTTTAAAAGTGTTCTTACCTCCAAATTCCGGTCCAAAATATAGTTAAACTCGAAGTCCTCGTCGTCGGCTCCAAATGGGAACATCAGATCTTCACCAACCTAAATTTTAGCGTTTTCAATTCGTGATGTGTCTCTCTTGCTCGCTCTCTCTCTCACTATTTCTCTCTCTCTCTCTCTCTCTCTCTCTCTCTGTCTAGTTCTCTCTCTCTATCGCTCGCGCTCTTTCTACCGCTCTTTCACTTGCTCTGGCTCCCTCTGTCGCTCGCTCTCTCTATCGCTCTTTCACTTTCTCTGTCTCTCTCTATCTTTATCTCGCTCGCTCTCTCTCCCTTTCTATTTCTCTCGCTCTCTCTCTAACTCTGTTACACTCACCTTTAACCACCCGACGTAAAACAAGAACTGGAGAATGGAGAAAATTGGCACATAACTGAAAAAAACATCAAAACTAATGACGATTCAACTCACATATCGACTTTTTGGTTGTAAAGGTTTACGGAGGGGAACTGCTGCCCAATCAGCGTAAAGAGGAAATAGCCGTACACAGATATTGTCGAGACCTGAAAAATACGAGGGTTTAAGTTTGTTTAAGTATCAAAATGAGCATCAAAATTTTGCAGTCAGGCAACCGCGACGCGCCGCGATTCATATGCGATGCGGATCGCGTAAAGAAAGAAAACAAAGAAAGCTGTACCTGCGTGTAGACCAGTGGGATTGAGATCCAGTCGTAGATAAAAAGTCGGAAGAAATTTGAGCGGAACTGGTCGAGATTATCGAGGAGCACACGGAGCTCATTAGTGTGCGAGAGGGTGCCCTAAAACAAAAACATTGATTGTTAATTAAAAGATAAATTCGTAATTTTAATGCTTTACGATATTTAAATAGAAATCTATATAAAAGCAATACGGTAAGCACGATTTTTCGATCAGCTTAGAGCTCGATTTATTAGTAGTTCTATCCGATTAACTTGTGCTTTCAATGATGCGTTACGATATTTTAATAAGATTGTTGATACCTTAAATACTTAGAAATGGACAAAAAAATAGCTAATAACTTTTTCTAAACTACACCCACCTTCTCAAAACACCGCAGCATCATCGTCTGGATCCAGTTGATCGGCACGAACCATTTCTAAGTCAAACTATAGCTATTTATTTCAAACAATTACCTGATGAGGATCTATTTTAACGTCAATTTTCTTGAAAAGCGCTAATTCCTCACGTGTGACGAGCCCCGAAGTGATGAGGTGCTCGTCGGTTGGATATCTAAAAAACCATGTCTTTAATGGCTAAAACAACGCTAAATTGTCAATGCCGGAGCTATCATCGGTCAATGAGTTTTGTAAAGTGTAAATAAGCAATTTAAGTAACTTCAAATGTTGGCATACCTTTTCAATACCCTCAACGATATGCTCCGCCACGCCAGCACAGAAGCCAGCATCGCATATCGGGCTATCGTCCGCCGGATTATCCGGGTTTCTTGCTAAAAAAATGGTTTAAAAACGTTGCATTTTTAATACTGGCGATACTATCTTTTCAGCTAATTCATACTATCCACTAAATTTCAAAAAATTTTTAAAAATAGCAGCTTGTTTACACGATTGTCCAGGCCTGACTCTATTCTCAAGCCAAGCTAAGCTAAGCTCAGCCTGCGCCGAGCCTAAGCTAATCCCCTGCTCAAGCCAGGCAAAGCCGAACGTAGGCTAAGCCAAGCCTAAGCTAAACTAAGCCAGCGCTGAGCCTTAGCTAAGCCTAAGTCGAGCCGAAGCCAAACCTAAGCCAAACCCAAGCCAAACCTAAGCAAAGCCTATGCCAAGCATAAGCCGAACCGAAGTCAAGCCTAGGCCAAACCTACGCCAAGCCAAGTCAAGCCTAAGCCAAAACTAAACCAAACCTAAACCAAGCTAAGCCAAGCCAAGTCAAGCCTAAGCCAAAACTAAGCCAAACCTAAACCAAGCTAAGCCAAGCCTAAGCCAAGCCTAAGCCAAGCCTAAGCCAAGCTTAAGCCAAGCCTATTCGATAGCTTAATCTGTTTATAAGCCGCTCCTATTCGTCCAAATTTAATAAACGGTAATCGGCTCTAATTGTAAGTAATTTTCTACTAAATTCCAACTCGTTTCACCGGCCGTCATAACTGACAGCTCCTCTTGGGTGCTCCCCATGGTTCGGTTCGTCTGACACGAAATTCGATCCCCCCATAAATAACACCAACGGCTTCCCGGTCCCATTGGCGGGAAAAGCTTTTCGAAGAGAGAGAGAGAGAGAGAGAGAGAGAGAGAGAGAGAGGGCGAGATGGCCAAAAAACGACTGACATCAGTGCCCCTGACGAGGGCCGACACGTTGAAGAGCAGCGAGTCGGGCCAGGAAATCAGCTGACAGCAATCCCACCACCTGAAAAAAGGGAGGTTATGAGGTCAAAATGAGACGCTAAGGTACGGTCTAGTAGAGTTAAAAAACGAGCACAGCGAACTGTACCTTCTGACAATCATCGCCACGTAGAAACCGAGCAAAAATGTCAGCGGAATCTCCTTGGTCCACGAATCGCACAGGGTTATGTACTTTTGGAAGGTACGCTGCTGTTCTTCTGTCATGAAAAACCTAGAAAAATGGGTTTAAAGCCATCAAACCGATTTAAAGGGGCTGGGACGCGAAAATCGCCGTCTTCCGCCGACTGAGTCTAGACAACTACGCGTAGCTCCAATACCAGCGTAATTCTGTTTCTAGCGGAAAAATCTGATACAACGTGTGCTTTGAACAGCTCCATGGTGTCGAGACCTAGTGGATGGCAGGGGTATGTTTTGGTTTGCGTGTAATTTAGAGCTGTCGAGACCTTGGAGATGAAAAGGGTAGATTTTTAACCTTTGCTGCCCCTTTGAAGTAATTTTTGAGCAGCTACGAAGTGGCGAAAATATTTTTTAATGCAGCCTCGGAGAGACCGAGTCGAAAAGTAGTTGTCGCTTGCGCTTTCTAGCCCCTTTAGAGTAATTTTTCTGTCCGTCACTTACCTATACACAACGTTAATGGAATAGTATAGCGTTAAATAGAGTAGTAAATGGCCCCAGATGGCCTTCCACAGCGAGCCTTTCCATCTAAAAATGATGGGTTAGGCTGGAAAATCCCAGATACCGGAAGAGTAGCTTCACGAATTTGTCCGAGTAGCTGATCGTCATGGCCGCCGGAACGGCCCGGAAATGATGGGAGAGTTGTAGAAGATCTTCGAGGTGTTTAAGCTTAATGCAATGTCGTTAAAACGTATCCTTTAAACGGAATAGTACATTACAAAAAAAAAACTCCAAAATCATATATTGTAAAAACTAATTTAAAAATGAAATTTGGGCTTTTTTTCGGATTTCTGTTGTATTCAGATAATCGGAAGAATTTTCCTGGCTGGAATACGGTAGTACTTTAGCCTCTATTGATAAAAAGTACGGTACTTTACATAAAAATGACTGTTAATGACCGATTAATCGTGACTACACCGAGTAACGTCGAGGTGCGAAATCGATAGCGAGTGCCCCGGGTATCTGGCCCCGGGAAAAGGAAGTTTTGAGAAGGAGCCCGAGGTGAGAACGAGCTCGGGGCCCGATTTGTAACACAGTCCGCGGGTATCTCTCTCTCTCGCTCTCTCTCTCTCTCTCTCTCTCTCTCTCTCTCTCTACCCCCAAGGGCCCATCCTATTTCCAGCGGGCCATGGCGCCACCTGCCCTCCATGAGCAAGGAGGTCGGCCCTGCCAGAGCAGAAACATTCGGTACCCGAGTGATACTCAGCGGGATGTGTGCACCGGCTGGAGGAACAGGTACTTAACCTTCAGGCTCTGTCGGTCGTACACAAAAACAATTATTGGGGCTGGGGATCGGGTTGGGTCCTGGGCCCTAAGGGCCATCGGGTTAGCTTTTCGGAGGGTGAAAAATCTGCTTCATTTGCGTGAAACTGTCGCTCTCTCTTTCTTGCTCTCTCTCTCCCTCTCTCTCTCTCTCTCTCTCTCTCTCTCTCTCTATTTGCCCCCTCTCTATGATGTCAATCAATGATATAACAACCATATAAATGCTTTATTCACGATCTCGCATCTCAACCCAACCACGTTTTCCGCAACAATTCGTTGATACGCTCGTCGTTGGGCAGTTTGTTAAGCTGAAAATCGGCGATAGATTCACAAATTCCTTACAAATTACCGGGACATTCACCTCGTAAGGCGCAGCTCGGCCGGAGAACTCTCGAAGTCGCCATTTCGACGGCGCATCGATGCTGAATATTCGCTGAAATGGGATTAGTTGACTACGAAGTGCGCCTATGCTAAACAGGGAGCCGACGTTGTGTGTCTGGAGAGCGCCTGAAGAGAGCGAGAGTGCGAGAGAGATTGATTAGACACGCCTCCGCATCCGCAACGCTTTCAAGACCGCCGTATCGTCAATATTTTTTGGAGTCAATCGACCCTGCTGTCGACTAGCTATAGACAGCTACGATGCACGCCAAAATCCAGGCGCAGCGCGTAAGATTCTCCTGTTTCGCGAGCGTCATTTGGAGTTATATGTAGCTGTCGAGACCTAGTGAAAAACAGGGGCAGATTCTGGCTTTCCTTACGCAGTTTGAACGAACCATGGGGGTGCTTTCAAGTGGATTCTAGCTCGATTAATTAAACTTTAACCATATGACTTCAACAAATTTTCTAAAACTCACATATTGCCCGCAGACCGGATGCAGACAGCAGAATATCGTGAACAACCATATCCGCAGGTCCATGTTTTACTGAAGCAAAGCCATTGACAGCGCCAGGATGCAGCGGATGGGGTCGGAGAAGAAGCTGAAGCTTTTGCCCCCGGAGTCTTAGAATCACAGACGCGACAACTAGCCACCACCACCACCCCGACTACCCCGCCCGATTATGGCAAATTCGATTGGCGACAAACATCATCACGTCATGGTTATAGAGCTGGGATGGATATGTGGGCGGCCAATGGGTTTAGGTGGATTTTAAACGGGAAGATCGGCCTCTAAAAAACCGAATGTATGGTCTATTAATGCGCCGAGAAAAGCTTGGTTTTTTTAAACCCCACAAAAATATGACTCATTATTTTTAATACCAAAAAGTGCGTTTTGAACTGACGAATAAAAATATTTTAAACTTTTTGCACAGTAATTTAAGTCTTCGCCTTTAAACGGGAATAAATAGATACTTTTCAAATACGCAGGTTCGTGATAACAAAGCCAAAAGCCAAACCCGGGACCGGGACGCCCAAACCCCGTTTATGAGCTTTGGACTAACCGACACGAGCACGTCAGACGCGCCCGCCAGTCGAATACCGCCCTCTAATCGTCAGGTGGGTGGGCGTATGTGGCAATGGTTGTTGCGTGACAGTGGCTGGATGGATGGCGATGTGTGCGGGGGAGCAGCAGCTTCCTGTAATTTCGGCGTCTCCGTGACGCCACTCCTTGACGAGGGCCACCCCGACGAGCAGCATGACTCTAATCTGGGACACAGCGGAGGAAACAATGGTCATGGACCGCGGCAAGAAGTCCAAAAATCATGGAAAACAATCCTACCAAAGAACAGGCAGCGAGAACCTGACGATTGAGAGTAATAAGAAGTAGTACGTGGCCGATTTGATAGTTCAATTCAATCGAACATTCATTATTCCAGGTATTGGTAAAGTTTCGGACCGCAAAAAGGCGGCGACAAACCGGTAGAAGCGGTCCGCTGTCGCCGGTCGAACTGCTTCGCCTCGAAGTACTCGTAATTTGCTGGGTTTTCATCTGCTTAGGCTTTCTCAGACCTCTAGCAAGGTTTGTTCTACGATTCGTCTTGTCCAAAATTTTGAGCTAGAGGTCTTTTCCTGTAAATGGCGCCTCTTTGCGCAGATAAATAAATTAAATTGAACAGTTTTCGATTTTTGGAAAAAACTTTAGCCCAGACTCCCTTTGAAACCCCGGACAACAGCGGTGTACTTAGGAGCCCCGCGTTGCTGACAACTCGCCTTTACACGTTGTCATCGTTCCGTCATAGAAATTTTTTTCGAATAAGGATTAAAAAAGCTTTGCCAGTTTTATTCACATTATAAAGAAAATATAATATTGATCATCCCCGCCCCAGACCATCATTTTCTTATATCTTACAATTAACTCTATATTCGGTTTGCCGTGAGTACCAATTCATTGTTCTGATCTTAATTTTCTCAATCCGTTCTGGGCTTGTTAGTAATACCGAATTTTCCAGATGTCAAACATAACTGAGGAGGAGCGCGTCGCATATCTAAAGCCCCTCGAGCAGGCGATGTACGGCCCGTTCTTCGGCTCGCTCGGCGTCAGCGCGGCCATGGTCTTCACGGCGGCGGGTGCGGCGTACGGGACAGCAAAAGCCGGCTCTGGAATCGCTTCGATGGCTGTAGCAAGACCGGATCTTGTGATGAAGGCTATCATCCCCGTCGTTATGGCTGGCATCGTGGCCATCTACGGGCTCGTCGTTTCCGTGATCATCTCCGGGAAATTGGGGCCCGGCGGCCCCGACTACACAATCAATGCGGGATTCGCACAATTTGCCGGCGGACTGGTGTGCGGACTCTGTGGACTTGGAGCTGGATACGCTATTGGAGTGGCTGGCGACGCCGGAGTTAGAGCGCTCTCACAGCAGCCGCGGTTTTTCGTCGGAATGATCCTGATTCTCATCTTTGCCGAAGTTCTCGGGCTCTATGGAATGATTGTAGCGTTGATTATGGCTGCCGTGTAAATATCACAACTGTGATTCGCGCCCCCTGCTTTTGTCTGTTTTTACTGACACACCTTTTTCTACCTTCATCAAAAGTTTTGCGTGTATATTCCAGCTTTATCTGACATCGACATCGCTTTAATGCAGCATAATTTTTCTGGTATAATATAATGTTTCTTTTTCCTCCTCCTTTCTCTTCCGCATTTTCCACATTGTTCTTCTAAACTCTCGGTGCTTTGCGGGTCTTCCTCTTTGCCAAATCTGTGCGCACAATTCTTCCCAATAAATATAAGTTTTAGGGGACACCCGAAAAGCGCCTCAAGATGATGAACTTTGAAATAAGTACGACAAAACGTAAGTTTTCAAACCCTTGCTGTAAAGTGCTTTAGAAATCGGCGTCGGCCTAACAGCGTTTGGGGTATTCTTCATCTTCCTCGGAATCTTGATGTTCCTCGATGCAGCCTTGCTGGCGATAGGGAATGTGAGTACCCTTTCAAAACGTGCATATTTTTGCAGTTGCTATTCATCGCGGGAATCGTCTTTATCATCGGCTTCCAACGGACGATGGTATTTTTCTTCGAAATGCGAAAGCTGAAGGTACCATTTTTACTTTGTTTTAATCCTTTTCTAGGGTAGTGCCTTATTCTTCGGAGGCATCCTGACCGTGTTGATTGGCTGGCCGTTAGTCGGGATTGTCATCGAATGCTGGGGCTTTATTCTATTATTCGGGTAGGCTTTTCTGAACTTTTCAAAACAAATGTTTTAGTGGCTTCCTGCCGGGCATCGTCAACCTGCTCAGAAGTCTTCCCTTCATCAGCTGGATCACCTATCTGCCCGGAATTCGTCAAGTGGGTTTTGAGAGACGATTCGAGCCTATTTTTAGGCCTGTGACTGGGTAACCTCTGAAACATCCAAACCAGAGAGTGATCCCGTTTTGGCCAGAGGATAACCAGTCACCAGGCAGGACAAACTGACTTTTATTTCGACCGAACTTCCTATTTTCCAGGTTCTCGATCGACTGGCCCCCGAACACAAGTACCCCGTATAAACGACCGACCACTCCCGCAACGTTTGATGCTTTAGGATCCCATTATGTGCCTAGGTATTTTTCTTGTTGTCTAATTTCTTCTGCATTCACTGCGCCTAACTGATTTCCAAGCCCCCATAATTTATTCTCCAGAGTCGACTGATGTTTTTCTAAATCCCAATCCATGAAAGTCACTTTGGTGATCCTCCTCCTCTTCATGCGCGGGTTTCTCTCTCTTTCTGGCCATTATCGCTGTTTTGTTCAGCTTGTCGAGAGAATTGGCTGCCCCAGGAAAACGAGACATTTCAAAGTACACCTCTCCCTAATTTGGCGTTTTATTGTAATCCTTCTAGCTCCCCGGTTCTCATGGCTCAACGTCTCTTCCGTTACTTGTGCATATATGAACATGTGATTACTGCTGTCGACTCAAATCTCATCTATTGTTCAGAGTTTTCTATTGGGTCCATTCTTGATAGATGGGCTACGATAATGAATTAAACCATTTTTGCATGTGTGCAGGTGCACCCAATAATTGAAGCTTACTGAAGGTTAGAACAAGAATTTTAGGGTATCATCGTTGGTTTCAGTCTCCCCCCATCATCTGGATCCAATTTCCCGAGCCATACAATGACGGGCCGAGTTGCGATACGGGTCGTGGGAATCGGCCTAATTCAAGCCGGCGTCTTCTCACGCTCCGCCGAACCCCGGGCGGTACTTCTCAAGGGTCGGCATGGGTATTTGCGTGCGCGCCGGGCTTCCGGATATTCGACTCGGCTCGGGCACACCAATTTGTTGGACACCCAATCCGGGCCAATGCCCCGGGTCCAGTATCGGCCTGGCTTTCGGGTCAATTTACCCGATGATTTTAGGGTGTCCTATGCTTGAATACGGCTAATTGCACGTATTGCTCTTTCGCCGGGTTTTGCATTAGCGGGAGGTTGACACAAAAATGGATTTGTCCTATTTTTTCTTGCCGTTTTTTAGACTATTAGTTTCACATTTCTGGAGAACTGACTTTTAGGTTCTTCTCGGTTTGGCGAATACCTAAAACTTTGAACTAACGGCCAGGGCCAGACAAAACCTCGTCTTTTTTGCTTTTTATTGGTCAGCCTGGCCCGCCAGCGCGAGATTCGGGTTTGCGATATTGGTGTGCTTAGGGGGGCCAGCTGGGGGCAGCATAGGGGTGAAGCCAGGGGGTTGTTGGGGGCGTGTATCTGGTGGGCCACCAGCTTCACCCTGGGCCGCATAGCCAGAGAAGAACCCTCCTTAGCGCCCGAAGCCAATTCGAAACAATACACCGCGCCCCTCCCTTGGGTGGCCCTCCACGCATGGGGTTGCCCCTCACATTTCGCTCATTAGCGCTTGCTATACAACTCGTTTTTGGGGATTTTTGGTCGGGTTTTATTAGATAATTCACCTGCACAAAGAAAAAAGGCCGGGCCTCTTTAGCTCGGTCAGTTAAATGGTTTCCTAACTTGGTTATGATAGTTTTGTTTGTTTTTTCGTTTTCCTTGAGTAGTGGCTTGTTAAATGCATATTTTTCTGTAGATAAATCCAGGATACGTTGCGGTTCAGGTTTTATTTCGGCATTTTTATAAAAAAAAACGGGCGAAAGACACTGAAAGATTCCACAAACCTAATTTTAAAGCGAGCGATTTTTTCTTGGCCAGCTGCCCAAAATTCGATCCCCACCTTGAAGCCCCCGTAGGCGACAAGCTTTTTGCAAGATTTATGAGCGGCCACCGCGCGTACGGGCGGACACCCCACCCCAAACACAAACGGCTGTTTTTGACAGGATTTGAGGGGTGTAACACGAGATGTCAACCCGGCAGTGCCGCACCACTCAACACTAGCTAGTGCTCATTTTGACGAGTGGTCATGTTCCATCGGTATATTTCTTCATCACGTAGTGTTCTAAAAAATATGAAAAGCATACCAAAAGGTTTTCCGCGAGCTTTCTCCTCTTGCAAATGGGTTTTTTCAAGTTCTTTTCTTTTCTGAATTTTTATTAGCTTCCCCGAACGCTCTAAAAATAGGCGCATCTCGTATCCCTCGTCAACCCCGAGTATGGAAAGGACAATGTTTCAACCCCCGCTACACAACGAGCAGCCCTCCGCCCCTAAGGGTGCAATGGCCAAATTGCTATTCTGGTGTGAGGAGGAGGGTCGGAGGGGAATGGAATTTCCTGGACTTGCCCCCCCGGCTGCTCGTTGCACGACCGAGCCGACGAGGAGGAGGAGGAGGAGGAGGATTGTGGGACGGCCAGAGTACGCTAGCCTTCTTCCTCCCCTTCCTCAATTCGATTCGGCTTCTTCTCAGGAGAGCCACCCCCTGCCCCTCCTGGCCTCGACCACCGGCCAATCTGCTAGCTGCCCTTCTCCACGGCGGAAGTGCTCGATTGTCTTGTCCTTTTGAGAATGTCTCGATAGCCGTTAGAATGATACTGTTTTTATATTATTCCAGGTTTCTAAGGGTACAGACAGTTTCTGGGTTACAGACGCCTCTTATTTAACCCTTAGATTTTCAAAGAAGTCTAATACATTTTTGGTATTTTTAGTTTTTAGTTGCTTTAATTTTATAAAATATATTCAGCCCTTCCCGCGCCAACGCAAATACTTTCAAGCCCCTCTAAAAATGCACAATAGCACCACGCGACGCCGAGTACTAGACGGGTGGCATGCGAATTCGGAAACTGGGCCTTGCAAGCGGGTCGGGTTTTGATGGCCCCCGGGCCTGCGGGTACTTTTTGATGCATTTTTAACGTAGGCGGGCTGGGGAAGACGGCGGCTACACTAGTAAAAGGGTTTCTTTAGATATTGCCAGAGAAATTGCGAGATTTGCACGATTCTAACCGTCGAGAAGCAATAACGTTTTTGCGCTTCGTGAATTACCTTAAAAAAGGAACACCGATACTTGCGTATTTTACGACTTATCTGATTAGAAAACCTTGAAAGCGTAGCGGACCGCCGTGCTATTTTTTTAATCCTCCACCAGATTTTTTTAGTTTTTGCAAATTTTTCCCGTCCTTGTCAAAGTCTACCCGCCCTCTACCCACACAAAATCGGCGTATATTTTCGGGCACTACCTCGACGAGTTTAGGCACTGACTGAGGGCCTTTTGAATATTCATGTCTGTTGCCGGCTAATGGCCCCTAGGCCCTTTTCGGGGGAGGGCTCTTCTCAAGGCTTCTGGGCTGAAAATGATCCCCCTCCTGCCACTCAGCTTATGAGTCCCAGCCTCCACTCCCCCCTTCACTGGACTTTACGGCTCCTTCTAACGACCTGCCTGCCTTTGCTGGCTCATTTTTTTTCGACCGACAAGAAAGGCCATTTTTAGTCGACGCTGAGTAGTTACCTTGTCATTACAACTTTTTGATATGGTTTTTTAAAAGGATTTTTAAGCTCTTTATGAATTTCTTTCGAGACTTGCACTGTAAAAGGACAGAATCGAATTCCTGTACCTAGTATAGCTCCCCTGCCCCGAAAGCAATGAATAAGTCCCAAAAATCTCCCTGCAGCTCCAGCCAGGTCATCAGCGTTCTTCCGATTTTTTCCGGGCCGTTCGTTCGGGGCCCTTTGTCCGGAACGCCCACCTCATCATCTGCCGGCTGGGAATGGCCATCGCTCAGTGGTCGTTCCCCTAAAAATACCACTAAAAGAAAGCGCCCGATTTTTCTGATTCGCATTCACGTTTTCCAGCACGGGATGCTTCTTTTTTTGAGGTCTTTTGAATAAAAATACGCTCTAGGCTTCAGGTAATATCCGACTATGCTACGTTAGGCTCTTTTTTCTTTCTCTTTTATTTTTCCTTTTGCATTTTTCACAATCCTACCTTATATTTTTTTCAGGCCTCCAGATGGAGGCGGAGATCGACTTCCACGAGCACCATCCGGAGCCGAACGGAATTGTGAGTTTTGTGTGCTTTCCAAGCTTTCAAGAGTTTATATATAGATTCTTTCTTTTTCAGTGCAACGGCTCGCTGCTGCCGTCATGCAGCAAAGATGGTCTGCACGAGAGCGATGATGACGAGGAGGTATCACAGGTTAGCTCCATGCTGAGCTGCAGACTTAGAAAAAGGAATAGTAGATACAAAAAGAAGAATTTCCCCCAAGTTTAATTTCCAGTAGATGACCTCATTTTCCAATGCCGTTAATCCTAGGGTGAATTTCTCCGAGCCCAGGCCTCAACACAACCTCTAAAATTTTTATTGCTTTGGGGGCCTAGCGCGGGGGTCGTACAGCTCCGTATTCTTCCGTAATATGGAGCCGCCGAAAAGAATCGGTGTTCCTCTCCTGGCTGGCCCCAGCCCCCAAATTGTGGTCCGGCCGCCGGGGCCGGGGAATGAGCGCCGATTTGTCTCCCCGGGATTCGCCCGGGGACAGCGTTGCCTTGATTTAGGGCCCCAGAATTGGGCACGGGCGTTGAAAGTCAAAATAAGAAATATACTCGGGTCGAGAGTTGCGAAAGAATGGCGATTTCAGGTGTTCTCGAAAGGCCACTACGTGATCCCCAGCAAATCCCAAGTCCTTTACTACCTCTCATCATCGACGACATTCCGAATTGTACGCTCCGGCCATGATCTGCAGGTGGGCCAATTAGTTGGTGAACAGATACCACGCTAGCTTCACTACGAATGACGCTTCCGGGCGTAGGGGGCGAGCCGCCCGAATTCGATTCATTTGCCCTCGGGTCCTCATCCTCGGGTCTCAAGGGGGGAAGGGGGGCTCTCCTCTGGGCCCTTCCCGACAACAATCATTCAAATTTGCGTCTTCTAATGCCCGGGGGCAAACCAAGGGGGATCCCCCTCCCCTCACCGCCAAGGGGCCAAGAAACAAAGGTGTTTTTTATGGAAGGCGTCTGGGGGATTGTCGTGTAGTTTTTAGAAAGCTAATAGAACGGGAAAACCGAGATTTGGCTTCAGATAAAACGAAAAATAGGCTAACCCTGGTGGTTGCTACTTTTTACAACATCCTTACGAACATCCCTTGCAGGTCACCGACAGATGCGGCTTCCCACTGCTCGACGTTTGGCCGGAAAGAGCTTGTTGTACAGAGCTATGGCTTGTCGAATCGTATGGCAGCCAAGTGATGGTAGGTTGCACAAACCTAAAAACCAAATATCCTTTAAAAATTGTAGACTTACTAATTTTTGCAGCTTGTGGCTGACCGATCGCTAGGCTGGTCACCGTTCCGGAGACAAACAAATGGCCTCCAGACGGCCACCGACTGGAATGGCGACACTATTGGACATCTTTTACCAGGTACATCTGATCGCCTCGATCTCATGCTCCTCTAAATTCAGGAAACCCCTTCTTGATCCAAAACGCCAATCGGACGACGATAGCGCGGTGTGTGACGGTGGAAAATGGGGAACAGGGGTTAGTTTGAATCTTTGAAAAGGTAAATTAAATTTTTAGAGCTCCGGTGGAATGGGCCTGCTTACTCGAGGCAACGGGACGCGAAGCCGCAAGGCTGGACGCGAGTGGGCAATTGACGTTCACGTGTGAAGTGAGCTACAGCATCAGAAACGTGTTCCAGATTAAAATTAACCAAAAAAGCCGATTTTTCAGGTTGGCTTCCAACTAAAATTGCTGATCGTAACAGCCCTCACCCGGACACGCGCCACCCGACAACCCCAGCCCTTCTGCTGGCCATTCTGGTATCGATGACGGGGCCCTATAAATTGGACAAAATTCATCATCATATCGCGAATAAATCCTTCGCCGGTCACAAAATCACAGACGAGAATGTAAACGCGGAGGGGTTATCGTTTTGGCTGTGCACCGTTTTCACTTTCCCCCGCGAATTTGTGTAGGCGACGGGGAGATGGGGCGAGTTGTGGAAGACGAGCAATTCGGGAGGGTCTTCCTTCTTTTTGAGCAGGATTATTCCGCCTGAGCTTGCGAGATTTAAGACTATCAATATACAATACCCGCGATTCTGCGGTCCTCTTCGATTTGTGCTAACCATTTGGAATTTGTAAAGTGTCGGTCGATCCACCGGGAAATTGTTTCGGTTGGCAGATCGTCATCTTCCCTGAATATACTAACTACGTTAATTTCATCAGGAATCAAAAAAGGAATTTCTTTAAAGACTTACATCGAGAGTAAAGCGTCAGCAATCCCGCTGGCCATTCTCGTTTTGACGATCGCCTCGCCCAGCCCGGATAATGCGACAGCCACACTTGTTGACGGACCTGAAGGGGAGACATGAAAAAGCGGAAGTAGCTAACCTTGCTCACACCATACGCCAGCTCCCCAAACTGGGCAGTGCCCTACACGGCCAGGTTGCTTTAGCAGGATGCCACCACTCGAAGCACATGCGACCCCTGGACCGGAGATCTAGATGTTTTATAATTTAAAAACAGTTAGTATATTTCATTACCGATAGTTCCACAGCCCCGACGGTATCCAGGGAACCTTCTAATGTGACACCTTGAGTAGCAGCGCCTAGAATGAAATTTAAACCCTTAGTGTTGGAAACAACCTACCCAATTTCCGCTTTGCCCTGACCCACGATTCACGGCGCCTTTGATTGATCAGCTCCTCCGGCTTCCAGAGAGTGATCCCTAAACTCTAATTTTCAAACAAGAATTTTTTCAACCTGAGATTTTAGCATATTCAGCCGTCCTGGCCCCAGCTAGGAAATTTGGTGCAACGAGCCCATGAATGGAGGCGTGGTTGTTGGCGAGAGCAGCGGCTAAATAAGGTATTTTCTACCTACAAAGAAAACCTAAAAGTATCGGCGTTGCGAGCTCTTCAACTGCAGCCACGCCGCCGAAGCGCCCATCGGAATACATGATTCTGCAAGAAATTACTTTAGAAGTTTTCAACAGCCCGACGTCAAATCCTTTAATACGCGGACTCACCCCGCTTCGCACTCGACCCGTCCGTCGATCGTTAAGTTCGAGCCGAGACCACAATTGAAGGAACCGTCTTGCTCGAGTCTCTGAGAAAAATTGTTAATTCACAACTCTGCATACCGTCACCGCCTGAACAGCGTCGTTCGCCCCACGTACGGCTTCCGCACATCGGCCCGCCAGGCCGTCGGGCTTCGAAAAAGTTACTCCGCCATGACAAGCAAGCCATCTACTCTTCATATAGATTTTCAAAGTCAGTAAAGCCACCTCATCCCAGATCTTGACGTACGCCTATTCCTTTTGCAGTGCTTGCTTACTGTAGCAACCCCTAGAAAATTAGTCTATGCAGTTCATTGCCTCTCATCTCGCATCTCTATAACTCTAGCGTTATGTGCAGCTTTTGCTACTGTTCAAAGAGCCAGCCATCAGCTATGGTATAAAATCTTTATCAGCGGGCACATATGCAACCAGTAAAGCATAACCACAAAAATCACAGAAAAATGGTCGCCAAACGATGCGGCGAGATTTCCAATCAGGCCGATGGGTTGTACGGGACGCGAAGCTTCTCGCTGAACTCCTTGATGGAATCGGGACCGCGGACCTGTAAATAATTCGTCAGGACGAAAAGATCCCTTACCTCCTTCTCCAACAGCGGCAATTTTGTAACGTGGAAGTCTTCGTACAGGTCGCCGATCTAAAAAGAAAAACATGATGAAGAAAATAAAAAAAATACCTGCTCCAGGTATTTCTTCTGAATATTAAACCGGGATTCGCATTTCTTGCATTGAGTGTGCCCGGAGGCATCTTTGTCCGGGTAAAGCAGCTGGTTCACGATAATATTATGCGTGTCAATATCCTAAAAAGGTGTAAACAATACTCGCATTTGCTTACTTGTTTGGTCAATTCCTGAATGAGCCGTTCCGTTTCGTATAGAGACAAGAATTCGGCGATGCATACGCAGACAAAAGTAGTCATTTCCTAGAAAAGTGTTGATTTCGGTTGGCTTTATGATACCGGATTTTTAAACTGTGCATTCATAGTTCGAACAATTTCCAGCGTCTCCTTGAGCTTATTAACCGTTTCTTCAATGTCAACTTGGCCGGCGCCCATCATAGCGGAAACCTAAGTTAGCGAAATTGAAATTGACAAATTCAGCCAAACCTGGGTAAGCATTGGCGCGAAAGAAGCTTGAAGCTGAAGGATTTTGGTGAACGCAGTTTCGATCGTGCCCGGGAACTAGAAAAGATGTTTTATATTTTGCAAAATCGAACTTGAAGAAGACGCAATGTATGGCCGGTGGGCGCAGTATCGAACACAACGACGTCAAAGTCCATATTCGTAATCAACCTAGATAAAAAAGGTTTGGAACGGCTGATTAAAATTACTTCATCATCTCGGAGAAGCTCATCGCCTCGTCAATTCCGGGTAGTCCGCCGGCCATACTTTGGATCAGCTTCTTCCCGGCACCAAGCATACTGTTTTCTGCAAAATTTTAAAAGTATGTTGCGGAAAAATGTTACCAGACTCTCCCAATCCGTCAAGCCCGGGAACGTTATCGCCATCCGATCCGCCCTTCGCGTCAATTTCCATGGCGAATAGGTTGTCGAAGCCATTGACTTTTTGAGGAGACTTGCTGAACTGCTGGCTGAACGCATCGGAGATGTTGTGAGCCGGATCAGTGGAGATCAGCAGCACGTTGCGACGCACTTTTGCAAGCTGCGTGGCAAGCGAGCAACTAAAAACATCCATCCAAGATAAATCTATAACGCAAACCTGCAAGTCGTCTTTCCGACACCTCCTTTGCCGCCCACAAAAATCCACTTCAGCGTTTGCTGCTCGATGACGTTACGAAGCGACGCTTCCAGCTCGGCCATGTTATCTGAAATATAAAATTTTATAAATGTTAGTCTTTGAAAGCCGCAATGCAAATATTTCGAGGAGAGATCACAGAATCAAAAAGTGGGAGGGCAATGGCAGTATGACCGGATTGACGAATTTTCCGGACGCGGTCATCAACAATACATGCTTCAACAAGGGGTGCTATCAATATTCTCAATGAAAGCATGGAAATGAATGGTACATAGGTATCTTCCAGAATCTCATCAATGTCATAGTCCAAATCGTTGAGAACTACACGGACGCGTTCGTAGAGTTCTGGGTATGGTTTTAAAGATTGGACGACGTATTCGTCAAAATGGAGATCGGCAGCTGTTGCTGGGATTCCACGAATTGGTAGACGTCGTACCGGTCCTTCTGCCCGTTCGATGGTCGCACGCACCACTACCCATTCCAACAAGGATCGATAGATCTGCTGTCGCAAATCGAAATTCACCGCCGTCAAATATTGCTCTCTCGCATAGCAGGCCAGCTCACGGGCAGCATAACTGAGAATCGGCGAGCTGTCCGGGCATAGCGGATATCCAAGCACCGCCGGAAATTCCCTTGGCTTCGAGTCGCCGCAGCACTGTTGGTAAAGCTTGTCGGCACCGGAGTTTAGTTTATGGTAGCAGCAGCCGAAGAGGATCAAGCATCTCACCTAAAAAACAAACTCAACTATGAGGTAAAGGCCCTCACCTGTTCATGCTTTTCAAACATTCGGATGATAGTCGAAGACAGATCACCGCACGCATGCACTCCGACTAAGCATACGCCGTCTTCTTGATTGGGGATGACCGTATTCGCATCCAACTCAACAAATTCTGCCTTTCGCTCCGGTTCCTGCCACGCTGCACTTGGCGTGAACGGTTGTGCAAGATACTGGGTAAAATTCGAATCCAATTTCTTTGCAGCTGAAACCAATTTCGCGTCGGCCTCGATCGAATGCACGTTCACGGGCATTGACAATGAAACGGCCCTCGTCAAATGACCAACTCCGGCTCCAATATCCACGACGGTGCCGAATTTCCGCTTTCTTCCAGCCACCCGGATGGTTTCAACGATCCTCTCAATTTCGTGAAGCTTTTTCACCTTGATCTTCCTTGAGAGTTCGCCGTCATTTCCCAACGGTAATGAAAAGTCCGGGGGCAACTCGTCGGGGTCCACTTCAAATAACTTGGCTATATCCGCGGGCCGTCCCGGTGGTTGCCTCGAAAGCGCCGCACCGGCGGAGAGGGATCGCAGCGCCAATAACCCAAGAGGCCAGAGGCTTCCAACCGAATTTGTTGGCGTCGACGGGTCGCAAAGGGTAGCGATTGTCTTGATGTCCAAGCTTCTGAAGAACTTTTGCCAACTTGGGGGAAGTAGTCGCTCGAACGGACGGTCGATGAAGAAGTCGACTTGGTACTGTGATGCCAGTGTTTGGACGAAGTCTTGTTGCAACTCATTCATCTAAAAGTAATGATAAAAGCGTGCAAAAATTGAAACATTCATAAAAAAAACATTAGCAAAAAAATAAAAATAAAGGAGAATATTTTTTCCTATCGTCATCCAAAGAAGCTACACCGCACTACTATGCACTTTGTCACTATAGAAACTTTGCGCAACCGGCAATTTTCGCGCTGCTTTTTGATGGAATTGAATCATTTTATACAAGTTTTTACGTTTGTCGAAATTTTGATGGAAGAGCTCTTCCAATAAAGTCAGTAGTTGAGCACGATGATTACGTTCATCTTTCTGAGCCAAAGGCTGCCACGGCACGGCGCTCCTTCTCGAAGCATTACGCTTTACTTTCTCTTATTTGATATTTCTTATTTTGCTATATTCGTAACATATTTTTCCAGGAGTGATGGCCGAAGCTGATCCACAGCAGCCAGTGCAGTTTTTGCCGCCTCCCAACACCAATCCGGGTTCGTATGACGAGTTGCACCGCAAATGTCGAGACGTCTTTCCGACTTGCTTCGAGGGAGCGAAGGTCATCGTTCAGAAGGGTCTTTCATCGCATTTCCAGGTATCATAACTTTATTGACGCTGAATCTTGTTTAGGTTTCGCACACGCTCTCCTTGTCTCCTCAACAGACCGGCTACAAATTCGGCGCAACCTACGTCGGACACAAAATGTTAGGGCCGCAAGAAGCTTTCCCGATCATCCTTGGTGATACTGATGTTGCTGGTGAGCTTTCCTCTTGCGACATAGTGGATGGGTCTAGGTAATACTACTGGTACGCTCGTCCACAGCTTTGGCCAGAACTGGCGACTGCGTGTCCAGGGACAAGTTCAGCAAGGCAAGCTGGCTGGTGCTCAAGGCACGCTAGAGCGAAGGTAGACGACAGGCTTCATATTTTTTTATTTGGTTCAGGGGTCGTTACACAACTGCGGGCGTCACCTTGGCCAACACGGACATCATTTCCGAGTCTGGAATCGTCGTTTGCCAGCTGCTTCGCCGCCTGACCAAGCGCTTCGATTTGGGAGCCGAGCTCGTGTACCAGTATGGCAAGACGATACCGGGTATCTTTTTAAAATTTTACTGAACGCTGAGATTAGGTGGTCAAATCACCGTTCCGTCCTATTCGGCCCGCTACACAGCCGATCACTGGACCGCTGGTGCGACCTTTGGGATGTCGGGTCTGCATCTGTCGTACCACCACAAGCAAGCCGACAACATCCAATTTGGCGTCGAATTCGAGAGCAACTTGAACGTCCAAGAGGTGACAATCGTTGTTTTGTTTATCCGGGTTTTAGGCCGTCACTACCATCGGCTACCAAGTTGAAATGCCCGAGGAGGGTGTCACGGTGCGCGCTTCGGTCGACACTAACTGGAGCGTTGCTGGAGTGTTTGAAAAGAGGTTATTCCTTTTATTTTGCTGAATATTGTTCTTTAGACTTTCACCACAACTTCCCTTCACATTGGCCGTCTCGGGAATGCTCAACCACGTCAAAGCTGCCGGAAAGTTTGGAATCGGGCTCATTATCGGATGAATGCTCAAATTAAACCTCGATCTTGCATTATTCGCTAGTTTCTTAATTAATTTGTTTGTTATTCTTACCGAGTTTTAAGACCATTTCGAAACTTTGTCCGTGTCTTGCTATTTATTCGCCCTCTGATCCATTAAAATTCCCTCGAAAGGACCGTCTCCCTGTCCCTCAACCAGCTTGATTCTCAGTCACTCGATCGTCGAGCACTTCTTTCTGTTAGGATCATAGCAATTAGAAATCATTTAGATGAATTGTTTTTTTCGTTCTCGTTGGTTGCCCGATTTTAAAGACGTGTTTGATAAAGAATTTCATTCAGTCCATGTTGTTTATTTATTTTAGGGTGGTGACCGTCCACCTATTGGAAATTTGGTGTTATTGGGTACCTTGCGAGAGGGAATACTGGATCTAGAACAACTTTTCAGGATGGTAATCAAATTCATGTCCCACGTGGTTACACCCCCTGTATTGCTGTATATGGGGATTGACAAACACGAGAATGAACATTTAATAAAGTGAGTTTCCTCCCACAGCTTCATCAAGTCATCGTTTTGTAATTCAGGTACGGATGGCCGGAAGATGTCTGGTTCCACGTTGACAAACTTTCTTCCGCTCACGTTTACCTGCGGTTACCGGAAGGCATGACGATAGACTCTATTCCGGAAGAATTGGTATAGCATCACGCCTTTCTGCAACCAAAAATTCAGCTCGAAGACTGTTCGCAACTCGTCAAGCAGAACTCCATCGAAGGATGTAAGCAAAACAACGTTCCTGTCGTCTACACGATGTGGTCGAATCTAAAGAAGACGGGCGATATGGCCATTGGACAGGTAGCCCCGTTTCTGGCGACGATTTGATTTTGTCAGATCGGTTTTCACTCCCAAAAAGCCGTGAAGCGATGCGTCGTTGAGAAGAAGAAGAACGAGATTATTAATCGGTTGAACAAGACTCGAAAAGACGAGGAAGTTGACTACAAGTAATTGTGTTTTAGTTTTTGTCAGTTCATTTTTAGGGCGGAACGTGACGCCAGAGATGCCGTTGAACGACAGAAGCAACGACACGCCGATAAAATCCGCAAGGTGAGTTCTTGTCTACTAACTTGTAACCTCTATCAGGATGAAGAGGCACGCATCGCCGAAGAGAAGGAGAAAATGCGCCGAATCAGAAATTATGAGGACGTTGAAGTTGATGACGGCCTGGCAAATAACCAGAACGATGACGGCAACCTTTCCGACGATTTTATGTGATTTGTTGTCATCCTGGTATGCTCGTTAATTTATGGTCTTTTCATAATTCCACCGTTGTTTTATGTGAATAGGTTTATCATTTCCATTTCAAACATTTATTTTTCGAACGCCTGATAAAGCACTAAAACCAAATTAACAGCCAACACGTAATAGGGCCACGCGAGGAAGACAAAACATCAGTCAGACGATGCCGGATATGGCTCACGGGAATGCATGTGCACAAGAGGACAGGAGAGGTGTACCTTTGGAACGATTTGAACCTTGGTCGAAGAAATTACGCAATGATGGATTAAATTATCGAGCAAACATATAAAACACACGGTTAGGGGGTTTAGACGCTAGGGATGGCGGTCTTGAGGGCCTGGTCGAGGTCGGAGATGAGGTCCTCGACTTCTTCGATACCGACGGAGAGGCGGATCAGGTTGTCGCCGATGCCCAAGATGGCGCGCTCCTCAGCTGGTACGGAGGCGTGGGTCATGACGGAGGGCAGTTCGGCCAACGATTCGTAGCCACCGAGGGATTCGGCGAGGGTGAACACCTGGAATTTAAGCATCAGCAAAGACTTGCTGAGAAATTTAGCCAATCTGATCGTTTCGTTAACATATCAAACACAAACCTTTAGCGAGGAAAGGAAGCTGCGGCTGTGCTCGAGCTTGCCCTTGAGGTAGAAGCTGATCATGCCGGACATGCCCTTCGTCTGCTTCACGTGGATTTCGTGCTGGGGGTGGGAGGGCAGGGCTGGGTAGAGCACCCGCTCGACCCGCTCGTTCTTCTCCAGGAACTCGGCGACCTTCAGGGCGTTCTCGTAGTGCCTCTGCATGCGCACGTGCAGGGTCTTGATTCCGCGGTTGACGAGGAAGCAGTCGAAAGCGGATGGCACAGCGCCGACAGCTAAAAATTTGATAAAAGGCGATGAACTTTTTTCATACCGAGCTGCTGGAAGAAGAGGTGCTGATCAATGGAATCGCTATCGGTCATCACGGAGCCCATGACGACATCTGAGTGGCCGTTGATATACTTGGTGAGGGAGTGGACAACAATGTCGACGCCGAGAGAAAGAGGACGCTAAAAAAATCGTTTAAAGGGATCATGAAGTATATTTTCAGGCAGAACGGAATTTTTAAGCAATTTACCTGGAAATACGGGGTCATGAAGGTGTTGTCGACGACGATGATCGTCTTGGGGTTGTGCTTGCGGGCCAGTGCAACAATGGCCTTGATGTCGACGACTTTGAGGAGTGGGTTGGAGGGCGACTCGAACCAGACCATCTGAAAAATTTAATGGGTGTCTTCAAATGCCAGTACAATTTATATAATTTGCCAAAAATACACACCTTGGTGTTGGTTTTGAAGGCGTTCTTGGCCTTCTCGAGATCGGTGAGATCAACGAGGTCGACCTCGAGTCCATGGTGAGGGACGGAGACTTTGCGAAGGAATCGCTGAGTTCCTCCGTAGACATCATCGCTGCAGACGACATGGTCGCCCGTCTTCAGCATGTTGATGATCGACTGCGAGGCGGCCAGCCCGGAGGAGAAGACACGAGCTGAAAAAGTAATATTAAAATGATGTATACATGTTTAATTTAGCCTAGTTCTCGACGAAATTAAAAATAAAATTTACCGTGCTTGGAGGCTTCAAGCCCGGCGAGGCACTTCTGCAGCACATCACGGGTGGGGTTTCCGGCGCGCGAGTAATCGTGGGCCTTGGGCTCCCCAGGCTGCAGCTGCATGTACGTCGTCGACAGCGAGATCGGGGGCACAACCTGAAAAAAACAATTGTAAACCTCATTTCCGGTTTTTTTTGAGGTTTCGCAAGCGCCCTTTTCCCATTCTTACACTTTCCCAGTTTTCTCCAGTATTTACGGAAGGTGGTTTTGATTTTTGATTCCAGTTTCATTGACACCGGCCTTTTGCCCCAACTCATAAACATGCATGCCCGGGTCGGGTTCTTTTTTATGGGGAGGGGAAGTGTGTGCGGGTTGGGTTGCGCAGACAGATCTTATCGACGAAATGAGCCCCCCGTTATCCGCTGGAGCAGCCAGCTGAACGTTGAAGAGCGGAGGGCAGAGAATTCGTGTCGCCGACATGCACACGTGTGCCGAGGGTGGTCTGCCCGCACAGCACGTGGTCCATTACACGCGCCTACTCTTTTAGGGTGGTTTCAGGCGGCGGATGTGATAAGCCGGTAAACAAACAGAAGGAAAAGAAGCGGTGGCTCGGGTCAAAATGACCTCATTGGGAATGGTGATAACCCCCAGGACAGGACCGAATAACCACTTTTTACGGTTTTTACTTAGGACTTCGCAGTATTTCCGGAAATGCGAATTTTTCTCACATCAATCAAGGAAGTGTTTCCCAATCGGTCCTTACTATTACGCAGCGTTAAAACTTTATCTATTTTTATCACCTGTGATCAAAAATAGTCGTAATTTCGCAACATTTTAAATATTCTACGTAGTTTCGAAGTCAAATCTCACTAGATACATGAAAAAGACGGCTAGAATATTTTCTATGAAATTCTAGGTATTTCTGCACTTTCAGGATAAAAGCGTCCCCCTTCCTCGGAAATAACAAAGTACCTTTTTTTACCAACATGCGAAGCAAATGATACCTGGTGCATCTCCCATTGCAGCGGCTCCTGGCCGACGTGCGTGGCGGCGGTTCCGAATCCGGGGAAGGTCGACATGGCTTGCTGGGCTTGGCGTAGAGCTGTGGTGACCCGAGCGAGAGTAGTGTTCTGCAAGCCAAAGTTATATGCTGGCGTCAAAGTTGAGAAAGAACGGTAAAGGTATTAAAGATTTCAAAAAAAATTTGTATAGATTTTTCTAAAAATCCAAAAGCTTCATTGAAAACGTGGTTGCCGCGTGCTGGGGAACGGAATGTCAAGGCCAACTGTGCAACATTTTATAGGAAGAGCCCGGGATCAGGTGGTTCACCGTGCGGAGCGCTTCGGACTATATAGGAGGGACGGTGTGTTGTGGGCGGGCCCGGGGGGCGCCCCCTCGCGACAACCAAGTGAGCTGATCGCCCGGCTCGCCCAGTTTGCGTAAGACGCCGCCGAGGGGGGTCGTGCGCGACTATTTAACCAGAAAAAAGGGGTTGCTTTGATGGGGAGGAGAAAGAGGAATTGTTGGCATTGGCGCGGAGCACATTATGCTCCCAAAATATCAAAAGAGGGAGGTCACGGGGTGATTTTCAGACTTGAAAATTTTACTTGCCCAAACTGTGAGAAGAACAAGAATTTGCGACCGGGTGAAAATTTGAAAACTGCGCGCGGGTTTCCCATCACACGCAGCCACGCCTTTTCAGGGGGCCCAAAAAGGGCAACTGACCTTTGTGGGAAAGGCGCGCGGTGAAGCCGTTTTGTCTGGCGCGTGAGAGTTGTGCGTCGCGAGCCGCTCCCTGAAATCGATAGAATTACATGTGTGGTGCAACGTGTGAAATCGGAAACTTGAAAACAAAAGAGCAGCACGAATTGGGAAATCCCTGGAAACCAGATACCCAGCGGGTCCAATACGTGCAAAAAGCAAACAATTAGTCGGTCAAAGTAATAATGTAAAAGGTGCGGCCCAAGCGCACACACCTGGTGTACAAAGTCGGTGAAGAACGCGGAGGGGGGAGCCGCGGCTGGCCGGTTATATAGCTGGCTACACGTGCTGCAAGAATTGCATCAGCCACCACTAGTGAGGACTAATGTCTAGAGACCGGAAAAGCAGGGAGGGGTTAGAGAACGGGCCTCAAGGGCCAGTCAGGGGGGACCACCGCGATTTCGACGAAGCACCATCGACCGAAAAATGATCAGTGAGGCGGAAAATTGGATGTCTACCCTAAAAATAGAGATTCGATGGACGGGTTGCAGGTCTGACTGCAATCTTTCTAGGCCGAGAAAGGATAGGAAGTTCTGACGGTGGATCTGCGGGCTAGTCGTAAATCTAGCAAAAAAAAACGTAGAAAAAGATTGGAATTTGGATCAAGACTGCTACTAGGGAAAAGGTAAGAGCAAGGTCAGATACAAAAAGTAGATCTAAAAGTACTAAAGTAGAAGTCAGGAATACCAAAAGCTTAGCAAATAATTGCGAGTGCTGCGTCTTCAGATTCGTTAGCCCGACTTATATAACCCTTAAAATTGTCATCTGTTTGCCGCGGGAGCTCGTCATCTCCATGGGAATTTGTTCTAGCGGTTAGAGGGAGCGCAGACTCGGCACAACGAGCACAACAAGCAGAGGTGGGTGTTCGTGTGTTTTGTGCTAAAGAGGGATTTCGCGGTTTCGCAAGAGGCTTTGCGCTGATTTTAGCCTAATTTAGGATGAGTCTATAAATATTTCGCAAACCGCCAGCTCATTGAAGTACATGGGTAATGTTTTCGGAAAATAAATGTGTAAGGAAAATGATTTTTCTGGGCTGATTTCTCCTAGAAAAATCGTGGTAAGTAAAAGTTGAGGCAAACACCGCAAAAGTTAAAAAAGCGTTTATTTTGTAAAAAAGTACTACAAAACATAAATAGAATCAACTTTTACATTTCATAGTACGAACACTACAGTGGACAAAACCGTACATAGGTATGATCGGAACTACGTTTCCAATTTTACTACTAAAAATAAAACTAAAAAATTTAAAAAAATCCCCGGATAAAAAGGAAAAGCCCGATCGAAAAGCATCTCACAAAAAGCGTTCAACGTGGCGCACTACCGGGTGTGGGCGCGGCGCTTGGTCGATACGAGACCATCGGCTGTCTGTCTGTGCGTCGATATGCCCAGCGTTCCTTCCATCCGGGTGGCAGCTGGATACCCCAGCTGCACCCTTGCGCGCCTCTCGCCGGTCTCGGCTGCACACGGCTGTCGGGCCAGATCGGGTCAGAGGCCATGTATTGTCTCGTCAGCCCACGCCGCCAAAACATTTGCTCAATCGGAGCGGGTCGTGGTGCCGCTAATAGACTTTTTTTGATGCGATTTTTATGGATAGCAGACCGTTGTTGAGGGGTTTTTTTACAAATGATTTAGGCAGGCTTTATAAAAAGTGTGTTTAGAAAAAATAGTTCTTAACCTTATGAATGTGTTTTTGCAATCGTTAGCTAGTAAAATACGTAAATTGTCCAAGTTCCAACAGTTTTTCATAAATGAAGCGACGTTTTTTTCACCAGTTTTCAACCATGATAGTAAATTGTCAGCTAATACACTTTTTCATGCTATTTTTTGGCACAAATTTGGTTAGAACATCTTACTTGATGTTTTTGCAGCGATAAAACGATTTATTAGACCGTCAAAAGATGATTTTGTATCTCCACTGCTCGTAAATCAAGTAACTTTATTTCACCAGCTTCAAACGCGCATACAATCGATTTTTTTTAATAAGCACAAGCAATTGAGAAAGAGATTGTAGAGTCGGGAGGCCCGTTTAATGGTCGAGCACGTAGTCGCCGCTCTCGGAGGCGACGGCTCGGTAGATGTGCTGCTTGATCCGGGTGACATGGCCGCTCTCGGAAGTCTAAATTCATTCATTTTCGCTATTCTTGTCTTACGCCAATTCTTACCGCTACGTTGAGGGTGATGAGCTTGTCGTCGGGCTCATCGTCGAGTTGCTCGAGGAGGGCGACGAGTTGGCTCTTGCGCACTTGGATGTGCGTCTGGGGGCGAGTGTTTGCGGGCTGGGGGCTCGGGATGGGTTGGTAATCTTCCTGCGGAATCTAAGAAAAAAAAATAGGGTGGAATTTAAGTCTTTTATAGTCTACTGGCTAGTGCATCTCCCTCCCAAGCTAGGGGCCCGGGTTCGGATCCCGGAAAAGTAATTTTTTTGTTGCTTTGGTGTATGCTTTTCATCCTCAAAAGACCGTACCACCTTCTGTCCAACCGACGCCTCCTCATCCCGTGTTTCAGCCCGAGGATAGCGCCGCCGATATCCGGCCCAGGCACGCGCCCAGCGCCTGCCCGCCGACCACGTGGCCGGGAAGCCGAGTCGGCGAGGCACGTGCGGGTTGCCGATCTATATTTTGTATTTTGGGGTTTTCTAGGGTTTTTTTAGGGTACCTTGAAGGGGAATGGACGAGCCTCCGGTTGGGCGTCGACGAGCCGATGGCACATGTCGATGTACTGCTCGCGCTCGTAGGGCAGTTGCCTTAAATGAAAGGAGGATTTTTTAAACACAAAAATAGTAGCAGCTTACAGGTCCTCTGGCGTGGCGACGGGGCCGAGGCTGGAGAAGTCGCGGGTGGTCGCGCATGAGCTCACCGAACTCGCCGAGCCTGATGGTGGACTTTTGAAAGCAGGGGATCCGGGCTCCTACTTTCCGCCAACTTCGAGGAGGCGGTGGTCGCGGAGGAGTGGGTGACAGCGTTGGAGAGGTAGCTTCTGAAGTACAATTTTTCGAAAAGTTACCGTAGTACTTACGAGGCCCAACCGGCGCTGTCGGTGGTGCCAAAAGAGGATGAGGAGGAGATCGACTGAAAGAACTAATGGTGCGGGAAATAAGTATTTTTGGCAGATGAGAATTAGCAACGTACACTGGAACCCATTTTGAAGTAGAGGTTGAGTTCGGAATGAAAATTCCGGCACTGGTTCCGTGAGTTGGAGCATTTTTCCGGAAACACCAGATTCAAAGATGGGAATTATTCAAATTTTCGCGATTTTTATGATTTGCTTTTAGGCGATCCGGGGCGATTTCCGGCATCGGGAAACATTTCTCGCCGTCTCTCTCTCTCTCTCTCTCTCTCTCTTTCCCTAGCTTCCAGAGAAAAACAGTTTATTAAACGGGCCATCATATGAATCGGTGTTGAGGCTTTGTCGTTGTAGGAGGCCATGTGCAAGGTTTCGGGCGGTACGGTAGGTTGTGCGTGGTGGTCTACGGCGTGAAGGTGATGATGACGACGCAGATGGATGTGGCCAGGATAGCCGAGCCGACTATGTAGAGTCCCATCACGGCCACTTGGACAGTTTTCAGCTGAAAAAAAGAGGTAGGCGAGAGGGATAGTTAGAGAGAGAGAGAAAGAGAGAGAGGGATCCTGGAAACCTACCGCTCCGAGACCCTCTGGCGACTGCTGCTCCGACTCGGACTGGCCGGCCGGCTTGCGCTCGGAGGTGGAGGGCTGCAAGAAATTGGGCTCTAGCGCTTTAAAGGGGCAGTGACAGTATGAAAAATTTGTTGAAGACGTGAGAAAAGGGAAAAGATGTCAAATTGGGCGGAAAGAGAGAAAATGAGCTAAACGCGGAATTTCGACCCAACGAATTTCGGCATTACGATAGGCAATCCTCCAGAACCCACAGCCGAAGATCGGATGGAGCCACTCTTGTTCGAGACCACACCATCCCGATCTGACTGTTCGCGATTAGAGGTGTCCTGCGGCTTCACTTGGACCGGGTTGGCTAAAGGGTGGCGTGTTCTACCGTAGTCGAGAGAGTGAGAGAGAGCGATAGAGAGTGAGATAGAGAGAGAGCGAGCGAGAAAAAGCACTACCCAAAGCAGAGGTCAGCTCCAGGCACAGCTCGCAAAAGACGGCCAGCCCCAGGTAGCCGAGGTAGAGGTGGTAGGCGAGTGGCGGTTGGGTCATCCCGAATTCTTGCAGGGCGATCATGATGGTGATGACTAAACGTCGATAGATTTCATGGCTAACAGCCGGTTTTAAAGGTCAAGCGACAGGAGGGGACCCACTAGCCAACGTCCAGGCCAAGTAGCCGCTGGTGCGATGGATCATGTTGAAGATCCAACGATTCTCAGATCCGATTACGCAATGTTAAGGAGGAAGAACCTCGGCCGTTGGGTCGCAGCGGAAGAGGGCGTTGATCGGCTGTAGCCAGGCCAGGATACAGGCTGAGATGCCGAAAAGACCGTGGTAGCCTCCCTGAAGAAGTGAGTGAGAGCGAGCGAGAGAAAGACAGAGAGAGAGAGAGAGAGATCCCACAGTACCGGATATTCAAAGCGTATCGTCACACCACCCTTGGCGCACAAGATCATCACCAGCGACGTGAGGATGAGCAGCAGGCCGAGCGAGTTGAAGCCGCGGTGAGCCTGGAAAGGTAAAGCTTTCCAAGCCGGCAAAGTCGGCTCACGTTGAACCAGGGCTTGACGTTGAGGAACAGCTGCTCGGGCCAGTGCTCCTTGAAGTGGCGGGCGATGAGGATGCCGCTGGAGAGGCACACCGTCCACGCCACGATCATCAGGGCTCCTATTAATGCATTGTGTCCTGGGCGGTAAAACTGTAGAACTACGAACTACACCTATTCCCAGGGACTACAAATCACTAATAAGAACTGCAGCGCTTCCCAGCGGCTAGGCAGAATTTACAACTGCGATTACAAAGCTACAGACTACACCACCATTTTGATGAAACTACAAACTGCGCATTTTGTCGAAAAAGCTACAAACTACAATTACCTACTTCAAAGCAACCAACTACGAATGCACCTAAAAACTTATGAACTACAAAAATTCTCGATGACTACAAACTACACCTATACCCACCATGTGCCTTCTTCAAGCGCAGCACGCCGAGGCCGAGCCGCACCGGGTCGGGCTTCTCGGGTCGAGCTGCAAAAACACGGATTCTAAATATTGTATACGGCCATCGTACTCTCATTCGTCTCCACACCGTCATAGAGCGCCAGGTCGATGGGTTGTCGGGTGACTTTCCACCGGCCAGTGTGCTTTCTCAGCCCTCCATCCTGGTGCTTGCCCCTGGCCATGATGACGCTGAATTTGGTGCTGTTCAGGTCGAAGATCTAAAATGTCAAGGCCTCAAGATAGCAAAAGTTTTCTGTCTTGCCGGTCCCTTTAAATCTTTTCTCCCCTACCAGCTCGTTGTTGGTGTTCGATAGCCGACGTCTGATGATGCACTGTATATAGGTGTCGGTCTTCAGAAACGAGTCCATGCTCTGTCCGCTCGGCCAGCTCTAGAAAGAGCAAAATCTTGGCGAGATTACGTAAGCATACGATTGGTTCGATGCGGCGCTCACCGGCGATGTGGCCGATGTAGGGTAGGCCGTCACCCAGGCAAGCCGTTACAGAGGAGTGGAACTGTAATCGAGGAGCGCTTACGGTGATTTCTCTATCTCTCTCTCTCTCCCTCTCTCTCTCCCTCTCTCTCTCTCTCTGTCTGTCCCACTCACTCACCATTTCCCCACTCTTCGTGAACCCGACGGCCATATATTCATGCGTCCCGATGCCCCCTCCAATTTCCATGATCAAATCCGTGTTCTCCACCTAAATACAGCCGATTTCGGAATAATCGTCCCGGAGTACCGTACCCGATAGGAGAAATGTATTTGGCAATCTTTGTTCGGGGCACAACCCGGTGGAGCGTAGAGACAACCCTTGCCATGGGGCTCCAAACCACACACCGCCGCGCTGAACTCGTGGTCTTCGGCGTAGAGTGACTGGAAAGATATGCTTGTTACCTTTAATGCCGAGCGAGAGAGAGAGAGAGAGAGAGAGAGAGAGAGAGAGAGAAGGCGAGAGAGACGAATATGACGATAAACGTACGGAAACAATAGCAAAAAGGAGCAGCAGCAGCCGGCCAAACATTGCCAAGGAGTAAAATGAACTTGAGTTCAAAGAGGGCAGAAGCTTGCGATTGCATATGCTAATTGGAGCACGAAAAGGCGAAACTTACATAACTTTCATTTGTTTTTATGCTTTATGCTTGCCTTATTGCCTTAGTCCTTAAAATTCATTTTCGGCATTTTCAGGCGCGTATATAAATGTTTATTGCAACTTCATAGCACCCGTAAAAGTAGGCTAGTTTGAGTGGTGGCTTGAGAAAAACAATCGGAATGACAGGGGTAAATTTTTAACATGCAAATGACACGTAGTCGCGTTTTAGCAAGGGGGTCGTGTCGGTTTCTTCTCGGTCCAGCAGCGATTCCATTACTTCGACTGTACGCGACTGGCCCACGCCTGAAAAGGGGTGTTATTCAGGATAGAGGCCGAGTGAAAAAGCAGGGAAATCGGGATCGGATCGGATGGCTTAGGCTTAGCTTCGGCTTAGCTTAGGCTTAGCATAAGCTTAGCATAGGCTTAGCTTAGGCTTCGCTTAGGCTTAGCATAGGCTTAGCTTAGGCTTAGCTAGGCTCAGCTTAGGCCAAGAATTCAACGGGGTTAAAAAACTGGTTCTCAAAATCTTCCTTGTCCTACGCTTAAAAACCTGTAACCCACAGGCCGGATGGAATTCGAGCTTGTCGGTCTTGATGAACAGTGCCCGGGATAGAGGAGAACGTTGTCCGTCCTTGAATATCGCCGCCGCGGAGAACATGTAGAACCAGTCGTAGCGAAGGTCGGGGAACACTACCTTAATTTGTACGATTAGTACGATTTCGTGCACTTTCCGCTGCAATACTAAAATTCCGCTTCGCTACAAACTACACCCATCGGGGCCCAAATGTCAACAAAAACTAGAAAGCCCAATTTCCGTTTTCATCAGCCATCCCCCCCACTTTGAGGGGAGCCGGAATGAGCCCGAAAACACCTGGTTTTGCATCAGCCGCTACATGAGGCAACAAATGACGGTTGCGGAATTTGGAAAATGACGTAAAAAGACAAACCCTTCGTCCGTTCACTGGGATCTTGTCCCACTCGCTGAGGTTGGCGCTCGGGTTTTCTGTGAAGTAGACGATGTAGTTCTGAAAACAAGCGGTTTCCCTCTCTCTCATTCTCTCTCTCTCTCTCTCTCTCTCTCTCTCTCTCTCACCTTCACATCATAAGTCCTCTTATACGGCGGCTCCCAAGTCAGCTCCACCGTATTCGCATTCACCCGCTTCGCCAAGATATGCTGCGGACTCAGCTGGGGTTCTAGGAGTTCAGGCGTAATTTGACTACCACAGTAGCCTGGTTACCTGTATACTGCACCAAGTACACGGGCTTGCTCTCCCCGTATTTACTAACAGCCGTGATCCTGAATTCGTACAGGGAACACGAGTCGACGCTCATGATCTCAGCTGTGTGGCCTTTGACTCCGCGGAGTTCGAGTACGCGACCCTCGGCATTGTGTCTGGAAGGGTGGATTTTGAGTTGCAGGTTGGGCGAGAGAAAGAGAGAGCGAGAGAGAGAGTCAGAGGGAGAGAGATAGAAAGAGAGAGGGAGGAGGGAAGAAAACGTACTTCAACCTATAGCGTATATTATACGTCACATCCTCATCCGTAGAGAAAGCCGGCGCCCAGGCGATACGTACAGAGTACGCTGACGTAGATACAACCTAAAAAAAGAAAAAAATAGCGTAGATTTGCATAATAAACGGATCGATTTATACATATTCATTAAAATTAATCAGATACGAAAATTACCTGACAATCCGTGGGCGGATCGGGCGGCAGTCGGGCGAACATGAACTTTTCGTGGGGTACTGTAAGTGGCAGGGTAGATTAAGGCAAGTTTTAGGGAAAAAAGGAGGACTAAAAAACTCTTCTAACACCGCAAAAAAAAGAAGAAAATTACACATAAAGACATAAACTACAGTCTACAGACTACAAACTACAAATCGATACTATAAACCGAAAAAATGAAAAATCAAAACAGGCTACAAACTACATGAATAAAACAAAAAAAATCTAAAACTAAGCTATGAAAAAACAAAAAAAAACATGCAACCTACGGTCCTTACAGACATGGCTGCCCTTGCGCTTCTGGTCGCGCTTTCTGCGCTTCCGGCTTCCCCGGGACAGCTCGGTGTAGTCTTTGTGGGCGAAGATCATGCCCTTGGCCAGCTGGGCGAGCAGCGAGGCCATAGCAGCACGGCGGCGCCTGAAAATCGGCATTTTAAAGGGGCATGAAAGGCAAGCGGGGGCGAATTTCGGTAGATGGACACCATCCCGAAAAAGACACCATCCCGAAAAATTTGCATGCGAAAAGTCAGCTCTACTATAGACAAAAGGAGCTATTTTTCTATGCTAATGAAGTTTTCGCATGCAAATTTTTCGGGATGGTGTCTTTCGGGATGGTGTCTTTTCGGGATGGTGTCCATAATTCGCGAATTTCCGGTACTATACCGTTAGCGGGGGTGGTATTTCCCCAGTAATCCAGTAACATAGTATCGAACATTTTTTATGGAATTTAGAGCTATTAAAAACTGCTATGATCACTATTCAACTTTTTTCGGCTTTTGAGCTTTTAAAGATCAAAGGATCTTGAAGGGATCGGCGTCGGATTCCAACCTGGCCTTGGCCTCCCGAATCAAGTAGAACGGGTTGCTGCTCTTCAACTTCCGGCCCAGGTAGTGTATTTCCTAAAGGATACTCTTTACGATACCTTCAATCCCACCTTCAGGTACATCCTTCCAAATACATCCATACACATTGTCGTCAAAATTACACCGCCTAGCACCAAAAATAGCACCGGTACCAGGTTGCCACTGGACGGCCGGAAATCACCGAAACCTGGAAAAGCGGGTTTTGCCGGGTTTTGCCGGGTTTTTAAGGGACCTAGCGGTTGAAAACTTCAGCTTGAGGCTTTGGCAGCCAGCCACAATCTCTAGAAAATCGCTTACCAACAGTGAGGATGGAGATGAACATGAAATAGCAGGATTCGACGTACGACCAATTCTCACTTCGCATTATCACCTGGAAAATGCGGATTTCTCGCTCTCTCTCTCTCTCTCTCTCTCTCTCTTTCTCTCTCTCACTCTCTCACTCTCACTCTCTCTCTCTCTTCCTAACTCACATATGCCGCCAATAGCCCGTAGAAAATGACGAATATGAAGGTGATCACCGGCGGGAACCTGACCAGCTTCACGCGGTCGAGGATCTCCTGAAAAAATAGTCGAAAATTTTAAGGGTTTGTAGTCAAATAAATTTCCTATAGGATGCGCCATTCAAGGCATTTAGCTAGCTGACCTCCTCGTTCTCGTCGTCCAAAAACATTGGTCCCAGTAGGGCCTCGTGCGACTTGTTCCGGTTCTTCCACCGCATCCACGATTTCCAGACCTAAATTGGGTCTAGCAGAGAGAGAGAGAGAGAGAGAGAGAGAGAAAGAAAAGAGAGAGAGAGAGAGAGAGAGAGAGAGAGAGAAAGAAAACGAACCCCACCTCATAATGCAGCAAAAATACGGTTTCCGAGATGAACTTGGCGACGTTGGCTACAGTAACCAGAGTCAGGGGAATGCCTGAATTTTTTAAATTATTTGTTGTTAAAACGCACCTATCAAACAGTAGCAAACGCCGAAAAGACGGCCCCCGAACGTGCTGGGCACGACGTAGCCATATCCGATCGAAGTCAGCATCGTCGTGACGAAGAACACCGAGTTCAAGAAGTCCCAGGTTGGTGCCTAAATGGTCTCTGCTAGTTTGCCTGTTCCTTGGACTTTTGTATTTTGTAGTACGCAAGAACCACGTTGCCATTTCCTCAAAGCTCTCTGCTACGATGCCCTCTAAAAATCCTTACATCCTCATCGTAGCCATGCCTCGATACGCGATGCGCCGTGAATACCGTATCCACATACTAAAACCGTACATAGGCAAGTAAGGCACTACTGCCCACCTCGTGAAAACTCCCCTGCGCTTGCTCCTTCACGAAATTGACCAGCTCGTCGGTTTGCTAAAATTGCAAACTCTAAAAAGCTGCAAAGATACCGTACCCGAAATTTGTTCCTGTATTTTCGGCTCAATTTCCATAGTTTGTCCAGGTAAAGTTGGGAGCTTTTCTCGATGTTACTGAGCTGCTCTCGTTTCGTGTCCTAAAAATGGATGAAATATCTCGCTCTCTCTCTCTCTCTCTCTCTCTCTCTCTCCTACCATCTGATGTTTCCCCTCCAACTGTTGAAAGATGAAAGCCCCCAATAATATGTAGATGACACACGACAGCACCAAGAGCACGTGCAACGACAGGAAACGGCGCATGACGAATTGCAGGGCCATCCTGAACGCGTTAAAGGGGGTTATAAAGTGCAAAAAAACCTTGATAAAAAGCCTTAAAAAATTTTCCAAAGAATTTTTAAAGACCAAATGAAGCTATATACCGAAATAGCCATAAGAAACTACTTACCGCATTTTCGCAGATTTCTAGTATATTTTTTAGCAGAAGTAAAATAGAAATAATGGAATTTGCGGGCTAATGGAAGCTGCGGTGCCACTTTTACACCGAAATTCGACACCTTAGCCAATTTTCCGGGGGCTACTTTTCACGCCCCATTTCGGGGGGCGGTTTTGCTTCCAAAAACAAGCAATAGAATTTAATGGATTTAAAAATACGCTTTTATATATCTGTCTAGCTTTTTAGAAATTAAGCATTCATAAAAACTTGCTGGAATTTGGTGAGCTTCTCATCGTCCATGCGGCCGATGACCTCGGCGGCGCTCCGGCGGGCTTCTCTATAAAAATCAGAGCCACATTAGTGTTTGCCCAATGCAGAGGCTATGGATTTTAGACTTTAGGGGACCTTTAGACTCCCGAAATTTCGAAAAGTGTCGAAATCTTACGCTGGCGACTGGTGGATGGTCCCGTAGGAGTCGCTGAGGGCGCCTCCATCAGAGCGGCCCGCCTAAAAGTTGGATTCAAATTGGAAGACGACTGTTTACGGCAGTTTCATGGACCTTGGAAGGTTTACAATCGACCCATTCGTTCGACTAGGTATCGACAGCCACGAGGGTTGCCAAGAGACGTTGGAATTCACTTACGCTTAGCTGCCAAGGGAGAAAGAGAGAAAGAGAGAGACCGAGAGAGAGAGTGAGAGAGAGAGAGAGAGAGAGAGAGAGAGTGAGTGAGTGAGAGCGAGAGCGAGCGAGTGATAAAGAGGGAGAGAAAGGGACGGCGATAGAGAGTGAGAGAGTGCGAGAGCGTGGGAGAGAGGGGCGAAAGTAAGTGAGCAAGAGAGCGAGCACGAGCAAGCGATCAAGGGCTAACGCGAACCATAGAAACAAACCCACCGATAATAACTCCAGCGACATGGCTCGCGAACGCCCTCAGAACTTTCGAGGCGCCCAAAAATACCCGGGGAATCAAGTCATCCTGGCGGGGCCCAAGAAGATGTTGATGGGGCCGCCCTGAAAAAAAAGTGAAAAGTAGGAGGATGCCCCGAAAAACGCACAGAGCGATGCAAGAAAAATCGGAATTCTCGGGGGTGGGTGGTAGGGTGCCCCCGGGGCGAGTAACCCCTAGAAAAGGGGGGTGGGAGATGAGTGACAGCTCGGAGGAGGCCAAGAAGCGCTGGATGGGTGGAAAAAGTGGGGAATGGGAAGGGGGGTTATTCTGCAAAATAACAAGAGCTTTGGTGAGGATGACTAGCAGAGATTCTTTGGGAATGGAGGCGGGTAGCAGAGTTCATTTTGGATTGGAGAGCAAGCAAGCAGCGATAACTTGCAAAAAAAGTGCAGACTAGCAAAGGCCCGTGAGGCATGGGCAGACTATAAGAGATTTTCTCAAAATTTAGGGGCAAGCTAGCAAAGAACTTTATAATGGGGGAAGCTAGCAAAGATCATTCGGAAATTGGGGCGGCTAGCAGAGAAGTTTTTGGAACTCGCAGTCGCAAACAGACAACAGGAACGGGAAGCTTTTAGGAAAGGGTAGCTAGCAGAGTGCATGTAGGAATGATAGAGAGGGGGTGAGTGGGAGTGAGAGAGAGAGAAAGAGGGGGAGAGAGGGTGAGAGAGCGAGCACGAGGGACGGAGCGAGAAAATTTCAGAAGCTTCCACTTTTTCCTCGTTGGGTTATGAGTGAGTGAGAGGGTAGAGGTGGTGTCGTGTCTGTCGATGAGGGGATTTGGTTGGAGGAAAAGACGAGGAGGCCCAGCTTCATCTTGCCCTCCCCCCTCCACAGGGAGGTCGACCCACCAAGGGTCTTTCTCCCTCCTTCACTGGGTCCCATGAGACCACCCAAGGGGGCCCCATCCCCCTTTTTGTGGCCTTGATTCGCGCGCTTGCTCGCACCCTTTGTGCTGAAATTGAGAGAGGGGAGGGGGAGAGGAAGAACATGCATATAAATATCCGTCATCTGCGCCCTTTTTGGGGGAGTTGCGGATATCGGGGGCAAAGGTGGAAGGGCAGGATATACCAACGTGCATGGGAAGATCAGGCTCAGAGCTCTAAATGTCCGCAGCTTCTTAACAGATTTTAGCGCAATTTTGGCTTCCGGTTTTTTTAGCTTCCGCATATTTTGACCTCCAGCTTCTTGGTTCCGGCTCCTGATCCTCAACTCCTTGCTCCCGTGCCTCTTCGCTGGGCTAGCTCATTTGCTTCGCACGTTTTTAAACTTTTCTCTTTCACTTTCTCGTCGCCGATTTCTTTCTCGTTGCTAGCTCCCAGCTGATGATAGCTTCTAGCTCCTAGCTTCTCGCCTAGCTTTTCGCCTGCATTAGCTCCGGGTTTTTCGCCTAGCTCCTTGATCCAGCCTCATTGCCCCCGCGCTTCCAGCTCCCAACTCCCAGCTCCCGGGCCCACCAGCGCCTACGAATCGCTGTAAAAACTCTTGTCTAACCCCACTCGGATCAACCCCCGGTAAATTGGCCCCAAGGGCCTGGGCTATAAAATGTGCGATCAGTGGTGCATCGAGAGAGGCTGAAATATGGAAAAACGGGGGTGGGGGGATGCTGAAGACGCTGAAGAAGATGCTCGTTATGGCCCCCTCCTTCTCCTTTCAGCCATCCGCTTCTGCTCCTCCTTCTGCTTCGTTGATTTATGGGCCCTTGGCGGTGGTGGGTTGGCCCGAAAATACCCGGATTTTACCCCGAAAAACGAAGAACAAAACTGGAAAAAGCGTAATTCGCGCTATTTTCCAATTTAAATGGATTGGCAAGCTAACCACTCACGGTTCCATGCAAACATTTATTCTACCCGAGAACCACACCAAAAACTGGGCGACACATCACAAAAAAACATGGATTTATTGATCGGGTTACGGTAGTCGGTTGGCAGGGTCGGAGGGGGTGCGGTAGAAGCACAGGCGGGTGGACCAGGCGAGCTGGTGATGATGGCCCTCCTCTACTCGTTGATGCCAAACTCGAGCTCGACGTGGCCGGCAAGTACCCTGAAAAATCGGGTTTTTCGCTTAAAAAATCCCTGAAAGCTCCAAATTTGACGAGCTCGTGCTCATTTTGTGCAGACTTTTCAGGCGAATTTGAGGTTTGCCTTAAAAATGCTCAGATACGACTTGCTAACTAAAAAAAATAAAAAATTTCCGCTCCGCTACCTGTCCTTGACGTTGCGGGGGCCCCAGAGGCGCAGCGTCGGGCGCCACTCCATGCGCCACGACGTCTTGTTACGGTATTTCAGGTACACCTGAAAAAGTAGAAATTTCAGCAGCCGTGACGCGACGACAATGAAACGAAAACGACGCAAAACTACGCTACGCAGCGGTACGCAGAGCTACGCTATGCAACGCCAACTACGCTACGCAGCAGTACGCAGCGCTACGCTATTTTACGAAAAACTACGCTGCGTAGCGGTACGCTACTCAACGCTACTCCACGCACCCGTTTGATGAGGAAGTAGACGACGGGCATCAGCACGACCAGGGCCACCAGGAAGCCGAACTGTAATGGAAGAAAATCAGCTTAGGCTTCAATGGCCCTTAAAAAAAGCCGTTAAACAACCCAAAATCTGGCAAAGCCGAAAATGCCCTCACCACTTTGGAGCTGAAGTACTGCTCATCCCAGATCTGGTTGGCCGGCAGATCGGTGGTGAAGTTGGTGATGACGGTGGGGATGACGAAGAACGGCACCAGCACCCAGCTGCCTGAACAAGCGATGATTGAAATTGCATTAATGAAAGGTTGACAGTAGAGTGGCGCTTATTCAAATCAGATTTGAATAAGATTCAAATTGTTCAAATCAAGCCGATTTGATTTGAATTGGAGCCGCCCAAATCAAATCAAATCGATTTGATTTGAGTTCCACCAGTTCAAATCAAATCCAGCCGATTTGAATAATTTGAATAAGATCTCATAGAAATGAACCCAACGCAACTCGTAATTCGTGCACCGCTCTTTCCCTATAATCTCTTAGCATTGTTCCAGCGTCCCAGTTAACGATTCCTTATACATTCCCTATTGTTTTTACCCGTTAACTTTTCCAAAGAAAAACCATAGCGCCGGCTAAATCTGACAAAAAAAAACGTCTGGCTCAATTTTATATAAATGTCATCAAAACTCCCCATGAATTATTGTAAAGGACACCTAAATGTGCTGAAACGGCGCTACCAAAAGCCCTCCGAACTGGCGATTTTCAATTTGCATCCCTGATAAGCCTGTTGTTCAAATCCCAAATCAAATCGATTTGATTTGAGTTGGCCAGCCCCTAATTCAAATCAAATCGATTTGATTTGAAGTTGATTTTTTGGCACTCAAATTTGCTAATTCAAATCAAATGAATTTGAAGCCGATTTGATTTGAATAAGCGCCACTCTAGTTGACAGGATCTGCGGGGGCTGAACTTGTCGGGCTCGCCGGTCTCCACGTGTTTTTTATTGAACTTGCCGAGCACGTTGGCTTTTAGGTTCGGCCTTATTTCTAGGTTACGGACAGGCGCTTCCTGGTTTTCGAACGGTTCAACACGGTTTCGAGTCGAACCGGTCCCACTTGACCGAGTTGCCCACCGAATCCGGCAAGTTCAAACCCCCAGACCACCCCCTTTTAAAGGCCTAAAGCCAAAAACACCCACAGATCACCACAATGTTGACCACCTCGAGGGCGCGGCGCAGGCGGATCGAGCGGCGCACCTTCAAGAGCAGACGGTTTGATCGATTACGCCCGGTAATTCCGTACCGATGGCCAGCTCAACTGCATGGCGTTCATGTTGGCAAAGACGCGGCGAGGGCCGTAGATCAGCACCAGGATCAGCTGGAAAAAACTGGGTAAGACTTTTAACGCTATTCTGTCATTTTCAAACTTTCAACGAAGACTACAAAAAAATACGAATATTGCCACCTCCAAGGTCAAAATCATGCCGACCGACATGACGAGCCCGTACTTGTAGAAGGCCTCGAGGTAGAAGAGGCCCATCTAAAAATAGAAAATGATTTAAAAACGCCATCGGTAGAATATTTGAAATATTGGTATATGTCGGCTACGCGGGGGGGACAATTTTACGCGGGGGGGGACGGGACAGGCAGGCCTTTTTGGATGTTTTCGTTATTTTCTCATTATTTTTGCAACGGCATTCGATAGAGCATCGAAAAATATACTAAGAGTTTTTGTTTTAGCTCAAATTAGTGTAATATAAAAAAGTTATGGCAAATACAAAAATAAGCTTTGAAAATCGGGTCAAGCGGCTGTTTTTCGAAATTTGCGCTATTTTTTCGACATTTTAAAGATGCCATTCGATAGAGCATCCGAAAATATACTAAGAGTTTTAATTTTAGCTGAAAATAATGTAATATAAAATAGTTATAACAAAAACAAGTATTAAACGTTGTTTCCATGGAGGACATAGAAAGAAATCAAGTTTTCGACATTTTCGACATTTTTACAAAATTTCTTTAGTGCCATTCGACAAAGCGTCGAAAAATATACTAAGAGTTTTGTTTGTAGCAAAAAGAAACGTAAAAAAATAGTTAGCTCGGCCCCAACAGTCCGTCCCCCCCCCCCGCGTAAAATTTTCCCCCCCGCGTAGCCGACATATACCTGAAATATTTAAGCTGGTCAAACTTTAGTTTAAAGCTTAAATTTGAGAGCATTTTACTATTTACCATTTAAATTGTACCTGGTGGGTGGTGACGAGCATGAACATGAACCCGATGAAGATGACGGCGCGAAGGAGGCACTAGAAAAATGCGTTTATGAAAATTTTTTTCGGCGCACAGCGACACGCGACGCGATAGAGAGCCGACCACGTGTTGTGTGCCGCGTAGTGTCGCGCATTTCCAAACCACACCTTATGTACAGTAATCGGCTGGCCGACGAGCTGCTCGGACAGCGAGCCGACGATGATCTCGAAGCGGATCAGCTGGAAAAGAGGGGAATTCAGGGAGCACGAAGCTCTGGCTCACCACACTGCTGATGGTCAACAACAGGCCGCAGATGGAAAAGATGAGGAGGAGACCGAGGTCGTAGTCCTTGAAAAACGATGGATGAAGAGAGGAGAGAGAGAGAGAGAGAGAGAGAGAGAGAGAAACCGATTTCCCCTAACCTTGAAAGACAACATCCCGAACGCCCACGAGAACATGGAGGTGTGAAAGGTGGACCGCTCGACGAACAGGTCAACTATAAAACATTTCAGTTTTTAAAGGGACCCAGAAGGCAACCTTTCCCATCTATAAAACAGCGAAAAACTCGGAAAACCCACAAGCTCGGTGCATGATTTCCCTCCCTTTCTCGAGGCCCCTCGACTCGCGCACCAACGCCACCAGTACGGTGCTGAACACGGATCTATTAGTGCGGGCGGCCAAGTGCCTACAGTATATGCCAATTCAGCATGTACGCCATGCCGATGGGGATGATGGCGTAGCCGACGGCCAGTGCGAAGGCGTCACTGGAAAGGGATGAGTGGGCGACGTTTTTGAGCCATTCAGGCTCAAGCTGGATGAGGAGCTGCATCTTGCCACGCTTTAGCTAAACCTGGTAGATGCGTTAAAGTCAATCTGTACAAGCTCAAGCTCAATAGCATACACTTCAGATAAAAAGGAGCACGAAATCAAGCAGTTCATGCTCGAGCTAACGAGGGTCCTAAATGGGACTGGAGGGGCTCAAATCCGGACCACAGAAGCTGAAGTTGGATAAGAAACCCGCTATCAGGCAGTTCCAGCTCAAGGGAGAAGAAGCATGAAATCAAGCAGTTCAAGCTCCAGTCCCAAAACATGACGGCCGTCAAGCTCAAACCGTTCATCCCATCCCAAACTCCCTCGCTTACAACAGAATCCAGGTGGAGAACGTCTGATGGGAGGCGATCGTCAGGATGCCGCCATCGCCCAGGCCGAACGAGGTGAGAATCTAGGAGATGAACTTGATTTTAAGTGGCAGCTCTACATGGCAGCCGACACTGATCCACATGGCAAAGTCGGGCGGTTTGGTCATCTGCAGCTCGTGCTCAATCTCGATCGAGGAGAGGCCGGCCACCTGGAGATCAAAGGGAGGCTTGGGTGCATTTCCGGCTCTTCTCACAAGTTCAAGCAGTTCAAGTACCATACCCGATCGTCGATCCTGTTCGCTTTGTGCGGTTCGGCGTACTGGTAGGTGATGTTGTTGTCTGTCCCGTCGGAGGTCCTCACTCGATCACGCCAGTTGGTTGAATTTTGGAAGAACTCCGGGTAGATGTAGATGAACGGGCGGTCGTAGAAGCGCCAAATGATGTGGAACGTGACGAAGTAGGCGATGAATGCCGTGTTCGTGATGATGGACACCTGAAAAAGGTCTTCAAGAATCGCGGTTCTTTAGCATTATCGGGGGGGCAAATTTTTCACAGGATTTCAGAACTGCCTACTGGCCTAATCGTAAGTATTTTAATAGTATTTTTGGCTAAACTCTACTTTACCCTCCCCCCCCCAGGCGAGATAGTAGGCCTGGGGGAGAGGGCGCAGGCGAAGAGATAGTAGGCCTGGGGGAGAGGGCGCAGAGAAAAGGGGCGTCTGGGGGGGGGTAAAGTAGAGTCTTACCGTATTTTTTTAGTAAAATTTAGCAACATCCGACCGGAAAAACATCCCATAAATTTCTATAATGTTAAAATTTTTGTGGAAAAATGGCTATTTTTCGCCGAAAATCGATAATTTTGTAATTCTTCCCGTCTCGAAAATTTCACCAAGGCTCCCTGCTAGTTTGCGCCGTCTAGCATTTCCCCCAAGAAACTCGGCAAGCCTCCCCCTTTCCCTACCAACCGTTTTGATGGCCTGCGAGCTGCCGCTGGAGTAGACGAGGAGGAGAAAGAGCCAGATGCCCGAGTACGTGATCACCCCCGATGACGACATGTCGCTGCGCACCCATTGCTGGTTCTCTTCGCCGAGGATGCCGCGGAATCTAAAAAATAATTTAGCGTTGAAAAATCGGCGTAACTTTATCCAAAAAATCTCAAAATCATACAAAAATTGGTAGAGCGGAACGTTGTACGGGACATGCTCGTGGTATTCTTGTCTGCAAAGAAATTTTAAGAGGAGAGAGAGAGAGAGAGAGAGAGAGCGAGAGAGCGAGAGAGAGATAGAGATAGAGAGAGCGAGAGCGAGAGAGCGCGAGAGCGAGAGAGAGAGAGCGAGAGAGCGAGAGAGAGAGAGCGAGAGAGCGCGAGAGCGAGAGAGAGAGAGCGAGAGAGCGCGAGAGCGAGAGAGAGAGCGGCAGAAACAGACCTCTGTGTGGTGTACAGGTTGTACTTGTAGCTGGTGTTGGTGGTGCACTGGTTGTCGAGGAGGAGCGGCAGATTCGATGGGCAGGTCTGGTAGGCCATTTTGCAGCCTGAATCGGGGCGCTGTAGATAGCAAATAGTTTCGAAACGTACGGTCATTGTTGTAGTTTGACATGCACATATCGTAGCCCTTGAAGCGGGAGCCGACGGAGGCTGTTTCGATGAGGAGACCTGGAAACGAAGCTTAAGCTAAGCCAAGCCTAAGCCAAGCCTAAGCCAAGGTGAAGCCGAGCCTAAGCCAAGCCTGGCAAAAGCCAAACGCCAGAACTTTTTAAAGGACCACTCAAGCCAAAATCTTTGGCTTACCAGTATAAAGTGCAGCTTGCTGAACTTGTGCGCCTATGAGGATGAAGTTGAGGATGGTGATCGAGTGGCCGAGGCCTGGAAGATGGTATTTAGATGGAACCGGAAGTCGCGAAGGAGGTCGGCTCGAGCCTCTCAACCTCTAAAAGGTCCTGAAACTACAGACTACACACCCTCGAGGGCGGGCACCATGCGCTTGTAGAGGGTCAAAGGGTTCTGCGAGGTGTACTGGCCGAGGAACACCTCCATGCACAGCAGCGGGATGCCGAAGATGAACAGCAGGGTGAATAGGGGCGTGTAGGCGGCAGCTGGAGGAAAACATGAGCTTGAGAAAGAGAGAGAGAGAGAGAGAGAGAGAGAGAGAGAACCACCCACTCCCATATTTCATGAAGATCATCGTGAACGAGCCGATCGTGTCGGCGCCGCAGAGGAATGTCTGGAGCACAAAAACGTTGCTTCAATGGTCCTTTAAACACTGACCATCTTGACGACCTGGCTCTCGGTGAACGTGTCCCAGAATGTTTGGCGGGGCAGGAGACGAGAGAGCACGCCGAGGGTCGTCTGAAAAAAAATATAAAATTGATCGTAGACCCTCTTTTGAATTTTCTATCAATCCGCCGAGTTGTAGCTCTGAGCTTGACGAAAAAGCCACGAATATTTTTGAACCCCAAAAATTTAGAATTAAGGACGAAAAACTGCATTTTTGGTCTAAACCAGATGTCTAGGGACGCCCAAAACCTGATACCTCATCATCAAGCAGCAGATCCTCCTCCTGCTCGGCCACCTCGATCTCCGTGGAGGCGTCTGAAGAATGGAAGATATTGAGAAAGTCTAAAACAACAGACCAGTGTCAATATCCTCGTCCTCCTCGGCCATGTCCATCGGCTGCGGGCCGGCGGCCCGTTCGGTTGGCATCGCTAGACACAGGCAATTTAGCGTAAAATCGAAAAACCTACCTCTTGATTGGTACCAGAAGCTTGAGAAATGAACGGTTTCTTTGGTGTGTTGCGGAGGGCTTTTCATGCAAATTAAGGCAGTCAAATGTTGAAATCTAGATGCAAATCTGGCTATCTCTATCTGTCTCCTTCTATCTGTCTCTCTCTCTCCCTTTCTCTCTTTCTCTCTTCCCCTCTATCTCTCACTCTCTCTCTCTCTCTCTCTCTCTCTCTCTATTTCTCTCTCACTTTCCTTACCCAAACTCGACAACAAGCGTCAATTGGGTCACTGCGTAGTACTCGTTTTCCTCGGGAAGGTTGGTTGATTGTAGGGCAATCGGCTGCTTATCCACCGTCTCGTCGATTTAAAGGTGTTGAGAAGCTTGTTTATTCCGTCTTCTCATTCCATTTAAAATGATGGGCCCGAGGCCTGGTTTCTGGATCCGGTATTGTGCCGTTTTTCCAGCCACCGCTGCGTTGGTCTTGGTGAGCTACCGACCAAATCAAATTTTTCGACCGTTTATTCGCTCGTTAACTTTAAAATTTGACCCTTTCAGATCTTCCAAACTCTTTCAACAATTTCTTTCCTAATCACCGGATATGACGAGCCGCCCCCACCGCGCGCTAATCGAGGCTTTATCAAACTGGAAGCCAGGACGATTGTTGATCTTCAAAAGATGGTAGATGACCTAGTTTGCTGCTAATTTTCAAGAACCTGAAGATGACTGACGATCGTATCCCGAATTCGATCTATCGACAGTGTCCTCACGTCTTCGAGCTGTTCAAGAATTATAAGAAATGTTTGATTAATGAGGTATGAAGGGAGAGAGAGCGAGAGAAAGCGAGAGGGAGAGAGAGAAAGAGAGAGAGAGAGAGAGAGAGAGAGAGAAGCTGGTATTACAATTTTTAGCTAACCATCGCCGATTCTCCCTGGGACGATTTATCCGAAATCTCCTCCAAATGCGGTGCGGACTTTTTACGCTCACTTTTTAATGGCAATTACCTGATTAACAAGGTAATTTTTGCTTTATTGTTTTATTTTGATTTTTTTATTACAGCTTTAGAGCTTTAAGCTTTTTGCCTTGGTCCGGCCTTTAATTTTCAAAAATATTCTTGCGTTTTCAGGACGACATCAAGGCGGTCATCTACCCAAAAAATCTGGACGCTGAGGTTCATTCCGTGACGCTTGGGATCGGGAATGATACGGCTGCTGAGAAAAGGTTAAAGGTATAGCCGACGCAGGCTTGGCTTAGGATTGGCTTAGGCTTAGGTTCTGCTTGGCTTAGGCTTGGCTCAGACAATCGATTACCTCCTATAATTCCAGTCCCGGCTCCCGAATGCCATCTTCTACGGCGCCGACCCCCTCGAGGAGACGGCCGCCATTTTTCGCAAGCTAGGAAAGGTATATACGGTAGGTTACTGTATTTTCACCGTAGCTACCGTCATCATTTTCGGTCGGAATCGGCCCGAAAAACGGGAAAACCAACTCGTCAATATTGCGAAATGGGAAATACCAATATGAGGAGATTGAAACGATTACGCTATGGAATTTGTTGTCAAAGGTAATTCTTCATTTAAATTTAATAAATCTGGATATTTAGATATCCCAGCCATTGATCGACTACTTATTTATCGATATCGAAGGGGTGGAATATCGAATATTTGGCGGAATTTTCGGCCGAAAATTGGCAGAGAAATTTGAGATTTGTCAGGTTGGTTTGGTTTTTTCTTAATGTTTTAACTAGCATTTCATTTATTATTTTGATAATTAATCATTTAGATGGGTTTTATTATGTAATTTATTTATTTTTATAATTATAAGCGTGCTCCCAGCCAATTTTCCAGATAAACGTCGAGCTGCACGGGCCCTTTGCAGACTATAACATGACCGAGAATCGCTTTAACAATATGGTATCTAACAAAAAGTTATTTTACACCCCTAAGCATAGATAAAACGAGTCCCGCATTCCTCATATCTGCCGCTATGGATCCCGCGCCCCACAGCCCACCACCGCATGTTCCTCTTCAATTGGAAAAGTTTAAAGTGCATCAAAAAATATTTAGGGCACTTTTGTGCATAAATAAAGCCAACATCAGCTTCTACACCCTAAAAGGAAGTCAATTCCCAAAAAGCAAAACTTTCTTCCGTTGCCGGGAATCGAACCCGGGCCTTATGGGTGAGAGCCATAAATCCTAACCACTAGACCACAACGGACGTGCAGGCAGGGAAAGGGGAGGGGGCTATGTGACAGGGGGAGTCCACCGGCGCCGGGCCCTGATATTCAAGTGCTGTGTAATCACGAGCAGGCACCTGGTGGTCCCGACTGGAAAATTGGGATAATTTTGCCACGGAATACTGGCTTTTGATATTTTCTAGCCGCAGGATAATCTACTGGTCAAGCTATCTGTTGGTAGGTTTGAAATGCATAATCGTGTTATATAAAAAGATACAAACTGTTACCACTTTTTCGCGTCTTTCGAATATTTTCCGGCCCTCTAGTTCGTCAATAGTGTAGTTTCGGGCTTTGGAAGTTTGCTCAAAAATTAACCAAATCAAGTGCTACAAACGGCATATATAAAGTACCAGACAAATTCAACAAAGGTGGAAAATTTGAGGTTTTTCAAAACCGGAATTCTTCTGGTGTCTTTCAAAATTTTCATGGACAGTAGTAACGTAATCAAAAATATGAACACCAATGTATAATTAAATAAATCCTTTATACACGTAGAATTCCCCATTTTTATCGCTTCGAAATTCGCACCGGGATGCCGAGGGAGGGCTTGAGGATAACCTAAAAAATTCCGGAATGCGCAGCGTTTTCAAAACTACAAACCACAAGAAAACGTGGCTTAATCTGAACTTGATTACTACAGACTACAAACGACACCTCTGGACACGGAATGTTGTCGTGTAAATCTTGATCTGCCTCGATGGTAAACCTCCGGAAGAACCATGAGAGCATCGTTTTCTCCTCCATCAGTGCAAATTTTTGGCCTGAAAAGGGTTAGAGGAGATGTAAAATGTAAAGAAAATAAAGGTGAATAATTCCTCACCTATACAATTCCGGGGGCCCGCGCTAAAGGGGATATAGGCGTAGGGATGGCGCTTGGAGATGCGCTCCTCGGAGAAGTTCTCAGGGTCGAACACCTCCGGGTTGTCGTAGACCTGGATTTACGAGAACTTTTGGAGCTTTATTTCCATAAGAGAACATTTCCGTCCCCTTGCTGTCTGAAAGCGAGAGAGAGAGAGAGAGAGAGAGAGAGAGAGAGAGGGAGTGGAGGAGGGAGGGAGAGAAAGAAAGACAGAAGGAGAGAGCCAGAGCGAGCGAGAGTGAGAGAGAGAGCTATAGAGAAAAATAACCCCTAGCCAAAATCCCTACAGCCGGATTCGAGTGTATCATCAACGGCGTGATGCCGATGACGCAATTCTTCGGTATCAACAGGTCTTCTAAACCCGATTTTTGCATTTTTAATGTTTTCTCTACCAATTTCCACGTCCTTCTCGACGATGCGTGTAAAGATTGGCACCGATGGGTAAAGACGTAGGCTTTCCTGAATTTATTGCCTGGAGAAATGTCTCTAAAACCTCACTTTTATGACCCTTTCCAGATACTTTAACTGCTTCAGGTCGTCGGCGGTGCAGTCGCGGTTGGAGCTGCCTGAAAGGAGGATCTCTAAGGTTCCCTGCTAGCCTGCCCTTGCTTTCCTCAGGAATTTCTGATAGCCCGCCCCTTAATTTTCCTGAATCCGGATCCCTAGATTCCACAAGTTTCCTACTAGTTCACGCACCAAACACCGTATCCAACTCCGCGTGGATTTTCTTCTGAACGTCTTGTTGATGTGCCACACACCACAGCGTCCAGCCCATCGAGGCCGATGTCGTGTCGTGCCCTATAAACTACCGTAGCTGGGTAGACCTTGCTTTCTAACTATTCCCCCAATTACCGTACCCTCAAACATGAACGTGTCGACCTCTTCGCGAATGTCCACGTCGGTCAGCCCGCCACCATCGGCCTGGTTGGTCAGCAACAGGTCGAGGAACGCCTGCAAAATGACTACTGATACTGTAGCCCAAAAATTACTCACATTTTTCTTGTGCACGCGCTCGAACCCAGCCGGGTCCGCCTCGAAGTCGGCCCTCCGCTCGGCGATTACCTAATCGAAATTTGTTGGGTTTTGAGGAATTGTAAAAATCGGGTTTTCAAGTGTCATAGTCCCTTTGAAAACCACGGCAAAACCAACCTTTTGCGTGAAGCCAAGCAGGATCTCGAGTTGTCGATCGGCCTCAAAACCGTAGCCCGACATATACCAGATTGGCTGAAAGCCGGGAGTTTAACGTTTCGAAGGAATTTGCATAATTTTTTAAAATTAAAAAGGTCATCAAATTTAAAAAATGCCTTCAAATCTATGGTTTTAATAAAAATTCATCAAATCGATACCTTCAGCCAGAACCATGGCATCCGTTGCTGCATGAAAATCAGCTCATTCATCCGCTGTACAGCCACGACGTAGCTAGAATATAATGCCGTAAGTGGTTATTAGGACTTCGTAATTTTTTTGGAAACTACTTTATTTAGAAATAGATTTAATTCGGCCTGCAAGTGCATTTTCAAATAGTTCTTAGGTTTTTAGGGCTTACGGATGCTTGGGGTTCGTCTGTGCCGACACCGAGCTGCCCATCGCCGTTTCTAAACCAGTAAGGTATCCAAAAATTAAGTGCCTGTCGCATACCACAAATAATATCCAGGGCACATCTCTTTACGTACGGGAAAATATCGAACGACTCGCCAGTCTCGGCAAAACGTTCGAGTTGTTCGACGAAAATCTGAAAATCACAGCATTCGCGATTCTGCCGGATGTTGAATAGATTGTGGAATGAAATTTGAAGCGGTTTTTTCATAAAACGTTCATTTTGCCGAATTTGGCTGGAAAAATTTTCGCTAAAACGCTCCGACCGGGAATCCGGGTGGAAGCTAAAGCGCCAAGTCCTAGTTTGCACGATTTTCGCCTTTATGGTCAGAAAATCAGGCCATATTAAACTATGAATTTTAAATTTAGAACCCATTAATTTAAGGTCGAATTCCCGATGTTTTCAAATTTCATTTTAGCGCTCTCTAGTCGCCTTAATTTAACACTTCAAAATCCATACTTTACTCTGCTCGTCGTGCGTTGTCAGGAAATCTTCGAGCACCCGGAAATGGAAGGCCGGTGTGAGCATTTTTCTGCGAGTTCTCCACTAAAAACCATTTTTTATTAAGCGATGAGAGCTCGCTTCAATTCAACCAAATTGAAACGTATCGAGTATCATCTCGTATTTACCTTATCACCAGTAGCAATCAGTAGTCCAGTGCCCAGCCAGGGGAGCAACGGCTTGTATTCTGGTCCCTTCGTGATCAGCTCATTACTCTCGAGCACGATCTAAATAAAAAATAATTCCGTCACACACCTATCCACGTTGTGATTTCATTTCGTAAGCGTCTTTCAAAAATTTCAAAATTACATAATCAGGCTTTCGAGCTTTTTATATTTTTTTGTGTTAACTTGTCAAGCATAGGACCCGGGCTCAATCTTGCCGAGAGCAGCACTTTTTTGAATTTGCTCAAGAAGGTAGAGCTCAATATATTGAGTCCCACCTTTGCATATTCGGGCTTAATCAGCACGACAAATGGCTTGGGGCCCAGCCAGAGCCTGACGACACCGTGGCCCAGACCGGCGTAGTGCTCACCCCAGCCGCGGAGCTGGCCGGTGAATTCTGAAAAAATACTAGCTATACAACTTCGATCCTGGCTTCGGCTTCGGCTTATGCATAGACTTAGATTTGGGCTTGGGTTCTGATTATGCTTAGGCTTAGACTTGGCGTAGGCTCAAGCATAGGCATATGCCCAGACTTAGGCTTAGGCTTGGGCTTGGGCATAGGCTTAGGCATCGACTTGAGCTTAAGCGTAGACTAAGGCTTCGGCTTATGCATGCGCTCAAATCTGAGCTTCGGTTTTGCTTAGGCTTAGGCATAGACTTAGGCATCGGCTGAAGCTGAAACATTGGCTTAGGCTTCGGCTCAGGCTTAGGCATAGCATAGGCCCAGGCTTAGGCTTAGCCTAGGCTTAGGCCTACGTTTACGCCTAGGCATAGGCTTCGGAAACCTACCCTCAACCTTCCACTTGAATTGCCACGTCGTCCCAAGTAACGGCACCGAAAACGGGCCCGGCATTTTCCCCACATAATACACAAGGCGAGCACGATCAAGCAAACGTCGCCAATTCAGAATTACCAACACGATGGTACCGAAGAGCAGCCATGTCACGACCCCCATCTGGAGCAGAATCTAATTTTTTTGAGTACCGAAAAAGGAAAAGTGAAATTTCCTTGCAGGCGTGTTCCCCAGAGGGAATGAAGGGGGCAGAAGCCCTTATCACAGACTCCCCCCGGCTACACACCAATCTTTTTCTGGCCCCCGGCTTCAGATACACTAGAAGACTATACGAACAGCCAAGTCATTTTTGATCAGGCTCGAACCGGTTACGATCACCGATTTTGGAGTGAACGGATTTGGAAATGAGAGCTCACCAAGCAGATTGTTCGCGGGCTTTATCAGGTCTAGGATAGCATCATCAGCGCATCGGTAGCTACCAGCCCTGACCTTCTTGAGGGATGAGTAGACACGTCGCGGCGGCGCCACGTGCGGCTATAGATCGCTGGCAAACGGAGAATGGAGCGAGAGCAAGAAAAGGATGGAGAGTATGAGAGCGACGGACTTGAGCGAGGGTTTGAACCAGAGAGAGTGAGAGAGAGAGTGAGATAGGGACGGAGAGAGAGAGATGGAGAGATGGAGAGAGGGAGAGGGCGCGAGAGACAGAGACAGAGGGAGAAAGGGAAACTATGAAATTTTTCGACGTTGTTTTAAAGGCAGATTTGGTACAAGCATTTTTCAATGCCAAATTCACAGTTTTTAAGCTTTAAAACCTCTTTATTATCATAGCTCCTTAAACCCGCTCTATTCTATTTTTTGTACCTCTTCCTCGCTCGCGCTCTCTCTCACTCTCTCTCTCTCTCTCTCTATCTCTCTCTCTCTCTCTCTCGGTCTCTGTCTCTCTATTTCTCTCTCTCCCAGTCACTACTTCCCAAGGTGTGAAGTGGCACTCTGTTTCCCCATTTGGCATCTTTCGCCCCCTTTTCCAAATACCCCAATCACCCATCCATCAGCGTTTCGTCTCGACGGGCGTGTCATGTTGGCGGGAGAAACTGATCGAAATGTCGGCCGCCCCGGAAAATGGTCGGTCGACCTTCAATTAGGAGCAAAATGGGCAAGAATGCGGACAGAGAGAGAAAGAGAGAGAGAGGGAGAGAGAGAGAGAGAGAGAGAGAGAGAGAGTGAGAGAGAGAGAAAGCATCAGCAAAGCAGGATTCTCGTGTGCGCACCTTTCCATTCCACAATCACTACGCGCCAATCCTATGGATGGGCATCGGGCCCTGCTGGGGCTAATTCTGCTCTTCCTATATTGCTTGCCGTACATAGGCGCCAGACGGAAAGGCGCATCCGGTAATTTTTTTGAGTTTTTAAAGGGGCCGGAAAGGCCTACTCCATTAGATTTGGATATTATGCTTGGCCGCTTATGATTCAGCCTTGCGTGTGACCTTAAAGGTGCCAGAAAGCGTTAGAACCTGCAATTTCATGCAATGGGTATAGACGAGGACGCGAGGCACCTAAATACGTATCGACGTATCGTCTCGACCGATAGTGATTACGCAAATGCGTTTTCCTGCGTCATTTGGTGTATTTCGTAGCCGTCGACACCTAGCAAGCGCCAGAGGTCGATTAGGTGGTATATTTCATTCTTCTATTTTAAGCATTGTCAATCCATTTTAAGGTGAGCTTGACTGCCACCTTCACTCAAAAATCCCCGAATTTTTCAGGTACGGATCGTGCCTTTGAACGCAACGATGACGAGGGGTTCTGGAATATCGACGACGAGCAGTTGCGACCATGGGCTTACACTAGCAAGTCGGTGCTAAACGAAACTTTATTGTTTTTCGATTCAGTGCCCCGATCGTCACGAGTACGGTAGCGGAAACCGACGAGAAAGCCACGGAAAAGACGACGACCACGACGACGGAAGCCCCGACTACCGTTTCTGAAGCGCCGAAGAAGCCGGACGGTACGTTATAAGCCAGAGAGCCAAAGATCCTGACGTCATTGGCCCTGGTAATGGGGTCGGCAACTCACGGCGGTCACTTTACTATAGATTTTTCCCCGACCGCACACGCAACGGGCTCAATTTCAGAGGTTCAAAAACTATTGACGGACGCGGTGAGCGATATCTCGAATTTGACGCAGGCGCTGGAGGAGGAGCACGGCGAGGCTGATGGGAAAAATAGGTACATTGGAAAGAAAATAGAGCCAAGAAAGTTCGGTCAAACAAAAGCCAATTTACCGAATTCCAGGACAATCCTCTGGCTCGACGCTAAATGGAAGGCCGAGGATCAACAGATGAACTTGTCGGCCACCGCCGAGTGTCAGGTGATTCCTGAAAAATAGCAGGCTGAATCGACCTTTACTCTGAGGGCAAGAATCCGAAAAAAACCCGCGATTTTTAACTGCTATATCTAAAACACAGCGCTAAAAACAACCTAAAAATCAATTTTATGAATCTTTTTCAGGCCTGGCGCGCCCAGTGGGAGCGCGAGAACAACGTGACGGTTGTCGAAAAGGTCGAAGAAGCCGTATGTTGAATTCCTAAGCCACTTTTACCAACTTTTTAGGCCGCCACAAACGAGACGAGCTCGGAAATCACGCAGGAAGAGCTGAACCTCGTCGAATCCGAGCTGGTCGACAAGAAAAAACGGCTGAAGGAACTGGGGATGGACGAGGAGCTGTTGAAAGACTATAAGGTACAAAAATATAACACTTAAGCCATTAGGCTTGCTTCCCTCCCAGGCGGTGGGCGTCATCTGGAAGGAGGTTTGCGGGCTGCATGAGCGGAATCTGTGGTTCCGGAAAACGGAGGACGCCAAGAAGATCGGGGTCACCGAGTTGAGCCCGATTTGCGAGCCGTTTAAGGCATGTTTTGTAGTTTGTGGCCTGTAAAAGACCGTTATTTGCAGGAGGAGCTGAACCCGGACACGTCCAAGTTGGCCCAGCTGGCTGAGCGGTTGAACGAGATTGTGTTCAACGCCACGGAGCTGGGTAGGCTAGAAATTATAACGAAAACTATCTCTCATAATCTCGGACTTTCTCACTAATAGAAAATGTCTAGGAATCCACCTTTTCAATGGGACCAACTCGACCGGCGAGTTGATCGACGAGACGTTGGAAGTCGGCATTTTATCCGACAGCCTAGATACCGCAGACGCGGTGCGTTTTAGCTATCTAAAATGCGTTCATTCATCCATTCATTCACCTTAAAATTCATTTATACTTTTGAAGGCTAACCCGAATCATAAAGTGATCGGGGTGGTGGCAACAGCTGGCAGAGAACAGGCAGGGTTTCAAAATCAGGTAAAATTTAATTTATATAACTTTATCATTTATAACTAGCAGGACTTTGCTTATTTGATACCTTTACCCGTTGGCCATCTCAGGACAAAGATATCTCCTGGGGCGGCGCCGACCCAAAAGACGAAGATTGGAGCTGGAATGAAGCGCAATCCCACCGTGTTGTGCGCGTCCGCCCCGGTGTCCTGCTGCGCGTCAAGCGCATGGCCGTCGAGGTGAAGGAGGAGGTCAAAAGCGAGGAATGGGCTGATGAAAAGGTATTGCTAAATGATTATTTCATCCCCCATCTGTAACAGCCAGAACCGCGCGATTCTGGGGAATCGTCCACCGAGGTGCTAGTGGTGGATGAGGAGGGGAAGCCGTTGAACGGGTCCGGAAAGCCGAATCGCTTCTTCCACCGCTGGATCGAGATCGACGCCACAGAGGAGACGAGGTTACTTTTTGGAAACCGGATTGAAAATTGCTAATTCAGCCCAACCCTAAGTTTTTTGGCCCCGGAAGCGCTTGAAGCATTGGGGCTTGATGTCCCTGCTGAGGCCTACAAACGATATGAGAAGGTAGAGTGTCGCCGAATCTCCTAGCCTGTTGGGTATGAAAATAAAAAACTAAATCTTAGGTGAGCCTGTATCTACCCGGCATTTGCGCAGAGTACGTTCCAAAGGCGGTCGACGAATTCGACAGCAGCAACTTTGAAGGTACGTATAAAAGCAACGTTCTCGACCTCGCAGGCGTTGAAATTGAGGGCCCCATCGGCGTAAACATCACTGCCCTCGAGGCGGCCGGAGTGAATCTGACAGCCCTCGCCGAAAAACTGCGCAATGACACCGAAGTGGACGACATCTTGTCAAGAACGAATGGCTCCGTCAGGTAGGCAATACCAATTCCATAACATCCACAGCGAGCTTTCCGGCTTCAAAAGTCTAATCCACTTCCAATTAGTCGTATCACAGTTTATTCACAGATTCACAAGACAAAGTACACAAAATCACAAAGTGGATCAAAAATTTTCAAAGCAATTCACAGCAAAATGCAAAAAATGGCGAATGTTCACAACAGCGCCTTCTGGAAGTCGTTCTCCATTTGTTCCTTCGAGATCTTCGTGGTCACTTCCTCTGCCTTCCCAGACTTGCGGCACGTTTCCTCTTCATCTTCATCCTCATCGCACAGGTCGGGGATGAGATGGTCCGAGTCGTCGACCACGGTCTTGGCATCATGGCAGCACGCTAAAAAGAAACATCCACAGATCAGATAAAAACGTACCGATCAAACCAATGGACCGGCCAATCAGAAATAAGCCATCAATGCAGCGCTTCCTGACGATCGCCTTTACTTCGTTTTCAGAGAAGAGCTTCGTATGGCGCAGCATGTCGACGAAAAGAATCCCGATGTAGACCTCCAGCGAGAGGACACGATGCGGATCCTAGGAGCAAGCTGCACCCAAAAAATATAAGCAACCTTGGCGGTAACGGCGGTCCCCACATCATGCGCATACTTCAGCAGGGGAGTCTTGTTCCAGAAGTCTTCTTTGCGGAGCAGGCTCATCAAGAAGTCGAGGCGCGGATCCGGGATGAGCGCAGTGTGGCGCTGAGGGTGCGGTTCTTCGAGCATCTCGTTGGCAAAGTCCTCGGCGGAAACACCGCATTCAGTGGCCTCCAGATAGCGCAGGGTAGTTCGAGTGATGTCTTGGGTAAATTCAGTCGGCTAAAGAAATTCATCAGCAGAAATCAGAGCTCATACCTGGGCCACGAGTCCCGAGGCTACAGCCTGCGTGATGGTCACGTCCTGTTGGTAAGCCTTGGTGGCATTGTAAGCGCTGCATTCACCCGAGGAGACATCTGTGAAGAGAACCAGGAACAAGCTGAGATTCCGCGTGAACCACTCGGGCATCTCACGACCCATCCAGAGGTTCGACAACATGCCACAGACGCCGCCATCCTAGAAAGGTTTATTAAAAAGGCAGTATGCACTATTTATATACCTTCAGAGCCATTCGGTTTATCGGAACTCCGCTCGTGCACAGTTGGCCGCGAATCGTCTCGAAATGGGAAGTATTCAGTGAGCGCTGCCGAAGAAAGCCCAGCTCAACGGCCCAGTCGTAGTGGAGAGCAACGGGTGGTGGGGCTTGCTCGTTCCTGGGCGCCAGAACGTGTTGTTCAACCAATTGGCGAATTTTGGCACCTAAAGCGGTTATATAGAGTAGAATCAAAAACACACCAATCCCTGCAAGAGAGGACGGGACAATGGCACCGGTATCACGGAAGGCCTGGGTTTTCTTGCTAGCAGTCTGTTCCTCGGAGAGCACCAGCCCAGAATCACCGCAGAAGTTGATCTGAAAAAGCAGTAAATTACAATGATCGAAAATGCCTCGTATTTGTACAGCTCCATCGACTGGCCAACGCAGTACGCAATCATCGGAACATTCTTCTTATCTTCCGCCTTCTTCTTCAGGAAATTCATCGCCTCGATCACTTCGTATTCGTCATCTCCGCCGGCTTCACCAAGCAGTACGATAGCTTTCACACTGCAAATATTGTTATTGTCAGGCGACTGCCAAAGCTTACTTCGGATCATTGGAGAACAAGAGGGTCCATTGCAGAAAGCTGGAAGCTGCGAAACGCGAACCACCAATGACGATTCCTGCATAGACCCCGCTAGAGTTTTCACTAAAAAAGGAATAGTAACCGCAAAATCCACGAGTACCTGATCATCCTGTTCAGCTCGACTGCCAGCTCGGCCGAACGTGTGACGTAGGCGACTTGCCCACGGTTATACAGCTTTGTCATCAGAATGTCCTCCAGCGTCCCGCCAGCCAGCCCCGCCTTCATGCGACCGGGCAAGACCGTGCCAACGGATCCGGGGCCAACAATCGTGACCTACAAAAATAGCATGACCGAATCTAGACAGTGTTTACCTGTTGTCGCTTCGAAAGTTTTCCAATCCGACGGGCCTCGTAGTCAGACACCGGTCCGGAGATGATAAACACGGTCTTCAGTTTTTCGAGCAGGAAACGGTATGACAGGACGGCATTTGTTGTCTCATACGCCCAGCCAGCATCGGCAACATTGATCTATGAAAAATCATAAGCGTGAGAAAATTATGACATACAATCGTATTGACGTCTTTGTGGCTGGCGAAGACAGCGTCGAGGGTGCTGTACATGGGGATGGCGACTTGCTTGTGCCCGATATAATGAAGCAGCGAGCCATCGGACTTGCCGTAGACACCGACAATCGATGGAGTATCACGCTGGCATACGTGATCGAAGTCGAGAATGTCCTAAGCCATGTTACATTGAATATAAAACGCATATCAACCTGGATGAATTTCGGTCGGTTCCCGATCACGATGGCCTTCATCGTCTGCTCCGGCAATACGGCAACTGTGAACGGCTCGCTGGAGCTAATGACCGTGTCTACCATATCGGCGGCACCGGGATTCTCTTTGTTCGTTGAAACTGAAGCGGTGGAGCTCTAAAAACTGATTAGACGACTGTTCAAGATTTTCTTACATTCTTGAGGAAGGACACGGCGACAGGTTGGCAATGAGCGCGTTCCCCTTTCGATGGTTGGCTCGTGTTCCTCTGCAGGATCTCATCGACAAATGAGGCCATAGGCTCGGCGTGTCCGCGGGTCGTAAGCTTGATCCCAATTTGTTCGCAGGCGGTGCGCAGATTTCGAACTCCTTCCCCGCTGGCCGAGCCGCCATGACGAAGGAAAATCCGAAGGGTCGTGATTTTCAGCTTGTCGCCGTACAATTTGAGAGCACGCACAAGTCCCTAAAAGGAATTCAGAGCTGAATGTAAAATATACCGTAAAGAAAGGTGCGGCCGAAGAAGAGTCGGCTGCCGAAGTGGTGAGGACGAGGGAATGCTTGCAGTCCACGCGATCACTTTCGAGCACAGCGTTCAGCAGAAAAGTCGTGTAGGCCCAGATATCTTCTTCAGAGGCACCAATCGAGTGTTCGCCGAAGTTGGCGATGCGGTCGCGAGTTCTCTCAGAGGCAAGTAGGTCCCTAAAAAGGAATATTGTATTCGGTAACGCTGTTACATGTAAGCGTGCCCAGTGCCACCGCAGAAGAACGTCCAGATATCGCCTTCCGGGCTGAGGTTGTAGAACTTGAGGAAGGGAGATTTCAGCGCCCGGATCTGTGCTTCTTCGTACGTCAGATCACGCCCAAATGGTGTCGCAATGTCCGCAGGGTCGCCGAAACGAGACGACCATAATTTCCCAATCCCGGGCTCCGCATTACCATCCACCTTCATCCGCAACTCGTCGATAAAGAGAAAGTCGGATGAAACCACTAAAAAAATTTCTAGAGATATAAAAAATACGATACCGAGCGGATCGATTCGAAGGTGGACCATATGCGTCTGCTTGTAGGCGTTATACAATTGATCGATCAGCCATAGCAGATCCGCATCCGTGCTTTCCTTTTCGAGCAAGGCGTCTGGCTCACGACCGATCAATTGCGCGAGCCGGGCCATCGAGAGCGTTGTCGGTGACGTTTCGTGGAAGTCTACCTTCATCGAAGCCTAAGGCGAAGATGCAAAACGGAAAATCCAAAAACCTGGTGCCCGTCGCATCGGTAGGAAATTTTCTCGTAGGTCGCATGGCTGCTGATCTCGATAAAATGCTTCTTGGAGCCCTTCTCATCAAACGCCGGCTCGACCAGGAAGGTATCCAGTGTGCCCGTGCAACCGTTGATCTAAAAGAAAATTTGGAAAGAATGAAAGAGCCTTACAGCCACAGTCCCACCCTTCTTTTTGTCTTCGAACCACTCGATGGCCTCAGCAATCGATCCTCGAAAGCGGAGGGCGTCGTTGTCGGTGGTCGGAATGAGCTGGTCCACTTTGATGGAGATGCCCTAAACAAAACGCATTGGGGGAACAGGTATATTTTTTACCATGTACGCCTCGATCGGGTCAAAGCGGCCGAGCTTCTCGTAGAGCGCCAAACTCTCCGAAAAGTCGGAATCCGCGTGGAGGCGCAGCATCTTCGGGATGGCGATTTGGACCGGGCATTCTTCGAGGGAGCCGAAGTGGCGGTAGACGATCTCCTTGCCACTGAGCTCGGACAGTGAGAGCACGACCATGCTTACCTGTAAAAGTGTGATGAATAAACAAGAAAACAGGATATTCGCTGTAGAACGAAGCGAAGAAAATTGAGGGCAGGGATTGGAAAAAGGGTAGAGAATCAATCGGCAAGCCAAATGAAAAGAAATGTAGGCAGAATAAACGTTATAACAAAAAACTGAGAACTGTGGGAAAGGGATTTGACTAGAAAATAAATCTGCGACCCCCGGGTAAGGAGTAGATCCAGAATACAGGAGAACGGGAAGAAAATACAGTCTAAAAGCCTAGAGTCAAAAAAAATCAACAGAATAATGGGACAATCTTGAATTCAAAAGAAAACGATGGTATTTTCCTCTATAAATAACTTGGCGCTATTTCGGAATAGGGGACCCACTTTGATTGTCCTAAAAACCACTTTTGCTGGGGTATTTTTGCACGGTCGCTCCGAAAAACGGTACCCCATCCCGTAAAACGTACATTTTGACCATGATATTTGATCTTTATAGGATCGCTATGGCACATAGCCTGAAGCTTCCGTCAAAAAAAAATAGCCTAGGACCCCCTTACTTTATACTGGAGCTTGGAAAAGTCGCTCATATAGGGCCTAGCTTACAAGTAGACTCTACGCGAGTTAGGTTCGTCTGGATGACCGAGACTTGGCCTCAATAAAGCTAGTTCATCACTCGGTCTTAGTTGGCTTATAAAGTTTAGAGGTTGCAAAACGGAGCTATCAGTGTATTGTGGCCAACAGTCATGCACGCACACTTAGATTCCCTAGCAGTTCATTAGACTTAGATAATTTTTTTATGTGGAAGGCTAGGGTTTTACAAGTTGGTATGGTGTTTTTCGCAACCAGCACGCAAAACTATCCAAGAAAACATGTCACAAACCCTAGATTTGATAAAATCCAAGTGGGTCCCCTATTCCGAAATAGCGCCAATAACTTTGTAATCGTAGATCAAGAGTCCCGAAGAAAAAGAAGACCCTGTATGAAACAGACTCATAGTGAAGAAAAAATGAAAAGGAAATGGAGCATTCAAGAGGAAAACGCGAGGAAATTTGCGCAAATTCGAAGAGCGCGTCCGAAAAGCCCCAACGTGGTAGAGCGCCGTTTAGGGTGGAAGGAGACATACGGTACCTTACGTACTATGGATCATCTCGTACTGATCAAGCGAAAACTCTATCTTCAAAAACCTCTCTACAAAACCTTATTGTACAATTTCGACTTACAGAACGCTTGGTGGAAGCTACATTCTGCCCGTGCTCAATAAAAACCAATATGACCCCTTCTCGGCGCCGATCGTTTTTCAGGTAACGCTCCACATTTTCAAACTATTCCCCAGGGAAGCGCTGTTTCAGTTCGTTTCGGCATCTACATCGAATCGATGAGCAACTTCCAGACGTCCACTATGGTGCGTCCACTTCGAAACTGTCCTATAAACCGCCACCTTAAGGATTATGACATGGACATCTACCTAATGATGGCGTGGCGTGATGCGCGGCTGGTAAATCCCTACGAGAAGCCGATCCTGGTAAAGGAAGAGGAGATCCTCGAGGTGATTCCAAACATCAACTACTTGACGAAAAACTTTAGAAAATCTGGCGTCCCGACCCCTTCTTTGCCAACGCGAAAGAGGCCGAATTCCACGAGGTCTCTTTCCTCAACTTTTTGATGCGAATATTTCCGGATGGACTGGTGCTATACGAGACTAGGTAGCTGCGTTGCCTTCTCTAAAGCTTAAACTAGCTTTTAGGATCAAGCTCCGCCCGGCGTGCAATTTGATTCTGTGCAAGTATCCGCACGACAAGCAGACGTGCGAGTTGCAGATAAAATCTTGTAAGTTGTAACGAGCTTTTGGAATAACGCCTTTAGTTGCTTATCCAATAGAGACGGTTCGCTTTGAATGGTTTACCCGGAAAAAGGTGGGCATTTGTTTAATTTAAAAATTCCGTTTTTCACGAAATTTTTAGGATGCAATCGACAAAAATCCCGACGTGAAGCTTCCAGAGCTATACATTGATCGTTACGAGCCGAGGTCGTGCAACAGGACCCGGAAATCAGGTAAGTTTTGTATCAAATTTGATCAAACAAAATTACTAGGCGAATTCTCGTGTCTACGAGCAGTTTTCCGGCTGAAACGAGACGTCGGATTCCACGTTGCCCAGACTTACATCCCGACCTCATTGGCGCTGATGTTTTCATGGGTTTGAGAGAGAAAGAGTGCCTTTCATAAAATTCGACTTCTAGGTGGGCGTCTGGTTACCGGAAGAGTTTATGGAGGGCCGCATCGGTGTGGCTATTACGGTGCTTTTGACGTTGTCAACCGAATCTGCCGGGGCCAGGGAGCATTTGCCGAGTGTCTCCTATTTAAAGGTACTTCCTTAGTTTCTAAACTGATCATGGCATCCAATTTTCAGGCAATTGATTTATGGTTCGGGTTCATCACCGGCTTCGTGTTCTTCACGTTGCTGCAAACGCTGTTTGTCATCGGTTTTGATAAGCGGGCCGGGCAATTGGTAAGCGACGATGCAGAAATAGAGAGCGATTCCTGTCACTAAAAGAGTATTTTTTTCTAGGGTGTTTTGGGTCGAAAAAAAGATGGATACTCTGACAAAAAAAAAAGCTTAAAACTCCCTTACAAAATTTCTAAAACTCACAAAAAGAAATCCCCTTTTCAGCTCAAAATTCTGAATTCTAACCCTTTCAGCGCAAATGGGCAATGAAAAAGAAGGCTGATGTGACAGAAGAGCTGCGGGACGCCATCCTCACGAAAGCAAACCGATACCACAAAACCGGGCGGTGAGTTGAAGCTTCAAACCGGGAGAAAAAAATAATGCCATTCCTTAAATGGTATGAAATTTCGGGAATCTTTCAGAATCTCGCATTATCATAATCTCGCATTTTCATAATCTCGCATTTTCATAATCTCGCATTTTCAGAATCTCGCATTTTCAGAATCTCGCATTTTCAGAATCTCGCATTTTCAGAATCTCGCATTTTCAGAATCTCGCATTTTCATAATCTCGCAATTTCAGAATCTCGCAATTTCAGTCTAGCAACTTTTCCAAGGGCTTTCCAAGGATTCCAAGAATTCGATGAATGATGATTGATCACGGAATAAGCGGATCACACCAAATTAATCGAATGTCTGGGCCACTAATTTAAGGAATTCGAGATGGTCATATGCGTCGTACACTTCGTGGAGGCCACGCTGGGCCTGGTAATCGACGGCAATGGGTGTCTGCTACCTGCCCTGTTGCTGCGCCTCGATTAGACGGTTGTCGGTGCGTTCCTGGAAACCGTCCAACGTTTCCAGAAACTTCCAAATGCCGAGGCTCTGTTAGTTGTACTTAGTAGAAATGCAGCTAGTCTATGGGAATTGCGAGATTATGAAAATGCGAGATTCTGAAAATGCGAGATTCTGAACATGCGAGATTATGAAAATGCGAGATTATGAAAATGCGAGATTATGAAAATGCGAGATTATGATAATGCGAGATTATGAAAATGCGAGATTATGAAAATGCGAGATTATGATAATGCGAGATTATGAAAATGCGAGATTATGATAATGCGAGATTATGATAATGCGAGATTATGATAATGCGAGATTCTGATACCAAATCGAAATTTCAGGTATCTCGACAACTTCTGTCGCGTCTTCTACCCATTGTCCTTCTTGCTCTTCCTCATCATGTATTATTTCGTCTTCACCGAAGGGCGTCAGGACGACTGTATCTCCAGGCGGGATTAGGCAGGGCACCACAACAGAGCTTGAATCGATTTTCATGTCTACGGGTCGCACAATAAACCAAATATCTAGGTATTTTAAGTGCAAAAAAATACAGTTGAGGTAATGAATGATTTATTCTTTCACAAAATATGGCGAATCGCCGCGCGAACAAGACGACAAGTAGAAATGTGGCAGTATTGGGTAAGGGGGCCGCCGTTGGGTCAGTATATTTTTTCAGGCCGCATTCTCAGCGCAGCGCGCGCAGCCCGTCACGCAAGTCGTCAACAGGATAACCATAAGGCAGAGTGCCTGAAAATTTCGCGATTCTTTGGTGTTATCGGGGGGGAAGAAAATTTGTCCTTACTTTCGAATCTGGAATAAAAATCGAGGTTTCTAGACTTTTTTACTAATTCGAAAGAAATCTATGAAAATCTACCTATAAAAACACAAGAATATCGATCGATTTTACGAGCAAAAAGGAACAATTTTCGTACAAAATTCCGAATTTTCACATTTTTCTAGACCAGTTTCCTACTTGAAACAGGTGAATAATCAGGGATTATATCGGAAAGCATGACAAATCCGACCATGAAATGGCTGATGCCTGCGCGGGCGCAATGATCGCGACAGAGATGGAATTCGCCAATCTAAATAGCCATTAAAAGGTATCACAAATGACGAAGCTCTACCGATTTTCCGGAGATAGGATTCAGGACACAGCCGATCCGGCGACGCGCGTCTTGTACCTGTAGAGAAACAGCAATACGGTGAAACTTACCGATTCCAGTTAAATGCTTAAATTATAAAAGTTTGTACATTATAAAAACTAAGAAAAACTACCAAAGCTCTCCATTGCCCCTCGGGGACGAAGTCATAGTTTCGCCCTTTGGCCAACGGACCGAGCGTGCAAGTTTGATAACTCTCTCCGCCTAAGACCGGAATTCATTTTTAAATTGGATCACCAACCCTCGTGCGCGCAAACGACCGAAAAATTCCGCAAAAGCTCGTCGGGTTGAAACATGTAGCCGATCGGGATCGCGCTGTTCGAACACAACTCCAGGCGCGTCTTCAGCAAGTTCAGCGTCACGGGATTTGAACTAGAAAAAGCACAAAAATTCTAATAATTTCACAGATTTGATAGAACCTACATGTCGGCGTAGGTAGTCCGTTGATAGGCCTCGAGTTCGTTGAGCTCTTCAAGCCACTTGACCTTCTCGCGCAGCCTCATGAAATCGCCTCTCGTCTTCGAGCTGCAAATCTCGTGCCGGCCGCAGACGATCCGGGCGTCTCTTCGGGCCAAGGAAAATCCCTGAGCAAATGAGGGCCAAGGGACATGGGCTTACCGTAAACAAAAACAGCCACCATAAAGCTTGCATCGTGCGAATGAATGTTTGTTTGTGAGAGAACTCGCAGAGTATCCGACTAAAACATGCAAATCAAGCATGTGACTTTCCCTTTCACCTCCCCTTCTATTTCGCGTGAATTTAGCTATTGCATAACTTTATAGTAAATAACAAATCCGGTCAACCAACATAATTATTTGAAAACCAAAATTCATCGGTAGAGGGTGATGATCAACAAGCGTGGATAAATCGAGGGGAATTATTGGAAGGACGCCGTTTTTACTAACACACAACGCTTGGCAAAAAAGGAGAGACCAGTTGGAGCGTAAGGACCAAGTAGACGCGCGGCAGATTGTAATCGCAAGAGGAAAAGGGGGACGCTAAGTTTCTAGAAAAGAAGTGATTTTCGAATCGGTGGTCGTTGCTCAGCGTCGTCCCTCTTGTGCAGTGGGTGGTGGAGGCGGCCCGCTTCGCGCCAGCTTGTCGACATAATCTTCAAGGATACGATCCCGCTCGGAACCAGAGTCCTTCATCAACAGGTAACGTTTGTCTTTCTAAAAAAGGATAAAGTGCTTTATAGATCTTTCACGATTACCTCCAGAACGGCCAAAATATCCTTCAAGTGCTGCTCGTTCTCCTCCATCTTTTTCTTGCTTTCGTAGGTGATGATGGGCGTCTCCTTGAGCAGGTCCTTGAAGTCCTTGATCGACTTCTCGTGTCGCTCCTCCACCCAATCACGGAACTCTCGCTCAATTTTCTAAAAAGAAACGTCAATATTTTACGAGAACCCAATACCCTCTCAGAAAGTTGGCCGAGGCACTTTTGGAAAATTTCTTCCTTCTCGATAACCTTGCGGGCCTCTTTCCATCTAAAATCATATGAACGAAGCCAATAGAATTCATACCGCATATTTTGGTTGATGGTCTCGTGGTCGCTAAGGAGTTTCTTGAATGCTTCTCTGCGCTTCTTGTCAAGTGCCCTAAACATACAACTAAAACATCTTAGCTTGTCTCACTTGATGTGCTCTCCGAAAATCTTCTCCTTTTCGCCCTTGTCCAACATGTCGCAATCCTCGTAGCGGTTGTCCTTGCGGAGGGTGCGTTTGCCGTCATGCCATGAAACATCGGCGGATTTTATCTAAAACAAAGGGTTTTGGATATTTATATCGCCAATACCAAATCGCTGCAGATGGCCCGGAAGTTCTGTTCGTGCTCTTCACGCTTGTGGCGCTCCAACTCCTTTCTTCTCTCTTGCATTTGGTCGCCATGTTCAGCTTCGACCTGAGAAAGGAATGTAGGGATTATAGAGCTGAAAAAATATGGTACCTCCTCTTGACGTCTGGCCAAGGCAGCCTCGGTAGCAAGACGCTTCTCGCGAGCCTGCTCTTCCTCTTGGTCCTAAACACAAATTTATTTATTCTAGCAAAACAGTAGCTTACGGAAAGTGTCTCATCACCAAGCTTGTCGGTGTATTCCTTGAACAGTGCTTCTCGGGCCGAGCTGTCCAGGTGCTTGTCTTTGTAGCTAAAGATCTTATTTTGTGAAAACAGTTATTTTCTACCGTTCATCCTCTTCGATCCCCTTCTTCACTTCCTTCCATTTCGACTTGCGGGTCAGTCCTCCTTGCTCTCCCAGGAGTTCGAGGAAGGATTTCTTCGCCTTTTCCTTCTTTTCGCGTCGTTCCTCCTTCTCTTTCTTGTGGATCTCACCTACGACCTCGTTGAACATGTCCTCCCTAAAAAAACATTGCATAAATTCAGCAAAAAAACGCACCTGTCACGCATCTTCTCGACAGCTTTGAAGCGCGGGTCCTTGCCAAACTTGGACGAGAAAGATGAGAACGAGGACCTGCAAAAAGTTTTAGAAAAAAAGCAAAAAACCCACTTTCCATGTAGCTCAGCCTCCTGAAGCAACTCTTGGAACTTGTCTTTGGCCTCCTTCGCACGTTTCTTCTTCTCGGCACGCTCCTTCTCAGATTTCTCCTTGACAAAAGCTTCAAAAGCAGCGCGACGCTCGTTGGCGGACAGCAGCAAGTAACGTCCGTCAAAGACAATTTTTGACAGCTCCTGAAAAGAAGTAATGAGTTGAGCGGCAGATATTGCCGTTACCTTCTCAAAAGTGCTGTTGGTAGCGATATCCTTTTCGACGAGCATTTCCTTGAATTGTTTGAGGCGCTCCTCCAGCGGAACCTGAAGGGAGGATTTAGAAAAATCAATGTTTTTTTTCTAACCTGGTTCCTCTTGCGCTGGGCCTCCAGTTCGGCTTGGATCGCCGGATCCGGCTCCTTCTCGAGCATCTGGCGTACGGGTTGCTAAAAAAGAACTGTGTAAGAGCGACACTGGTGGCTGTTCCTAGAAAGCCTCATGCGTGGTGATGCCATCGCAAACTATCAAAATTGCATACCTTCGCAGCCTTTGCTGCCTCCTGAGCAGCCAGTTGCTTTCGCAGCTCGGCTTCCCGCTTCTTCTCTTTCCGACTCTTCTTGGCAGGCGTTGGCCCGGTTCCCTCGTCATCATCACTCTCCTCGGTACCAGGCGACATGAGAGGAGCTTCAGTAGCCGGGGGAATTTCTAGACGCAAATATTCTACTCCCTTTCCAAAAAGACTCACGTTTTTCCACCTTCGGCGGTTTGGAAATGAGCTCATCCACGTCGGCACGATTATAGAGATCCGGTGGCCGCTCCCAGACAGACGTGCGAGTCGACGGGTTGTAGAAGAAGACCTTGGTGTCCCCCGTCCACACCACGCACCACGGCGTGCCGGAAATTGGGGTGCTGGTGACCGGGCGCGACTTGTCCTGGTTCTGCTAAACCAGCGTGAAAGAAGCTAGAAAGGCCATACCTTGGTAGAAACTTGAGTTAAGGGAGCACGCTCTTCTTTGTTCTTGGCTGCCTCAGCAAGGCGAAGTTGCTAAAAAAAGTAAAATAATTTGTAACTGTAAATTTTCTTACCACTTCGGCCAGAGCTTGCTGAGCCTTCTCCCTAGCGGCCAATGTGGCTTCGTCCATTTCCGTTGGCATGCCGAAATTAGCTGAAAACAAATATAATAATAACAGTTTAAAGAACTTGCCTTCGCGGACCTTGAGCGCCTTCGGCTTCTCCCATGTGTTCTCTTGGGTGATCTGGTTGAAGTAGTATTTGCGTCCGTCAGGAGCTGTGAATTCTTGCCAAGCCTCGTCGATCTTGCCAGGGGGCGGATAGCCGCCAGGAGGGCCGCCTAAAGCAAAGAATTAATATCATTTGTAGCACGCACCCATGGGCGGGAATCCATGGCCGCCAGGGCCAGGAGGCATCATCGGAGGACCAGCTAAAAAAATATTTTTGCGAAGCCTCCAAAATATTTTGAAAAAATTATACCACTGCTTCGTAGAAACCCTCGCAAAAATGCCCCCCATTCAACAAATCGCTAAGTTCCCGATAAGTTCATTTGGTGTAAAAAGTGAAATTTACAAAGAACAATGGAGTGTGTGGGCCGGGGGAATCTCTTCTACTGCCGGGTCCATGGGCAAGCGCAGCCACGCCGAAAGTCGACTATAATAAGCCAAATAGAAGGATATCCTCAGAATTTCAGAATACATAGCACAAAAAACACAATTGAAGATATCCCCCTTTCAAGTAAAAACAAAGGATGCCTGTTCAGTAATCGATCCTCCTCCCATGCGCATCCAAAATCGAGCAGTCGTCAATTTATATTCCGCTAAATATGACTTTACCTATCAAGCTCCAGCTGAACCATTTGATTATAAAGAGAAAAGGAGGCTCATTTTGTTACAGGTGAATCGAAATTCCCAGAATAAACGACATACGGTCTTTCGCTCCGACGCGCTCCCTCATCGACGACAACAAGACGGCAATCCCAGAGGACAATTATCACAGAGTATCACCAAATTTACGACCCGTATATATACCACTTTACCAACCTGCTTACCATCAGGCACCCAGAGCAAAACATTTTAAAGGCAAATACAAGCTGAGCTCTCAAAACTACTTACCACGCTCACGTTCGGCCTTTTCCTCTTCGGTGGCACGGGTGAGGAGGTCGGTTAACTCCTCCTGGGTTACCAGTTTCGCATTCTCCGGTCGCTCCCATGCAGTCTCGCGAGTGACGGCGTGGAAGAAGTACGGCTTTCCCTCAGGCGATTGCGTCTCCACCCAGACTTCTTCTGTAGGCAAGCAGCCAGCCAACTAAACGATGGATGCTTAGCAAATACGTATAAAAATACAAAATAACACACTAATAAAAAAGAGCTCGGCCTATAGAGACACTAAGACTGGCAAATCAGAAGGTAAACCAACCTTTTTCAAACGATCTGAAGGCGTAATAGTGACCGGTGGATGGAAGAAATACCCTCCACGACCTCGCATCATACCGGGAGGGCCACCGCGGAAGGGGCCAGGCGGGCCGCCGGGTCCACCGGGAGGGCCTCCGCGCCATGGGCCAGGTGGGCCGCCGGGTGGGCCATTTGCTGGACGAGATGTGAAGGGGATTCCTCCAGGACCGCCACGGAAACCACCGCGACCTAAAAATTGAAAATCAACGTAGCTCTACAAAGCGTTACCTCTGAATCCTCCAGGAGGGCCTGAGAACTCGTCACCGGGACCGCCGTGTCCACCTCGATAGCCGCCACGGAAGCCTCCTTGTGGTGGTCCGCCATATGGCGGCTCAAAGTCGTCTTCGGGGCCACCTCGCGGAGGTCCGCTCCAGCCACCACGTCCGCGGAACCCGCCACGTCCCCGAAATGCTGGAGGCGCGAAGCCGTTGCCGTGGTCGCCGCTGTCCTGGTCGAAGTCTTGCTCACGATCTGATACAAAATGATTGATTATGGAAAATAGTGCCGTTACCTTTGCCATTCTGGAACTGATCGGCCCCATCGTGGTCCATTTCTGGAGAAGCGTGCTCGTCACCCATCTCTGTAAGGATGGGTTGCTTTAGAAATTGGGGAGTTTGTGATATTGATAAGAAAAAAAGGGAGAGCAAGAGCCGAAGAATGCATAGTAGAGAAAACGGAGGCGATTAGAAAACTCGCACGGATTGCACGGTGCCAGTTGCTTGGATTAGTTTTTGTATGGTCGAAAATATAGGCTAAACTATGTAAGAACACATCAAATAATTTAAGGAACCGTAGAATCTTTGTAGAAGTCTCTAAGCTGTTTGAGGGAATAAAAACAATTATTGCAACACAAAACGTGCGCGCCGTGGGACATTTTCTAATCGTCGAACGCTGAAAGGCTTAGCGGTAGTTGACCGAGATAAAAGTTTTATGGAAGGCCAAAAGCCTAAAGACCTTTCCCAAAGCGCGCATTCCGAGGAACTTCTCGGGATTCGTAAGGGGGAAGATCCGGAAAATTGAAAGGGGCCAAATTTGCCGCCGCCACAAAGAGGCACGCGACGCGACCGCAGCGGGGAGAGAGTGGGTGAAAGTGAGAGGGAGCAGAGACGGGCGATCGTCGAAAAGAAGTCGACAAGTGAAGAGGGGTTCGCGAGGAACACGTTCGCAAAATAGCGGCTGGGATTTGAAGAGTGGGGACGATGAGTCAGCCGCTGGTCGTTCTTTTACCGGCTTATCAACATCCTCTACCACTTGTCTTTGTTGCTTTATCCTCGAGTGTGCCGAAAGGCTTATGAAATCCAATTTACTAGCTTGAGCTCCATCATTTTGAGCTAACGGTCTTGCTCCTGCAATTTACTGTTCTTCAAATTCATATTGAACGTTGGTGTTTTCGCAAAATCGGCAAGGGAAGCGATTTTTTTCTTCTGATCCAGTTATTTCTATGAATGTCAGCGAATATCTTTACAATGATTCAGGCCAATTGTTCACCACATTTTAAGTGAAAAAAAAAACGTTTAAGATGATGTGAAAATATGTTTGAAAACTTGGCACTTTTCCCAAAAATTCGATGCTTTTTGCGATTTTGTGCTTTTGCGATTGGCAATAGTAACAAAAACCTGTAGTTACGTAGAAACAGCTACTATTCAATTTTTGAAAAACTGAATCATGTGGAAAAATTTTGTTCCCTGCCCCGGTTTTTCGAATGCACCTCAACTTCTCATCTGTTTTCAGGAATGGACCCACTATGGCGTGCAAAGGTCGGGCCCAAGCCGGTGATCCCGAAAAAGGTCGAGCAGGACGACGACTGGGAAACAGATCCTGATTTCGTGGTTGGTTGCTTTGTAAGACTCGTCACAAACTGCTCCAGAATGACATCACCGAGAAGGATCAGCGCTGGGGCTCGAAGACAGTCGCGGGCAGTGGCCATCAGGACACCGTCGACATGTCTCAATTCCGCAACGAGGCCATCAAGGTTGGGATCAATTTCTCGGAATCAAAGAGGGCTTCAGTCGGACGAACTGCACCGCGAGCAAAAGCTGGCCACTATGCCCAAGCCGAGCGAAGGTTATGGCGGCAAATTCGGAGTGCAGACGGACCGAATGGATAAGGTATTTTTAGTGAATTAATTCGGTTTTATGATTTGTCTAGGCTGCTGAGAACTTCGAATACAAGGGCAAAGTTGAAGCGCACGCCTCGCAGAAAGACTACGCGTCTGGTTTCGGCGGGAAATACGGTAATTTTTAGCTCCAAAGGCCGTTACCACCTTCAAAAACCCAACTCAACCTTCTTTCTAGGTGTCCAAACTGATCGGCAAGATAAGTCAGCCGTCGGCTGGGACGATAAGTCTGTGCTCAGCAAGCACGACAGTCAGAAAGGTACATTTTACTGTAATTTGACTTAATCTTCCTTCGTGAATTCGCGAAAACGTGTAATTTATAGATTACAAACACGGATTTGGTGGTAAATTTGGGGTTGAGACGGACCGGCGGGACGCGAGTGCCGTCGACTGGTCCTACCAGCATAAGCTAGAATCCCATCCCTCGCAGCGAGGTTCCGTAATCTGCATGGTTTCTCTATTAGGCGGAATGCGAATGCCTTATCAACTTTTAATGGGCAAGCATAATTCGGTGCTTGTGCGTTATCGGGGAGGCTCAAGTTTCGTTAGGGCCTTTTCTTGAACTAAAATAACTAGGAAAGTGTTTTGGTAATGTTTTTTTGCTATTCCTAAACCTAAAAACTTTCCAAGGTTTTGGTAAAAAGTCGAGAGACTGGATTTTCGCCGGAAATTTCAAATTTTAGACTTTTGTGGTTTTCTGATGTGTTCTCCATTTGAAATATCTTGACCCCTCCTCCGATAATGCACAAGTACCCACACTTTTTGTCGTTTTGAGCCCGATTCCCCAATTTTTCGGTTCCACTTAATCAATACCAAAATTTCGGGTGTTACTTGGTCAACAAAGACTCAAAGCTCAACCACTGTCTAATTGCCTGGAAAACAAACTTGACATTTTTTGTGTGGAGAGTTTTAATCCTCCTCTTTTTCTCCTTCCCCGAGTCACTAAACCTCAATTACCGCCTAAGTAGCCTGGTTCCCGCAGCTCGTCTGTGACGGAATGAAACGTGGTGCATGCGGTCCCGATGATGCCACGGAAATTCCACGTTTCAGACGCGGCCTCCGGCTATGGCGGAAAGTTCGGTGTGCAGAAGGATCGTCAGGACAAGTCGGCCACCGGTTGGGGCGACAAAACGGCGGCCGCTCAGCACGAATCGCAGTCGGGTGGGTTTGTTGTCGCATATTTTTTCCTAATTGTTGCTTTTTGGTGTGTTTCGAATTTTAATTTTTGTTTCTTTCGGCGTATCGGGGAGCGCGTTTTTACGATGTGGGCAGATATACGTAATAGTACGTATTTTAAGACCTTATTTAGTAAAATTTAGCGACTATCGAAGTGGAAAACTATTGAGAAAATGTTTAAAAGGGTAAAATTGGGTCGAAAATCGTCCTTTTTTTCTCCGAGAAATCAGTATTTAAGTCTTACAACTTGCAGATTTTTTACCTGTAGGAGCCTATAAAAAGCAGAGTAGTTACACAGTCAAATTGGATGCTAAGAAAATCAGAAAATCATCCCCGGAAAATCGTCTTTGAATTACCAAAAACCATTTTTTTAGATTACAAAAAGGGCTTCGGCGGGCAGTTTGGCGTGCAGACGGATCGGGTCGACAAATCGGCCGTCGGCTATGAAGACCGGAGCTCCCTGGCCGCCCATGAAAGCCAAACTGGTAATATTTTAGTCTAACGGTTTTTAATGTCACAATTCAGATTACAAGAAGGGCTTTGGCGGGAAATTCGGCGTGCAAGAAGATCGTCAGGACAAGTCGGCGGTCGGCTGGGGTGACAAATCCTCCCTGTCGGCACATGAGAGTCAGACCGGTGAGTGGGCAATTTCGGCTTCCTCACACAGTGCCGTGATTCAGATTACAAGAGGGGCTTTGGCGGGAAGTTTGGCGTGCAGTCGGACCGTCAGGACAAGTCGGCGGCCAGCTGGGAGGACCGTGAGAATGTGACGAAGCACGAATCCCAGACTGGTTGGTTTCGCTGTGCTATGCATTACTAAAATTTTCAAAAGTTGATTTTTGGCACAAGACAAATTGGAAAAGGATAATGAAGTACCATTCTTTTTTTAAGATTACAAGAAGGGCTTCGGTGGCAACTTTGGCGTGCAATCCGACCGCCAGGACAAGTCGGCCGTCGGGTTTGAGCACCACGAGTCGCTGAGCAAGCACGAGAGCCAGCTGCACAACAAGGCCTTCAACCCGAAGGACGAGCAGTCTCGTGGGGGCGATGCTGGACCCGAGAAGCCCAAATTCACACGTGAGAAGCCGGAGGCTCCACGTAAGCGTCATTGACTTTTCCCTAATTTTGTATTTTAGAGAAAGGCAACGCGTCCAGCTTGCGGGCCCGCTTCGAACAATTGGCCACGCAAGATGTAAATTAGCGGTTGAAGGTTTGATGACCTTTTCTTTTAGGGCACCGATCGTGTTGCGGCCGAACGGGAGAAGCGCAAGAAGGAAGACGAGGAGCTTCGCGCTCAGCAGCTTCGATCGGAAGAAGAGCGGCAGCGCAGGTAACGCTTTTTCGTTTTTTCTCGGACTGACGTATTTCAAAGTTAATTTAATTTCAGAAGACCTATTAAATCAAAGACTCAGCGGTTTGAAGTTTTGCTTTTTCTTGGCCACATTGCTTTGCCGAATTTGCCGCGATTTCACGAATCCTCGATTTTCCAGGGTCGACGAGGACTGGGATCGGCGCGAGAAGGCCGGCCTCACCCAAGACACTGGCCCCGACGACGAGGAGGAGCGACAACGCCAGCTGCGCGAGCGTAACCAAGCCGCCAAGAAGTCGGGCCCGGTAGCCGGTGCCGTTTCGGTGATGCCGATCGCGAAGGCCCCGGTCGCTTCTGCCCCAGAGCCGGCCCCTGTCGCCCCTGCCGCCGTCAGCCAATATTACGAGGTAATTTTTGTGCAATGATTTACGGTGCTTTCGCAATATTGGGTGGAAAATTCTTATTTTTTTTAATAAAATTTCGCTATACTGGAAGTGGAGAAATTAGTTAGAAAACTTGGAAACTTGGTATTTTGCATTTTGTGATAAAAATTTGTAAAGTTTCGCGTCGATTAATAGTTAGAAAACGGTGTAAAATTGCGATTTGCGAATAATTAAAAAAAACACGGGTTTATGCGATGATCTTGCTTTTCATCTAACCGTGTCATTATTCCAGGAGCCACCCGTTGACGCTCCACCGCCAACTGCCCCAGTTGCCGTCCTTCCAATGTCGCCACCTCCGACGCTGACCCCGGCTAATGCTGCAGTTGCGGCCGGAGTTCGACGGGCCCCGTCGAGCGACGATGAACAAGACGATAACGACGATGACTGGAACGACGACCCGCCGAATCTCACGAACCAGGGAGCTGCTCCAATTCAGGTAGTTCCGAATTTTTTTTTAAGATACAAGGCTTGTTTTAGAAGATTACTGCTGAGCCGGTCGCTCTGCCGAGTTACGACTTCGTTCCTGGCGATGAGGTGAATATTGTATAATTGTTAATAGATATGATTTTATGGTTCTTTTGCAATATCGGGGTATAGGCTTTTAGGCGGAAATCTTTATTTTGCTTTTTTGACCGAAATTTGTAAAGTTTTGCTTTTTACGTAATCAAAAAAAAAGCCGTGTAGCAACACATATCCAATGAATCAACACGCATAAAATGTTATGCCATTTAATTAACCTGTAATTTAGCCGTCCGCCCCGCCACCTCCGGCTCCCACTGCTGCCCCTGCTCAACAGCCCGGAACCTACTACGACACCGTGCCCGGCGAGGACAAGGGGCTTTGCGGTCAGTTCTTCCGGTTTTTGCCTAATTTTTCCTTACTTTAGCCATCGCCCTGTTCGACTACGAGAAGCAGGACGAAGACGAGATCAGCTTCAACCCCGACGACGTCATCACCCACATCGAGCAGGTCGACGCCGGCTGGTGGCGCGGACGATGCAACGGGCACACCGGCCTGTTCCCCGCAAACTACGTCGAGCTGCAGAAGTGAAACAACCCGACGAAGAACCGATGAATTCCGTTTTTGACATGTCAAGTCACCCATGTGCTTTACCCCTTCCCAATGCTCACCCATTTTCACACGTTTTGCGATTTCACTTGTTCTTTTTGAATGCCTTTTGCACGTTTCCACCCCTCACCCCGACCTACTAATTGTATGCTAATCCCCTGTAAATTATTGGGTACTAGTCAGTTAGCGGTGGGAGCTAACCCCGCCCAGTAATGAAATATCTACATTTATATGATTTCTTACGGCTTTTTAGGCATAGAAATTATTGAAATTTTCGGAAATTCCTTAATTTTTGCGAAATGGCTTGGCCCCCCGCTAACATCCCAGTACCAACGATTCCCGATCATCTTTTTTGTCTCACGCTCCTCTCAAATCACGACCAACTGTGTTCCTCCTGGCCCTCCGCCCATCCCGCACGCATTCGGTGTCATTTCCAAAAATTCTGTGCTATCGCTTGCAAATAAAGCAACATTTTTCCTGCTCAATCCGAGTCTGACGAATCCGAGTTTGGCACCCGGCACGCGGTCCCAATGCGGAAGCGAGCTTTGTATGAATTGGACGTCGGGCAGCGGCTGTCGGTGCTGCTCTTCTTGGCCACCAGCTCGCGGCGCTTCTGCTTCGTCTTCTTCTTCGAGCCCTCGACGTCGTCGGGGGCACCGCCGTGTTGACTTGGGTGCAGACTGGAGTGATGGGAATATATTTGGTGCTTTAGCATTATCGGGGGGGGCTGCAGTTTCCTGTAATCTTAGATCGGTAAAGTAATCTCATAGCAAGCAATTTCGTAGCTTTTATGAGTAATTTAGCTATATTTCAAGTAGAAAAACTACTTACAAAATTTTCGATAATTTGGAACTGAATTATAAACGGAGATCTTTTCTAATTTTCTAATAAAAATCGGTAAAATTTTTACGTTTACGAATACGGAAAACAGCGCGTAATATAGTTCGCTACGCTTTTTGCTACGTTTCTCCAAAACTGACACAATTGTGACGCAATAGCCGACACTGATGATGGCGACGAAGAGGGCGATGAACACGGATTGGAGCACGATGTCTGGAAAGTGGTTTACGATTGTTTCGGGGATTTTTTACCAAAGTGACACGTGGAAGTTATTCTCGCAATGTTTTAATGTACCTTGTGCGCCAAGGGCAAAACGTTTATGCATATTTGAGGGGGCGTGGCGTTTATTTTTGGAATTTTTCGAAAACACGGGGTTTTGGACAGCTTCGGGACTGTTTTGTATTAGCTAAAAAAGGTTATTAAACTTTATTCGTTTTCCTTTTGTTTTGTTCAAGCCTTTCTGAGATTTCTAAGCTTACATTGCTGCGGCCAGGGCGTCGCGAAAGAGGAGACGACGATTCCCGCACACTTCTGAATTTTTGGGCTTTTCAAAATCTTGTTTTGATCGATTTAGAAATGGTTTTTGACCGACCAGCTCGTCATCCATAAACCATAGGCCATAAGCCGCCGGGTCCATGGTTTTTTGGGCTCTAAAGTTTCGGTCAAGCTATTTTCGCAGCAGCCAAGCTACCAACCTATGTGCGAGCAGCTTTGTCGAACGACTTTTCTGCCTTTTCTAGGGTTTTTATAGATGGTAACTTGGTGCTATTCAAGCTTAGGTTATCGTTTTTATGCAAATTGTTTCCTATGGGTCCAGGTTGATCGAATTCACGATAATAGACGTAGAAAAACTGCAAAAAATGGTTTGAATAACCCGAAAGTTATGTCATTTTGCGTAGCAAAAACTGTTAGTGGGGGGAGGTTTTTTTAGCCACCCGGGAAAGGCTAATTTTGTATTTTTCCGCTGGTTAATTAATAAGTAAACTACTTCTCCAGTATGCTGATAATAGATTGTGTATTATTATCGTGTTGTTAGTAGTTTTCAATGCTAGAACGTTGTAAAGAGAAAAATTTCACCATTGTTCGCAGTTTTACATACATTTTCAAGCCAAAAGTCAACAATTGCGAACAATTTTGCTAATTTTTTTGCGCTTTTTCTATCTAAAAACTGTGTAAAGGACCATAAAATGGCTCATATTTCGTTAGAAAGCCATGCGGGATTACCGGCGAAACGTTGCTATGCCCCTTCCTACCCCCCAATAAGAGTAAAGTATCAAAAATCTTGGCTTGAACCGATAGACGTTCGCACCGTCATAAATCGGCTTCTTCTCCCGTGCAAGCGGCAAAACACGACAAGCCCTTTTTCTCAAACCTCGTGCTACCCATCGAATTCTGAACAGCGCATTCCAAACATTACCCCCATTCGCGCAGCCATTCCATTTTGTTTGCGCAAAAGTGAGTAAGGCTGCTCGCCCGGCTCGGCCCCTTTTTGGTCTCGGGTCCAGCCGAGTGAGGCAAAAAAGTATAAATCCAGGTGCTGATGCCAACAATCGGAGGGATCTATGAGGATTGACGTACTTCGGGCACAACCACCAAAACCACTGCCCCAGCTGCCCCCCGGCTGATCAAACTGATGTTTGTGGCTTGACGGGTGTAATTTAAGCCTGATGAAGCCTCAGAGTATACCGCGGGGCATTGCGTGTTTTCTTTCCTTTCCTTTACTTTTCGGTTTTATAGTGTTTTGAGCTACTTCCGACTACTAAAAAACTCAAAGTTTTCAAATTTTTACAATTTTTCGGTGCTTGTGCGTTATCGGGGGAGGGGGTTTGATTTTACCTTGAAAAACTATCTAAAAAACTTTAAAAACCCGAAGTTTTGGAGGGAAATCGGCCAATTTTACTCGGAAAACCGATGTTTTTTGTATTTTTCAACCAAACTTTGTAAAGTTTTGCATTTAGGATTAGTAAAACGCAGTTTAAAAGCACTTCCACTATTTAAATTAAAAAAGCGGCATTGTAACGGAAAATTTGCCTTCTAAGTCCCTCCCCCGCTAACAGAACAGAACCGCAGAGAGCCCAGGAGAAGCCGTAAAGTGTACTGTTCTGACGTTTTTCACTCCGATTAGGATTATTGAACCGGACCAATGAATAAAAGAGCGTTAATACTTTCAAAGTCACACCAGAAGCCCTACAACGCGGGCTGCAGGTGATTTTCTGGGCACCGAAAAAGCTCGAGGTTCCCGCAGAAGCTTTTTCGTTGTCGGAAGTATTTTCCGTATGGGCTGAATGGACGGGTGTTTTCAGGCTAACGAGGCTGTTTTTAAAAATGCACGTAATATGGCAATCAGGAAGGTGCCGGAAAAGTTTGAAGCTTATTGATTTTGGAAGATTTGGGCTTTTAAACCTTTCAAAACTGTGTTGAATCAGATTTTGTGACTTTAAGCCGTTATCACTTCAATAAATTTCATAAAACTAAGTTTTTGATGAGTTTTAATCTTTTTGCACTGATGTTACCCTTTTAATGCGCTAAAAACCATGAAAAAAACCGTGAATTAACAACTTTTTAAAATCTGTCTTAAGTAATATTTTTTTTTGTTGTATAATCTATCTTTTACGCCTTTCAAACGACAGTGAAAAGCCATAATCCCATCAAAATCCATCACACCATCAAAATCTAACAAGCCGGAACATCGGATTTGTTCACCGCGCGCCGCCCGGCAAATTACATACTTTTTGATATACGAGCCCCTTGGTCGACGCGTGGAAATTGCCACCCGGAGCACCGAGTGGAGAGACCCGTTTTTCCTTTGGTTTCCAACGAGCACATTGCTCACTCACTCTGTCTCCGTCTCTCTCTCTCTCTCTCTCTCTCTCTCTGTCTTTATGCTTGTACCTACATATTTCAGGTATTCGCCAGGCCATGGAATTTGCGGGGGTGGGCTTGGGTTAGCCGAGTTTTCCTACCTTTCTTAGGTTTTTTTTCAGTTTCGGTAAAGCGCTTTTACGCGCGCATACTTTTGCACTAATCACTTTTCCCTTTAGCTCCTTGTATTAAACTTTTTGACGCTCCAAACGAATCAGAAAATTTGTTGGAGGCCTAAAAATCGTGCTTCTTCTAAAAAACGTCTTTTCTAGCCGTCTAGGGTGAAAATCGGTACTGGAGTGCTAGCGGGGGGGGGGTGTGGTATTTTAAGAAAATTTTGGAAGAAGTTTTGGAATTACCTTTCCTACACCCATCTAAAAATCTTTAGGCGTTTTTTTGGTGTATTTTTTACACCATTTTTGGGTTTTTTTTTGCTTACTAAAAAGTCATCAAAGCCTGAAAACACATGAAATTGCAATTTTTGAATGCTTACCCGTTGTCATGGATTTTTAACAAAAAATCACGATTTTGCGAAAATCGGAATCATTTTTACCAAATTTAGGTATATGCTCAGCCCCCCCCCGCTAACAGTCTAGTACCGAAAATTCCAAAATTGAATGTTCCATTGATAGCAAATCAAATTTTCGGAAAGGTATGATTATTAGGGATTTTTGTAGCTTTTCGTAGCCCCCTACCACCAATTTCCGCTAATATACCATCGTACTCACCAATCGCTCAGCCATTCGTATAGCCCACCCAGCCCAGAAATCTACACCAATTTGCCAGAGCTCAGATAGTGGCTAATACCCGAATATGGAATGTTTTTCGGGGGTCCGGCTACTATTATTTGTATTTATTTGTTCTGGGCGGTCGAGCTTCTCCAGTTACGCCTCCCCCCTTTCTTTTCCCAGTTCCACCCTCGCTCCCCCATTTCTACCAACCTATGCTTTTGATGTATACCTATTCTTATAGCGTTCTACTCAGCGGGAAGTCGAAACCTAAGCCAAGCCTAAGCCTAAGCACAAGCCTAAGCCAAGCCTAAGCCAAGCCTAAGCCAAGCCTAAGCCAAGCCTAAGCCAAGCCTAAGCCAAGCCTAAGCCAAGCCTAAGCCAAGCCTAAGCCAAGCCTAAGCCAAGCCTAAGCCAAGCCTAAGCCAAGCCTAAGCCAAGCCTAAGCCAAGCCTAAGCCAAGCCTGGCCTAGCTGCCTAAGCCAAGCCTAAGCCAAGCCTAAGCCAAGCCTAAGCCAAGCCTAAGCCAAGCCTAAGCCAAGCCTAAGCCAAGCCTAAGCCAAGCCTAAGCCAAGCCTAAGCCAAGCCTAAGCCAAGCCTAAGCCAAGCCCAAGCCCAAGCTCCGCTGCAAGCCAAGCCCTAGGCCAAGCCTCCGCCAAGCCTAAGCCAAGCCTAAGCCAAGCCTAAGCCAACCCTAAGCCAAGCCTAAGCCAAGCCTAAGCCAAGCCTAAGCCAAGCCTAAGCCAAGCCTGCCGCTCCGCCTAAGCCAGGCCTAAGCCAAGCCTAAGCCGCCTGCCAAGCCCTAAGCCAAGCCTAAGCCGCCTCCAAGCCAAGCCTAAGCCAGGCCTAAGCCAAGCCTAAGCCAAGCCTAAGCCAAGCCTAAGCCAAGCCTAAGCCAAGCCTAAGCCAAGCCTAAGCCAAGCCTAAGCCAAGCCTAAGCCAAGCCTGGGCCAATCCTAGGCAAGCCTAAGCCAAGCCTAAGCCAAGCCTAAGCCAAGCCTAAGCCAAGCCTAAGCCTAAGCACAAGCCTAAGCCAAGCCTAAGCCTAAGCACAAGCCTAAGCCAAGCCTAAGCCTAAGCCAAAGTCAAGCCTGAGCCTAAACCAAGCCTAAGAAGCGTTTGCCTCACTTTTAAATTTATGGGTCGGTGCTTTGGCATTATCGGGAGGGGGAGGGGGCGCAGTTTTTTTCTCCTGTACGTCCAGAAATTCGTAGTAACGTAAAACTAAGTGTTTAATAGTTTTTTTTGGGCAAAATTTAGCTATATTTCTAGCGGAAAAACTACCTAAAATAGAAATTTTTTAAATGTTGATCGAAAACCGGTCAAAAAAAATAGATGTTTTGTGTATATTTTAATATCAAATTTTAAAGTTTTTGCGTTTCAGAATATTCAAAAAATTAAAAAGTTAGGTTCTCGATTTAGATAAATTTTCAGACGACGCAGAAAAGGTTGTAGTTATTCGAAAAACAACCTCAACCTCTAGGTGCTAATTAACGTCTTCTGCTTTCTAAAATGCACCCAGCCGGGTTCATCGACAATTCAAAGTACAGTCTCGAATGTTAATGTTAATTTCGTGATTTCTAGGATCCAACCTATCCCCGGGGAATTTTCGCTAATTTGACCGCATCAACCCGCCACCCCCATCTCCCCGAACTACGCAATTTTGTAAAGCTGTTTCCACGCAAACAACCTGTTATTTTCCCGCTTTTTACGATGCGTCAATGGGTGTAAATCGTACTCAGCGGAAAATTAAAGATTTTTGATGGTTGATCCGATGATTTTGGGTGTAGTTTAATTGATTTCAGTTTTTCTGTGTTTTTCTGTGGAGCGGAAGGATAAATTTTAGCGATTTTAGCCATTAAAACATGTATTAGCTTGAATTGCCGTGGAGCTTCACCTTTAAAATATTTTTAGGTGCTTTGGTATTATCGGGGGGGGGGGGGGGGAGGGTGTAATTATTCCTTATACTTAAAATTAAAAATTTAGAAAATAAAATTTTTCAAATAGAAAAGAGGGAGTTTTACTTTTTTTAAAAAGAGTTAAAAAAAGAGTTTTTAAACTTTTTTACTATTCTTTAACGTAAAAACGATACAAATTGTTATCGAAAGTTACAAGAATATCAATTTTTCGACAAAAATGGACGATTTTCGAAAAATTTCCGGTTTTTAAAAAATAATTGGTCTACTTCAAATATGGCAAAATTCACGTAATTACTAAAATTTACTAAAAATACGATTAAAATATTTACGATTACACTAATGGGCATTTTTGGACTGATAAGGAACAATTTAGTACCCCCCCCCCCCCCCCCTGAAAATGCGCAAGAACCTAATAATCTTAACTTTTCCGTTATTTGCTTTTCTAAATATTTTGAATTTTTCTTATTTGTTTTCACCCTCTATTAATGCGCATTCGTCCCAGTTTTGCTCCGACGCAATTTTCTCGATTTCCAAAAGCAATAGGACCCGTTCCGTACCCGACAACCCTAATTCCGGTGTGAAAAAGCGCGTTTTTCAGCGGAACGCAGGTATTTTTCCGCCCCACAAAAAATAGCAAGCTGCTTCAAAATTCGTGGGGTTTCCCTGTGCCCGGGGGCAGTCCCGTATTTTTGTGTTTTTCGGAGGGGCAAACACACCCAGGGGAACATCGAATACATACAAAAAGGGCAAAGAACGACGACGCCCGACGCCGGCGTGTTTATGCGGTTTTTGCGGATTGTTGGGTGTTGCGCGCTCCGGGGGTTCAGTGACCCTTTAGAACGAGACATTCCAAAGTACGGAAACGGGATTTTGGTGATTCGGAAATCGTAGAGGACCATGCTGATTCAAGCTTTGGACTGTTTTCCGTTGGGATGAAGGGTTTCTATAACTGAAAAAAATTTTAAACTGCTGCAAATGGATTCGATTGTCTGCCAGAAAACAAAACTTTTTTTGTCTTTCGGTCGTTGATGCTCGAGGTTTTTGGATATTTTATTGTCTTTTTAGCTGTGTTTTAAATCAGTCTAAGTTGTTTAACATTTTAAAGAGACCAGGAAGTCTAGATTTTGATGTAAAAAGTAATATAGCCTTTTTCTCTGGCTTGCCGAGGCCTTTAAAATCGCTTCGGTCGGTGGTTTCGGGTTTTTGCATTGTAGTTTTCGTGGGCTCCCGAGCGCTAAACTGCACTTTATGGAGGAGCGAGAGACGTACAGAGAGAGAGAGAGAGAGAGAGAGAGAGAGCGCGAGAGAGAGAGAGATTGTATGAAGTGTGCCATGTCTATTCTATTCTCGCTTCTCGCTGTAGAGTTAGGGGGAGTTATGGGCATAGGGGCACAACCGGGGGGAACCGGTATAATCCGGCCCACTACGATGGGATACTATGTACAGGCGATGTACAGTGTATAAAGGGGGATATAGCCCCCGAGCACATCCCTAAAATGTGCCTCCCCCCGTCCCACGCTCACTCGTTCGGATCAGCTGAGGGCTGGGCTGCGTTGCATGCATGATATTTAGGGTTTCAGCTCCACTCTTGGTATGGCATTTGCGTAATTTTTACAGGTTACTGTAGCTTTTGTCATTTTTTATCATACACCGTACTTTCATATTTTTTTTGAGTGGAGAGAGGGCTTGGGTTCTAAAAAAGCCAAGAAAATATGAATATCTACGGTACTGGACCCTTAACGGGGGCTTAATTTTTTAAAAATTTGAAAAGTTTAACCTTTTTGTTCATTTATTTTGCATTTTGACCAAAAATACAAATTTTTCGAATGCCATGCTTTTTGCGTGCTTTTTAGATCTAAAAAGTAGATAAAGAGTTATAAAGATGGTTAATATTTCGTCAAAAAAGCCGAAAAAAAAGAAAAAATAGTATCTCCCGCGATAAACACCCCCGCTAATAGCCCAGCACCGTTTTTTCCTACCCGCGGCACGCAACGCGCACGCCGCTGGACGCCGCTCACGATTTTGCGTATTGACTGGCTTGAGCAATTACGTCATGGAATCGGCGTGGCTAAATCCATATTCTTCCTTGCATTGCCCGTTCCTTTAATGGAAAAATTCTACCAAAATTCGGGGCCAATTCTATGACGTCACCCGGTTTGCGCAGCCGGCGGCTGACCGCTAAACGGTTCCGCTAAATTCCCGAATTCCGAAATGCTCCGCCTCACTCACTATGACTCATGCTCCGCCCCGAAAAATGGCTCCCAGATCGGCGCCAATCGTATTTTTGTGAAACTTTTTTCTAGGTTGGGGGGGTTAGTGACTGTTTGTTGGGGGTGCCGATGGTGGGGGTAGTAAAATATTTACCGTGTCCATGGACAGCCGGCTGGCTGGTTAGCTGAGAAGTTTGTCTTGCTCTCTCTCTCTCTCTCTCTCTCTCTCTCTCGCCCCGAGTCCGTTGCACTACAATGACAGTTGTAGAGACCGGCACGCAAATACGACATGATTTAGACCCCGGTTTAGACCTTTTATACGGTTTTTATAGGTTTTATTTTCCATGATTTTGGTCGAAATTAAAACGTGCAGTATATTTTTTGAAGCTCTATCTCAATCCTTTGCTGATCTTGTAGAAATTGTGTGAAAATGTCGTAAATTAGCCGTTCAACCTCTCGTTTCAAAAGTCATTTTTTGCTTTTTGTCATAACCATGTTATGTTACGTGGTTTAAGGCTGAAATCAAAACATCTAGTTGGTTTTTTGAAGCCCTGTCAAATGGCGTCGTCAAAATTACCGAAAGATGGTATTTTTATAATGCTGGATTCCATCGTGTCGGAAAAATCCTGAAAAATAAAGAAAAACCGATAGGCAGCAATTTTTTGATTTTTTTTGCTTCGGCTTGGCGTCCCTGCTCCAAAGTGTTGCTCATCTACAACAGAAAAGTCTCATAAACGATTTTGGACCACCACCGACGCGCGATTTGCATGTCCGGGCGTGGCTAGATTCCTCTGTCCCTTGAACAACACAGGAAAATTCCAAATCACGCCTGATTGCACTCCGGGTTAAGCTGTCATTTGGCGCTAATCGTTTGTTGGCTGCCAAGAGAAAAATTCGAGAGAGAGGGGGAAAGAGAGAGTGAGAGTGAGAGAGAGTGAGCGAGTGAGAGAGAGTGAGCGAGTGAGAGAGAGTGAGAGAGCGAGAGACAGCGAGAGAGAGGCAGCCAGGGATACAAAGAGTTTAGCCCTAGCCCCTACCCAGGGGGTGAAAGTCAAACAAAAGCGGTGGGTTGTGGCCCAGTAGTGGGCCCGTTTTCTCGGTGCCAATCCGCCCCTTCTGAACTTTCCTCCCACCCGTCAGCACCTCGCCACCAAACAAGCAAATAATTGCCCCGGCGTGCACCCTATCCCCCTTTTCCCCGCTCTTTTCTTCCATTTTAACGGCTTCTTCATTTTCTTGGTGTTCTAAAGAAGGTACTCGAGATCGGCCTGTCCATCCCACACTTCCGGCTACTTCTGTTTGACATGATGTTTTTTGCCGAGTTTCGTGAGACGCGGCTCTAAACGGTTGCATTTTGACCTCTATTTTTGGGATAAAGGGTTCGGCCTACTGGCTACGACAATCGGTTACGCTATGAAATATCACGAACTTTATGTGATCTATGCTGGCGCTTCACGGCTACTTTAAAGGGACTGGGAAGCCGGAAAGTTATATGTTTTTTTACGCCTGGACTTTAGTGGCGTTTTTAAATTGCGACGCCGTACTTCGTCTGGCCAAAGGTCGGGTTTTCCGGGTGTTTTGCGGAACAGGCCAATCGACGAAAACACGCTGCTTTTCCCATGCAATTTGTTGCAAAAAGGAAGTGGTCTTCCAGAACCTAGATTTCTTTATCCATCTCTTATCTCTCTCTCTCTCTCTCTCTCTCTCTCTCTCTCTCTCGATCTCACTTTCCATTGATGTCTCCAGAACAATTTTTGCGCATTTTCCGTTTTGTTGTTCTCATCATTCTTTCAGATTTCTAGCCAATCAATTATATGCTTTTTTAATTTTCAGATCTTCAGATATTCCAGATGATCCTAAGGTTAACAATCGGGGCCGTGGTGTTGGCTACGGTATGCAAAGCCAGCTGGGTCTCGAAACGATAATTGTTCCAGCTGACCCATGCCCAATTCGACGCATCGCAGTGCGGCCAGACGAAGGGATGCTTGTTCGCCCCACCTGGCTGTACCCCATCTACGGATTGCCAGATTTATTTCTCGTATCAGGTGTGGTTTTAGTTAATTTTTCTGGCTAGTAATTTTTATATATAATTTAGCTAAATTTACTTTTCATGTCAGTTTCATAACTAGAAAGTTACAAAAAATCTGTAGAAAATTTTGGAAAATTCGAGAATTTGCTTTTTCTGTCTTAGAACTGTGTTAATTGCTATGAAGAGGGTTTTTGATTGGGGATCACTCGACCGCCCCCCGCTAACAATACAGTACCGTCAAAATAAACTCTAAAAATTCTTCAAATTTTAAGAACTATTTTTTGCCTCCCCGGTCCCTTTAAACCTGCCTAAACCACCGCTTCCAGGTGCAAAACGGGCAAACGATGCTGATCGAGATCTCGGGTCGACCGGCCAATCCACAGGCCGGCTATGTGGCCGTGGGATTCTCGAAGGATAGCAGCATGGTATTGGCCCTACCCCCTCTTCCATTAATGCGTGTTCTCAGGGTGATGATTCGGTCACGGCGTGCGTGACAAATCAGGGCCAAACATCCGCCATTCTCGGGTATACTGCCGGGAAATCGCTGCAGATCAAGGTGAGGCTAGGATTGAAGTTTTTCCCAAATTGTCTCTGCAAGCTTGTCATGGCCCCAAATTTGTTTTGGGCTTAAAATTCCTTCAAAAATGCTGCTAGCTTGCCATAAGACTGCAATTCCTCAAAATCTCTGCAAGCTTGCCATCGCGTTGCCATTCCTCAAAAATCTTTGCTAGCTTGCCATGGGATTGGGATTCCTAAATAACCTCTGCTAGCTTGCCATAAGCTCGCAATTCCTCAAAAAATATTTATTGTTTTGCGGTTGGCTGACAAATTCCTTCGGAATCTTTGCTAGCTTGCCACTACTATATTATTCAGGTTTATTTTAGCACCCCCCTTCAACTTTATTTTATTTCACACAACTTCATTTTATTTCTCAAGGTTTTATTTTATTTCATTTTATTTCTCAAAACTTTATTTCAGCAACAAAATAACATCACTACAACTTTATTCTATTTCATACCACACAACTTTATTTTATTACGTTTTATTCTTCAAAACTGCTTCAAAACTTTATTTCTCAAAACTTCCTCAAAACTTTATTTTATTTCAGAAAGATTGTATATTCGATACTGTTGTGCATACTCATCGTGGTGTGGTTCAACGGTTTAATTTTAAAATATTTATTGACGTACAAAGAAAATAGAATCATGAAAATTTTACAACGAAATCAGGGAAAGGAGGGCACGTTCAAGGATGCGGTCACGAACTGCATGGTTTAAGATGAGATGTAAGACTGTTGCTATCAGCGTCGTAATAAAAGATATTTCAAGGATTTTCTTGACTCCGTCTTTATTAAAGGGCTGCGGACGGCATGTGTCGATCCCCCCCATCAACAAATTGGCAAGTAGCCAACAGGGCAGAGAGCGCGCCCAGGGGGGGAGGCGCAGAGACATTTTCTTTCCCGCGCGTAATCGATTGCATTATGCCGTCCCTATCCCTTTAAGAAGAGGATTGTTCCTCGGGATCTCGACTCGGTGATCGGCATTCTCGACGATAATCAGCTTTCTTTCCTCACTCGGGGAGCTTCGGCAATTAAGCTTAATATGTCGTACGAGATTGGAGTTTGAAGAAAATACCTTGTCACACTGGAAACAACGGAAAGCAGGGCGCTGTGCTGGCAAGGAGCTCATCAGATTTGCAAAACTGAACAGAATGGGACTGAATCCTAGACCTACTCCTCCTTATATACACGCTCCCCGGCATAGGCCAAGGGAAAAGAGCAATTAAAACGGGATTTCATAAAGAAAATCACAAACAAATCATCAATGGCGTGCAAAAACCTCAAAACATCATAGAAAGGCATACCAACGCACATTTTTGTCAGGAAAATGATGCAGAATGCCCCGCAAGTACGCGTTCGGAAGGCCTGGCAGTGTTTTCGGCTTAAAATTACATTTTTATAATGTTCGGTCAGCCATTTTTTAATTTCACCTCGTGGCTCGTCTCCAAGCGGGTCGAAATAGAATACAGTATCCCCACGGGCGAAAAAAGCAACCCAATGCTTCCCGAGTTGGGATATCTTGTCGGTGTTGACGCAAAATGCCGCCTTCAATGGGTGCGCTGGTAGTGTGTCTGCAGCGTATGTACCCTGGTAGAATAGGCGCGTCACGGGGTCCGTCATCAGAATTGCGTCGATTTGAAAGTTGTTCATGTTACAGTGTAAGGGTTTGGGCTTGGCGGGCGTGGTCCAACGTCAATTTATCCATTAGCTCGGCGTGTACGACAACCATCAGTCCGCCTTTGGGCACTGGCTGACTCAGCTCGAGATCCAAAGTGCATTGCCCAGCAACGGCCATGTCGAAGCTGTCAACGCCGCCATCAGCATCCGGCAGAAGTTCGAATACCTGCACGCAACGGGCGTCTGAAAACATTATATGCCCAATACCATTTGTTAGATTGCTGCCGGTCATACCGCAACCTTCTAACATTTGCGTATAGGCTTCAGTACAGCCCAAACCTCCCTTATCCCAAACCAAGTTCCAAGGCTTGTGAGGCACAGCCTGACCGGCAAAACGAATGCTCAGGTTCTTGATATGGTTATGATGGAAGCGCCATGGATCAGTCTTGTACGAGCCTACAAAACCTTCATTCTTCACAAGTCCTACAAAAATACGTCGGGGAATCTGATTCGAGTTAAACAGTTGCATCTCAGGAAGCTTCAAAACGCCCTCGGGCATGTAAAAGCTTTTGGTCTGATAGCTACGCATCGGATAGCTAGCCTTCTTACCGCCACTCAGTTGTCGCTCAATGGCGGCTACTGCCGAAGGGTACAGTTGATACTCGGCCACAACAAGTCGAATGTCATCAATTACGAAACGCCATGTTTCCTTAGTGGAATCATACCCGCGAATCAAGAACTTATCGCTTTGTCGGTGCAGGGTGATCTGGATATCGGTGTTGTTCAACATTAGCTTATTTGAGCTACAAATATTCAAATCCAAGGGACTGTTCACCTGTACGGACCTCCCCTTCATGAAAAGCACACTCATATTCTCAAAGCCATCGTTTGACTTGTGTTCGGCACCGTTATCGCCACCATCGTAGAGTTGGGGGTGGCCATAATTAAATTGCTTGATGTTCCTGTCCGTCATGAATTCTGCGTTAATGAAGGCGCGATATGGATACAAATCTCCAGAATTTTCAATTTGCGTACCGCCAATACTAACGGTGGCTTGCTTCCAGAAGGCACGGGCCGCAAACTGTATAGGTGCGCAGCGCTCCTTAAAAGTTATTTTCCCGTCGCCATCGACTTCTGAATGTGCATAGCCATTCCCCTTTTCGTCGACTAAACGCAAAGTCATTGTGACATAGGAACGTGCTAGACTAATGAAATGGGGTTCTTTCATGATACGGAAAGTATAGGGGCCAGTCTGATTTAGACTACTATTTTCTGGGGCAATACTTCTAAAGCGCATAGACTGGATACCTACAACATGTTGAATCGGATCGAAAAGGGCGAGTTCGTTGGAAAAAGAAAGCTCAGGGTTGCTTTCCAATGCCTTTACCACGGACATTTTTAGGAGGGATAACTGTAAAAATGGTTGCCGTTCGCTTTCTGCCTCTTTTTATAGCCGATCGTCTAGGGGGTAGGGCCTTCTTTACCAAAGTTTCGATAGGGGGCCCTAGAGGCAAACTCGTGGGTGCTGGGGTAGGGACACTATGTTTCACGGGGAGCAGAAATTTATTATGGCGGGAAGGCGCCCCACCACCTTTTTGCGTTTTAGTGGCTACATTTTGCTTGCATTCACTAAAATCCCAAACAATTTCATTAGGGTCAATGAGATAATAATTGGAAAGAGACATTTTTGGGGGGAAAGTGGAATGAAGGTGTTGCTTAATATAGTCTTTTGAAATGGAGAAGTGCAACCGACTTCCCGATATTCATGGGCACCTCGTGACCATTGTCGTCGGTTATATGCAACTTAATCGAATTGAATCGTCCCTGCTTCACGCGATGGTACACCGGTGGGTTAAAAATTTTTGTGGAAATGTCTCCCGGTAGCGTATCGTTTGGAATACTACGTAGCAACTCCAAAAACTCACCCCCTACCAAATGAGGGTCTACCAAATTGCAAAAAACGCGCAAGTTTCTAGTGTTGAAATTAAGGTCGGGCAGATATTTTGCGGTTTGAATTCCGCTCAAGGTAGCACTTTCGAAACCCAACATACGCCAGATCAAGGCAGGCAGGATAATTTTGGAAATCCTGGTGGGGTCAATGTTGACCGCAAAGCGCATCTTGTTTTCATCATATTCGAAGCAAACCCCCCGAGATTCATGAGCCGCATTTTTCAACTCATACGAAAAGCTATCGCTAAAGTTCTGCAGCGTAACCATGGGTATTTCGTCAACTAAAGGCTCGACCTCCTCCACCACCTTGTCATCGGCGGTGAAAAAGACGCCGAGCACATCACTTCTCGCCACTTCTCTAAACTTTGGCTGGAAAGCCTCGGGAGTCTGAGGGAGTGGGAAAGAAGTAAAAGTTCTCTTCTCATTTGAGGCGTCAAAGTTTGCATCTCCTCCCGGGCCAACCGGAGACAACGCCACTGGACTATCCGTTTTCGCTAAGGGACTTAGGGGCTCTTCTGCTGTCACGGGACTGCCCAAAAGGCTGGCTGATGTGGGCTCCCCCCGCGCCTAGTTCTTCTTCCTGCTTCGCTGACTCCCCCGCACCTTCTTCCTGCTTCGCTGGCTCACCCGCTGAAGCCTCCTTGGCAGGCGATGATGGTGGTGTCACGTCATTTACTGCCGTCACGGTACTACCCCCCGGTAACGTGCGCGCGTCTGCTCCCGACACGATTTTCGTTGGCTTGTCCTCTTCAATTGGTGACGCCTGGCTCCCCTCCACGGTACTACCCCCCGGTGATGTGGGCGCGTCTGCGATTTCCGTTGGCTTGTCCTCTGGTGCAGGTGACGCCTGGCCTCCCTCCCCGGTACTAACCCCCGGTGGCGTGAGCGACGCAATTTTCGTTGGCTTGTCCTCTGCAATTGGCGGTGGTGGAGCGATACCTCCTGCTGTCCCCCCGGGACTGGCTTCCGTTGATGCCTTATCAAATGGTTTCTCAGCTAAGGGTGGTTCATTGTGTGGAACTGTGCTACCACCTAGGGGTAACGAGGTGAAAGGCTTTTTCTCCTTCGAAGCGTCAAAGTTGGGGGGCAAGTCACCGGGTGTTGACCTACGTTTTCTAGTCTTGCCAAATATCGAGTTGAGTGCATTGGCAAGTCTGGTTGGCTTGAGATAGTTTCCGGCAGGCAAGTAGAAATTACTTGCCTGACCTTGACTATCCAAAATTTTCAGGGGTTGATTTTCGGGTACTTGATCAACAGCACCAACCCCAGTCAACTCAACGAGAGCACAAGCCCATTGCTGCGCCCCGCCTTCTCGCAGGTTCAATTCTTTCGCCAAATGATTAGTTAAAAAAGAGCTCCTTTCATCTGAAGGGCCAACAACGGTTACATAAAAATCGTCACTCATTGGAAACAAATGCACTACGGCACTA